GCCATGCGTCGCATGTTGTAGTGTTCTCCTAAGAGCTGCTGAGTTTACTGCTACATCGTGGCGATGTGGTGAGGATCAGTGAAGATCGCAAGGCTCACTCTGCCGGGGGATGTTGGGCACTTGTGGCCACAACATGAGGCCTGCGATCGTTTTGTACATATGAGAACCTTTGTCTCATCAAAGCACTCCGAAGTCCAGCTGAAGGGCAGCTATCAAAACGGCTTTTTCGCTGGATCAAGTTTTATCAGAAAGCCTCAATAGGCGTTTCTGACTCGAAGCACCAAGCCCTCTCAACGTTCTCCATGCTGAAGAGGTCTGAGCAACGCCAACTTGCCTTATTCTATCTTATTCTTCGACAAGGAGTCTTTTCAGAGCAACCCCGTTGATGTCAAGGAACACCGTCGAGCGATGCAGTAGCGTGTTGTCCCGCCAAGCGTCTGTCGATGCGGTCTCGCTCTCGCATTCGCTCGGAAAGCAGCCAGCCTGCATCGTTCGCAGAAACTATCTGAAGCTCAGAAGTCAATGCCTATGTTTGGGTGCTTCCAGCCTAGTAGCAGCTCCAGCTCCTGACGGTCCAGTGCTCTTGTCCGGCAAAGCATATCCACTCGTAACATAGCGCGAAATCGGTGAAGCTCCTTGGCCACCTCGAGTGCACGACGGCCAGATGCCGGAACAGGTGCCTGGCCAATTGATGCATTCCACCGATGCAACATTCGCATAACTCAAACCTCTCCCAGCAAACACATGACAGTCCGGCCTGCGAGCACACCTCGGAAGGCCTGAACGGTGAACTCACATTGGTAACACCCGGCCTACAATGCTACTGGTATGCGTTATCGTGGGCTCCTCCGGATCGCATGCTTGAAACTTAGGCCCTTTTAGGCTATAGGGTCTCCCACCCCATTCAAGTAGGGCGCGAGGCGCGACCTGTCCTTGGGGCGAAGTCTGTTTGAGAAGTGCTCCCCGGAAACCCTCTAAACTAAACCCGAACAAGAGAAACCCAACAAAAGCCAGCCGGCCCGATTCCATGACGTGAGCACGCAAAGTACAAGCCACATGGCTAAGCTTAGCCAGGATCTGCAAGGCCTCTGTACACTGTCCATCTGCTCGAGGCATTCGTCACTGAAGTCCAAGCACCTGCGTATCCGAATCCGAACGAAATGCGAGCGACCCACAAGACCTTTGCTGACCATGCTGTTAAACAAACGGCGATCATTTCTTATCGTTCAACCACCTAACTTTGAGCTCAGGCGGCTCTGCAACTGTGAACAGGCGCCTGACCACAGGATCCTGGGCATCAAGATCCCTTAGCCCACAAGAGCCAATCAGCAAGACCCAAGGCAGCAGCTCAGCTTGCGAAAGGCACAGCGACATGGACAGCACATAGCAGTTCTGTCACAAACTTGCAAGGGAAGGATTCGGAAGGAATGATGAGCTACAAGAACTTGCAGTAAACGTTAAACCAATGTGTCGCAGCGTAGATCAGGCAGAAACACTCGCCCACCACGAAGGTGAGACAGGAGGTTGTGCAGCTGTGCGGCAGAGTCTTGTCTAGTGAGGAGCGTAGAAGCCATTGCTACGTATTGTAGCGCAAACCGTAAGCTCTCTCCTACAGCGCGGGCTTTCACCTTTGCAGCGGTACTTCCATCACTTCATGTGACTTTCTGCTTGTCGCTCCGGACTCCAGCAGCACACAGTAACACCAAGCAAAGGCTCAGCATTGCGAACATCAAGACGTGAAGCCATGCGACTTCGACCAAGGCTGCATGCACCGCGCCGTCTGATTTCTGCGAAGCCATCGACTCACGAAGTTTCAGTACCTGGTTTCCAGCGAAGAGCGACCCCAGCAGCAACACCAAGGCAATGGCGTTTGGCCAACATCGGTCACGCACCAGGCTGACATACAGCATAGAAGCCAATGCCAGCAGCATGGGAAGCTGCAGGATCAGAAGACGATCCGGGAATGCTGGATGCTCTCCTCTACCAAGGTAGAAAGGTTTGCTGCTCGAGAACTTCCCGCGCAAGCTCTCGATGTCGAAACAAAGGTCAATCAATACATAACCTTGGAACACTCCAACGGTCGCTGCACGAAATGTTTCCATCATGCCGATGCGCACGTAGCTGGCCATGCCGAGACAGCACAAAGCGGGCACACCCCACGAATGCTGCAAACAAGTCAGAGAAACTGTTTCTTGGATCGCTGCACCGTGTCTTTGCTTGCGGTTCTTGAGCCAAGCATGTTGTAGCAGCATGGCATGCATGGACTAGTGCGAAACATTGCGAAACCATGAAAAATGCCGATAGGACACAAATAAGGTCAGCTGTGCCCGCGGCGTGGTCTGATGCACCTCGTCAACCTGGGTGGAGGCTGGTAGCTCCCAGTCCCAACAAGTGTGCAAAGCTTGTGGTCCTGTTTCGCATTCTCATCTCATGACTGACTCAGGCAACTTGGTGCTCATCTTGTGAATACCGCAAACGGGCAAATCTGAGAGTTGATGGTTGATGGTTGAGCCATCAGAGAAAGCATGTGCCAGCATCAACCAGGCTTGAGCTGAAGGCACACAGCGACGCAAAAGCAGACATCAGATGACGGCAGCTCAGCAAAACATTTAAATCTTGCCCAGGTAACGAATTGGGAACTTGACGTGGCATAGGTGCTGCCCTCCTCCGGGACCAGCTGCATAGCCTCGAGTCCAGCCTTTCAATCTGGCTCAAATGCTGTCATCATACTGAGAGACATTTGATAGTATGCTGTCCTCAAAGATCGGCGACGGCCACTGGCTGTCCTTGCTGGCCTCACTGAAACCTCCATTGATGGAGAAGCCAATTTAACACAATCGCAGCTGACCTCTTTGCCCATGTGAGATTTTGATCACGGCTCATCCTGACTGCACATCTTGCCTCTGGAGGGAAGAGAAGCTTGCCTCCGCATTTTTTCCCAGGACTGCGTACGGTCTGCTAGTCTACCACATCGGACTCGACAGTTAGCTTCAACGCTGTGCACCGGAACAGCAGTTTTCTGGCAGTCTCGTCTCTTGCGCCTTCCGGGCCACTGGAGGTCGTCTTGGACCTCCGAGCAGCACCCCTTCCGACGTGGATTAGGCAACCTCAACTCCCCCCTCCACCCCGTGCATTCGGAAAATGCCTGCGGTGAAGACCCAAGCAAAGGTGGCTCCCATTGGATGCCCTGTCAAAACAAGATGTGACATTGCAATGCTACTCACAGAGGCCAGCGGCTAGCACACACGGAGAGAAAAGAGACGAGAAGGAACCAAAGTTCAAAGAGAAGAGGAAGACAACAGGAAACAAGGGGGAGAGAGGAGAGAAAGATGGAGAGCAAGAAGAGGGACAGAAGAGAGAAGAGGAGAGGAGAGGAGAGGAGGGGAGTGGAGGGGAGGGAGAGAGCCGACGAGTGCAAGCCAAGAACTGCTCGCAGAGTCAAGAGTGCTCAATGGTATGGAGCCTCTCCGGCAGGCGATTGCCACGCAAAGCTCATTGCAACGGTGTTGCTGTCACAGTTCCGGAAAGCAATTTAACACAATTGACACAGTGCTCGCTAGTCTTGTGCAAGGCAAAGTTGCTGACACAGCTGACTCAGTGTCGCTGCTGAACCGAAATGAAGCAGCATGGACAAGGGGCATCTTTAACGTGACAAATGCAGGCAAAGATGCGGGAACGTTTAGCTGGGATCCCAGAGTGCCCTCACGCCATCAGCAGTGCGTCGCTGGTGCCCCCTTCGTGATGGTGCGCTGGGCCTGGGGGAGAGCGCAACCTGCGCCACAACTCCATCCGAGACATGCTCTTCCATTGGTTGGATCGGGCGTCTTGGCCTCAGTGTCCTTCCTTGGCCGGGTCCCCTGCCCCACTTGACTTCGCCGTCGCGGCAAGCTTTGGCGGGCCAAGAGGCTGGGCAGCTGCGCTGCAGAGGCCAGGAGAACCGTGTGGCGGTACAGGTGACGGAGATTTGGGATGCTGCGTTGCAACAGGAAGACTGGGGCCTTCCTGCTGCGTCCACGCGCAGCGATGGGGGAATAGGGCTCTACGTATAGCACCGGGGCATACAATCCTGGCATCAACTGCCGGGAGTACGGCCGACCTGGATTACGACCTGGAAGCAGCCTGTATACAGTTTTCCCCGGCTCTGTTTATATATAATATTTGGTATTGGCCTGTTTGTTTTGCGCCACCCTCAGACGTAGGATATCTAGAGCTGCGCAAATCTCTGAGGAAAAAGCAACAATAAGAGCAAGTCGACGAAACCCACACACGGACGGTCCGGCCTCAGCACCCTGCTACTGCAGCGGAAACTTTCCTAGCTCAAACGACGTGCCTCTTGCGACCCCACCCCGGCAGGTGTGGACATCATACAAGCTGCCCGTCTCATGGGACCACTTGTCCAGCTGCAAGCTGCACTCTTACATAGCCGGTAAATACACGAAGTCATACCCAAAAACACCCACAGCCACACGTCTCCCCCCATGCCCGAGCGCGTAGTGGAGAGCTGAGCCTCAGCTCGAAATAACTTTGGGACCCGGGCTGCTTGATGAGAGGTCTGCAGTCGTCCCGGATGGTTCGGTTGGACCCAGAACCTGGCCACGTCAGACCACATCAGCTCACTGCAAGCGTCGTGCGACCGTTACTCACATCTCACATGTATCTCCATGTTCATCTGTAAAAAAATATGCAACAATCGCAATCAGCCCCTGTGCGAGCTTTGCGCTCCGAAGGAGGCGGGGGCCGCAGGATGCCGTGCGCGGGGCGCTGGAGTGAAAGCTCTACACTGTGCCATGCCTGGCAAAGAGTGGCTTCATGACTTGCTTATTTGGCCGCTACGTTGCATGTCGATACTGAACTGCAAAAGCACTGCCGTACGGAATAGTAGGCCTCCAGTTGACTTTCCCAGGTGCAGGGCAGATGCATCACCTCCATTTAAAGCCCAAGTCTAAGTGCCGAGGAGCACCATGAACACACATGTGCAACAGCCTCAAGGCTGCTGCAGCTGTCAGGCCTCGACACTTTGCGAGACAACCTGAAGCATCTTGTTGCTCACCAGCGGAAAGACGTCAATGCTGAAACCAGACGAAGGTTGTCCTCGCCGAGACCAAAAACTCCAATATACTCGCTGAAGTAGCATAGAGTGGCATCTGCCAGACTCCCAGCAGAATCCCCACCTGTGCCTGTCACTTTGTGAGCGTCTGGCCTCTCTCTGCGCACCAGGCATGTCTTCTCAGGTACAGCTCTCCTGCATGCAAGGTGTTCAGAGCTCGAAGGTCAATGCCTCGGTTCGCTCATTGTCTGCAGGCTCGATTCAGGCTCGATTTTGTCATATGCGCACTCAGTTTTACCGCAAGCTGCCACACTGACCTCCCTAGAAGTCCATTCTAGAAATCGGCAGCCTTCCCAGGGAGCAAGATCGCTCGGCAAAGGGCGCAGCCGCCTTGGCCACGACTTCATGAGGCCACCCTCTGATCATGACTTTTCCCACCAAAGAGCTGAGGATGAGGCCTAGCAAGCCACTCGGATTCAAAAGCAGCTGCACAGAGCGTCCATGAGCCAGGCGCTGCCACTTGCACCTGAACATTTCAAACAAGACAATGGTCACTTTTCACAAACAGTTTAAGGAGAGTTCAGGGTTCGCACAACATGTCAGCATCATCCACTTCTGGGACCCGGAATCACGCGAGAGAGAAAGAGGTTCACACTCGAGTTCAGGGCTTGGGCGCGCATGGACAAATGAGAGGGTTCTGGGGGAAGTTTCCCAATGCAAACTACTCACGTTACGAACACCGAGACCCCACCGTAACTAGAATGCCAGGGGTGCCGGGTGGAAGCACAGGACCTGCACATGCCTGCACGCTGGCACGCTTCAGCGCATGAAGGTGTCGAGCGAAGAGCGCGTAGTGGCTGGCAAGAATCATCAAGAATCACATGTTGCATTCAGGACACCTTGCCAAGATCTCTCGCCGCAAGATCACGGACTGAAAGCCTACATATTTGTCTGTCCCAGAAGAGGCCAACAAGTGAGAGTGGGGATTCTTCCGAAGCACAAACATGCCAGAATCACTGAAACCCCCAGTCCTGGAACAGGTGGTGCGAGTCAACGCATGCAACATGCGATGCAGAATGGAACTAAATGTGCGTATCAGTACGTCACATCCAGATCTAAGCGCACGGGACGGATTAGCACCGTGCCCCATGGCGAAGGGCCGGCTGTCTGATGCTCGATGCGAAAACAAGATTCCCGAAGCCACATCATGGGCTGGGCCTCATGGCAGGCGTGCGCAAGGGGACCGTTCCCTGACTTTGGTTCGCTTGCCCCACTTGCCCCACTTGCCCCCTTCGGGCGAGATTCCTGATTGACCCCCCCCCCCCCCGGTACCTGATCTGCAACTACAAGTCTGGATCTGTGACGTGCTCTTTGTGAGGGAGACTTCCATCAACGAGGGGAAGTGGGGCAAGTAAACCTAAGCCCGCCTCGCTGTCCCGAAAACGAGAAGTCTGGATCGTATGCTTTCGCTGTGAGGGAGACTTGCATCAATGGGGGAGGGGGGGCGGGGGTGGGCGAGGACTGAGGGAGGCAAGTGGGGCAAATTGGTTCCCGGCGGCATATATCGAAACCACACCTACATGCGCCCTTTCAGTTCAGGACCCTGCAGTTGAGCGGCTTTGCTTAGGATGAGGTGTCAGGCCAGCGAACGGAAGCGAGCCTCCGCCATGGAGTCATACCAGGGTTCGGAAAATGCAGTCCAGTCGGCATCGCAAGCCTGGCCCAGCAGCTCAGCAATCACGCAGGATACGAGCTCATGGTACCAGTTACATGATTCAGAAAACTAGCGACTTTAGCACAAAATTCTCCGCTTGTTGCTTGAGAGCCGTTAATCTGCGTTTTGCAAAACATCAACAATGGCCTTAATGGCCCTTAAACTATTCAGACGGTCGACTTCCAGTGATTACGAACCTTGTCGGGAGCCTGGAGGGCCTTAAATGTTTAACATTGTTTTATTGGAATGGCGGCTGGAAAGACTCAGCATCTCGAAGCCCTGAACCACAGCAGCAGCCCCTCGCATGACCCCAGAACATCTCGCAAGGCATTGAGAGGATGGCCGTCTTGACAAGCTCGACTGCTCAAGCTCTCAAGCAGGTGGCCTCAGCCAAACTCTTGGCCAGATTCTCCCACAGAAAATCCTGACATTGACATGAGAATCAGGTCCAGACTATGTCCAGGCAAGGCCTAAAATGCTTGCACACGAGACTCCGAGCACTTGGAGAACACAACCGCTGTCCAAGCCTGGGACGCAAACCTATGAACCTGAAGAATGCGCAACGCATGCCTCCACGTCTTCTTCCCTGCTGTCTGCCTGCTCGTTGCATCTCGTTGCCGCTCTTTTCAGTCCGTTTTCTTGTTTTGGTGTAAACCCACGTCAGATATGGCAGATATGTCTTTATACCGCTCACCGCGCCGCACCCGGATGGTCAGGTAGGCTCAATCATAATCACAAAGCTTCGCCATGCTGATACTCTCTCATCAGGCAAAACTGCACCTGGACGGGCTGTGCCCATGCAGTATCAGGTTTGTGGTATCCAAAGGCCCACAGTTATTAAAGGCCTCAAGTATACCTCGAAATTATAGTTTGAAGTTTGAAGGGAGTGGGGCTTCTTGTGAACCTGCACAGCCCGCTCAGGCACATGGTGTTTCACAGGGTTGATCTCATGCCGATGACTCCGATCGGACGGGTTGGCACCAGTTCCTAGCCGACATAACTTCAAGAGCTGCCAGGCTGTCACGCTAATTGTCTACGGTACATGCTTAATCTTCACATTGCACATGCAATGGGACGAAGACGGTCGAGGCAAAGTGTGCGGTGCAGAGTACGGTTGCTCAGGCAGGCAGTACGTGGTGTCTGACTTACGTTGTACATACTATAATATCTCATCGTTATGTCGTTCCTACGCTGTAGACATCGTCTTGCTGGGTGAATGCCACGGCCATCATAGCTAAACACGGCGTTCAGAAATTTAGCCCTAGCTGCAAGCTATTCCTTGCCGTGGAAATGGCAAGAAGAGCCGGCAATCCGCAAGACTTAATCTTGCAAGCACATACATCCAGGCAGACCAAGCAGTCTCACTTGACTCTGTCCAAGCACTCCCACATCATGATGCTGTTTCCTCAGTCTATGCACTTCACATCAGTCGAAAGCGCCATCAAGTATCAAAGAGCGAATGCGGCTCTAGGATACTCTATGCTGCGCAAAGAATCCGCGAATCACCACCATGCCAATCTCATTCTTTTCGGTCGGCGAGACAATTTCGACTGTGTTGTCCAGCACAATGTTCATGAATTGGTCATATCCTGCAGGGCTGCAAAGTGACCATTTTACTGCCGGTGGACAGTGGACAGCAGCATTCGAGGCCTCGCAGCACGCCCACCACGTGTCTGTTGGCCGTAAGCTTGAGATCCTTTCTGCAGAGGTGCGGGGCTGGATGTCCCACGACCTATGTCCTATACAAGTCTCTCAGTCTATCGATGTCTTTAACCTGCTGCTTGCACTGATCTGCCCTGATTTGAACAGGCTGTTCTGCTGATCAGTCAGCCATTTGCTAGGCACCCGGCCAACCTCTTTTCCATGAACTTTCGAAGATCGGCTCCCGACCCAGTCTCGCAGGGACGATTGTGCAGCGAAAGAACACAGCCAACTCTCGGCATCAATGCCTACGGTCCGTGGAGCATGCAACCAAGCAAGGTTTCAGCGAGATTCGTAGCTAAGCCGTACAACAAAAAACTACACGAAGCATGTCGACTCTCCTGGATGGAAGCCACCGATTTCGGCTCATGGGCATGATGAGTTTTCATGTGAACATCGAAGCCTCTGAAGATCGAAGAGAAATACATTTGGCGGCGTGGGGCCGAATGCTTTGTTTTGTCGGATTCGTAAACAAGCACCTTGGCAAGAGGCCGGTAAAGTTGAACACTCGTAAGTTGAGTGGGATCCATAGCGGTAGTTGCAGAACTCAGCCTTTGTGATGCCGTGTCGTCGACAAGATGTCGGGGAGGACAAGATGTCTCAACCAAACCGATCACAACCCAATCACACAGATGTTCATAGGCTTTCCTAACGAATCGCAAGCCGATCACGAAGCACGGAACAGGCCGATAACGTCGCACAGTACCGACTCGCCAGGACTTCAGCCTCTTAACATCAGTGCTCAGAGCATGGTGCGAGTCCGATCCATGCTGCGTCGCAGCAGTGGAACCCTACAGAAACTGCTTGTTGCTGCACATGCCAATCAAGGTGCGCCTTGGACATCTTCAAGGCAGCTTTTGACCGGCTTCGCCTATTAGCTCGGCAAAGCATGTCTTGAATTCATTGAAGATGAGTGGCAGGATGCAGGATGCCGCTCAGGGAATGTCTGGCCAAAGGTGTGGCCTGCGCGCTGCGGCTCCTCTCGAAGGTGGACTATCGAGTCTTGAGCGGAAACAGCTGCTGCGCCGGCTCATCCTGATTCATCCCTTTCAGTGTACCACAAGTACCAAGTAGTACACTGCACCGCTAAGTTGGCCGTCCGTATCTCATGTGCCATCTCTTTGACTTGCGAGGACTCACCACAAGACGGCAGCTCGGGCTGCAGTTCCACACTGCTCTCATTTTGGCTCCGTGCCAGGATGCTGACTCCAGCTGCTTCCTAGCTATGATATGGGCCCATCCCGTTTCAGTGCTCACGCTTCCAATTGGTTCACAAGGCCCTTGTGTCACAGGATGGGCTTCAGTCAATATCGACTGCAGCCATGATATGACCGATCCTAACGGTGGGAGCCCTTGCACTCTGAGACTCTGACTAGGAAAGCCAAGGCGAGATGGCTCATAGGATGGAATGGAACTACATGGTGAGCTTTGACTGCCTGTTGCATGTTGGCACGTCCCATGAAATGCATGGATGTTCAATTGATCGGCGCGCCGCTTCCTCTCACTTGACTCGGTCCAAGCACTCCCACATCATGATGCTGTTTCCTCGGACGCTCACTAGAATTCTCAGACCTAACCTGTTGGCACTGGTTTCACAATGTGCAAGCAACATGAACGGCAGACATGCTGAGTTTGGGTGCTTCGGGAGTTGGCATTGATCCCAGAGTCCGCGGATCACCACCATGCCGATCTCGTTCTTCTCTGTCGGAGAAACGATCTCAACTGTGTTGTCCAGAACGATGTTCATGAACTGGTCGTAACCTGTCATTCCATGGCTGGATAAAGTGCCTTCGTGCCTGCCAGGGGTAGTGTCCACAGGCCTTTCACTCTAGTAGCTGGTGCAAGCCTCGATTCCCAGCCCGCATACCATCTGCTGCTGGACAATCATGGCCCACTCTGGAAGTGCACCCTTTCCCCTTTGCAAGGATGTCCGGACCCGCAATTAATGGAATGGCAAGCATTGTCTAGCCAAAGCAGACTGTGAAAACGCAGTTCATGCGGCGCCCTGCAATCCTTTCAGGGGATGGGGATGATCGCGCTCTGCCACAATCATGTAGCACCCTACCCTACCCGCCTCGCCATGATTTGATTGGGAGTGGGATACTTGACTTGCACTTGCGCGTGCCTCGCAAAACTCCCACCACATGTCTGTTGGCGGTCAGTTTGAGATCCTGAGTAGCAGATGGGGACATCATTCCTAGTGCGAAGTTCATCACCCTGTTGCATGAGTTATGTACAAACGCAGCGCGCCTTTTTTTGCATCATCTAGACTGCATGCGAGGGTGGGCAACATGGGGCAATGTTCCGGTGCATCTGGATTTTCTAGACGAGAGGGCTGAGCCACTCCCGCGAGGCATATTGAATACCAGATGCATCCAGACAACAGTAGATGTACAGTTCCTTTGGACACTTCACCGTGCTCAGCCCATGCCATACTTACAAAAAAACCTGTGCTGGGCAGGGCAGGTGTCTGTTTCCCGCCGGCGTGCAGAACGCACGCACTGCCGTCGCTGCTAGAGTGTTCAGCCACTACACTAATCAGTACTCACCATGACTTCGGTTGTAACAGATAGTGTCGCAATGCAGCGATATCATTAAACAGTCCTGCTGTATAGTCGTGGCACGGGAAGTCTGCGATGCGGGAAAATTGACTTTGAAACTAATGGGCAAAGCCCAAGTCACCTCCACGGACCTTCACGGACCTCTCTGAGCATTGCACAGAGTCAAGTCACAAGCTGCTCTCTTGGGGTTCTTAGAGCTCTGGAGATGCTTGATGAAACTAGCACAAAGCATTATGCAGCTCTCAAGACTTGTCGTCCTTAGATCCCGTAGTTCATGCCAAATTTACGACTATGCTCCCCAAACAGCTTCACTTTGAGCTAGAGGCGTGCCACAGAACTGGCAGAAGCGGAAATCCATGTGGGCTTTTCCCCCACAGTTGGCGCAGTACCGGACTTGCTCCTGCGAGTCTGGCTCTCCCTTGGAGCCCATTGGGCCAGGAATTCCAACATACCCCTGGTTCTTGGACTGAGGTGACGATGGTGATGAGACTTCCTTTTTCTGGAGCTGCCGGGCAGCCATATCGATCAAGCTGCCCTGGTTTCGGCGTCCACCCCGCTTCCGCTCTGGCTTGGTTTTGGGCATAGATGACTCACGGAGAAAGACGGGCCGTGTTTCTGCGGGCCCGCGGTTCACCCTGGCCGTCGAGTAGTGGGAATAGTTGGCCTCGAAACCCTGAAGTGCGGCTGGTACCACCGACACCAGCTTTTCAGAGTTGAACTTCCCCATCTTCTGGCCCTCGTAGGTTCTTCGTGCCAGCCATGCGAAGTCTGGTGAAACAAAGTTAATGAAGGCGTAGCCGCGGTTCGCATGAGTCTCTGGGTCGATCGGGAGATACATGAAGTCGTAGCCTCCAGCAAAGCCTGCCTGGTTGAGCTCCTCTAGCAGCATTGGCTGGCTGTACTTGTTTGGCAGGTTACGAAGCATGACGGTTGTCACGCTCTGCCAATCGGCCGGTATTTGCCCGCTTGAAGGCCCTTTGGCTGCGCTGCCCGCATCTGGAATCCTCAGGTCCTTCACGGGCATGCCTTTTCCACCCATACCTCCACTGTCTTGCAGCCTTGGTGCAGTGGGGAAGCTCAACGAAACACAAGCCACCTGCAAAGCAGGCGCCAGGGCCCGTGAACCCTGACAAGTTTTGCCCCGACCCTTTTGCAGGTGGGGAGCACAGGCTTTTGCATAGGCTGCTGCGAACTGTGGTATCCGTTGTCGCGGCTGGCATTGTAGACCTACCCGAGGCACATGACTTGCGAGACTTTGTCTGCAACCTGCTGGCTAGTCCAGTGCACTTGTGTGACTGCAGCCTCCAAGCAAACACCATCCCGGCGCCGATCATTTCAAACCCTCAAAACTCGATGCAATGTGAAGCCCAAACAATGGGTTGGTCTTGCGCGGCTGCGGGACTTCACTTCTAAGGAAGAACAGGGCCTGGAGCCTACCGACAAGGTGCCGTGCCTCAGGCATTCGCAGAGGCATCTCGTTTCCGGGTCCCATGCCGGGTACCTTGGAGCATTCAAGTTGTCGCATCCCTTCATGTCTCCCAAGAAAGCTTGACACATTTTTGCTGCCAAGGCACGAATGTGTATTGGAGAGGCAGGCCTTGTGGCAGGCCCCCATGAGGCCCATTTGGACCCCCCATCATGCCCACAGGCACTGCAGGCATCACCACGTTGCCCGCAAAGGGAGCGGTCATTGCCTTGGTTCCCATAGCGGTTTACTGAGAGACGCTTAACTTGTAGGACAACTCGTCTCAACTTGTACCTACTCCTAACGACAGTCGAACACGCCGATACTCTCGAAGCTGGACTCTTAGGGCATATCGACCATGGTATGTCCTGCCCGAACCATCGATTATCCTGAATCTGAGCTAGGGACTAAGAATCAAAGTTGCAGCCCCAAGTCCGGGTGTGTGCGTGTGTGCGTGTGTGTGTGTGTGTGTGTGTGTGTGTGTGTGTGTACCATGTCATTGCACACACTTCGGGGGCATTGGCAGAGGCTCGACACTTGCCGCCTGGCGGCCCCCATCTCTAGTGGCATCGCTCCCGGAGGGAAGAAGGGCATCGCTGACCATTGGCCTCAGAGTCTCCAAATGTCAGCATCTTCGGTTAGTGGCGTGAGAATTCAATGAGGTCAAGCCCTTGGACGGGGCGGCTGCCCGCGTAAGGGATCAGACAATACAACGAGGTGTTTGGTGTAAATGCTCTTGGAGATGCTCCCAATTTGCATGTTCGAAAATTGGCGAAATCTCGGGCACTGGGCCTTCTCGGTTTGTGCACACTTAGCCCTTGTTCGGGTGGGGCTTGAAGTGACACTTAATTTCCACGGATGCCTTTTGCTCGCACAGCGACATGTCTCTACTAACAGTTGCTTGAACAAAGGACCAGTAAGAAACCCATTGCTGCCAGCATCCGAGTTTATTTTACTTGCTGGCAAGTGCTGACAAGCAGCCAGAGCTCTGTGGGTTCGGGCTTTCATCGTCTCCAGTAAGCAACCGTGGTTGCTCTGGAGGACGCAGACGTGGTTGCGGTGTTGGAGCGGAGACCAGATCCTGGCTCAGCGCTACTCACTGCTCTGCTTCGCGTCTCTATGCCTGTACTTGCGTTCCGTTAGAGGGTGCTTGATGTGCTTGCACAGAAAGGGGCATCCATGCAGTCTGGATTCCCATGAAAAGTGACAATTACAGAAAACCGACCAAGAGTATCAAAGCTCAGCACAGGGATGCACTTGGGAATGACTAAAAGCACAAGTGGGCCTGCTCAGCTGTCGGGAAGCTTCCAATCTGCGCTTGAGCGAGCGCCTTGACCTGCTGAGCCTTTTGGATCTGCTGCTGGGCCTGCTGGATCTGCTGCGCTTGCTGCTGCACCTGCTGGATCTGCTGTGCCTGCTCTTGCAGCACCGAAAGCTGCCGAGTAAGCGCTGATGCCGGTTCCGACACCTGTCTCCGAGAAATATGAGCACCAAACTCAAGGTCGTCTATGGAGTCGAAGTCCAGGAATGTGTTCTTCACCTGCATCTGCGCAGCCATGGCTGCAAGCGCATTGGAATCCATTGATCGTCACTCCTTTCGGCGCACAAGTTCGACTGACTGTCTATGCTACCAATGCTGTGAGCGGTCGCGGCGTCAATGGAGACTCACTTGCAGCGATGTCGGGCAAAACGCAGAATTAATGCCACAAAATCATGAAGCTACAGGCGACCGAAGTCATATGCCTCTTTTTGGAGGCCTTCAGAGGCAAACCTCTACTAAGGTGCAACTCAGGCCGAGTGGAGCTCTATGTCATGAATGCGGATGCTGAGCTCTGAGCCAGGCGTTTCTCCATAAACTTCCGCAGATCAGCACCGGAGCCGGTCTGGTGTGCAGGAAGTTGCTACTTGTAGAATGCCATAATCCGAGAAAGCATCCAGAGTCTCCGCGGACTCACACCTTTTGAACCTCCTGGAACTCTTGTACTCCCTAAAGCCGGGTCCAGATGAGGGCTGTTCTATAGGAATGCGCCCACCCGCACCGAGGTGTCGCCTTTGACATCTTCAAGAAGTTGGTCTTCTGCGCCTCCTGGTCGTCTGCTTAACAGCCAAGAACGCTGGCCACATAAATTCCCAAAACACTTTTCATAAAGCAAAAAGCACTTGAGAAGAGCACAAAATGACGACAAAATGACAAAATGGGCCCCGCGGGCGCCTTGTCTTCTGAATGCCGGCGGCGTGGCTTGAGCCCAAAGATGGCAGCGAGCACAGCTTGCATTTCCGATTTCCTATTGCACACTGATCTCCACTGCAATGTCGTCATATTGAACATCTTGAAAAAGCGGTGGGAGCATCTTCTATTAGAGGCGGTTCCCTATATGGGCCTGAACCGGGACTGAACTCCTGTGCTACCGTGATATACCGTGATGGTGCTCCGATGCCCTTCGTGCCTCAGACTCCCAGCCAGTGAACCGAACATCAGCTTCCAGTCGGCGCTTCCTCGTCGCTTCCGCGGCCTTCATTGCGTCATGCAGTCATGCAGTGATAAACCCAGCGAGGTTCACCGAACCCTTTAGAGTTGCAGCAAGTTGAAATCGACTCAAGTATGTTACAGTATGTTACCGCACTTTCGCTGAGCTCAAGCAGTCCAACATCGCTATGCAACCCCTACCGATCGCGCACTGGTAAGACCGGATCACCCACGTGCACGTGGAATTCACGCACCGACACGGTGGAGTTGCGCACAGAGGATTCGCACGCTGACGCCGTCGATTCACGCATGCTTGACACCCTTGGTCAACCCTAAACACCGTCAAGCCTAAACCCGCTAAGCCAAAAGTCGAGATGACCCTGAAAACCCTAGGAGCCCTAAACCCTAAAGCCGTTTGGCCCACCAAACAACATTCAACAATAAAAGCACTAAGCCATTCACGCCCTCAGCCCAGAAAAGCCCGCAGATTGCAGTGCCTGGGGGGGGGGGGGGTAGGGGGTGCAGAACCCAAGCCCAAAAGCCCTAAGCCCATAAAACATAAAAATGCCAAGCGCTGACCACAAAACCTGAAGCCTATCGACCCCCAGCCTAAGAACCAACAAAGACGCGAAGCCTCGGCCATAAACGACGAACATGCTTCAAACACTGAACCCTAAACACCCCCCCCCACATACAAATTTAACAACAAACAACAAAAACAATCTCGGCCCTCAAAAACATATTCGTGTGCAAAACCCCTAAACCCACAAGCTAAAGAACCTTTAATTAAACCCTAAGAGCCCTTCACCCAAGAGCCTTTATCTCGCAAGTCCTTAAACCCTCAACACCCCTTAAGCCATAAACACCCTCGGCCCTGCAAAGCCCCAGCCCTCAAAGTCGAGAGATTACCGGTAGAGGGGACAAAAGCGCCAGTTTCCTGACTCGAGATTCGTGCTTGAATCGACAGTAACCAGGATTTGTGCTCGAATCACGAATGCTTGAAACACCAGTGCTCGAATCGCGAGTGCTTGAACTAGGATCGCCAGTGCTTGAACCGCCCCAGCACTTGATTCGCCAGTGCTTGAACCGTGTCTGCTTGAACCCTGCATGCATGAACCGCAAGTGCAGGATTCGCGGTGCTTCGGACTCTTACGGTCAAGGCGGAGGACCCTGAACACGGGAATCGCCGTGCTGATGAAGAGTGTCTTGGGCTCTCGTCCGATCAATCCTCTCTCTAGCCAGCGTGCCACGCCTTTGGCACAATGTCTCCATCACGAAGCGCCTGGCACACGGCTTAGGATCATTGGATTACATTGGACTGTCTTGTGCCGCTCTGAATCTTATGAGCAGCATCACCGGCCAAAAGCTTGGCAGAGTCGCTGCTTTGAGTACTCCTTGCAAGCCATTGCCTGGAACCGTCGCAGGGAAGTCACGCAACTGATCTCATCGTGTGACGATGCAAGTTTGGGTTCGCATGGGTCTGATTTCCACGACGAGCTGCTGGTGGCAAACTTCTGGATGATGCTGGCATTCAGCATGCCCGGCCCCACCTCGGTGCAGGCTTGCAATTGACAAGCTCTGCGTGGCCTAGCAATACAGGGCCCAGTGTACGCCAACAGGCTAGGCTGCGTGACACCTCTCCGAACACAGCACCTTGCTTGCCAGTTGTTGTACGCCGGCAAGGTCAAGCAGATGAGATGTCAGACTCAAGGTCATTCCAGCACGTGCAAGGTTGACTCGGGCCCTTCGCAACACAAAAGATAAAGACACCTCATGGGCTGCTCATTGATTAGCGCCACGTTCAGAGTACTTTCCCTGAGCCCTCTTCAGCCTCACTTGCATTCTCTCCTGCCGGCAAGCAGGCTCTGTAGAGCCGCTTGCCCTTCAGCACATTCACCTGTCAAAAATGCAAAAGATACGTTCGGCACATTGCTGGCACCACAATGAGGTACCACAAACTGTATGGATACATTGTGGAAGGAGGGTATGTCGGCAACAGCTTTGCAATGAAGATGTGTTCAGAGGACCTACACATACCTACACCTTCCTTTCAGTAACCTGGCATGCAATCATTCCAGGCCCCAGTGCCGGAAGCAAGCTCGAAGCAATCTCATCGGATGCTCATTCGTATAGCAAGCTCCGTCTGTACATCCTGGGATCAGCTGCGATGAATTCCAAGTATCGGCATGCCGACGAATTCTGTCCTGCCTTAGACCGTCACAATCAGCGCTCAGAATGTTTACCCTTCCTGTTGCAATCATGTACATGAGGACCCGTGAAAAGAAGGGCAATGATGTTGTTAGACCAGTGAATCGCATTGGAACGAACGTCACGTGGCCCCCGTGCCATCGTTTAGAGACCATGCGCATTCTTCGCACCCATTTAGCCCCCTCCCCCCTGGCAATTACTTTCTAGGAAGTAATGCGCACATAACATACGAGCTAGAACCACTTCAAGCAAAAGTTACCTTGCCATGTAGCTGCTGCATTCTTGGTCTGATACCTCGAATCAAACTGTTTACAGCAACTCTTGGGCTCTGCAAACGTCCGAAGCCAAGAAGCGGTATCAGCGCGCAGGGACACTTGTTGGAGCGCTGCGAGCCACGTTCACCGCCAGAAGCTCCCGCGCGCGCGGGCGACACTCCTTGTGAATGAAGAAGTGTCCGCTTGCTGAAGGGTTTCGTGTTGCACAGAGGTGCATACACAAGCATTTCGACATCATTCCAACAAGTACCTGGAGGTGTTACTAGTTGGGGGGCGCCACGCAAAAGTTCTGAACTTGTTGAATCGACTTCTGATGGCATCGAGGAACTACAAAACTTACAAAAGCAGCTCTTACCGGGGCAGCTCCTTTTTCACCAGCCCTTCACAACTTTATCATGTGTCGGAATAAAACCTGAATGTGACACAAGACCACGGGCTAGAAACACACAAGGCAGGTTCTTGTAGTGCAAGCAAGTTGCCTGCACCTTTGCCGGAGCCTGGAGAAGCCTCATCAGCAAATCAATCTGGTCGACCAACGGCGGAAAGCCATAACAAGTGTGCATCGGCTTGCCCAAACATCTGTACTTTTAACGTCATAGTAAGACGATGAAGGGTTCAAGGGCCAAGGATGTTGTTCGCACTTCTGCATTCTGCTGTGCCGGCAAGCAGCGGTAGCAAGCCATCAATTGTCAGCATTTGCTGACCTGCGACTTCCTGGACACCGAATCCAGCGCGACAATCCCTGCTAGTCTTGGCACATCTGGGTAAGATGTCGTGTGGTGTGACAGCTGTGATATTTCGACCACCACAGGCCACAGGGAACATGCAACACCATGCAACAGCGCGCCTCGGGCACACGCAGCTTGACAGGCAGCCCTGCACGCTTAGCCCGGGCTAGGATCTCATGCCTGGACCCGGCACTTGGACGCCTGCATCATAGCCATAGCAGGGCACTCGGGGCACATCAGATTCACTGCTGGCTTCACATTCGCACAACAGCCATAACATGTTGAGCAGACCATGCCAGGCCTCCCAGCGCGAGTCGCATCTGCACCTCCACTTGGGACAGGAAGGCCTGACAAAGGTAGTGGAAATGCTCTCCCCTCCTTGCGAAGCCTTTCTCACTGTCTTGACCATCAGCCAGCGAGATGCCACAGGCAAGTATCTGCATCCAGCGTGTCCTGGAGGAGCACGCAGAAGTCCAGCCGTCGGTGCAGCGGTTGAAAGGAGCGGTTGTCCTGTGACGGACGAAATCTCACGCAGGTCTGTTCTCACAAGAACCGTGCGTGACTATGCTCCTTCACATCCTTCACCAACAAGTGGCTTCCGCGTTCCTGGTAAGATCTGGAAAAAGGCTTCAAAACACATCTGTCTGAACAGCAGCAGAATCGAGCCTTCTCCTGGCTGCCACGAAGGCGGTGCAGTGGGCGATGCGCAAGCCTTCAAGGCACCGGCCCAGGAAGAATTCTGACAACAAGAAAACATACTCCAATCGCAGGACTTTGCATTTCAAAGAGCCTCCGTTGGCAACAGCGGTCGTTGCGTTGGCGGGGGCGGTGGTCGTCTGCCAGAAATTCCATACACGGACACACACAGAGACTCTATGCCAAATGAAGGGACACGAGTAGGCGAATAATCTCATTGGAAGGGCTACAAGGCACTTGCCTCTCTCAACTGCAAGGCATTGCGGTTCACATCACGAGTGAGCGTGAGTGAGCGCACCGACTGCTAAAAAACCTTTCTGGCGTTGATCAGACTTCAGAGGCAACTTAAGACTCAGACAACATCCAGACGCTCTCGTGTGCCAGCAGGCGTGGCACCGGTGGACACCCCGTGCCCGGCTGCGGATCAAGACCTCTTCGATGTGGAAGCCGTGTGGACGTTAGGTTTTGGCTTGCCTCCTCCACCAAATCATGCTGTGCACCTTCTGATACAATGAGGGGAAGGGGGGATCATTTCGCTGGCCGTCCTTCTGCAGTGAATTTGTGCCACTGCACAAGACTGGCAATGAAAAACATGCAAGCAATCAAGCGAGGGAGCGATCGAGCGAGCGAGCCTGCAAGCACCCTCCGTGCACGCACCAGGCAAGCATGCCAATCCCAAACACGAACTTTCAGTGAACCGTTCAAGCCCAAGACCCTCCTTTGTCCAACCCCGCTGCCTCCCACTTGACATATCAGTAGTTCGTGAAGCTCCAAGATCTGCACTTCCCAACTGCAAAAAACAAAAGACGTAAGCCTAACATGCTCTACCCAACTAGGCTACAGGTGCTAGGTTACGGCGCTAAACCCCAAAATCGTTTGCATCTAACCTAAGATTGAGCAGAGACGGCTCGCCTCCTGCACGCTTTGTGCGCCAGGGCGACCTGCACAAGCGCGGATAGAAAGTCCCGCAAGACCATGGCTCACTCGACTGCCTCCATTTCAGAGCCGCTGGAGCAACTCGTCTCTGCATCCACCTCCTGCACAGCTTATAGGTCATTCTAGACAGTACATCGTGCTTGCATTGTAGGCAGATCCACGGCACCGCGTTACGTGGCACATGCGGGCTCAAGAAACCTCACCCAAGGTTGCGCTCCAAATAGCAGAACAACTGTCAACTTATTGTGGAATCTCCTCGTGCCGCTTTGGCTTCTGCACCATGTCTTTGAAGTTGCCTGCTGGAGTCGACCTCGAAAACACCAGCCCGTTCATTCAAGCACTTCCTGATGAGGGTCTGCGAGTCTGCAGAAGTTCACACAATCAGGAACAAAGCACAAAGCAAGGCCGGTCGCGATCTGTCTGTGGCTTTCTCACCAATCTGGGCACCCCGGCGCAAGCAAACTCGGCAGCAGTGTGTGTTTCATCTCTCTCGGATGGAGTGCAACACTGAGCAGCTTAGGACGCCTTGTTTGAGACCTGTCTTGGCTGCGTTGCGGCAGTTGCGCACAACTCGCATGTTGCACGTAAGCGTCAGATTGTCAGATGCTCCAACACTCGAACATGGCAGGCGTGTCTTCACATCATCTCACAAACATGACGACACCCCCTGTGTTGCGCATAGCAGAAAGCTTGAACACATCGCACATGTCGTTAAGGTGACGGCAGATACGACTGGACAGTAGCCGATTCTGGCCAACCTGACTTTCTACAGACTTTGTGCAAAACATGGCACATGCTCACCGAGGCCAACAGGGCCCCTGACTCAGTTACTGATCATGTTTCTCGCTGTCTCTTGCGAAGGAGAAATATTGGACCCAAGAAACCCCTCGCTAGGTTCAGCGGCCTTTCGGCCACTGCCTTTAATGAGCACACCCTTGCGATGTGCTGAAGATTCGAAACCCAGGAACTGTCCTGACTACTCGAAAGACCTGACTACCTAAACGACTAGACAGCAAAGTCAGCCGAATCCGGCCTGATCGCCAAGTTGGGGCCATCTCCCAAGACCAAGGCTCCACCCAAGGCGCCACCTTCCTGGTTGCTCCACTGACACTGCTATACAAACAGAATTTAAGAAAACAAACCACTTGGCGACTTGGCAAACGCGATCGCTCAGGCCTCTTGCCAACAGGCGTCCTTCTCAGATCGTCACCACTCCCCAAACGTTTGTTTGCCCTGACCCCTCGGAACAATGAACCGCTGCAGCCTCCAGACTCTTTTTTGCAATAAAGATCTGGCATACTTCCTTTCTAGCAGCCCTGACAGGATGGACTTGCTTGTGTGCTTGACAAACTCTCTCTCCAAGATGTATAGTCAAGAGCTCTCAGTCTGGGAGTGGTCAATCGGCCCTAGCTGGTCCAATGGCCTTCTCCACTTGGGCACGCAAAGTGCCCAAGCCGCCCAGGGCACCGAGGCGGCGCCGCGAAGTGGCAGCGTGGAGGCCGCAACTGAAAACAGGGCGGACGAGAGAGGGGGCGGGGGCAAAAGAGGGCACGAATGGGCTTAGGGGTGAAAGACGGGCTTCTGAGTCTCAGCAGCCTGCAAGCTGGAGGTCGGCCCGGTTGAAGCTTTTCACTTGGCCGGCGAGGAAGTGTAATCTCAGATCGCGCGGAAGACACATCGCATACAAACCGAACAATTGCGAACGAGAATCTGCGATAAAAGCGACGGGTTGACACGCTAGGGCTCCCCAGGGAGGGGGGGGAGCGACCATGATCCCCACTGTGTGTACTGTAAGTCAACATCTTGCTGCCAAGCGACCCAAACAGCATCGTCATCGTGGTGTGCCTTCCAGGATTCGGCATATCCCGCTCATCGAGCCAGCATTTGCGCGATAACTTGTTTAGGGCGGTTGCCAGGACACTGCTGCAGAAAGCAGCGGGGGTGCATGATGTATAGCCCACATGAGACTCTCATGCTTTCTCGAAGGAAGCCAGAATGAGTATCAACTGTCAGGTTTTCTTCGGGGGGGGTTAGAGTTTGGAGTGGCCACCAATGGGAGATTGGCACCCATTTCAACATATCTCTTAACTCTCCTTCATTGCAACTACCAGGCTTTGATGGGCCCCCCCCCCCCCCAATTCCCAGTCTTTGCTTTGTGAACCGGCCTCCAGTTCCAAGGGCTCAGAGCCAGCCTCGATGGGGCTCCGAAAGCATAAGGCCGCCTGGCGGGATGCAAGACCCCCAAAGGTCATAGGGCTGATAGGGAATAGGCTTTAGGGAGGTTTAAAGGAAGCCTAACAGGTGTGTTTAAACTATCTCAGGAGCATTTTGACCCCCAAGAGCACTGAACACAGGGACTCCAGGACCACTCCAAGGGCCCAACTGCGACAACAAAACCCTCCAGGAGCACGCGATCCCCTACACCGGATGCATGGACGTGAGGCCACGGAAATCTATTAACCTGGGATTTACCGTTCAAAGGGCTCACTGCCTGGGGAACTGTGGGTCTCCAAGTAAAAACTTGACGAGCCTGCCGCCAGTGCTCTCGGAGGGGCTGTTCTGGAGATGTAGAGAGCCGGATGGACCCGAACAGCTCGGCATCAAACCATAGCCTTGGTGCGCACTCGCATAGTTGGGCTGTCTCAGAGCAGCTGTGACAACCGCAGCGGCAAAACAACCCGGAATGGAGAGACCGGCTGGAACGAAACTACGCTCTGCAGTCAACGCAGTCTCGGCCCAGAGATGACGACCCTGTTCCACTCGGATTCTTATCGAGATCGTCCTGGAACATACTGAACAATGCCAGGCGTCGCCACGCCATGCGCCTCGCCGGGCATCCTGAACTCAGAGCTCTGACGGGAACATGATGTTCGTATGGCATTCGTATGGTACATGTATGTACGAGTATTGTGTGCTGAGGCCCCAAAGTCCACGTCCTTTGACCTCACGAAGTAAAAAGTTTGCAGGTGCCGCGCATGTCGTGGTCTTTGCAGCCGAAGCCCCAGAACACAAAACCGTTGGCCAACATCCAGGATTCCGAAATAATTGCTTAAGAACCCCCAAAAAATGAAAAGTAATCTTCCTTATTAAGGGTAGTGTAGGGATTATTATTTTGCATATTTTGGGCTCTTAAGCAGCCGAGCGACAATTGCACCTGCAACGCTCTACGTCGACCACGAGGGGGAAGCGATGTGACAGCGGCAAAATCGAAGTCGAAGACCTCGAAAGTTTGGGGGGCGCACCCCGCTCATATTAAGCTTTGGACAAGATATCTAGGAGTTTCTGAGACGTGTAAGCGGGTAATTTTGGGTGAGCGAGGAACCCCTTTAAGTCCAGGCAGAGAGTTGAGGGTTGAGGATGTTGTGGGTTTGGTACAAGTATTCGTCTAGATGGCCTCCAGCTCCCGGCCCTGTGGACGGTAGCCATACCCAGGATGGCACCATGATACAGCATTGAATACTTTGGTGAGGAGGATACAAGTAATTCGGGCTGGTGCGTTGATGGGGCAAGCGAATCCTGCCTCGAAGGGTTCCGAGACGAACTCTAGAAGACCTGAAGGGGCAGCAGCCCTGGTGCCCCCCGTGGATTTGTGAGGGCTACTCAGCGTGCTCGCACATAGAAACTGATCTGCAACCTGCAGTAGAGATGCAATCTCAGCCCTTCATTTTGCAAGCAGACATGCTCTGCTCCTAAGCCGTCCTGGAAGCTATAGCTTCGTGCCGCGCGAACTCCACCCATCTACACCTAGTCCTACAAGACATGTTCTGGGCGCTTTCTACATCGGCGCTCAGTCATGCTCGACCTTTTGTACATCGGTCGGAAAGCCGTCACGCTGCTGAGCCACGATTCCTGGCACAAGAATCTGTTGCAGACGATCAGGCGATGCACGAGAGGGACTAATGTTGCATCGTGTGTTCGACAATCAAATTTGTACCATAACAGAACTTCAACAACCTGAACCTGCACTCCCGAACAGTGAAAGCATGTGGGTGCCACACTGGTACGGGCTTGCAGAGCTATCACTTCAGCCTGTCCTGGCCAGAGGAAATAACCTCTGGGGTGCATTGTGTGATCTGCATGACCCGGCTTTGGAGGCTTCAAACCTGCAGGCAGCAACACAAACATCTGGCCAACAGGTGCCACAATAGTATATTTTTGTGCTGATGCCCCCCACACCCCGCTTGCCGCATCCTCGTACTACATATGTAATTCAAGTCCGCCGAAGCCTCGGGACGCAGGTGTCCGGGTAGCATAAAGCATAAAGCAGATTCCCCACCTCTACTCCCCTCCCCTTGCCACGTGATGAAGTTCCCTTTATTTGGCACTCTCAATTGCAAGCCTGGCTTGAGGGCGTGCGTTCAGAATGCCGGGGACTCCCTACATTCTGAGCCATATTTGCGGTGCTCTATGTATGAGCCTGGTCTCGACCATTGGCGCCCCTTGTGCGCAATGGAAGAACCAATTTTGTCTGGTTGGTTAAGGTTGTAGTTTCCCGTTAACCCGTCAACGGTTCTGCTACCTTTTTGCCATTAGGACCCCAAAAGGGAAAGGAGGCTTAACACGGCAATGAGCCTCCGGGCAGGCCCGGCCGAGGCGGGTCGCGTAGTGTTGAAGTTAGCTCGTAATGTATGATATGTGTGTATATAACATGTATGTATGTATGTATGTATGTATGTATGTATAATATTTCTATATATATATATACATTTACATTTCTTTATATTTATATTTATATGTATTTCTATTTATATTTATAATTTATTAACCTATGTTTTTATTGATTATGTATTTGTGATTCTTTGTAATATTTACTTATTCATTCACTTGAGTTTCTATATATGTATATGTATGTGTGTGTGTGTGCATGTAGGTATGTATGTATGAATGCATGTCCTCTCGTACATGCAATGACGATGCTGACAGTGTGTAAAAGTGTAAATACCAATACAAACGGCTGGCGCAAGCAAACTACTCTCCTACTAAACGCTTCGGAAACAAGACTTGATCCGAAAACCAGAATCCGGTTGAGAATTCAGTAATCCTACAGATTGAGTTTATTGGTTGGAACTGTTGCGCACTGCTCAGTGTCCAGGCATCAAGTGTTAAGTAGGCTTTATGTTCCGCGTCCCGTGCGTCTCGCGTGGAGTGCGTCTCGCGGCGCAGATGCCAACAATGCAACCAAAGTCCACTCACATAAAATGTCAAAAAGTCCTACCCCGCTCATTGAAAGAGCATCTAGCCGAGCCGAGCCTTCTCGTAAAGACTCGTCATTCATGTGGGTGTCGATCTGCCAGTACAGCGGCACACTCACCTGAGCTACGGCCACAGGCTCCAGCCAATCTTTCTGGACAAAGCCTTTTTGTTGTAGCATTTCAGCCTGAATACGACCGGAACGCGTCTCCGTTTGTGTCCGACGAAGGACCACTCACATCTAGCTGTGCCTGCAACTGAGGCTTGGACTTCTAAGCACGCCTTGGCCCCAGCATCGTTGATCACATAGGCTGTGGTCTCCTTAGCAACAGGAATTCAAAATCAACATCGATCTATAAGGAGTCGAACAACGACCGTCCCCACAAATTCTGCGCTGCCCTCATCTGCCCTCTCATCGTGGCCTTCTTTTTGATTTTTTGCTCGGGTCCCTTGTTCCTTACTGCATCTCAATGACTGCCTCAGCTTGTACAATGCCTGGTGAATCTGGTTGGTGGACACAATACTGCATGATGGTAGCCTGTTGGAGCACCTTCTCCAAGGTTCCTTTTCTGCTCTCCTCTCCTCTCAGTGTTTATAGAGGCATCTGTGAACCCATACATCGGTACTCCCGGGAGGCTGCTGTGTCCCGGAATTAGCTCCTCTGCCTTGTGCAAGCCGGCGGCACGAAAGCCCTTGTAGAGCCGCCGGACGCCCTGGCCAACCTCGTACAAGTGCTGCCTGCACTGGCACTGGCACAGTCTTGGACACTTCGGGGCTTCGCTCTGTTGCGTGGCGAGATATGTGTCGGCCTTCGGAGCAGATCCTGCCCACCAAGGTAGACGATCTCCCAATCCTTCAGGCAATGCTCAACGGCAAGGTCGGGAAAGGTTCGGCGGCTGTCGAGGCCTGCGGCACGTGAGATAGCCGCTCCAGAAGCACTTCCTCTGAGAAGCCCTGCGCAAACTCGCAGTCGTCCTGGCGCGCTCCGTTCCGCAACTCAGCGAGATGTATGAATCGCCACTCAGGCTGTCCTCTATAACCAAGAAAGGTGCCCGTGGATCCACGCCATCTGCAGGCAGATACGGAAAAACAAAGGATGTCGAAACTTTCATCTGCAGCAGCAAGCAAGCGGCTTCGGCCAACCACATGCACGTGCTGCATATGTGTCTCCAAGAACACTCTTGAGGACGAAGCCTTCAGCACACTTCTGGATGATGTCCCTCCAGATAAGCCTGAAGATGTCTTGCATCATTAGCAGCATGCCCGGGAGACGCACAAGCGAAACATGCACATTCCTGCCAAGCAGCATGTGGGACAGGGCGCAACCAATCCCTCCCGCAGTGAGATCAGTGCCAAATAGCTTCCTCGGTCTGAAAGAAGCAGTGCGAATGCTACTGGCTGCTATTGCTTCATAATCTGACGCTGACATCCCAGATCCCCAGGTCGCCGTCACAAAGAACCGCCAGCCATTGGAGGAGTTGAGCCAGCTTTGCAGCCAGGGCGCTGCTCATCGGGGAGGTAGTAGCGGGGAAGCGCCTCCATTGCAATCACGCCATTCCTGGTTCAAGACACGAGCTCAGCAGAGAAGGCTTGAATAAAAATGCTTGTCGAAGAATCCTTGCACCTCCAGGGCTAATGTTGCATGCGGCAGCCCATGACAACAACAACAACAACAACAACAACAACAACAACAACAACAACAACAACAACAACAACAACAACAACAACAACAACAACAACAACAACAACAACAACAACAACAACGTGAAGCACCCGATGCATTTTATTGTTTGGTAGGTGCTTCTGAGAACGGCTTTGCGGTGCACGCATATTTCCTGTGTTCTTGCCATTGTTAGTGCATGTTGGTACCATCATTTTACTGTTTGGCCAGAAGGCTATGAAGGTCTTCTTCAACTTACAGCTTGGGAGGAAACTCAAGAAAACCTATGACTGGATGGTCGATAGTCGACGGTCGTTCTCCTGCTTAAGAGGAGGGCTGAACATACGATAACATACGCACCTTCAACAGCTTTGATGCTCAGCATGTATGGGGACATACCGGAGAAGGTAAACTTCTCTATCGAAATGCGCAGAGGCACGCTTGAAAGATCCAAGCAAGCCTCTGTGAAAGGGAACCTTGCCATCACAAGGCCTCATTCCGCGCTTCCCTTAAGATCTCTACACCCTGAGATGAAAACTTGCATCACGGGCTCATGGCGAGCTCCGGGACGTCTAAGTCACGGCCATTGACCGCACTAAAGCCTCACAGCATTTGTGAGATTCTTTCACGAAACGTTTGTTACATGAACAATTGGCGAGCAATCTCCGAAACACACGTGATTTGGGTGCAACGACTGAGGGACGGGAGCTGCTTTAGCTGCTTTAGCCTGGAGCTAGGGGCATAGCAATATGATACAAACATATTTGCAACAAATATATTATCGTTACAGAATCATAAAGAAACTGCAAGTCTCCCTAAAACATGTCACGTCAGGACAATTAATACTCATAATACACTCAGACAAAAAACAGTAAATACCATTGAACATAACAGTATTGAAACAATAATATAAAAACGGCATATGTGGATACACCAATATACTGAGTCAATGATGTTCAAAACAGAAAAAGAACAATAACAATAACAAAACAATAACGAAATATTACCATAATATACTAACTATTTCAAGAAAATAAGAATATAATGATATGATAATATACATATACACGGAAATATGGTGAATTTTCAATACAAGAATACCATAACAGCTGGCCCGCTGGGCATCTTCTCATCAAAACTACATGTCAATGAGATGATGGTGGATGACAGGAATACAGCGAACTAAAGTGGATTCGTCTTGCGCTCTGGCAGCAACAGCGCATACTTGCACACACGCACGTGTTGGAACATGGTCCTGGGCTGAGGTGCCATTTTGGGGGTTCATGGAAATGAGGGACCCCTGTTTACGACAAGGACCCCAGTAATAAGGTACCCCGAATTTGGGAAACACCCATTTAGAACAGAGAACACAAGGCAGCGTGGCTGCCAAGAGACGCTCAACCGGCATCCGAAGCTTCTGAAACTGCTTCTGCATGAATTCCCAGCGCTCGGGACGATGGTCCAAGTTCCTTGAAGACGACTGCATGAGGGCACAAACCGATACAAAACCTCAGGAACTGATTCCTGACACCATGCCAAGCTTCATGCAGTAAATGTGTGCCAGGCTTTGCCATCCAATGGCTTCGCTTGGCCGCACGGCCGTGGCAGCGGAGGACAGGGCGGCGAGGCCACCCAGCCGGCTCCTCGCAAACTTCGAAGGGTCTCGCATCCCATTGCTCTCAGCTTTCTGCTCGGAGCCGGACAGAAGTCCCACAAGGATAGCCAAGGCGAAGGCCAGCTACAAAAACTGCCCCTCTCCTGGCTTTCCGCCGGTGCACCGTGTTCGCAGTGCTCACCAGCCGTCGCAGTGTGCAGGCATGCTTTGGGTGATGGCCTTGAGCATATGCTGTGTGAATGTGCATCCATTAGAACTCAACATGAAGAGTAGGCTCAAACTTTTCAAAGAGTGCGATTTCAGCACAATTGCGCCAAGGTGCGAGCAAAGAGCGCGCCACCTTATGTCGAAATACAGAAAGATAGGCCGTGTTGTGAGCAGCAACACGGTATGACACGCCTTGCGCATGATCCTCTGCTGTTAAGGGACCCAGGCAGCCTACGAGCGCTGCCGTTCGGTGGCTCAGCGGCGATGCCAGCCTGCCTCAGCGTAAAAGCTCTTTTCGTCGCAACACGGCGCCTACTTGAGAACCGGGAACCCGAACGAGCCCGCGCAAATCTGAATGTCGAGATGGATGGAGATGCAAGGCGTTGCAAATCGAGAAGACAGATGGCAGCACGTTTCTGAACGAAGTCTGAAGCAGAAGGACGCAACCAGGCCCAACCCACGACAAGTGAGACAAGCGATTGAATGTATTTTTGCGCCAAGATTAGCCAGAATTACTTGCATGCAACTGCATCTTTGAACCACCAAGTCATGTGTGATGGTGACCAACCTAAAAAACGCCCGCTGAGTTGAGGTCACGTTGCTTGCTGTTGATCCGGGTTTCGGTCACGGCTGCCTATTTCCCGACACTGAATCGTTTCTCATCTTTCCCACTGATGCCTGCCATGCCACTCGCACGATGCATGTCAGCTCGGGCAGCAGGATTTGCCGGTGGCGGTGGCCACACCTTGACGAGCAGCTGCAAGTGGACAACCATTTGCCCTAAACTGAACAACCCTAGAAACCTTCGCTTGAGTTCCAGTAGCAGAAAGCAGCAGTGGATCAAGCCGACCACTCGAAGCCAGCATCTCAGCTGGGAGGGGTGTCTATCTTGCGGCTGGGCGCTTCTTTGGATGTCTACCCTATAGGGTTTGCCACCCCTAGCTTTGATAGAACTTGGCGTAGATCTGCAACGCACCGAGACTGCCGGCGGGAAACGTCGCGCTTGTTTTAACAGCCTCAAGATTCTATTGCATAACTAGTGGGGTAAACGCGTCGTCGGCAAAACAAGTTCTCATGCGGCCTTCAGATCGGCTGGAGCCAGAAAGCGCAAGAATCCGGCATTGTGCGATCACATGCGATCATAGTTGCGAGCGAATTGCAATGTCAGGTGCACATGAAGCAGAGATGCCACAGGCGTCCGACCGTCAACCGTCGCTCCGGATGCCTGGCCTGTTTTGAGGAAAGGCCCCAGGTGCACATGCTCAGCTGCATGAAGCCCTTGACACCGGATGACATCCTGCCAAACAAGCGGCATGTGGCCGAAGGCACGAATGGGGTCCCTGAACCTACGTGCACGAAAGTCACGAAAGGAATTGCCAGCTAAGAGGAATGAAGTAACAAGACGCCACCTCACAAAACGAAACTGCCGTGCTGCTCCTCAGGCAAGCGCACGTCGCTCCCAGGACTGTCAAAGGCGCCCCGGTGCCGTGCCTTGGGTGAACGACTTATTGTCAGACGGCCAGACAAAGAAGTCAACCGGAAGAGAGGAGAGTCTAGTGTATGCAGGACACATACACACACTGGCATTACTGCAGCAGGTAGGGAGCCCGCAGCCGTAGCCCAAAATCCTCAACAAAACAAGCCCCTGCGCACAAAGGCCCGCCAACTTGTGCGGGAGCCACCCGCGGGAAAAGCATTTCCAGATTCCAAGGTCAGTCCAGCAGCCCAGAGTGCCCTCGAGCGGAAGACCCGACCGAAGACTTGGGCGCGGCGCGGGATGAGCGTCGTGCCTGCGTGTGTGTTGCTTACAGCATGTTAAAGCATTTTTATGCGCTCGTTTCGCCAGGGAGTGAGGCTCCTTTACTTGCAGGGGAGTTGTTTCTTTAAAAACCTGTGTGAGATGCTGCGTCGACCTCTTTGCGGCGCACCTGGACTGAAGCTTCGTGAAGCTGCGGCATTTCGCAGGGTGGGCAGCACACCTTCACCAATCAGCACCTGAGATTCAAACAATGAAGTCGAAGGCGACCACAAACCCAGCTTCGGGAAGACAACGAAATCTTCTAAATTCTTCTATGGCTTTTCTGAATCCTCCGTCAGAGCGGCCGCATCCAGAAGTTCGGAAACACAGAGATCGAAAGCGACGTCCTTATGTTGATTCGCGATACTCACCCAGCTTACCCCATCAACCTCTTGCAGGGTGCCAGTTCCAGTCGTAGGGTATGCTGCTCAAGGCAATGCAAACTGCCGCCTCCGGCGGAACGGGAGTCAGATGCAGAATAGCAAGATGCAGGCAAAGGGTGCCAACTCCAATAAGTCTCGCCGGGTGTCCTTTGTCTGCGCCTCGCTGTGAAGAAGGTCTGAGGAGTGGCCCTCCCACACTGTGCAACATCGCTCCTTGCTGAGCCGAACCGTGCTACGCAAGTGCAGGGATTACGCTTACCGTTCTGCGATTCTGCAGCTTGGTTGAGAACTTTAAGTGGGGCAATTCTGCAAAACATGCCCTTCATGCCCGCTCACTGACTCTGGTGGGTGATGGTGGGTGCAAGTGTTTTCGGCTCCTCCTCCAGAAGACCCCAGAAGTAGATAGACGAGTGCTTAGTTGAGCACGCTTGAGGAAGGTTGGAACCCCATGTTCGCCTGCAAGTTTCGGCGCCGTTTCTCCTGATGTTCTCACGCGCAGCTTCCGCAAGCGGGGGACACGCTTCGAGCAGCACCACTTGCTCAAAGCATCCTGGGCCAATGCGGGATCATCGCACGTGTTCAGCAGGTTGCAGAGCAAACCTAAGCCTGAAGAAACCAGGAAAACTCAAAATAACTGTGCACCCCTATGTTATCGGCTTGAGGAACACACATGCGAGCCATGCGAGTAGGTACTTTCTGTCTTGCTTTCTTCCACAACGGGCTCCTGCATGGCCTCAAACCTGTAGGAAGCCAAGGCCTCGCGCATCGAAACCCTGAGCTGCTAAGCACCGAAAGGATGAGGATTGAGCTTGGTTCCAATATCCTAAACTGAAAGATGTTCGAAACCTCGAAACATCTCGAAAACACGAAACCCTGTCGTGGCTCCATCCTGAGAGCATCACCGAATCTGAGAGGCTCTCCACGATTCCACGATTCCACGATTCCCACGATTCCCACGATTCCCACGACTCCATCCGCAACGACGTTCTCGAAGTACCGAAATACTGAACCCCAAGTCATCTTTGAGCGCCGGCGACTGCAATTCGACACTGCCGGCATCAGGTGCTTAGTCGAGGCTCCAGTCTGCCAGCAAAGCAAGCCCAGCAAGCCAGAGCCACTTCCTTCAGATACAGCCATTCCCGCATAGGTGGCTCACAAAGGCACTGACACTCAATTCTGAACATTCCTTTTCATATTTCCCGAAACAAGGTTACCATCGACATCTCCTTGTGCTTTGCTCACATAACGACAAAGCCAACATGCCACTTCTAGAATGACAATGGCCATGATCCCCCCGAAATGTCCGGCCTAAGTCCAAGGCCCGAAGAACTTGCGACGGTTTCGTTCTCCTCGCATGCATAGAGACGCGAACATAGTAGCCCTTCCGAAGATCGTACTGACATGTGCGGAGCCAGTATGAGGCTGTTTTTATGTTTTCACACCCACCGAGCCTGAGTTCTTCAGCTGCGCTTCGGACGGCAGCAGCGTAAGCCTAGCCATCACATGCCGCCGATGCATCCGTCGATGCTACTCTGCCATGCCATGCGAGATGCATGTGATTTGCACACTGTCTGCCTCACGCGAGCAGTGTCTTTGTGCAAATGTGCAACTCGATTGCGGTCGTCGTCATACAGCATGTCGAAATGACCGAGGAAACCATCCAAACTCGCCATGGCCGCGCCCCCCCAAGCATTCTTGAACTTGACTATGAGTACAGTACAGAAGCATCCTCTGACCCTGGCACAACATCTGCGAAAGCCTGTGTTACTGTATGCAACAGTAACGTTAAAAAGCAAAACGACGCGAAGAAACACGTCTCTTTGTCCTACCGGCTCCTATTGTCGCAGCTAGGGGACGGGGGGCTCTACTACATCCTGAATCCCTGAACCCTTTGAGGACAACCTGCTCGTTCTTAGCTTCTCGGGTGCTCAGACGGCTTGAAACAGCTAGCTGTCCAGAACCTCGCTTGCGTCAGTGAGGAAGCCGATTCAGCGTATATGAGCCGTTGCCTAGTCGGCAATCAATGCCAAAGCTCTGGGTTCTGTCACACTGTGACTTGCGGAAGCCCGCCCCCTGCCCTCGAGCAACATGTAAGAGGCAGAAATCAAAGCTGAAAGGCTCTGCAAACCTTTTGTCTCACAGCCGGGGAAATCTGGCCAGTATGAAGAGCCGTAATCAACGATTAGCTCGGTACCTGGAAAGTGAATGCAAAACATCTGACATTACTATCAATCATGAAGCCGCGCCATGCACCACCAAAGGACTCCTTAATGATGCATGTGTGCTCTGCAGGCCTGCAGGAACAGGGTGTAGCGTTCGAAAATAAGCGACTCGTCCGAGCTCGCAAATTTCAAGATTCACATCCTGACGAAGCAACTTAGCTATCAATCCTCAGCACATTAGAACTGCAAAGTGTTTATATATGTATATGTACATATATATATATATATATAGCATGCAGTCATATATATATATATATACATGTATATACATGCTCAACTGGACTAAAGACAAACATGCGTTTCTAACGTATATTTGTGCACGAGAAACACAAACTAACGTACGTGCATGGGGCATCAAAGATCTGCCGGACCAAGTCTCGTCACATTGGTCCGTCTGTCGTGCCGCATTCACAAATCTCGCTGGATTGCCCCCTGCAGGAGTCTCGTCATCTCGGACCATATACCGGACTTGGCGGGTTTGAGTGCGGATAAAGCCGGGGCCCTGACAAAGAAGGCGCTCCCCATCCACGCAGAAGCTTGGAAGCCAAGGCTCTCCCTCCAGTTGTCGGCCCATAGGACACCACACCTCTGCCGCGATACCCGCAATCTTGAACGCACCGATAGAAGACTCGTGGACGGTCTAGCAGCATTTCTCAGCACACTTTACAGCATGCCAAGCGTCGAAATTGCCAAGTTCTCGCGAGTATTCCACGCGATCAAGGTCTGCAAAGAGTAGGGAGAGCCCCTGGTAGGGTGGCCTTGACCACCAAGGTCAATTCGATGTGCAAGGGCCAAAATACTTCCTCGAGCGGTGCTTCACTCCAAGGCACAGAAGCGCACCAGCTGGCATGGCTTCGGCAGCAAAGAGGCCTGAAGGCCCAACTGCGACAATTGCACAACGTCCCTGGCACGATGCATCGCACCTTTGAGCTGCAGAACTTTACCAAAGCAGATCAGTGCGATTGAACAGAGATGAGTGGAGCTAGCACGCCCAGGCAGGGAACCAAAAACCCAAACTCTCAGATAGGAGCTGCCCTGATACAAGCCTCGTCCAGCCTCAGGCAGCGTTGAGTTGCGCACAGCCAAGTGGGTCTCATCCTTCGGCGGCTTCGGCGGACTCTTGCTATGTGAAGTTCAGTCAGAATCCCCCAATGTATTGCCCATTCCCAATCAGCTTTTTGAGATGTTCAGCCCCAAGTCCACTGGCCGCCAGGCCGGGAAGTTGCCTTCTCGCCATTTCAGAGTGCTGGAGAGCAGCAATTCACCTCGATCGAACGTCTTTGCGTTGCTCTACCATGTCGCTGGCAGTATCAGCAAGTCGGCAGACTGTCTGGGTCGAGGGCCGCCTCGTTCGAAAGCTTCTCGGGCATCCAACCTGGCAAGGGTCCGGAAAAGCCTTGAAAAGCCAAGCTGTGCTGAGCTGCCGCTGCTAAACTGCCTCCTTGCAACCGAAACACGGCGTGTCGTAGCCCGCTGCCCGGAGCACCGGTAGGCACTCGCAAGTAGCAGGGCAACGGCAGAAATCTTGCAAACAGCAGCTGCAGTCGGGATCCTGGCACATGTGGGTGAGACATGCGGCGCGGATCCTTGAGAGTTCGGAATTTTGCATTCGTAGCTCTGAGCTGGGGGTGGCATTGGATATCAGCAGCATGAGCCCAAATAGTACAGAGACTATTCTGGTGCTCCGCGTCCTCAGCTACTGCACCAGCAAGCCCCACCAGCTGGCGACGTGGCAAGCTGCGAAGTGACAAGCCTGTCATGCCCAACCGGGCCTTGTGTGGCCTACGAGTAGCCTTCATGTGCAACCATGAAGATAAAGCTGTCGTCACGGTGCTATCATACCCCGCAGGCCTCGAGAGAGGCGCCCTGAACCAGCATAGCTGCAGAACCTAGCCGCATCGAGTCGCATCCGACGAACTGTAGCCCACGGTGTGTACTCACTCTGATGATGCGATAATCTGGCTCCACTGCCGGACCCTGGCCGGCTGAATCTGGCCGGAGTAGGCATCGTCTGGGAATGTGGGGATCGAAATCGAGAGCACCCTTCCCTCCCATTCCCTTCCTTACAACTGGGGCCAAAGCCCAAAGCCCATCCCCGTCCCGTCGTGCTGGTCCGTCTGTCCTGAAGGTCCGGCCTCGTTCAGCCCTCACCTCCATAAACCTGGCGCCGGTGCTCGGCCCCCAGCCCGAGCGTCCGGGGCTCGAATCTTTGCCGGAAAGCAGCAAAAACTTGCGATCTGAAAGTCATGGCAATGCAGGCAAGAAGCACGCGCCGGGTCGGACAGAGCCAGTTCCTGGTTGATGCTTCTGCTAGTCACCACGCAGAGGGCTGCATCCCGTCAAGTAGATGAGTTGCGAGTGGAAGAGAAAGCCCGAAAATGGTTTGAAAGATACATACAGATGCAAGATGTAAGCTTTGGGCAGCAGGGTAATGGTCCACAGGTAGTTCGAAGCACGGACCATGGCCAGCCCAACATTCAGGTTGGCTGAGGTGCCTATACGTACCTTCAACTGCCTTCATGTACCGATGTTCCCTGGCTTGTCGCTACTGCTGACGCAGCCCGCGCATCTGCATGACAGAGGTTCGCAAGTCGCAACCCCTTTGAACGAAAAGATCGGCGGCCAACCCCTCGCGCCTTGACCTTGGTGCTGCCTATAGGATCCACTACCTTCCGCTACTGTATCTTCGACTGTGCGGGTTATTCAGTTTAACAGCCATGCTTGACTACACTGGCTGGTGACATTGTTCAGTTGAACAGTTCCACCTGCGCTAAACAGAATTGAGCTGCAAACTAATCGGTTGCCTCGCTCTCGGCAGGACCCCTTAATTCCCCTCCCGGCATTTTCATGTCGAAACCTCTCATCTCCGAGGTTCTGCACACTTTGGACGCGCATGGTCGTTGCGGTCGTTTCTGAGCCTTTTTTATGGAAAACTGCCGACGAAAGGATCTCAATAGTTTCCGAATCGGCTCGTGCAGGCGGGCAGCCGAACCGAAACCTAACAGTACAAGTAGTACCACTGCTCAGTTGATGCTCAACTTAACATATTGTCGTGGCTCGGGAAGCGACCATGCAGTTGCCAGATCGCAACATTACCAGCTTTGAGATGCCCTGCTCGGGCATGGCCCATAGAAGCTGAAGTTCAGATCATGTCGCGGAAGTAACATGGACTCAGTGACTCCACCGCTGGGGTGCCTTCAGTGCCTTCTCTCCCTTCGGCTTCTCAGGTTGGGCTCCCATGTCATGGCCGCTCCGCAGGGTTTGGAGCTGCCAGAGTCTCTGCAGTGAACTCATTTGTGCTTCGTTTAACCTGACTTTGGTGAATGCCGGACGCATGCTAGGGTTACCACAGGCCACTAGCCTAGCGCAACTACCCAGCGGGGTGACAAAATTTCGCGCGAAGCTCACTGGGGTGGCTGGCCACCGGCTGGCTCGGGAAGCACGTGCATCAGCATGCCGAACCTGGTCAATGCTGACATATGCTAACCGTCAGCCACAGGGTGCAACTGGTTGCGTGGCGAGCTGCTTGTAGTCCCCGCGGCTGTAGTCGATCATGCCACTGAATCCAAAGCCACTTATATCCGACACGCTGCAGCTGACTTTGCCTTGGACCGCACGCCAAAAAGCACTTGCAAGAGTTCGCGCAGCATTTTAAATTGGCATGTGTCGGTATTTGGGCTCCCTCTTGTGTCTTCCTGAGTCTCGCGAATTTTCTTCCAATGCTTAGTATATTCTTGCAAGCCCGGGCCCACAGCCATCTGTGTCCACCAGGCCCTGGATCCGGGCGTTCCTTCCAAGGCATTTGGAGTGGCTCTCGCACCATCACAAAGATGAGGCGGTGTTTGATTTTCGGTTGGAATCTCTGTGTGGCCTGAAGAGGTACTCGTAAGCCATCGACAGGCCCGACTCCTGGACTGTCAGAACTGCGTCGAAAGGTGGTGGGCAGCATCCTTTCCACGGAACGCATAACGCCTTAACAAGGCTGTCCTTGTCGGGATAAGTAAACTTGTATTCCGTGCCGAGGCTGAGCCTCTCGGTGACCTTTCGCACCTCAGTGAAGGATGCTTCGTCTGGCTTTGCTGCATATGCAGCAATATCCTCAGGTGCGCACATACTGCATTCGCAACTCGTGCATGTTGCTGGCTGATCCTGGCGGTGCACGTCTGGAAGGGCAACTTTGCATATGATGATATGCGATGTGGCTCGAGATGATAGGAGCGGTAGCAGTACAGGCCACGCACTCCCGGAAATGATGCGCCCTTCTTGGATTTAGAAGCCTACAGGCCCCATAGCCAACTATTGTGTGTTTGGGTATCCGACAGTCTCTGCCTCTCGAATTCCTCTGGCCTGGTAGTCGCGGATCCGGCGTGCGATTCAAACTGGCGCTGAACACATGCTTGCCCTCGTTGAAGCGCATTCCTACCTTCAGCGGATTTCACTGCAAGGAACAAGCTACTGAGTCTAGAGTCCCTGCACCATCAGGAGTGCTGGAAAGCATGTCGACCTACACGTTCTTTTGACATCCTACCTGTGATGTTTGTAGCGTGTGCCCTGCCTGGCCAATGGAAGTCACACCGTTGACGCCGACCTCCGGTTCCCAAGTTCGAAAATTACTAGTAGCACGGTGACACGCAGTTGAAGCTGACCTGAAAGTAGCCGCTTTAAAACATTCCTTCTGAAAGGTCTGCCAGACATCATGACATCTGAGCACGCAGCAAGAGTCAAGTCCCCTCCAAGCTGTAGCTGCGGCATGATCTTTTGCACAAAGGAGCCTGCCGTGTACTCCCACGTGCTAAAATTGCCCAAGAGCCTCCGTGGTCTCACGCCTCCGGCGAGCCAGGCGCCCTGCCATGCGACCTTGGCGCAGAACGCGCGCTCGGGCCCGGAGTACTCGACGGTGCCCTCCTCAGTCATGTGAGGTTTGTGGAATGATGGTGCATGAGGTGCATGAACCTCTCTTTCTGGAATGGACGTGAATGGACTGAACACGACGAGGACTACGAACATGCCGAATGCACCGAAGGTCACTACCTGAGAACGAGCCTGAACACTAACTCCACAATTGGCCAGCGTGCAGCCTGTTTTCCGAGCTGTACTACCCATCTAGCAGCATGCAGGCCATGAAATACTGCGTCTACCATAGCCTGTTTCCGAGGGAGATTGAAATGCATGACTTTCTTAGTCTTGCCTAAGCTTTCGCACTGAACAATCTATGACAGGTCCAACATAAGCGTGCTCGTTGTGAAAGACCACAAGCGGTTCATTGCTGAGGGCGCAGCATGCATGTTGCGCTGAGCCTCCTGACATGCCATGGAAATCTACGCAAGCAGAACCCTAAACGTCATCACCGTGGTTTGGCAGATGAGTGCGTTGGTGTGGCAGTCCCCAGAGCCCTCCTTCCAAACCCTTTGAACAATGTGGTTAATCCTGACACATCCTGAACATCAACATCGTGACATGCAGGCACTGCCGGGTCATTGCATTGCAGTACAGTACTCGCAGAGTAGCACAGCGAGCCTTCAGGTCAGAGCTGGAGGATCCCTTCAGTTCCCAGCAGCTGCCGAACTGGCCGTGAGCAGAGACATGCAGAAAGCATGGCAAGACTCACACTGCCGGTACTGCGGACTTCTGCCGTGACGAAGGGAAGGGCCAGCAACAGATCAACTTAATCAAGAACTGCTGCTGTCTTCAGGTTTCGCTGCTGTCTTCGCGAGCGTGCAGACTGGAATCTGAGGCAGTCTTTGAGATCTAATGCACAAGTTTGACCCTGCCAGCTGAACCTTCTGGATGAGCCGTCCATTCACACAGCCGTCCAGCCCTTGGAGTGGCAATGTGAGCCACCCAGAGGTTTTGTTGGCATGCGGCATGGACTCTATGGTCAGTTCTCTCAATTACAGTTCCTGGGGTCCTGGGGTCCCTACGTGCAAGGGAACCCAAAAAACCCAAAAAGAAGCCGCAACGTCAAGAGGCTGAACGACTGGCGAACATTTTCGTCAATACGTAATGTCCTCTTATGACTTATCATGCTGCTGCTGTACAAGGGGCCCTCCTGTGTCATCAATCAACTGCCAAGACGGCTGAAGTGCTGATTGCAGCTCGAGCCGCCTGTCCTGGCGACCAGCATCGTTCGCCCGTCCTGCGAGCAGCATTCAGACAACAGCGGCGACACGATCCCTGCTCCTGGAGGCAAAGCAAGAAAGGGTCGGCCCGCGGCGACGGATGCTCCACGAATTCATAGGTGACGAGACGACGGGAGTGCTGCGTCTGGGTGCTGCTTGGTTGTTGCTGTACCAGCGCATATCTTCCAAGTGACACAAGTCAATCCTTTCGCTAGCTACGAAACAGGTTTAACAAGCTCCTATGGAGTTGTGCATCCCCTGCTAGTTTCGGCAGCATCTCTTCTTATCTCTTCTTAAAGGTGAGGGAATCCGGGTGACCTTCACATGTCTGCTTCCGAAAGTGCTGGTCTGCGACATGGCAGGGTACGTACTTGCCTGAGTGCATGTGGCCATCCCATCCTGTGTTTGAAAGGCTGGGCCGAACTGGTACAGGTAGCCACACCTTGGTGACACTGTGTGCAAAAACACGGCTGCAACTGCTTTGGGCAACCGTCAGGATATTCAAGGCAACAGATAGGAAGATTAGAAAGATGATGCTTGTAGCGCTTGCGGCTCTTGCGCTGTGCATGAGCATGCGAACGATTTGTTGGCAAAGCGTTGCATCGGCGGCTTCCGAGTGCACTGAGGGTACAGACTCCCGCAAGCGGGTTCCTAGGAAAAGCGAGTGGGTGGCCTGGCGCGGATGAGATCTTCACGCGACTCCGACCCGTTGCTCAAGCGGACTGCTAAACAACCCCAGCAGAACCGCAGAAGAATGCCCTGACACACAAGGCAGCAGTTCGGGTCAGTGCAGGTAGAGGGTGTCATGGTGGGCTGGGCATGCATGTTCGGGGCGCCTGTAGGCAGTCGGTTACCTTCTTCTGCGCCTCAATGCGGAAGCCGTCCCAGTTGTCCTCGACGGTTCAAGCGAACCATGTCAACATGCACTTAAACTCCAAGCCGTGCGCACGACACGAACAATGTAACAACACACGGGCCACATCAAAGTAACTATGGAAACATAGTCTGCCACCTCCAGGACCAAGAATTAAAACTGCAGACATCAGCACAGTGTTGTGATGACTTGTGTGGTAGGGACGGTGGAGACTCTCGCTGCTAATCATGGCACAAAGCAGGGATAGGTCTTCAACTAACACTACTACACAGTAGAGTCTCCCGGGGCATTCCTGCAGTCTCCCATCTTACGGGCCTGCATCGAGATGTTTTGCCATTCCCGGTGGATCATCTCGAACTGCACCGCTGGTTCCTGACTGAAAACTCAACTCCTGCAAACCCAAACTCCATACACCCGCTTACCCGACTTACCCCACAAACCTCACAAAGCACACAAACCCCACATGATGCCAAGAAAATCCGAGCGTTGTCACCGTGCCTCTGGGCTCGGTGCCGCCGGTTCGGTGGGCTTGGTCTCCACTGGACTGGCGAGGAAAAGCGAGGCCAAGAGCCCAGAACTGCAGAACTCCCTCGGCATCCGACCCTGAAATACTTTGGAGATGCTTCCAGCCAACCCAACGTAGAAGCGGAGTCGTGTAACGTCATGTGCCTCGAGGGCGGCGCCGCGACCTCCCAGAGATGAAGCGTTTCAAAAGCATTTCGAGATGTCCCAACGAAGCCCAGAAAAGAAGTGCAAGGCTGCACATAGCTGCACCAGCCTCCTCTGCTCGGACGACCCGAGACTGCATTGGGAAGAAAGAGCCTCAGTGCAGGGCAACGTTTTAGCACGTCTGCTTCTGGAGCCCTTAACCTCTCAGATTTAAGAGTCTTGTTGCACACTGCGCGTATCTGAATGGCATTAGGAACAAAGATTTAGTTTTGTTCATTGGGGGTAGCCAGCCAATCCAGACTTATCGCAAATCCACAGCTAACGACCTTGGATGATTGCAGGAAAGCTGCCAAAAACGCGCCCCCATCGTGTAGGTCGAGCATCGGAGCGCCTGCTGCACGCTACTACCGTTGCTACCGAGCACAGCACACATGGCTTCAGGCAAAGTCCAGCCCTTGCTTTTCTCATCCAATCAGAATCAATCAGAATCATTGGAACAAGGGAGGGTAAACGACGGCAGGAACTCTGCCTCTTCTCCATGGCAGGTGGCTCTGAAATCGGCCGCGGGGGCAGATCACACTCCTAACCGTCCTGAAGATCCAAAACGAATTCGGGCAGCGACAGGTGACTGGCCAGTCTTTATGTGTTGGTGTCAAGAGCAGAATGAATCCAGAGCGCGAACGCTCTGATCATTTTGGTAGATCGCTGCACATGCCAGAATGCTGAGCACCAAGAACTTGCTATGAGACAAGCCCGCTTCGCCAACCCATGGGCTGTCCAGGTCTGACAAAACCAGTTCTGAACCGGGTCGTGCGACACGGAGCTCAAGCATCTAAGGCACCGTGGCATTCCTGCCACACGTATAGCGTCACGCCCTAAGGCTAGATTGATCATGTTTGGTGATTGGGTATATTAAGTTGACTTAAGTTGACTTCCCCCCACGCCCTAAGCGAGTGAGACACAGCCGCCGCGGCCAGCTCACTCGGTCAGGCAGGTCTACCACCTCAGCTCGGTGAGTGTTCCTTCCCAAGACCCAAGACGAAGCACGCCAAGCGAAGACAGCTCGAAACGGACACGTGCAAAATGGCAAGATGATCTGTCGAAGCACTTCCCCTTCTTGCCCTTGCCCTTGCCCTTTGGCCCGGGGATGGCCGGTGCCACCGGCACTGGTGGTACCGCAGCCGGCGCCTCGGGGATCAGAAGAGGGGAGAGAAAGGGCCAGAGAGCATCATGACTTGCCAGCACTTGCCCAACGCACGCATTTCTCGCTCCATCCCTCTCGATGTCTGCTACATGGTACACCTCAAGCAATTTCGCTCGGTGAGGCGAGGGTATGTGATAATTGCATCCGGTTTTTGCAAATTAGGGCGCTCATTCAAAACACAGGCAACTTCCTGCCAAAACTAGGAGCAACCGCGCTCCTGCTGATCAAGTCTAGAACAGTATGTTTTGGCCAAGGTGCCACAGGAGCTGGCGCAGGGTTGTGCAGGACAAACCTCCGGCTTCCACACATCAGCCATGCCACAGCGCAATGATGTGCATCGTTCACGGCACAATGTTCCCCATCTCTTGTTCCTCTGCGGCTACGAACAAATCCTTGCAGGCGCCATCATGACATGTGCCAAGGGACTTTAGTCGCGCTGTCTCGTCGCCCGCGTCAATTCTGCGTTGCCTCTCCTTTCGGCTCTCCTGCAAGGGAATGAACGGCTATAATGGGTATTATCATGCCTCCTTGAAAAGCTCAGTACAGATTATGGCATTATGGCCTCTGTGAACTTCACGAGCATGTCGATCGACTCGAGCTCGTCGTCTAAGATCGTGGAGAACATCTTCGAGTCCTGACAGGCGTACCATCTGAGGACTTGCAAGCAGAAATGCAGCAGAAGTGAGTGCCCATTGTCCCATCCTCGCTGACAGCCACGGTGTCCTGATTGCATGACTTGCCGGGCAAACTGGTGCTGAGCAATGCTGGGCCAATGCTGGGAATGCTCAGGTAGGGTACCCACCTTGACCAACTTGACAAAGTCCGCCAGCTCGCTGACACCAAACTGCTTCAAGTTCATCTGCTTCTTGAAGTACTTGCCTAGCGCTTTGCTCAACCGAAGTCTCCACGCAAAAGTGTTCTGAGACTCCAAGAAGTAAGTTCTGTACACAGCCCTTATCAGCTGCCTTGTGCTGCGGTCAAACCATGTGCCATCACCCAACCGGTTCAGTGCAGATAAAGTGCTGTAGTAGAAGCTCAAATGAGCTTCAGGAATCGCAACGCGATCTGGGTCGTTCACGTCCTTGACACCACCACAGACATCAAAGCAGCCACAGCCTCGAGACTTTGCGAAAAGCGCCCGGAAGCCTTCTTGAAGGAATCCTGAAGCAAGTAGAGCTCGTAGCGAAGCTGCAGCAGAGCCCAGTCCTTGCCACGACGTCTAAACTCAATGACTACATACGAGTACTGACTATATGGACTCAGCACGACTCAGCCTTCCGCCTGGACTTACACGGCTTCCGGGGCAGGGGGGGGGGGGGGGGGGGGGGGCAGGGGGGTTCGCGAAAAACACAGGGCCATGTGCGCTGACTCGGCACGTGCAACAAGGAAGTTACATGGAGTCCCAGGTCTGGGGTTACGCACGCCTGGCAAAAGCAATGAACAATGGCTTCGGCTGCTGAAGTGTCCTCAGCCTCGAAGCTGCTATACCTTACATCTCTGCGTCAATGCACTGAAGCATGCTGTGCAACAATCACCTTCACCAGAAGCTGATCTGAGCAAATTCCCTACCATGTACACAACGTGTACAGTCTAGTTTTTGGACAGAGTGCAGAGGCTCGCCACCGCCAATGTCATTCACGTCCTAGGCTGGAACGACATAAACGCTAGCAGATGGACTATATACATCTATATGCTATATACATTCACACCACCAGATAGCAAGCTTTAGCAGCCCAGGTGCAGCTCTCCAGCAACAAATTAGGGATGATGACCACCCAACCACCCCAGGATTTCGCCCTAACAATAGCAGCAACCGTTCCGCCAACACCCAATTTGTTTGAAGGCCGCTTCTACTGTGTAGTTTTCAGCCAGCTGTGTCTTGTTTTTGTTCATGGCAATGGCTGACGCTCCTCCACTGCAGTGATGTCGACGGGGGCAGCATCCTGCATTGAAAACTCACTTCGGATTCGATGGTTCCAACATTGCGCTTGAGCGTCCGCTTGTCTCTATTTTGGCCCTCAACAGTTTTTTGCGAGAGTTTGGGTTTTGGGGGCTAATTAGGGGTCGGAGGAGGGTGGGAGGGGTATACACGAGCACACCATGCATGTGCGTGCCTTGCTCTTCTTCGAACCTGCAGCTTTCCAGGCCTGACACAAAATTTGGGTTGCACTTGAGATTTAGGTGCATGCCAAACGACAGAAGAGCGATCGCCACTCAGAGCAGAAAGCGCCATGAGAATCGTATTTGTACATATGCTCTCAACCTCGACGAACAACCACGCTAAAGACAAAATGAAAAATTGCACGCCGAAATTGTCGCTGATTTTAGGCACGTGTATCGCTTTTAGTCACACATGCAACGGCACAGCGCACAAGCAATTGATTTGACGCGAACCAAGGCACATGGTCGTGAACCCTCGGCACCCAAGCTGAGCAATGCCAAGAGGCGCTAACAATGGTAGCCGTTTAGCTTGAGAAGAAACATGTCTATCAATAGCTAACGTAGAAGGGCATCGTCTCATGGCAAAGTCGCATGCGGCAGGGAAGGGCTGCGATGTGCTTTGATAAATTCAGATACGGGGCTCCTCCTGCCCTGTGCTTTCAGCATGAAACGTCCCAACGTCAAAAAGCTTCAAGCCGCTGCCTTCTGCTTTGCCTGCATCTCCTCACAGGTTTGTGCTTGTGCACTAACTTCTTGCAGCGCAAAGATTTCAAAAGATGTCAATCTCCGCCAACCTCAGGAGGCAGATGTGAGACGAGGCAGGAAAGTGCGAACCTGTTGTTGATACTTTGTGTCGTTGTGAGCAGTTTGAGCCGCGGCGGTCCGTGTAGCTCTTCTGCCACGCTGCAAACTTGTCCCTGAAGTCCTGGGACGGCTGAAGGTCCTGCGCTGGCGAGTTACTCACATAAAAGGGTTTCTCGCAGTTGCTAAGGGACATTTTATGTTGAGGGAATGTAAGGTACTACTAGACTGCATTACTACTCTGCAACGGAGCTACTGGCGAACCCGAGGCACCTCGATACGAGTGGTGAGCTTGGTCTCCAGCACCCACTTGCGCAAGTACTCTTTGCCTCAGTTTGCACATCTCCGCAACTCCGCAAGCATGCGGTGCATGCTTGATCCTGCTTGCTTTGGAGGAGCTCTGCGATTCCTCTTGCCAGACGAACTTGATCTCATCAAAGCCCTCATCCTTCTCTGGAATGGTGAAGTTCGCGAACGCCTGCAAGTCCGGGTCTAGCTCCGTCGTTGCGATGACTGTGATGAGACTTTGGTACACCCAAGCACGTTGCATGACTAGCGATGCACGGAAAAAGCCTTGCCCAAAATGGAGGGAGTCAAGTCTGGGATAACCCCCTTCGGGAGGAAGCTCAACTTCTCCTGTCCAGGCACATGTACGCACCATGTATTAACCTTTTCCCACCCACTGTGGAAAGCACGGCTTCAAAGATTCCCGGATGCTGCAGTCTTGACCCTTCATGATGCATAGCCCTCTCATGCCCTCCTCGTCTTCTGTGAGCTCCGCCTGGCAACTCTGTGAGCAGGAGTCTGGATGCATTGAAAGGGGATGTTCAGACAATTTTAAACCTTCGCTTGTCATGAGGTCAATGGCTAACCACTTCCACTTTGATTGACAACTTGCTGAACTCCGTCGTGCCAGGCCTTCGGCGGCTCATCACCCAAACTAAGTTCACGGCTGAAGCCAAGTCGTGTTATCATGACGCGAACACACCTTTCAAAGTGTGCACTTTTTCTGTAAATCGCTTGACTGCGTTCTACCAAATTCTCGGAGGAGGCCGAGGAGCTCCTCTTCCTCCTCTGGCGCTGGCTCCTCCTCCGCCTGCCACGTCCGGAAAATCTGAAGCTACGGGCTATGAGCGGCTGTGCAGCAAGATTAGGGTGGCAGGGTGCAGGAGGCTTCGAGCCTAGGGCGCAGGAGGTATACTGGCAAAACCCTGCTTGGCCAGGAGAGCGTGAATTCACACGTTTTTTGGTTAAGTGCGATGTTCCCTTTTGCATGAGTCTCGCAATGGCCTGCTTCATCTCTTCATCCGGCTTGGCCGCTGGCTCTTCCGTCGCTTCATCTGCCTTTTTCTCTTCCGTGCCCTCTTCCTTTCCGCGTTACGGAGCAGCACATCAGCACTCGTCTGAACGAAGCAGAAGTCTGCGCATGGACCGCTCAGGATGCTCAAGCGCGTTAAACTTTCAAGTCCTGTGCAGCTTTCTTCACTTCCTCCTCCATCTTCTTCTTGGCATCTTCTGCCTGCGTACTTGAGAAGACTAGCCTGTTAGCCATGCACTCTCACAGCTCACCGTGCTCCAGACTTCGGCAATTTTGGGGCGCAGCTTCTGACAGGGCGCGATGCATCCGAACAACCATAGCCATGCCGGCCTCTTTCTTCTTGGCTTCCAGCTCCTTCTGCCGTTGGATCATCTTCTTCTTCTGTTCTTGCTGCGCCTGACATTCCCCGCATTATCCCGCATCTAGTAACCACACTTGCGCAGTCTCGTGCCTTATGGCATCGTGGGAATGCACAAGACAGCTTCCTCTGCTTAGGTGCGAAGCAAATCGAGAAGGTGCCCCACACTGCAAGACTTAATAGTACTTATAAAGAGAGATCTCTGACAGCACGAGCGCACGGAGCAATCGCCCAGCCACGCCTTCTTGATTCTCCAGGTGGAGTCGGCCTTGTCCTGCTTCAGCTTCAGGATCTTGTTGCGGACTCTCGTCTTGTACTCCTGCATAGCGAGCCCAATCAGGCACCCTTAGTTCCAAGAAGGGAGGCACAGCCGGCACAGCTGTATCAGATAAGTATTCTTCCACTCCCGCCTCCTTCGGCTCTCCCATGATGACGTAGGCCACCTTAGCTTCATGCTTGAATCGTAGAATCTCGAATCATTGTTGCTGCCCTCGGAATTCCTTTGCCCAGACGTCTCTGTTGCTGTCATCTCATGTTTTCTCGAAGCTGACTTGTCTGAGTGTACCGTTTCAGGCGTGAGAGTCGAAGGCATCCAAGGTCTGAGCTTTCTTGAAGTGCGTTGAGGGGAACTTCTTCAGGACCTGTGCGCGCTCCTGGAGGCAGGATCATACTGGCATCACAAACATGACCAGATTGCGGAACATAGCAGAAAGAGGCCCCACAGCAAGCTGCACTCATCTCCTCCTTAATCAGGTTGGACTTGACCTGCGCATGAGTAGATGGGCGCTTCAGTCTAGAGATGTCTAGAGCAGGTATGCTTGAAAGGTTCGCGCACGTACTCTCGCGATCTCTGGAAAGGATTAGTTCGTGTCTGTGTGTGTGTGTGGGCGCGTGTGTGTGTGTGTGTGTGTGTGTGTGTGTGTGTTCGTGTTCGTGTTCGTGTTCGTGTTCGTGTTCGTGTTCGTGTTCGTGTTCGTGTTCGTGTTCGTGTTCGTGTTCGTGTTCGTGTTCGTGTTCGTGTTCGAGCTCGTGCTCGTGCTCGTGCTCGTGCTCGTGTTCGTGTTCGTGTTCGTGTTCGTGGGGGCCTGGGCGGTTGAGCGGATGCACAGGTGCGCGGGTGTGGGTGTGTGGGTGTGTGGGTGTGTGTGGGTCTCTGTGTGTCCCTGTCTGTGTGTGTGTGTGTGTGCGTGCGTGTGTGTGTGTGTGTGTGTGTGTGTGTGTGTGCGTGCGTGCGTGCGTGCGGCGTGGCGCGCGCGCGCGGCGTGTGTGTGTGTGTGTGTGTGTGTGTTGTGTGTGTGTGTGTGTGTGTGTGTGTGTGTGTGTGTGTGTGCGGGGGGGTCTCTGTGTGTGTGTGTGTGGGTCTCTCTCTCTCTGTGTGTGTGGGGGGGGGTCTCTGTGTATGTGGGTCTCTGTGTGTGTGTGTGTGTGTGTGTGTGTGGGTCTCTGTGTTTGTGTGTGTGTGCGGGTCTCTGTGTGAGTGTGTGTGTGTGTGTGTGCGAGTGTGTGAGTGTGTGAGTGTGTGTGAGTGTGTGAGTGTGTGAGTGGCTGAGTGTGTGAGTGTGAGTGTGAGTGTGTGTGTGTGTGTGTGTGCGTGGGTGGGTGGGTGGGTCGGTTCCCTCGACTATTGGATGAAAACTCGCAGCCTCCATCACTACGTAGTTGCGCGGTTGCATTGGCGCAAGCATGGACACCACCTGCACAAGAACAGGGCCACATGCACAACACAGTACGCAGGGCGTGAGAAGTGGTTGATTCGGTGGGCCATACATGTCAGCACTCAAAATCATTCATACTGTGGACTGACATCTGTCGAGTCACCCATATCCAGGCAAAGCTATGCTGATCTGCTCAGAACGGAACAAATCTCTGCCTTCTGTGTGCTCGTGTCGTCCAGACTCGGCAACCCATACATGTAGTACGGCTTGTCATTGGACGCCTCGTGCCCGACATACAACTGGACTTTGCGAGTTAAGAATGACACGAAGTCACACTATCGGTACTCTACTCATGGACTCATGGGCCATCGCAGACTTCAGCTTCCATGCCGACCGAGCTGAGGAACCCAGCACTGCACAACAAAGCAAACCATGCTGTGCCTGTGGCCCCATCTTTGGGCGTGGAAGACCAGATGCCACAGCCCATTCCTGGATCCTCCTGGCTGATGCGGTATGTCTCATGGTAGTTAAAACAAAGGACACAAGGAAGGTCAAACTTCGTGGCTGTGGCACGATCCCGATCCTGTCGCTAAGCTCTGTGTAGGCGGGCTTGTCTTCCAGAAAGCTGTCCAGCCAGTCGAAAGTTCCTCCCATTCATGCCATGGTCTGCGCCCTAAGGACCTAAGGGGTCTTGACAGCGTCTCAGGGCCCCACTACCGGCCCTCATGATGATCAAACAGTTAAACTCTATTGTGTGGTCATTTCCGAAAATACTCATTGCAAGCATCACGGTCACATGGTTTCGGGGTTTGTGTATGGCTTAGGTAGTGCCCTGAGGGCCACCGATGGTCAAATATGCAAAAGACAATGCTTAATATTGTCAACATATCGGTCTGAAAGTGACAGCGTCAGGCGCGTTAGAAACAAAATGCACAGTACGGTTCTCTTTTGAACAAATATCTAATCGTGTCCGTTAGATAGTTCCAATAATTGAGAAGTTACGTTTACAACATGTGACCGATACCAGTCTTGCTTCACTAATATGTGTTGGAATAATTCGCCTCGGCTTCCTGCCGAGAAGCGTCTGGAACAAGCAGACCCGGATCGGGCCTCCTTCCCCCTTACCCAACCCTTCCCTTTGTGACGCCACGCCCCCCCCCCCCCCCCCCCCCCCCCCCCCCCCCCCCCCCCCCCCCCTTTAACCCTCTGCCCCTCCTCCCCCTTTTTTGCGAAACCCTCTTTCCTCCTTTCCTGTCCTGGGGCCGGCCCGGCTGCCGAGGCGGCGCGCGCAAGAGTTTACAATTACCTGAATTTTGCAATCAAAAAAAATAGAAAATGCATTGATGATCACGAATGTTCAAGCGGATTTGTTGTTCGTGCGTATCAAGATGGGTGGGGGGGAGGGGGGGCTGAAGGGGTTGGCACTTGAAATTACCGTAAGCCTTGCAAAGCTACAGTATTAGCTCCCTTCGATCTTACGGCACGAAGCAGAGACCCAGTGAACCGCAGTCTCACAGTGCCTCACAGTTCACAGAATGAAGTCTCAGTTGCCTTCATCGGGGAAGGCCACTGGCATGGCCAATTCGCACTTACCATCCTGCAGGTAGCAACTCAGGCTATGACCGTACACTTGCTCGCCGCCTCGGCCTACTTATCAGCCCTGTGATCTGCCTTCGGTGGGGCCTCGACCTGGCTGTGGGAGGTCCTAAGCGGCGCTGCGTGCACATCAGCGTCCGAAAGTCCGAAAATGAACACAAAGAAGCAGAGCATAATTTTCATCCGCCGAGGACCTGGGGCCCCTAAGGAGTTTCAGAAAGCATCTCAGATGCCCACAAATCCTTTCACTGGCCTTCTCTGGGAGGGGGGGGAGGGGGGGGGCAGAGGGCAATTGGTGTTCGTGATTTGTAGAACCTGCTCTCCAAGACCACCCCCAGACCATGGGACCCGGGGCCCCGGCCGCGCAGCGATGAATTACAACTCATAACTCATGGTCTGAGGCTTTTTCAAAACTGCAGGTGGGCGGCAATGCATCGGCCACCATTCGGCAAGTGAAGGGCATCTTCGTGAACTCGGTAAAGGGGGCTGGCATGTAACGTGCCCAAGCTTCTGTATGCATCGGCACAAACAGAAACCCCTGTGCCATTGCATGTACTGTCAACTGCCAACATTGCCACCTCTATACACCAAGAAGACAATAGAAAAGTTAGTTCGGCGCTGGCTTCTTGCCGAAATTGACCATCACGCTCCTGAGATACAAAAGACAGCCGCACCCCAACGCATGTGCTTTCAGGTCGCACCACTGACGGAGCAGAAGTTGCACGACCCTTACGGCATGATTATGCCGAGCATCATGTGACGGTAGCTGATGTGAGGGAACCTAAGAACGGAAGCTCCAAGGGCAACAACGCGCAACCATGCCGATGCTCTTTAGATATCTGAGCCTTCATTTCAGCATGGCGCGCTTTGAATGATTCTATGACGGCTCAGCATGGCTCAGTTTAGCTTCAGGTCTTTGGCTGAGATTGGGACAGTGGTTTCCCAATCAGGTTCTCCTGCAGAAAAGCTGAAGCATGGCACAACACTTTTCAGCTAGCACGCCTGAAGCGCACGGACTTTTTTGCCATGGATGCCGAATGTGTATTCTTAATTGTGCTTGCGGGGCAAAGTCAGAGCACATAACTGCAGGGCTGCTTCAGGTGGCCGGGATACCCAATTGTAAGGCCAGCGGTATCAGCGCATCGTAGATGCCTGAGTTTCAGATTGAACATGATTGAACTCAAAAGGTCGGTGGGTCCCAGTACATCTGACCATTGGTCTCAGCATTGATCTCGCGGAGTGATGGGCTTGAACATGCGTGCACATGTGTCGCCGCAGTGTTGCCGTGTTGCCCGTATGTACAAACGTGATAGCACACATGCAACGTCGGTGTGCATGTGGTCACCACCGTCACATGGCTCCCCGGCCTTTGTCTGGTCGCATCTTCCTGACCTGAAGCTCTTCGAGGAGCTCCAGGGCCCACGTCCTAAGCATGTCGAGAACAACTGTCTGAAAGCTAGGTCTGAAAGTTTTGACACTTGGACATCACTTTTGGTCCCAAGAAGCCACTCTGAGCCGGAGATCAGAGTGTTCACAGCCAAGCCATAGCTTCGGTGATCCTTGCGTTGTTCAAGAAATCGGTCAGGTCGCTCGCAAGCACTACATGACAAGCAGGGGCCAGTTCTTCCACGTTCTTCTATCCAGTCATGGTAAAGAGCCCAGGAGAAATAAAGGGTAGATTTGCAAGCTTGAGGCAGTGCTCCTTCTTCACCAAACGATCATCCATCCGTGCCAACAATGCTACCAGTATCGCCCACTCATCATCCAAACTCCGCATCACCTGGTTGAAAGTTGCCGTGTCACCTGCAAAGCGAACCGCACTCAGCCTGATTTGTAGTGAGCAGAGCTCAGACGCACTGCTGTTGAACCTTTTCTGCATGCATGCACGCAACTTCTGGTCATTGTTACAAGAAGACTGGACATCTCACGGAAGGCGAAGCCTGACACTTTCGACCCGTCGAACAAGCGCAGCGCCACCTGTTCACAAAGGTCTGAGCCATAGCATCAGGCAACCGCCTACATCCGCACATGGCAATTCTCCGAAAAGTATACTCAAACAACTTGGGACTCTTGAACCCTGCAGCCTGCCAAGCTCTTCCAGGGGCGCAGCTGCCAAGGGCTGCGTTCAGCATGAAAGTGTCCATCTGGAGGCTTCTGCCTCGGAGCAAGCCCTTCAGAACGCATTGTTTGAAGGGAGACTTCGTCGGGCTGCCACTACTAACTGAGCAAGCCCATTAGTTCTGCCAGCGTAGACCCCAAACAGTAAGGGCAAGTCCAAAAGCCATGACAGTTTCTCATGTGGCGATCACGGACATCCAACAGCCACGACAGCTTCACATTTGGCGAACACGGACGTCCAGATGCCACGAGAGTTTCGTAGTTGCCGAACACCGCCATCCAAAAGCGACAACAGTTTCGAGGATGGCGAGGGCGGCCACGCCTGCATATCGGTGCTTGGAGGAGAGAGCAGGGTCCGTACTGCTGGCGCCGGTCCGCGCCCCTCTACACATTAGAGCCACGTAGTGCTGGCACTTTGTTTCGGAAAAAATGGCGACCGCGAACATTGACGCGCGATAGGATTTGCCCGAATTCGCAGAACTTGTGATCGTCGCGACTCCGGATCGCACCTTCAAGCAGCACCAACACACTCAATTGCGGATGTACAAAAAACACTAGTACGTACCTGTGGTAAGCAGCAGTCCCTCATAAGTCTGTCCAAACTGGACTGTAGCCTACGCGGACGCAGGGCGTGCTGAAAATATCCACCAAAGAAACACTTGAAATTGAAGCACTGCAAACTGCAAACACATAGACCAGGCCTTTCCGGCCACAACACGTCGCATCAAGCATCGAGGAACGCATGCACAAGCACCCGGCGATGCTGACAATATAGATGACAATGCCCTAAACCCTGAACCAGCCTGCAAGGGCCGTTGAGTGACAGGTTCAGATTCAGGCTTGTGGGCCCTTTGCAAGTGTGATTCTCCGGGAGGCTGAAACCTTCTAGTACGGAATAGCCCCTGATAGCCTGGGAACTGTTTTGAGAGGCCTCTCAGATGCCGCTGTGCCGTCGTCTGGAAGCTTGGGAGAGTTCAGACAAGTTGGGAGCAGCATGGAGCAGAACTTCAACCATGTCTTCGGGACCACACACCAGCTGCAGCAACAACAATGGAAACAGCAACAGGCAACACTAGCAACGACAACTTCGGCACGAACATCAGCAGCAGAAGACATGAATAGCCCTGGTGACACCGACTCAATTTCAAAGCTACATTGAGCAGCTGCGGCACAAGGTTCTAGATGTGCGTTAGATGATAAACTCTTCAAGAAGTGTACCCATAACGACAGGTAAGGCAAGGGACCTTCCACATCCACAAGCAGCGCCAAAGCGATCTCCCACTGACCGCTGCGACCACAGATTGTCATCAAGTTGGTATAGGTGATGGCGGTGCAGAGCCGCTGCCTGTTCAGATCCTGAAACAAAGCCAGGGCACACGGCCACGAGTGCGAGCATGCGCCGAGAGCTGCATTGGTGGACCTGACTTCATAATTCACCTCGAGCTTCAACTCTTTCATTGCACCCAGCTGCTGCAAGACCGCCCGCCAGCGATCTGATTTTGCAAGTGAACTCGTCAGAGAAGTGTAGGTCACGGCGTCGAACTGCAAGCCATGGCACGCTAGCTTGCTTGAACATGTCAGGGCTTGCTGCCAGTGAGCGCTCTGTCCAAACTGTGTGATGGCGTCGTTAAGTGCGATGACAGCGCCCTCCAGAGCCTGCCGGGTCATGTCCCTAAGCAGCTTGAATGCCCAGCGTGTTCGTTCACCAGCAATACACGCCGAAATGACAGTCCGGTAAGTCCATCCGTTCGGCTCGAGTCGCCTAGCTGGAACCTGATGGAAAAGGCTCAGAGCCAGCTGCCAGCGACCGCAGCTCTCACACGCGCTGATGACAGACGTGATGGTCACCACATCCAGATCAACTGACAGCCTCTCTGCGGTCTTAAAGAGATATAGGGCATGACTCCAGCGGCGGCCAGTCTCACAGATATTAATGGCCATGTTGCACATAGTCGCGTCAAAATACAATGAGTTCTGGTCCAGCCCTGTCATCATGTCGAGCGCAAGTAGCCACTGCTGTGCTCGATGACAAGCCGCAATGCTTTCTGAATGTGCAGTAAGATCCAAGGATACCCGCATGACCGAGCAGCCTGTTAGAATAGATGCACTGTGCTCCCAAAGTCCACTTCGCACACAGCTGCTCAGAATCTCAGCATACGTCCTGCAATATGCTTGCACAGAGAGGTGTACCATCAAGCCGAGACCGATCAGTCACTCAATCAAACACAGACCAACACATCTATAGCATAGAATAACATAATGTAGGTATCACCAGTCATAGCCGTAGTCATGGCGACTCTCCGCTCTGAGGTCGAGGCCTGGCATCTGCTGAACCTGTGCCCAGGGAAGCGTCGAGCGCGCGGGCGAGAGCCAAGCCACAACTCCAGGCCGCGCCACGCTGGCAAGCAAGGAGGACCTCACCGAAGATACTGGCAAGAGCGTTTCCAAAGCTCAATGCTGTGATATTACAAGCACATCTTGTTCTCACTTAAAGGTCAGTAAGTTCACCTGATTGCACACAGGCACAAAGCAAGGCAACTAGATTCACATTGACAAGAAAGCATCATAGGTCTCTCAAGCTGTGGTCACTATGCAATAGCTCAAGCACAGCAAACCAATGTGGGACAGACAGCACTGTGCTGCTGACTGCATCTGCTCATTCTTGCATTTTCAAGCTGCCGTGTTCCACAACATCAAGTTGCCCGCGGCGGTGGTTGTCTCCGCCTCGAACTTTTTGCAAAGCAGATCTGGGCCTTTGTTAACATCGGCCCTACCCTATGTTGCCAAATGCTTCATACACTTTGCACAAACAAAGATTTGAGGAGGTTAGTCGGGGAGGGGGGGGGGGGTGGGGGGGCGAACCTCCCCCCCTCCCCATATACTAACAGCTAGCACAATGCTCGTATGGTTTGAAGCTTTTTTTAGTGGCGGGAGGACTTTCGTCGGTCGAGCGGGTTCGCAGCCTCCCCCATTTGCAAACACACTGCCCGTATGACGGGTTTGGAAAAGATGCATGTGGGTGTTGAAGGAACTCCTTCGGGCAGCAGGAAGTTGCTTGTATGACAGAGTTGGAAAAGCCAAGCTGTCGCCTGCCTCGCACTACGGTTGAACCCCCACGTACCCTCCAAAGCTCAACGCCTTTGACAGCCATTCAATGTGCTCCCGTCGCCCAGGCTGAGTGGCCGGTGAAAGCGCGGGGGCCGTTTCTACACGTGACTGGCAGGCCCAGTGCCACTGCCTAGGACTGCCCATCCTGCTTCGTTGGTTGGGTTCACGTTCGGTGCATGCCCTAGCCTGCTTGTGCCTGCGCCAGGACGAGTCCGGTTGCTCCCGCTTGGTCCATTCGCTTGTCGCCACGCTCAGGACATAGCCCGGGACATAGCCTGCGAAGGACTGTTTCTGCAGCCGCAGGCCATGGGTTCCAAAGATGCTAAGATCGGCGAAGGGCGGCCCTGAAGCAGGTTATGGGACGCGTGCCGATCCGAGCCCGGAAATCACCGAACTTGGTGACATTCTGCGGGCTCCCTCCACCAGTCTGATGACCCGGCCACCACCGGCCAACCCAACACCGCCTTGAGTGCAATCCTTAGCTTGCCTGCGGCAAACCAGGGCGTGATCCAGGGTTTGGATATGTTTGGATGGCCTCCAGCTCGCTCTGCATAGGATCCATCGCGGTTTGGGGATATGGCCGGGCCCTTGCGGAGAACGTTGGGCCTTGGTGGCGACGGTCGCGGAAGTAGGAGATGTGCCAACACCAGCCCGAGAAGAAAGTGGCTCTGCGAGCCAAAAGCTCCCACCGCCCCTCGTGTGTGTTGGGGCGGAGGATTTGCTCCACCCATTTGCAAATAGAATGCTCGGGATGATGGGTTTGGAAAGGATGCAACGGTTTAGGTGTTAGGGCTTTGGTTTAATGGGGACATTTAGGGTTTAGAAGTTTAGCGTTCAGGGAGGCACCCGAAATTTTCGCCTTTGTCCATCATATTATCATCTTGATTTGGATTTATGTTACTTCTCTTATTTTTCTGTACTCCTTTCTGTGTGCTGTGAACCTTTATCTATTCATTTCGGTGCGTCTTTGTTTCCTGCTGCACCAGAAAACTGGCCCAGAGCACGACCCCTGGCCAAAGTCTTTCCTTTCGTCAAGTGGAAGGTACTTCGGCCCCCAAACATCCGGCGCCGTGGAACCTACGCCGGACCTACGCCCCCTGAACACAAAAGAGGGGCCTCGTGCAGCAGCTGCAGGGACTGCTCCCACACAGCCCGCGCGGCACATGCAGTAAGCGCTCCAAAGAAGGTTGCCTGAGCTTCAGGGCGCTGCAGCCATCAGGGGAAGTCGCGCCGGACCCCCTCAGAATCCTGGTATTTTGAGCCAGGCGTCCATGGACCGGGGCAGCCGCCCGAATCTCATCTCTGAAATCCTCGGGAGAAAGGAAGCCATCAAGTGCAGGACCAGGTGCATGGGAGGCGTGGTAATCTTCGACTAGCAGCCGCTTCCCCGTTTACCATTCCCCCCACCCTTTTAAAATTGGGGAAGCGATCAGGGCCGGGGGGGGGGGGGGGGTTGACACCTAAGGGATGGCTCCATCGTTTCCTTTCCCATTGCCCAAAGCAGAAGCAATTCAAATACCTCGCCATTGGCAGACTTGAGGTCACACACAGCTACGAGCCGCTCGATGAGAGTCCTACTGATTCACGATTATCAAGTTAGGCTTGCTGACCATGGACTCTGCAGATTAGCCTTGAAATTTGAGCTGAGAAGTAAGTGCACTGCTCAGCGTGCAAGTTGGCTTTACTATCTGATCTCTTCTCTTATTACAACAACCAACCCCTTGCTGCAACTCCTCCGAAGACATTTCCCCGTGTTTAGGCCCCTAATGTTACTTAAAAATGTTTGGATCGCGCTTTGCTTTAATTAATCATATTTGGGGTGGTAGCAATTTTGCTGGAAGTGAGTGGCCGTGGCGCCTTCACTTCTAGTTTCGGTTCTGCCAAGCAGCAAAGCCAAAGACTGTTGCCACTGCTCGCACGTAGCGCATGCTCCGATGGCCGCATTGTACATGACCGAGTCCCTTTTGTGACTGGCCTTGTCCCACTGTGCAACGAGACCGCATGCATGCTGCCAGCAGCTTGCTCGATCGTAGGCAGCGATCACAGCGGCATTGCTGAAGCGATCGGGATCCATAGAGATGACCTGACACTCACCCTGGTCACATCAGGCTAAAGACTCGACTGCTACAGGGAATGCGAAGGGATCCAGAAGTGCACATCATGAAAAGCTGAGCCGTCACAACTGCGCTGCCTGAAGGTCATTGAACATCTGCACAGCCGCTTGCCACAGCTCTGCCTGGCAACTACATGCAGTTCCTTCGAGTTAGAGGCTGCGAACTTGCAAATTTGCAAAGCACGAGATTCTGCACAAACGACCAACTGCAGACGGCGCTAGCATCGCTGAGGGGCATTGCCAAGTGCACTGATTGCGGTGTTGTAGGTTATCAAATCTGCATTGAGGCTGTGTTGTGGCAAATCCTTAGATTTCGTACAGCCATGAACAGGTCATCTTCTCTGCAGACTTTAGGATGCTTGGGTTGTGGGCTTCTGGAGTTTTCCGGGAAGCTTCTGGAAGCTTCTTCATGCCAAGGCTCTGAGATCAGGCACACCGCGTGCGACCAGCATGCAGCCTTGCCACAGGCGCTGATTGCTGCATTGTAGACAATCAAGTTCGGCTGCAGATTGCCCTCCAACATGGCAGCATCAAGTAGTCCCAAGGCAGCTTGCCACTGGCCACACCTGCTTGGCGAAGCTCTACTGGGACGCCATGGGATGTTAGCACTTGCGAGATCCGTAGCAATCCAGCCTCTCACAAGCAACAATTGCGGAGGACGTCGTTGGCGCGTCTGGCTTGAAGGAACGCTTCGGCAACTGGTCGAAGAGCGCCTTTCTACATGTCTACGTCCTTCGGCTGACCAACCTGACCATACGACCTCATGAACCCCGTGATCCTTCTCCAGCCTTTGCAAGGCTGTGCTCGTTCCAAGGCACGACGGCTTCTTGCCAGATTCCCGCAGCAGCGCAACTAGCGATTGCGGCACCATACAGCACCAGGTCCTGGATTGGAAAGCTATGAAATGAATAAGGTCGGCTGTGCCGGCTGTGCCGTCAGACGGTTGGACCACTACAGTTCACCGACACAGCCCTACTCTAATGGAGCAAGTTAGCACGTCAAGAGCTCTTCAGACAACCTTCTCTTCCTTCTGCAACCTGCAAGAATATTCTTCATTGTGCTGCTGAGGACTTAGCCTGGGAGACACGCAGCCCTCATTCCAGCGACTCAAAACCAGGGCCCTTCATTGCAACATTCGCGCAGCCTGCCGGCAAGAATCTGCTTCCACCTGACTAGACTCCAGGTTCGACATCAGCTTCAAGGCTGTCTGCCATTGCTTTGCCTTTGAACATGCCTTGGTGCAGGTCAAGGTTTTCCGACACACACGCTGAGTACTCGCTGAGTACTCGCTGCCAACAGGCCATGCCAGGGTGCGCTGATACAAGAGCTGTAGGCTATGCCATCGCTTTGTAGCCCCATCTTCTCCAACTCCGCCAGTAGGAGCAGAGCACATTGCCACTTCGCATGTTTAGCGCCTGCAAGTCACTATACAGTGGAGGGTTTAGGGTCTTCAAGCGTGCTATCTGACTACCTCAACTTTGCTGGACGTCATGCACTGGAACCATTCAAGAAGATTCAAAGCCCTTCTCGGCGAGTTGCATTTGCCAATGGCTGCTCCAAAGACGATAACCTGGTCCATGCCAACTAGAAACCCAACAACATGCCAAGAGCATCATGCGACCTGCATTCTTGCATGGCAGGAGACATTGAGATGCTTGCGATCCACCTGAGAAAGGACACAAGTGTCCGAGCTGATAGGGTTGAAGAGAACTCTTGGTGCGTGGAAACTACTGTCAACATCCACATGCCTTTGCAACGTGCAAGAGCAGCGCCTGAGCAAGGATCTGTAGGGCCTCCTGCCAGGATGCCGACCTGGGAATCACAATCTTCTCGACATTCCATCATTTGCGTTGTTTGACCAGCAAGTAACCATCTGGGAAACGCAAGCACACATGTGGGCAGGCACAACACGCAGATATGCATTCAGCTGTAGAAGTTCTTAAAAGAATATCACAAGGCGCAGGGCCAACTCATGCCGACTCATTGCTGACAGCACAGTGAACTTCGGCATAGCAGCTTAATCTTGCTGACCGCATGTGCCGGCGATCGATAGCCCTTCGGAGCAAGAGCATACACCATCCATGGCTCATCTTGGCCGAGCTTGGAAAAATAATTACGGAAGGCTGCAGTTCCAGTTCAGGTGGAGTGAGCAACGCCGCCTGTGCGACGACGCAGTGTTACCTCTACCAGTACGAGCACAACTACTTAAAGTCATCTCATCAACCATATCACGATCTGCATGCAACACTAATCTTCATCCCTTCTCTACGCAAGCTTTTCCATGTCCTGGCTCGATCCATGGCAGAACTTGCATTGAGAAGCTGTTCTCTCGCAGCTGTGACAGGAGTGTGCCACAGCTTCCGCTCAAGATGCAGGCGCTCCGGCAGCTTCTGCGGCTTGCAGGCACGGACGCCGTTTGTGAAGAGGCTAATCTCAGTTGGGTTGAGCTGTGACCCACTTCCCACTCGCATGATAGTACTGAGTTACTGGAAAGCTCCTAGACGTGTGAGTTCCGTAGCATTCCGTACCAGTAACTCTTGTGTGCCATCACCAACTTGTTCCAAGGGGCTGTGTTCGCGTGAGGACTTTTCGGATCCAGGTTCAGAACCACGGACATGCCCTGCTCCAGTGCCAACAGCTATAGCAGCTATGGTGAGTTTAAACGGTTCTGCTACTGAGCTTCTCTTCACTTCGCTCCAAGCATCACGCCTGATCGCGCGCAAACTTCTGAACGACTCGGGGAGCGCGACTCTTCCCAGTGCAGAAGTTGCCCTCGTTGTCGAAGAACACAGCCGTCTCAGTTTGTAAGCCATAAGCAGAAGTTCTAGCATACCCATGGCATGGAACGCAGCACCGGCAGTCAGTTGAGCAGGAGGTTCAGATGCAATTTCGGAAACCGAAAACACACGGATTCTTAAACTGGAAGAACGTGATTCGGGACACCGGAACATCCGGAAACCGCAGGTCGGCCCTCGGGAAACCAAAAGCGCAGATTCGGGAAACTGGAAAATGCGAATTCAGGAAACTGGAAAACGCGGATTCGGGAAACGGCGGATTTCGCAAGCTGGCCGCAGTTGCTTGAACGGGGCATGAACGCACCAGCAAGATGAACACAATCATGCCCCCACCCCCATCCGTCCCCATCACCCCAACGGCATTTCTTGACTGGGGCAGCTTCCTGAATCGCATGCTTTCCTCAAGCGTGTTGTTTCCTGAAGTTTCCTGAATCAGGTGAAACCAGTTTCCTGATTCGAGTAGTTTCCTTAAACGCCGTTTCCTGAATCGAGTGAAACCCAGTTTCCCGACTCGCGTGGCTTCATGGATTCCCGAATCGCGGGACAGCCTCCTGAATCGAGCAGTTTTCCTGAACCGCCTAAGTTTCCAGAACCGCAACCTCCTGGTTCCTGAGTCCTGGTTCCTGAATCCTGGTTTCAGTTTATGAATCACGGCCGAATCAATGTAGGACACTCTTGGCAGTGGACCGGCTGACTTGGCAGTCTTGGCATGCGCAGCTGCATCCAGGCGACATCAGACTCGCCGAGGATCAACGGGGAGCCTGCTGTAGAGAAGCCAACGCGCACCAGCTGCCTTCAAGTGCAGAGGCTGTGCACACTCTTTGGCTGATCAGATGAAAGCTCATATGTCGAGCGATTCAGGAATACTCAGTGAGCTCATGCTTTGGGGACACGTGGTGAATCGTCCCGCCTCATCCCCTTCAGCCTGCTGTTATAAGTCTCCTTAGTTGTGCCAGCCGCTCACAGTTGCAGCTTCAGTGCAGCGGCCATGTCTTCACTTTTCACACTTTTTTCGCATTGAAAACACGTCAATCAGCCTTGCTGGGCAGCGGTGGGCTTTTGCAGAAACCGCTGACAGGCGGAAGAAAGCTCAACTTTCCACTGTATTCCGCTGCCATTGCTGCCGACTCTAACAAGGGTATGCTGGGCCACAGTTGTGTGGTAGGTCTCCACGATCTTGAACTGCAGGCGTTCAATGAATGCTTCACGTCTCTTCGACATGCCGTCATCTCACGCGAGTTCATGCGTCATGTAGGGGTCGAGCCTCGAACATGTAGCGTCCAGCCTTCAACCCAACGTTCGCACGGGCGCCTGAGATCATATACCTGAGATACGCCACAAGGAGCTGCGCCGCCCAACTTTTGGGTCCAAGATACTCCTAAGTGAAGAACCTCACAACGCATGAGCTGCATAGGCTCGCTGCTGCTTGAGTGGAAACTGAGTGGGGTGTTGAGAACATGCGTGGCTACAGTGAGACGTCTCATTGCTCCTTGTGCCAGGTGTTGTGTCGCACCCGTTAAGACATGACATGCTTTGTGGGGCGCATTGGACACTTGTCCTGCTACGAAGAAGCTGCAACGCTTCTTGCAGTCTGGCTACTGCAGCCCACCTTCATTGATGGACATCAGAACCTGACAGTCGCTCTTTGCCGGAAATGCTGCGTCTGGACTTGCCGACTCCGCTACTGCTGGTTCGGACCACGCCTTGTTCCCCATGCAGGGCAGCGCGTCCAGTGTCAAATCTGGTGTCAGAAAGTCAACATCCGCCCTGGGCAGAGCGGAAAGATTGCAAAGGCAGTAGCTGAGGCCTGTAGTGACAGGTAGTACATGCAGTAATCCGCCGAGGCCTCGGGCCGGAGGTGTATAGGTTGTCAGAACAGGCACCCCCCTCCAATCCTCCCCCCACCCAAAGCCACTTTTCGGACCCCTTTTTTGCCTCAAATGGTACCCCCCGGGGGTTGGGGGGGGGAGGGGGGGGGGGGGTGGGTGGGGGGTGGGCCCCACCCCACCCCCCACCCCCACCCCCCCCCCCCACCCTCCGCCCCACCCCCCCCCCCCCCCCCCCCACCACCCCCCCCCCCACCCCCCCCCCCCCCACCCCCCCCACCCCCCCCCCCACCCCCCCCCCCCCCCCCCGCGACCTCCCCCCCCGGATGTTTTCCAGGTGCGAGCACGGCCGAAGAGTCTAAGCTTGAACCGAAACCCGAAACCTTAAATCTCAGCTCCCCCCCCCTTTCAAGCCGAACCGTCTCTTGAACCCTAAACCCAAAAAAACCCTAGCCTGAACCTTGAGCCCTAAGCCCTCAATCCTAAACTAACCCTCAACCCTAAACCCCAAACCATAAACCATAAACCCGGAACCCTAAACCCTAAACCCAACCCTTATTGCTTGGGTCCAGCGACTTGGGCGCTGCGGAATCACCATGCTCACGCGGATGCGCTGGGCCGGGCCGAGGCGGGTCGCGTAGCGTTAAAATTAACAATGTAGCCTGTAGTATCGTCCAGTAACACCAGCACCAGTCAACGGCACGTAAAAGTTCTGGCTTGTCTCTTAAGAGTGTGCTGCCCTGCCGAGCCAAGAATGGTGCGATGGCGCCTGCCTCCTGTCTCTCATGCACGCTGCTCTAGCGAGTCTAGTTGTCCCTCAGCCATGCACATTTACGCGCCTACACGAACGGCAGAGATCAACTTCCAGGCAAGTCTCTTGATGGTTGCCTTCTTGGGGTCGGTGGTATCATCCTGCTAGTGTCGGCTGTCTCTTGCAATCGCTCAGCTGAGCCCAGTCATGCTCAGCCAAGATCAAGATATGGCGGACAAAAATAACAGCCACACGACGAATTTGAGGAGTCCTCCTCCTCCTCGAACTCGTCCTGCGTTGGGTAGGGGCAGGGGGGCTACTGTTTTTGCTAAAGGGGCCTCCCCCCCCCCCCAGGAAGTCTCGCCTTGGCCTCCTTCTTCGGGGGCTCATCCGCCGGCGGCTCCTCCGCCTTTCGTTTCTTCTCCTCCGCCTCCGCCTTTGGCTTCGGCTCCGCCTTTGCCTTCTTCTCAGCCACCTTGCAGCTGACGTCTCTGCTAACTCAGACCCACATCCGATTGGCTCTGCTTTGCTCGGGGCCGACAATTGTGCATTCATCTGGAGCTTCAAGCGCGTCAGTTGCGAAGGTCACAGGTCACAGTGGAGGGCATGGACAAAACGCGCTCGAAGATGCTACAACTCTGAGGTTCTGACTGGCTTCTTCTTGGTTTCCTCACGGCTTTTTCAACTCGCTAACTGAATTTTCACCGCACACATCAGCACACCCAGCACAGGTTTCATGAGCTTCCACTTCCAAGCACTGTGGGTGATTTCAATTATCTCACACCGCCTGGTCCCTCAGACAGGGATGTCAGTTGTCAGACGCACGCGGTGGGCTTCTCAAGACATCTGACACATACCTGCACAGCTAATAACAAAAGCACCACCCACCTCCCCCCCACCCCCTTCCCAAGGCGAGGGGGAGGTGCACAACACAACTAGAAGGGAGAATTCACAACCAGAATAGCAAAACTACAACTAGGCCTGTCTCAGGGTCTCCAAAGACGGGAGAAACTTCAACCGCTTATTAGGTCAATCCTCATCGGGGTTTCGGAAACCTTGGGCAGTGGCACGTGCTTGAGGGTGCATCTTAGATCCTATGCGTCGTGTTGCTCTTGTTGCCTTGACAAGGCACAATGTGTGTTGTTTTGGTTGTTGCCCATCGCACATAGTTATCCTGCTCTTTTTGAGGCAATGAACACATGGAGTTAGGAACTCAATCTTCGGGGACTCTGGGACCGGACAACAGATCCCTTTCTTTCAGGTTGCATCTTAGATCTTACGTGTTGTTTGGTGTTCTTTCTTGCATCTCAACGTGCAAGCAAGTCCCCCTCAACTTCCAAGCAAGTCCCCTCGAAAACCAGCAACCCAAACTCACAAGCTGGTTGTAGTTTCACCCTGTTTTTGACACCTGGTCGTAAATTCTCCCATCTAAGGATTTCTGGATATAAACTCTCCCTTCTGGGGCTTCTTCAGTTGTAAAGTGGCTGTTTTTGTAGTCATTTAACCCATCTGGCTGTGAATTCCCTTATCGTCCCACTTTCCCCCACCACCCTCTTCAGTCCGTCTTTGCTTCTGCTGCTTTTGGAGCCATGGCAAGCACTCCTTTGGGCAGGCTAGGGGCAAGTGGAGCAGAATGGCTTCGTGGACGGCAGCTGGTGCGGGCACACAAAAGTGGTTAATGTTGGGAGGGGCTCCACACATGCTGCCGGCATCCTCACCACACTGTCAATGCTCCCAGTTGCACACATCAGCTGGCGGGACCTGATTTGGGGAAGTCGGTAATTTCGGAAATGATCCCTAGCATCTGCACTGGCCCTTGCTTTTCACTGCTGGCAGCGCTGCCGGCAAGCCCGTCAAGCTGCATCCAGCTGGTTGCGAAAGGCAGATACGACGCTCTCACGACTGAGTTTCAGCTTCGCGCCGGTGCTCCATCAAGAAGCCCTCGAAGAACTCGAGGGCCTTTGAACCAGGAACAGAGTGAACTTCCCGCCAAAAGCCTCATTGATTTGCAAAGCTTCTCAAGAAAGTCCTTGATCCTTCCACCGAGCTACGCAGGAGTCTGCCCATGAAGACAAGGTAAATCCGCCCAGCGCAGGCAGAACCTGGAAGAACGGGTTCTTCCTCACTACAAGCTCCGCAAGCTCTACAAGCTCAAAGCCCAAGACCGGCAACAAGCGACATCCCGAAAGACTCTCGGACTCTGCCATGCTGAAGCCAAGCGCAACGCCCGCAATCACTGAAACCATACTGAGATGAAGGCCCGGGTGGCCGGGAAAACGGTGCCATCCAGGAATGGGCAATGAGAGCCTGCAAATGCAAATCTCGCCAAGGAAGGCAAAAGCTCGTAAGCTAAGCGCTCGGCTAAGCTACATGTCCCAGGATGGTGAGAAGCTTACACGAGGCTGGAGATGCAAAGAGCACGTTCTGAAATTTGCTTCTGACATCCCAATCGGCGGGCTTGTTTTTCAGGGTCAAGCGCGCTGCTGACCTGCGAGGTTCCGACCTCGAACATCATCCGCTCAGCATTCGCAGAATCTGCAGGGCCCTTTTGGGCCTGCAGGCTCCGTCAAAGGACGTTTGCAAGCTTAGCAGGCTGTGTACCGGCGGGCAGAAACCATGAAATGTGTGATGTTTCAAGAAGTCAAGCCACCGGCATACGGTCTAGCGTGGGCGTCTCTCCATGTCTCTCCTTCGAGAAGACGGTCAAGAGGTAGAAGCTTTCTACTTGAGATTCAGTGAAGACGAACAGAGCTGCGTGACGAGCCCTTCGTCTCAGATCGGATAAGAATTACTGAAGACAGCCGCATAGCCCTTGCCCGCATCTTAGGCAAGGCGAGGCATACAGCGACTGTACAGGAGCCTAGTGGAAATCTTCGCCTGATCACAAAATGAAAGGGCTCTTTGGTCCACTGCTAAGGGCAGCTGGCCACAGGCACGAACAAGAAAGCATCAGGCGCGCTTCTCAGGCTCTGGAGCTTGGAGGATCGGTATCCAGGGCCTCCGAAATCCTCAGAACTTTCCATCGCATCGATTGGAGGCTTCTTAGCTGCTTTCAATGTTTAAATATTAGTTTAAATGTTTATCAATGTCTATCAAACAGTCTCAGCACCACCGAGGAACATGTCTGGCTTGCGCGGCGCTTGCAGCTGACCAAGATGTGTCAGCTCCTTCCTGCACACTGACAGCCCAGCAAAGTTACTGTCTACGCATTTACCACAGAACCAACCTTATAAGTTTGCAACAAAATGGGCCTCCGACCTACCATAGCGCCTGAAAGTCACTGGCGAAGCGGGGCCCACAAAAGCGCCGTGTAGACTGAGCCCGCCGTCAAAAGTATGGGTCACAAGCGTTGTAAACAATGCATGATGTTATCTTATGCTTTTATCATAACCGTACTTTCATCTCACTGTACCTTGCATCCCACCGGTGCCCGGAAGCTGGCCTTCCCGGCTCCTTAAAGCTGGTTGGGAAGGACGCCGCCATCTTCCCTGTCTTCGGCAGGAAATCCAAGGTGCGCTGGTTGTTCTTGAAGTTCTGGAAATGGTTGCCTCGGGCGCGTCAGCTGGGCCGGGCTGCAGGGGCTGATCTTTTGCAGTAGCAGGGCGCCCAGGGACAGAGTTCCTGCATTGTGACGACCTACAGCACACGGAACTAAAAGATCTTCTTGCTTCATATACTGAGAATGACGGCTGGCAGTTTCCATGCTGCCGAACTTTGACGTCTGAGTGCAGCTTGAGTTGTGACCCCCCCCCATTGCGGCGTTTTAATGCTTGCCAGTTCGAGTCTTGCAGGCTCTTCGGCTATGCCCCCTCACGACCCGAATCCAAACCCTCGGGCGCCCTGAGAAGGTGCCATCAAAAAGTCGTGGGGCTTTGTTACTGCCTGCACCTCACTTCTCGGCATGCCTGAGTATGCTACGACAAGTAGCCAGAGAAGTAGAGAGGAGATGGCGCATTGGACAGCGGATGGAAACAAGGTTCTTTCATTGTGCCCGGCTTTTCTGTATAGTATAAAATTCTGCCGGCGTAGACCCCAAACAGTGAGGGGGGCCAAAGGAGGCCAGAAGAGGTCTCGAAAAATGCGGCCCGCAATCTAAGTGGCCCCCCCAGAAGATGCCAGAAGAGGCAGGAATTCGCGCGATCGAAACGCGACGGGATGCGCGCGAAACCACAGCGGCAACGTCGAAACGCAACGGAATTCGCACGAACACCCCACCGCGTGCGCCGTTGCGGCCCGCAACCTCTAAGTGGCCCCCCCAGAAGAGGCCAGAAGAGGCCCGAATTCGCGCGAAACCACAGCGGGAGCGTCGAAACCAAGGCCCCGCCCCACCGCCGCGTGCGCCGTTGCGGCCCGCAACCAATTCCTTTACTCTGAACGTAAGAACCCCATTGTGCAAGCACTGATGGGGGAAAGAGGCTGGAGCAAGCCAGAAGAGGCCGGAATTCGCGCGAAACCACAGCGGGAGCGTCGAAACGCAAAGGAATTCGCGCGAAACCACAGCGGGAGCGTCGAAACGAAGGCCCCGCCCCACTGCGTGCGCCGTTGCGGCCGGCAACCTAAGTGGCCCCACCTTCATCAAGAGGCTAGAAAAGGCTGGGGCAAGCCAGAAGAGGCCGGAATTCACGCGAAACCACAGCGGAGCATCGAAACGCAACGGAATTCGCGCGAAACCACAGCGGGAGCGTCGAAACGAAGGCCCCGCCCCACCGCGTGCGCCGTTGCGGCCGGCAATCTAAGTGGCCCCCCCAGAAGAGGCCTGAAGAGGCTACGAGAGGCCGGAATTCGTACGAAACCACAGCGGGGGCATCGAAACGCAACGGCTGGAGCGTCGAAACGAAACCGCGTGCGCCGCTACGGCCCGCAACCTAAGTGGCCCCCCCCCGAAGAGGCCAGAAGAGGCTGTTCACGCGAAACCACAGCGGGAGCATCGAAACGCAACGGAATTCGTGCGATACCACAGCGGGAGCGTCGAAACGAAGGCCCTGCCCCACCGCGTGCGCCGTTGCGGCCGGCAACCTAAGTGGCCCCCCCAGAAGAGGCTTGAAGAGGCCACGAGAGGCGAAACCACAGCGGGAGCGTCGAAACGCAAAGGAATTAATTCGCGCGAAACCACAGCGGGAGCGTCGAAACGAAGGCCCCGCCCCACCGTGTGCGCCGTTGCGGCCGGCAACCTAAGTGGCCCCCCCAGAAGAGGCCACGAGAAGCCGGAATTCGCGCGAAACCACAGCGGGAGCACCGAAACGCAACGGCATTCGCGCGGAACCACAGCGGGAGCATCGAAACGCAACGGAATTCGCGCGAAACCACAGCGCGAGCATCGAAACCAAGGCCCCGCCCCACCGCCGCGTTCGCCGTTGCGGCCGGCAACCAATTCCTTTACTCTGAACGTAAGAACCCCATTGTGCAAGCACTGTTTGGGGAAATATCGTCATGGCAGCAAAACCCAATTCCCAGAACTCATAATGCCAAGGAGCCCATTTCCGACCGAAGGTTTTCGCTGTTGGCTTCCAGCACTTTTTGCATGTCACTAAGCATCGCCTGCTCCAATGATGAAACGTGACAAGCAACAAGAATCTGCAAGTCTGCGAAGAACCTTGCTCATCTGGCTCTCTTGTGCCATGCACTTGCTGGTAGTGCGTGAAATAATTCTGCCAATGCCTGCACCGCCTTGGTAGCCAGAAGGGCAGCGATTGTGTCGCTCTTCGTCACCTCGCCTCGAATCTTCAATAGACCCTGGACCAGCTCTGCGATGTGCAGCGTACCTTAGCCTCCCCTCAAGAAAACACGCACTGCGCAGCCAACCTTGCATACATGTTTCAACAAATGTGTTCCATTGCGCGCCTACCAAAGCACGTGGCTGACACTGAACTTCAGCAAAATTGTCCCGGAGACATGGTGTCTGCTGGCTTGTCGCGAGGCTGGGTTGCTCTTGCCATTACACATGAAAAACATCAGCATCTGAGCATCTGGTATTGCCCAAGACGGTTTTGTGGCCGGAAATCTCCACACCCCTCCCAGCCCTGAAGTTCTAGAAACCTGAGGACTGAGGTCAGGGACCCCGAGCTCGGAGTGTGCAAAACGTGAACACGAAAGAACCTTCAGGAACACCACAAACACGTGTTTCGGGGAGTGCTAAGCAGCGCACCGCTGCCGTCGGCATCGATGACCTGTCAAACCAGAATATGCAGCCTGACTAGCTTTGCATTGCATGGAGCTGCTTCTTCTTTCCACAAGATGTTAGGTTGAGTAGGTTGAGCTGCTTTCACAAGTGTTGGCACCTCGAACAAATTGGCTCGATCTGGAGGCAGGTCCAGTTCATCCATCAGCGTTTGAACTTGTCTGTCCTGGTGAGCTGTGTCGGAGGGTAACGTGGAATCTGTCACCAACGCGCACCTTGCAAGCCTAAAGATTCATCTGTGCTCTCTGCGGATTCACCGAGGGCCTGAATGACCAGGAGAAAGAGCTCCTGGCATAGAGCGTCTAGATTCATACTGCTCCTCGTTATTGGCCTCACGACTCGTCACTACGCTTCTCACTGACGTCAAGGCACAGGAATGGGCAAAACGGCAACTTGAAAAGGACGGCAAATGCTGGAAAAAACACGATTGGAAGCCGACCGACTGCACAAGCAGCAGTTGCAGTGGTGGTGTATCCAAGGGTTGGCACCATCACGACAGGTTTCAGGCGCTTGCTCGCATCATGGTCTTGGTTACTGGTGCCTCGTCTAACACTGTCAAGTCTGCCACACACCCATCCCCGTCCTTGGTAATCGCGATGTTTTCATGGATCTCATCATCTGTAAACAGCGCCGCATTGGGGCTGATGTCAAAGATGGCGCTCTGCATATCACTCTCCTCAACAAATAATGGCAACGCTGAAAGTTGCCCGTGCTCCGAAACTTCAGCACAAGGCGAGCAATCTGAAAACATGTCTCGCACCTCGAGGTCCTGGAAGAGGTGGTACCTCAAAAGTGATACACAGATCTGGAACCCGAAAAACCCGCTGCGAAGACATCTGCCGAACACTGCACAGACCTACGGAGAGTGACACTACAATGCCGAACCAACTGATCTGCAGTAAGCAGGTTTGAGAACTTGCCCTGATCCTCGAAAGCTGATCCGAGATACGCAGCCGCAAACTTCTTCAGCAGTTCGCGGGTTGTTCGAGCAATCCGTATCGACTCTCGCGCATGCTGTTCGGCAGTAACTGCTTCATTCTCTTTGGCCGCCTTCATCGTGATGTCAACCTTAGCTGGGCACGTACTGCCTGCAAGCACGAACAGGGCATATCGGGAACCGCTAGCCCACCGGATTTCTCTTCTTCTTCTTCTTCTACTACTACTTCTTCTTTGTCGGGGCATGAAGGGCGCGCAGGCACCCTCCGCGCGCAAGGCGTGCCCAAGTCTTTGTCTGAGTCGGAGTGAGACTTTCGCCCTGTCTCTCTCTCTCTCTCTCTCTCTCTCTCTCTCTATCTCTCCCTTAATCTGTTTTTTCTTGACAGGGCGTTTTGGGGCAGGCCCTCAACGGGCAAGCCGCCAAGGGGCACCACAGGCATGGTGCGAGCCCCGGCGAGCCGAAGCCCTTTCCTCCCCCCAAAAGACAGCAGGGTTTGGGGCAGCAAACAATCGCTCTCTTGAAGAAGTGCGCTCTTGGTTGTTGGCCCAAACGGCGCAGAACGGGGTGCTTGAGTGCCTTTAAGGCCCAGTCGCCAACATATCCAACATGATTCCTTTTGCTCGGTTTTCGTCGTGGTCTCAGTACAAGTGGCAAGCCCTGACCAAGGGGAGGGCGAATGACCCTGTTTCGCCGTTCCGCCCTTGCTTGTCAGCCAAGCAGGTCGCTGAGCCCAAGCCCAAGAATCCTAAACCCAAAGCTTTGGTGCTTGGCTTGTTTTACGGTCTGTCGCCAGACGGAAGAATGGTTGCGCAGAGCTCGCGCTTGAACCTGACTGTTTGCGAATCAGCCCCGCAATTCTTTTTAAGGCGAGATACGGGCTATAGTTCCAATCAACAAATTCAAGGGTTTCTTTGCTGGCGATTCCAGAAACCATTTCTGGGCTCATTTAACTCAGTGATGGAACTTGTAATCTTTGATCATCCCTAACCCTATCCCTCGCAGAACGCATGATTTCACAGCGGGGCTTCCATGCTTTGGGTCGGGAATAGTTCTGACCAGTCTAGAAGAATTGGAGCAGAGGCTTGAGCTGATCTCGGGAACCAAAGAATCACGTATGCACCGTTCCCTGCCACTCCAAAACATACATCTTCACAGGCCTAATGTTGAATCAGCCCCGGAAGGGATGAGAATTCGGCATCCTATCCAAACTGTTTCCAGGCTTGGAAATCCCCCGCTCCTTTAAAGGGATGCTAAACCCCCGCTTTCCTTTAAAGGGATGCTAAAGGGCGGCAGAACTTGTTGAATCCAGGACCCCCTTGACGTGCTAAATTGGAAACAAAGGCATTCTTATTTCGAACGCAAGGAGTTTAAAATCTCGGCACAGCAAAAATGGCTCTTGTCCAAGGCAAGCATCCTCCCGCTGCAGTTCCAGCAGTTGTCTTAGCGGCTGTTGAACTTCAACATTTCTGCCTCGAACTGCCCTTTGTTTCGTTTTTACGTAATCGTGGTGACTGGTGGGGGGGTGGGTGGGGCTGGGGGTTTCAATGGCGAATCCAAGATCCCAGACCCTTTCATCGAGGATTCCTGGAAGGGCACTTAGTTGGGGCCTGAATCCGACAGCCTTGACATTGAAACTCAACATGGGACATTGACGGCCCAAGGGTCTTTCCAGGAGTCCTGGGAGGAACTTGAATCTTGGATATTTGCGTGAGATGCGAAGGTCTCAGACTTTGTATGTCTGAGTTGGTGAGCAGACGTGGTGGAAGGTAATTCGGCAGGGGGCGGGGGGCGAAAACCATGTGCATGCGTGTGCGCGCGCGTGTGCGTGGCGTGTGCATGCGTGCGCGCGCGTGTGCGCGTGTGCGCGCGTGTGCGTGCCTGAGCGCTTTAACGATTCTGCGCACACCTTCGCCCTCGCCCGCAGGGCGTGGTAAGGCGCATGGCCCCTTGGAACAGTCTTCCACCTTTGCCGGCCCAGGCTTGGACCGATACGCACTGGGCTCCTTGGCACCCTCGGGCCTCAAGAGCTCTCCTCACATCTCCTCACAACGACGTCGTTTTCTCGAGCGGCCACGGCCTTCTGGTTTCTTTTCGCTCTTCCGCTCTCCAGTCTTCTTGATCATCCTCTGGCCCCTCTTTGTCCTCGCTCCAACAAGCGTGATTGGGTGGCTTCAGGCCACACCCCAACTAAGTGAACGCTGGTAGGTGGTCCCGCTGGAGTCCCGCTGCGAGTAATCCAAGGTCTCGTTTCGACATGCCCCGGTGCTTCTGCGCCCCACCCCTCGGCGGTCTCTCCCATGGCTTGCTTGCTGTTGGTCTACTTCGAGGCTCGGCTGTCTTGCCGCTCTCTCTTTCTTTGCTTTCTCTGCTTTCCTGCTCTCGCATCCCGCAGACTCTCTGAAGAGACCATTTAGACCATCTTAGACTCGACATGACTGCAAGTCCGAGTAGCATAAACAGCCAAAATCACGTTGAAGATGCCCATCGCCTAAGTCGTTGACATGGCCGAAAGCGAATCAGACAGAGCTTGCTTCAGGCACGTATCCTTGCAGTCCAGCAAGACTTTGTTGTTTTTGCGCGTGGTGTGGTTGTTTCCCAGCCGCTGTGGCAGTGCCCCACAACCCCGGCTCTATCTTCTCTTTCACCGCTCTTTTGAGTTTCCCACTTTGAGAGCTGAACTTCACTTTGACTGCCCTTCTTGAGAGACTGTCGCTGACCTTTCTTTCCTGCTCGGTCAGGTCTCCTCTCTGCTGGACTTTCGGGTACTCTTGTGCACCGCCTTCTTCATTCAGGCTCTGTCTTGCGCGACTCCGGCTCGTGACTGCCACCGCACCTAGGGCGCTGCAGCTATCGCATGCAAATGTTTTGCAGGAGACTTCTAGAAGAATGATAGTAGTAGCAGCTCATCCTTGCTTCTGCCGTCGTACTTCGCTGTTGTGGCAAAAGAGGAGCTGGAAGCGTCTGTCGTGCAGAGTTTGACTGTGGTCATGCTGCAGGTCGATGAGGCCCGAGCGCTGTGGATTTATCAGGGGTTGGGTACCCTCTGCTCAAGCGCGCAGATCAGCTGAGCGGGGCAAGAGCCCCCAGACATGTGACATGCCACAAATGTCACACTCATCACAGTATGGAGACTAGGCGTCCTACCACAAGCATGTAGCTGAACACGTAGCTGAAGATAAATCCGTAGCCAAATTCTCGTGCCAGAATATGGGTCAACGGTTTGCCGTACTCGTCAACGCACTCGCCTGCGGGTGAGAATGCAGGAAAAACATGTATGCGTGGGCGCGACATGCAGCCAATTCCAGTTTTCACGAGTTGTTGCTGTCAGACTGACGTCAGACTGGCCTGTGAAGCAGCGAAAGCATGTAAACATGGATTCTGGCAATGACCTTGGCTTGCACAGCTTCTGATAGCACTCCTTCGGCCCCCCGCTCCCACACAAAGTAGTAAGAGTAAAGAGAAAAGAATAAAGTGAAAAGAGAAGAGAATAAAGAGCAAAGAGTGAAGAGCAAAGAGCAAAGGAGCAAAGAGCAAGCGGAACAAAAGTTCTAGTAAAAGTAGTAGCAGCAGCAGCAGCAGTAACAGCAGCAGCAGCAGTAGCAGCAGCAGCAGTAGCAGAGCAGCAGTACCAGCAGCAGTTGTAGCAGCAGCAGCAGGAGGAAGAGGAGGAAGAGGAGGAGGAGGTGTAGTAGTAGTAGTAGTAGTAGTAGTAGTAGTAGTCGTAGTCGTAGTCGTAGTCGTAGTCGTAGTCGTAGTCGTAGTCGTAGTCGTAGTCGTAGTAGTAGTAGTAGTAGTAGTAGTAGTAGTAGTAGTAGTAGTAGTAGTAGTAGTAGTAGTAGTGTAGTAGTAGTAGCAGCAGCAGTAGCAGCAGTAGTAGTAGTAGTAGTAGTAGTAGTAGTAGTAGTAGTAGTAGTAGTAGTAGTAGTAGTAGTAGTAGTAGTAGTAGTAGTAGTAGTAGTAGTAGTAGTAGTTAGTAGTTAGTAGTTAGTAGTTAGTAGGTAGTAGTAGTAGTAGTAGTAGTAGTAGTAGTAGTAGTAGTAGTAGTAGTAGTAGTAGTAGTAGTTAGTAGTAGTAGTAGTAGTAGTAGTAGTAGTAGTAGTAGTAGTAGTAGTAGTAGTAGTAGTAGTAGTAGTAGTAGTAGTAGTAGTAGTAGTAGTAGTAGTAGTAGTAGTAGCAGTACTAGTAGTAGTAGTAGTAGTAGTAGTAGTAGTAGTAGTAGTAGTAGTAGTAGTAGTAGTAGTAGCAGTAGCAATAGGAGTAGGAGTAGTAGTAGTAGTAGTAGTAGTAGTAGTAGTAGTAGTAGTAGTAGTAGTAGTAGTAGTCGTCGTCGTCATAGTAGTAGTAGTAGTAGTAGTAGTAGTAGTAGTAGTAGTAGTAGTAGTAGTAGTAGTAGTAGTAGTAGTAGTAGTAGTAGTAGTGGTAGTAGTAGTAGTAGTAGTCGTAGTCGTAGTAGGAGGAGGAGGACTAGGAGGGGGAGGAGGAGGAATGGCATGAATGGCAGGAATGGCAGGAAATGCAGAAATGGCCATAGTTACAGCCATCCGATCGCAATAACCACAATAATTGCAAAGATGGTGCGATAGGCGCAGCAATGATGGCCATAGCCATAGCCGTAGCCACAGACATCACTAGATCGCGATAGTGATTGCGATGCTGTTCACAAGGGTCATACGAATCGTAATCATGGTGATAATAACGACCACTAACCGAGGCCGCGGGCCAGGCGTCTAAACATTTTTTGCCTGGAATGGGTACCCCCTGTAGGCGACCGGGATCTGAAAGCGGACAGTTTGCCAGGACCAAGGACCCAGCCCAAACCCCCCCCCCCCCAGCCCCCCGCCCCACCCCCCCCCCACCCCCACCCGCTTCACCTTTGTTTTGGCTCTCTTGCATGGGTCGGATTTGAGGGTACAATCCCCTCGAGCCCTTTATCTGGCGGCCTGTTGTCTGGCCTTCTCTTGTTCAGGCCATGGTGCTTTTTGTAGGCGAGAGGTGTGCGGGGGCAGACGGTGCAGGTCCGCCTCCCCAGGCCACCCATCCCTGCCCCCCCCAACGTCGGCCGCCTCTCCGGGAGCTGCATTGGATCAGCGTTTAAATTATGCCTATCTTCATGATAATGATGTACACTATAATCATGATGATGGCGACGGCGATGATGATCATGATCATGATGATGATGGTACTTGCATTGTTCATGGTCGTAGTCTAGTCGCAGTCCTTCCCGTAGCACTAGAAAGCATGACGAGCCAACGCAAACAAAGACGCCGAAAATATTCTTCCATCTCCACTCCGCGGAGTTTGTCGATGGCCTCTGGGGACCCCATTATCATCGTGGCAAAGCCGGAGATCACCTGATTGCCACCAACTGACGAAAGGAGTCACGTTGCCTGAGCTTCTTTGCAACGAGCCACATATATCACAGAGAACAGCAATGTGAAGGCCAGTATCAAGGTCCTTGGTGTGAGATGAGGGCATACAGCAAGCCCCACAGTGCTGAGTGTGTTAAACGATGCTGCGACTGAGTACAAAGAACGCCTCCTGAATCTCCTGCCAAGAGTCTTTATCCCTGCCGTCAAGCCCTTCAACATGAGGCGGAGGTCCTTCATGAGCTTCAAGCGGAAAACCTGGACAGCTGCAGCCGCTGCGCAATCCCATGGACGCAAGGCAAGGTATAGCTTTGCACAGCCGCCTTGACAATGCGCACGAGTCGGATCAACCGACAAAAGCGCAGAAGCGACGTGCCAAAGATATCTGATTTCTGGTCGCTGCTCAGCTGGTAGATCACGTCCGTAATTCCAGTCCCTGCAAGGAAGAGGTCCTTATGCGGGTGGAGAGAATTGTCAAGGCGACACTGTCGGCCAAACACGACCCCAACTCTGGAATCTAGACGTCTTTAGCTTTACCGAGCATGGCTGCTGCAGAACTAGGCCTCTCAGCCCTTTTGTCATGCTCGCCAGGAACCTCCTCTTCTCACTTCTCCAAAGACACTATTCTCAAAAGACAGCATCCTCGGACGGCGAGCGGCGAAGAGATTCCAATACTGCTCCGGGCCCCGCCAAAAATTGCGGCACTTCAGGAGGTGCATCCGCAGAGAAATCTCCAGCACCAAACTCCCAGCGAAGGCCGCCTCCAAGTACACCCAGCCTCCCCAGTCCTGACCATCACTGCTGCAGCATACATCTTTGCAGAAGCCTACTTGTGGAATCTTCGAGTGTGCCTGCATTCTGCAGGCGTTTTGACGACAACGCCCAAAAAACAACATCAAGCTCAACATACTTGTCAACTGTCACCGGCGTGCGATCCACACGGAGGTGATCAGGGTACGACTATACTACACTCCGCTGGAAATGCTTCGCGTGCTCCCCGCATTGTTGCAGAGCTGACGGTCTGAGAGTCTGCAGGAGCAGAGGCTGCAAGCTGATGACAAGGCAGGCGAAAGCAATGGGTGTTACAGGGCTCGAGGTCCAAAAGAAAAGGCGAAGGCTACAAGCGATCTGAAGCATGGGCACAAGCGCGAAAACCTAAAAGGCCACAAAAAGCTAACGCGGGCTGCTTGGTGGTGGGGATCGCAAGGCCCTGCTAAGGCCAAGTTTGTAAGCCAAACGATTGCGCAGTTGAAGGCAGCAAGCGAGGCGTTTCTGCGACTGTGCAAGACTGTGCACAGTAGACAAGGAGCAGAGAGGAGCTTCAACAAGCGAGCAAGAAAAATCACAACTCGGCCGACAAGCAGAGAGAGAGGGAGGGAGAAAAGCTAAAAAATGAATAAAGAGAGGCAACTTGATAACAGCATTCATCAAGCCCTGCAGTGGCAATGAAGGCAAGGCAATGCTACCGAAGCGGGGCTGCCAGGCAAACACCGCCGCCTGTCAAAGTCCAATGTCGTGAGGCAGGCAAGGCTACGGCAAACAAAACCGGAAATAAAACTAAAAGCGTTCACTGCTGGGTCGCATTCTAGCCCCAAGCTACCCATTCTACTTTGAAACTGACACTCTTGCAAATCGAACAGGATCATCACTCCATCAACAACAGGTCAAGTGAAAGTGAAGTGGTCCCGAGTGCCTGAACATCTCTACGACTCGATCCGAAGTCAGACATCCCAACATCGGCTCACTCCCACAAGCACTCCTCATAGGCGGGGTCCGTCTGGAAGCCAATCCTAATACCGACATGTCGAGAAAAGCCTGGTTCAACCCTCTGCAGAATTGATTCCGTCCTCAGTCAACCTACTATGGTAACACTACGCACCTCTGAGAATCGACTCTGCTCACATTGTGGCACAGAATGACGTTCGAAAGTTACGACATGACCCACAGCTCGCAGAAGTGCAGCTACAATGTAAAGGAGGCACTAGAGCTGAAGGTGCGGGATAGCTGAGCCACTATCACGGTTGAACATCCTCAAATGCAAGCCTGGAATAACCGAGCCAGTATCACGGCATCCTCAAAATCAAGCTTGGTTAAACCGAACCTACCCAGGGCTTGTCCAAGGCACATGACACCGTTCGCCACAATCAGCCTTGAGAAAACGCCACACTCCCGCACATATGTTGAACCCATCTCCCCCAGCTTTTTAAGAGCTGCCAAACGCATGGGACCTGTAAACGGCCTGACTCAGCAGTCCGAGGAACAGGGCGACCAAGGGCTCGATCAGCAGAAGCGGATGCAAAGGCTCAGGTGGCACCTACAGCACAAGACTGGCACAAGCAGACTCAAGACAGCTCCAGAAGCGGGAAGCGAAAGGTGCCCCACATTGCCCCGTGCATCTACAACTTGTGCAGGAGACATGAACACACATGCAGTTGAGATGCAGCCAAGTCGTTGATGCGCACGAACGTCAATTCTGCCACAAGGCCTCAGCTTCTAGTTCCAAGTTCTTAAAGATTGCAATGTGGAGCAATTAAGAGCAAATCTAGCTGAGCACCCCAGCCCTAGAATGTGCAACACATGCACCTTTGTTGGCTAGAGCCTTAGAAGCGCATACAGAAAAAGCTCATAACTGCACATAGTCGCACACCTCATATGAGCAGATAGGAATTAGGGTTGATTTTTGCCACCCTAAACACACATCATTTTCCGGTTCAAGGCTTCAAGGCTTCAAGGCTTGCCACACCACTTCTCATTTCAAGGTTTAGTGCATCCGCCGTACCTCCTTTTGGGGATTGGGGTATCTCCTGTTTAGGGTTTCGGGCTTGCCACACCACATCGTCTTTTGGTGTTAGGGTATCTCTTCGCCACGCCACATATTCTTGTGGGGTTTAGGGTTCAGGGTTTTGGGGTTTCCGGCTCTTAAGGTTTATATGGGTTTGGGGGGTTAGTCTTTTTGGGTGAGCGAATAATTTCGGGTTCAGGATCGAGAGTTTTGGGTTCAGGGTTCGGCTGTTGACCACGTGCACGTTATGATCCAGAGACCGCGTGCACTAATGAGGTCCCGCACCTTTAGCTCGTGAGACTCTGCTAGCTCCAGGATCGTGAATTTAGCAAAACTCACACACTATGGCACTGCCGAGATACGATTCGTGTCCCCAGCAAGCAAGATCTCTCGAATCGCCTGGAAGGTCTTCAGTCGAGATCCAAAGATCTTGTACTGAACGTCCTTAGATAGACGCGCACCTTCCGCAGTCCTGAATCAGTGCTGCTACTTGACTCGCTTTCACCATACTGACAAGATGCATGTTCTTCAGCCAGGCAAAGCTCCATGAGGGCCTTCCGAAGTGATGGTTTAGTTGAAGTCATGGGGCAAAAAGTCGTTGCGCAATACAATTGTCAAGGCCCTCAGTGCCTGGGCAGGCACCACGTTGTACCGCTTCAGCTGCACGGGCCTCGGTGGCCCACCATGTGCACCCACGCCTCTGCGGACATCAAGACAGATGATACCCGGCAATGCGCCCTTTCCGCCCATGCGTCCAATTTGTTTGTTGTTTGCCAGGTTGCTCAATGTTATGCCAGGCCAACGACGTCAGGGAGGCACTCTTGTGAATCCTGACAAGTACAAGGAAAACAAGGCGGCTGGAAGCCGCATCTAGCAAGAAGGCTCGGGGGTCATCCGGATGTCCAGGTGCTTCTATTGTCGACGGTGCTTGCTACTCATCTCAGCAGCCGCCTACGTAGTTTTTGTTGCGAAACCCTGTAGCATCGTGGAAGCTAGCAAACAAAGAAAGTCAGGAACGACCCCGGAGCAGGCCGGGCTGCGGGGCGACTGGGCCCATGGCGGCTGCACCGCGGGCCGCGTGGCGAGACATTTAACATCTACCACTCAAACGACACTGAATTGAAACCGCCCTCTGCAACATAGCTTGCCTTATCATAGTCAACAGGTGACGGAGGAGGCGGAGGAGGGGGGAGGAAGGCCATCAACATCGATTCAAACAAGGAGCGAAGTGGTGGAGTAAGACTCCCGTAGTGGCGGCCACTCCCATTCCGGCGTGCCCAGGTTGTGCACATCATCATCGTTGTTAAAGCCGAACATGTGCGTTGCCTCCGTGGGCAAACATGAAGCACATGTTGCTTCACAGATCCAAAGTGCCCCACCCAACTTGACAACACAATGGCCACGTTCGATCACCTGTGCATGTGGCGGGCTTGCAGCACACGGCCACTGATGAATGCTGAATGGGTCGGTGATAGCCCCACTAGCTACTTGTAGCAACGCTATCATGTCCTTTACTTTGGCACACACCCTTGCTCCGGGCTTTCAGGGTTCTCCTTCTGCGAGGAGGCTTCCATGCAGCCGGGCCACTGAAATCTGGCTTGGCCTCGGCGCCTGGCTGTTTCGCAAGAACGTCAGGCCGATGAAATCGCCCAGGCAGTTCACTAGCTCGTTGATCTCTTGGAGCTTGTATCTGGTAAGGCCCAACGCGGCCACCGCATCGTGGAGTGACTTGCCAGAGACCAGCTTCGTTTGTGTGAGGGCTCCGAGCCGAACACGCAGGCGTCGTCTAATGGCCCGTGCTTCGTCCGGGTTCAAGCCATGCAGTCGAGACCTCAAATATGGTGCCCCAGACCCGGCGACCGGAATCGCCGGCATAATGTCGCTGCTGGCACTGTGCCCGGACTTCCCTGAATCTGCTGATTGCGCGGACGTCCGTGATTCCGTCCCGAAGTCATAGCCGGTCTTGCTGGACTGTGAAGCCTGAGAGCTCTAGGGAGTTCAGTCTACGGATGCAGCAACAGCGCTTTGTGTGGAGACGCAAAAACTACCTATATCGGACTCTAATCGAAATCCTGGCAGCGTTCGAATTCTGGGATCGCCTCCTCGAGACCTGTTGAAAGGTCCCCCAGTTTTGCTCCCAAAGTGAGCGCTTTACCAGAAGAACACACTCCTACGATCTCGCATTGATGCCTCCGTGCGAGCTGCATTGTTGGCACTTCCGAGATGCGAGATATCCACCCCGAGGTCGTCAGAATCGCCGTCCTGCAGCCAACATGATCATAGCTGACAATATTCAACGAATATTAAGGAGTATTCAGAGCCTGAACTGGCTGCTACACAGCTTGGAATCCAAGTTCGAAGGGCGTGCGGTCAGCTTCATGTCCTCGTCGGGTTGAGCTGCTGCGCCTTGAAGCTGACAACAGCGCTGTTGATCACGAAACTAAGCATAAGGTTCTCAAACTGCTAGGCACAAGTCCGCGCGAGCTGCTGAATAAACCGGTTGGAGCAGAAAATCTGCACCCTTCGGAGAAGCATGCCAGTGAAGCAACGGGGTGAAGAGAAGATTCTAGATGTATCTTGATTCGGTGACGAGCGGCTGTGGTCAGGATAGCTTTGCAACAGGTGGTCACGAAACGAAGGCCAGGAGTCGTCCAGAAGCCTTGCAAAGGCCTCCTTCTCCATAGCAACGCAGGCTCTCCCCCAGTGATGAAATCTGTCTTGCTGTGAATTATCCGTACTTGCAGTCTGGAAGTTCTAGTGCAGTTGGGACCGGTCTCGGCACAAGGCACAACACTTGTGTAACCTGGGAGCCGGAGCGAAACACAATGTCTTGCGTGTCGAACGCAGTTGGGAAACTTTTCAGAATACTTGCGGCCGGTGCCATCCCTCGTCTATTCCTGGCTAGCAACCCTGGCTTTCCCGACTCATCCTTGTGGAACTCATTCGCGACTAACATTCACACAAACACGGGCTGACCTGAAGGCGCCATCAACAGCAAGCCTCAGCTGGTTGCTGCTGCGTGGCTTCAAGGGGACCTCTCTTGAGCGCTCTTGTGTGTGCTCTCGTGTGCTCGCACGTGCTTCTCCAAGAGGCCACAGGTCGAGGCGCGAATCATCTCGGCAAATGTGATACCGTCATCCCGCCCTGCAATAAAAGTAAAAGGGGAGCAGCCGAGCCCTTTCGGTGTTTGCTTGCACGGAACTCTTCACATCCCTACCAGGATGGTGACAACTCGGGCTGCAATCGAAGTCCACTTAAGGGGGTTACATCCCGTGAGCAATTGGGCTTGGCCTGGCATTGTGCCGAACGCGTTCCTCGGCCGTCGGCTGGCTTGAAGAGATGTCTGGCAAGATAGGCCCGAAAAACACCCCAGCTCCCCCAAGTCATCGGTATGTCTTTGTCTCCAAGCGGCGTAGGCACAGTCAAGGGGTCATCTAACGCATTGATAATGAGCGTTGGTGTCTGGACAAGTGGCGCGAACAGCACCTGCAGGCAGCGAATATTTCGAAAGATGCACTGTTCCGACTTGCCATCATGGGCTTGCGGCTTAAAGTTCAACGTGTTCTGTGTTGCCAGGTCACTTAGTATGGCACTTCTGAAACCCACGAGCAGTGCTCGAGGTAGCCGACCATCACTTGTCAGCGTTCACATGCCAGCTGGCTGAACAAAACAAAGAATGCCTAGAGGTACTGAAGCCTTCTTCAGTGATGTGATACATCAGGCAGTTTGCACGTTCCACCATCTCATGCTGTTTGCTGTCCCACCTCTTGTCTGACTTCGCTCCTGACTGCCCGAGCCATGTGCGCATCGACGCCATCGTGAGGCTGGGCTCTTGTGGAACGCAGCGTTGCGCAAGTCTCCACAACCCGTTCTCTTCCTTCGTTGTGCCGGTTGTGCTTGGATGTTGTCCCTTTGAGAAGCTTCTCCAGGAGCATGCACGCCGCATGCATTGCTGGCTTCGGGAGCTGCCCTGCACAGACATTTCAAGCCGCACGCGGCCCTTTCAAGCAAGAGATTGGGTAACCCTATTCACTTTTCTCCACCGAGGTGACACAGACAACCAACACCTTCTGCTTGCAAAGCTAAAATTCAGACTTGCCAGGGCACCGGATTCTCGTGGGCAAAGTACTCTTTGTCAGAGGCATACCCAGCAAAGGGCGCCACGTGCGAGAGAAGCTCCTGCAGATCCTTCGCACGTCTTGGAAGTACAATGCGGTACGCACTGGTGTTTCAGCTCAGTGTCCAGCCTCTTGCAGCTGATGCGAAAAGCTTAGCACCCGGCAGAAGAATTAACAGCAGCTTCGTACGCAGCAGCATCATGCGCACGGAGCACCTGCTCGTTCTCGTGCAAGAACTTGCTCTTCCTTACAATGAAGTTCATCTAGCTGCTGCAAGAGCCACCAGCCAATGAGCATATTGAAATACACGACAACTTCTCGCAACTTTCCTCTGAGGCCAGGCACGTGCTGCTCAGGCATAGCCACGTATATGGGAATTTGAAGCCGTTAAAGCCTCAGACACAGATGAACCAGACTGAGCTCTTGGGTCCCATAACAACATGGCAGCCAAACTCGCTGCACAATGCCTGTAAGCCGTGCCAAGGGGCACGTTTCCAAATTGTAGCCAGGTGCAATACAAGCCGTCGCAACAAACTTCCTCTTGGCAACAACAGACCAATCACCAATGGTCACTAGTGACCAAGTGCAAGAATTTCCAAAGACACAACTCGGTGCAAGTGTTGGCGTGCACGATTGCCAAAAAGACATGCCAAAGCCAATGCAACTCAGTGCAATCAAAGGCAGTGCAACAGGACGCGTGACGTTGCTAAAGATGCGGCAAAAGATGCAGGTTAACTTGGCTCCGTGGCATCCCTTGGGCCGAAATCCCGAAAGTGCCCAACTGCTCAGTGAGTTTCAGCCAAGGCTCGGCGCGGTCAAGTCGCCGTTCTTCCGACGCTCATCATACTTCCCCACTGCCTCTATTGGCAACTTGCCTTCGCTGCACCGGTGCCGTCCAGCGACCATGTGACAGGCTTTTGCCCAAGCACACGCCAAAAAGAGGCCTTAACGACATGTCGGGGCCCCTGCTTCCGGAGGAGAAGCCGATCCAAAACATTGGTGCATTGTTCGTCTTCTCCTGTCCGGGTCAGAGAATACTCTCTGGCACTCATGACGTCTGACGATGCATGGCATTGCAAAGCTCGTGCTGCCGCCTGTTGCCTGCTGTAGCTTGTCCGGTGCCCCGTTGTGCAATCGACTCTCATGAAAAAAGCAGCACAGGAGCCTGCACAGCACGGATGATTTGCTCCGAGTCGTCCTCAGCTGAACCCCTCCAACAAGAAGGCAGCAACATGATCATGTCATCCCGCAATGTCAGACTGCGAGATTATAGGGAATAGCGCGACACTCTTGTCTGGGATCCATTGTTCCTTCACTGGCCAGGAACTTCCCGCAACTTTAAAGCTCCGAAGATTCAGGACCGCAAGTTCAAGATACTTTCAGTCTAGGCGCCGAGTCACCAAATAGGTTCCATCGAGGACTGCGCAGTGTTTGCGCATGACCCCGGCGCTCAATGACCTTTCAGCATCCGCATCCTCTGCAGTCCCTGTGGGCTAAGACCGACTGCTTGGTACGCCTTTGCGCCGAAGAGTAGTGAAGCTTCTGAATCTGTGCTGGTTGCTTTGATCGGCTGGAATTTCATCTGCTACATTGCCCGGCGTCTCAGACTGCCCCCCCATCTGCAGGAAAGCGGCTACAACTCGGAAACCGCGGCTTACTGCACGGCGGAGAAATGAAGAGCCTGGAACATCCTCGCGCGTTGACACTGGTCCCTACAGAATTGTCAAAGATGCGTCACCACGGAATCTATATGAATTCCAGGAGTCGGGCGCAAGCACGCTGCTACGACAACTGTTTGGATGCTTGTTCGCTGAAGCCCCATCAGTCCTGGGCTGTACATGTCCTGCCCGGCAAACATATCAGGAATTTCTAGTTCAGGCCACGACTTCTTCTTGCAGTCTGAAATCCGACTGTGAGACTCCGTCTCATCTCTTAGCTTAGCTGCCTCTAAGCTTTGGGAGCAGGAGGTTGAAGCTGATTCTAGCATGACTAGTTTTGGCACCTTCTTGGTGAACCTGTTCGTTCGAACTTTGACCATCTCTTTGTTGTGCTTGCATATGCTCAGTCATGCCCGTTCTGAGGCGTCAGCAGACCGGGCTCAACAATGATGACCTTCGGAATTCCCCACTGCATGGGGGGACCGTACCAGCCGCACACGTAATATTCCCAAACTGGCCCGGTTTTGCAATTGCAAGATGCTCCTTCAAGCACACAGGAAGATCACATGATCAGAAGTGCTAAAGTTTGAGTAAGTCACTGGAGCATCAGCTGCCAACGAACAGGAGGAGCTGCGTTTGTTCTCCCTTGGCCAAACGCAAACCCAACGCATCCCGACACAGTCAGAATCAGGGCTCCCGTGTATTCCATTCCATCGGGTTCCAATACAATGTGAACCTGCAGTCCTGCGTGCGAATTTTCTCTTCATGTCAGATCCGACATGCAGGCTCTTCATAGAAGGCAAGCAGCGTCACCGGCGGAAAATAATTGACGATCACCTCCAACGAGCAACGCAATCTTGGCACAGCCGACTCCGACAATACCCTCAACCGTGCTGAAAGGTCACTGCTTTGGAGCAACAGATTCAGTCCCCACCGAAAGCAGTCCCAGTTGCATCGTCTTCCATGCAGCGTTGATTGCTCTCGCTCTCGGGCTTCGTCTTGTCCTGACACCGCAACTTTCAATAAGCAGTTTCAGCTGCAAGCGAGTGATGTCACAAGCCAAAGGAAATCTCCTGCAAGCCCGTCACTGTCAGCACCTGGGATTCATAAACGAGGGGATAGAGCTTGGAAGACAACCTTGTCCAACATTTCATGCGCACGAGATTGCAAGGCCACATTCGACATCGCTCTGCGAATCGATGACAACGGAAGATGCTCCAAGCTAGGTTCCCGGCAAGTTGTAGACAATCCACGGAACAAACCTGGACATGTTCTTAGCACCAAGGGCGAGGGGACGCACCCAAAACTCTATTGTCAGCATTGCTTCCAAAGCATTCACGAACGGGAGGGACTCTGTACAGAACGCAGCATGCACTTCAGAGCTCGGATCTTTGTCGTCGACGGGAAGCGACATGAATCCCCAACTCTTGAATTTCTGATGCCAATGCGGAGCGTACGTTGTACATTGGACGTATTCGATGCTTGATGATGCTTTTTTGTCGTGCAACACGAGACTGGACATCAAAGCGGGTATGTCTCCGGTGTTTTGCAGGCAGCCACAGACTTCCTGACCCACAGTCTGCCGCAGTGAAGCACAGAGCCCACCCGCTGTCCTGGACCCAAAATCCTGAATTCAAAAAAATAAGCCTGGCACCGGGAGGTGGGTGTTCAATTGCTTTCTGATCTTCAGTGACTGTCCGCGGCTCCTGGCTGGAGGGGGGCTCTTGATCACCTGTTTCCCATGTCTCACCGAAGATCACATTCGACGGGCAAGTGCCTTTTGGGGCTCACCCTTGCACCTCACACGCTGTCCGCAGGGTCTACCGAACCCATCACCATCCGGAGATCCACCCCTCATACAGTGCCACTTCTTCAGGAAACCGGGGGCAGTTTGATGCCGACCATTTGGCAGCTCAGTCCTTTCTCTTGATGCCAACAAAATCTAGCAGATGAACGTTCGATTCGTGACGATGCATCCGGTCGGAGAGCGGAAGCAGGCATGCGGTGCATCTCGGTGCTGTCATGAACAAGCGAAGCCACACGAGTTCTTAGCATCTCCAGCGCATTCTCTTGTACGGAAGTAAGGAAAACCTTGGGTGCCAAGAGGCTGCAGATTTCCACCGAAGGCCCACAGAGGGGGACTGGGGGCTCGCTGGGCCGTCGCCATCTTGCTGTAGACGCGCTTCCTTGCCCGGTTTTCACAGCCCTACACATGGAAGTTTTCCACTGCATCGGGGGCCGACGCTTCCGTTTGTGTTACTTATGACTTCTAACCTTCCGCGCTTCGCAGCATGTGCGAGCAAGCATCAGATCTTCACCTGTGCCAAGGAAGACCTGGACGCGGCCGAAAGTTCTGAGCGAGATGTACAGGAACAATGCCATTCCTCAGTGGCTTCGGAAATGCAAGCTAGTGTCAAGGGGCTTGGGCTTTCGCAGACAAATCCATCTCTTGTTTCGCAGCGTGGCCTTGCCTGCACCAGCATAGACCACAGCGGGAGCGACCACTTCGCTGATGTGGCCTTCGGTGCCAGGCGCAGATGGGGGAAGCCCATGGATCATGAAACACTAGAGTCACTAGAGAACCGGGGACCGCGGCAAACAACCTCAATCAACCCTGTGCTGTTTCCAGTCTGCCTGGAAGAAGGCTCAATGTGGTTCGGCAGAAAATGAACAGCAGAACCTCGAAGGCAGGGCAGCCATTGGTGACACCTGATTCTACATGGGCCTGGGTCAAAGTTGACAGATGTGTACTTGTTGGGTCAGAAAAGGAAGCCAACCACTCTGACCAAGCGTGCCCATGCTCCTGTCTGCTGCGGTCTCTTCAAAGCGAGGAGCAAGAATGGATGTGCCTTGGCAACAGACGGCACGTTGTCATGCCCCAGCATGGCAAGTAGAACAGCTTCCAGAACAGGTTCCAGGACACACATGCACAGACTCTCACGCGAACACGCACACAAACCGAAAGAGAGAGAGAGAGAGAGTCAGAAAGAAAGGAGAGAGAGAGAAAGAAAGAGAGAGGCAAAGAAAGAGAGAGAGACAAAGAAAGAGAGAGAGAGAGAGAGAAAAAAAAAAGAGCAAAAGAGAGAGAGAGAGGGAGAGAGAAAGAAAGAAAGAATGAAAGAAAGAAAGCAAGGAAGGAAGGAAAGCATGAAAGAAAGAGAGACAGACAGACTGAGGCAGGCAGCCGGCCACACACACACACACACACACTCGACCGAATGCATTGCTTTTGTGCATTCAACTCTCAGTTGCACCCAGGCTGCCCAAAGCACTGCGGCCCAAATCATTGTTGAGAAGGAAGTGCATGCAGGATCGAATGGAGTGTGCCATGTTGTCCGCAGTTCGAAGTCTTATGAAGTTTATGGGTCGTGACACATCGGCTCACTCACTAGTTGTGACAGTTGTGAGATAGGTCTTGCCTGATCAGCATACGAGATGATGCTCAAGTGTGGCCCTCTTGAACATCTCCTTGTCGTATGGTAAGCTTGATGCTTGTTCAGCTCGAAATGCTTCAAGCTAGACAGAACTTCGGGCATGCTACCCGAAGTATTTCGGATCTGACAAGCAATGGGCAATGCGACGCTCTCGCCCGACTGCAGAAACGTACATCCACTCCTCGGACGGCTTCGGTACATAGCCGCCACAGCCTTTCCCTGCGCATGTCCAGCATGCCGCATGCATTTACACTCCTAGTAGCACCAGTGACAGTCAGAAGTTGCGGCAGGATCCTGCACCTCCACATTCATCCATCATAATACGTGGAGAGTGCTGGTGGCATGCGTGCTCAGTCTTTCTGGACAAAGCTGCAGAGAACGGTGCTCCAGCTATTGTCTGAAGTCATGCTGCCAGTTCTGCGCGACTGGAACATACGCGCGCGGCGCAGAGTGAAAATTAGTGAACCATGTCGGGTTCCTGTTCTGCGGCTGTACCCGGTGAGTCAGAAGAGGCACAAGGCAAGTGTTGACATGCTGCTGGCTAGAGATATCTCATGTAGGCTTCGCTGAACACAAACCACCCTGACTCTCTGACACTGAAGTGTCCGTTGCAGCTTCCGCACACCGTTCAGCATGTGCCATCCAAGATATCTGAGTCTCAGAATGGCCCATTAACTCCTCGGCTGTCTGCATACATGCAAAAGAACAAGACAGCTTAAACCGGACAACCGCAGTCAATGTTCAAAGCCCAGCCGCCGAAGATCTTGCATGTGACGCTGTGCATCTTCGGCCCTCCATCCCAGCTCCTAAATGCGCTCGGAGAAGTCAGGCAGCACCACTGTCTTATATGTCTTCTTGCATGCAACTTGACATGTGTAAACTCTGTATCCTACTGGCCACATTGGCACAGAAAGCCAAGCGGCTTCTCTCGGTTCATCCACAGTGCCACCAAGCTAAGCGCGACGATCGGAGGGATTGGTCCCTGGATGCATGTCGTGGCTACACACTCCTAAGTTGAGACACTATCCTTCTCAGGCTGTTGTTCCAGCAAATGCCCTGCACCTTGGAGAAGGACCGCCAGTTCCATGGATCCTGTGCCACCCACACACACGGAAAGCCTGAAAGCACCCCTCGAACAGAGTCGTGGAGAGTGCAAACTCGGGGCCCAACGTCCGGGCTCGGGATCCCACCACCGCTAAAGAAGCGAGGCCGCGGCACCTCTTATCAGCAGAATGAAGGAGACTTGAAGGACCCAAGGAGAGCTGAAGGAGGGAAGGCAAGCAAACTTTTGAGCATCTGGCCACGGCCAGTGCTAATCGACGCTGAGGAAGCAGTCGGACAGCGAGAAGCCTTCGACGTGCCAAGCACGTATCTATGCGGCAGCTTCGACACAGCCTTGCGCGTGGGTCGCGTGCGGGTCCGGCAGAAGCTGAAAATTCTCCAACGACATCCTGATCTGTTGAGCAAGCAGCCTTTGGTGGAGAAGACCCATGATGCAACAGTTTCTTGCAGGGCCCTCCAGTGCTTGAGCAAACGAGCTATTGTTCTTGTGCTGCGATCGAAGCACTGATGGACTTGTGGGCCTCAACCTGACAAAAAGCTGCAGAAAGCTGGACTTCTGGCCGACTATGGGCCCAAGGGGTTCGAAGGCAAAAAGACACGCCCCTTGAAGTCCCTTCTCGCTGGAAGCCCAGAGCCAGAAGCCGACACCTTCACTGTGGGTATTGGTGGCATCTCAACTCCGCGTCGTCGCGCAGACTGACTCAGTATACATGCATATATATATATATGCGTAACTGCGACAGCTTCAACACATGTCACTTGGTCCGTGTTCGTTGAAGATGACGGGCACGATGCCCAAGTGTACTGGCCCTCAGGTCTGCTAGTCATACCTACTAGACAAGGAAGAGGTTTCTAGACTGTCCTTCGTCCAGGTATGGCTTGAGACAATCTAACCCGGAAACCTCGGGCCAGCAAGGGTTTGGAGGGAGGCTTCAAGCTTTGACATGGTGGGGTCAAGAGTCTAGAGGGCACGAGAGTGATAGAAAAACAGATCCATAGAGTGCTAAGCAGACACAGGAGAAGAGACATGCGAAAATAGGCGAGCACCCACACACAAGATAACTAAAGAGACCGCTGTCGCCGCTGTCTGAAACGACGGGAGCGGCATGATTGTACGACCAACCGATGAACCACAAAGTGATGAAACATAGGTTGAACATGGAAGGGCGCAAGCAACATCATAAACGCGCTTTTGATCCTGCCACCAGAGACAGAAAGCGCAGTGGTGGAGTTCAAAAAACTGTGGATGGAGAGTCGGCAGGGCAGTCCATACTGCATTGCCAACTGGGTGCATGCAGCAAGCAAAGCAATCTGCAACGTGCTGTTGACTATCAGCCTAAAACAAGGGTCACATGCAAGCAGGAACAGACAGACTCGAAGTGATGAATCCGTTCAGGGCCGGCGGCAAGAGAGTCTCCACGCCCCCGCCGCGGCACCCGACAAGCACAGCTTCTCCATCAGATATATCGAGGACAAGCGCCGGCTTTGCTTGCACTATCTGCAGCCGACAGAAAGGAATCGCTGCGCACAATTGTATGTCTCTAAGCTCACCTACATGACGCCTGACCCCTTGCACATGTTACTATGGCTCACTTAGCCCAGTAAACCCTGCTTTGACGTGCTGCGCGGAAGGCCCGCGATGCGCACGACGACTGCCTATATCTGCCTATACAGTGCTGACAATCACTGGAATGCTCTACAGCCTGAAACCTTCGTTGCGGTGCTCGAAAATAGCGATTCCTTTCCGGCGGGTTCTGGGAAAAATTGACCTGGGATGACCTGGGCGAAGCCACGAGTTAAACCAGTCTTCCTGCACGTTTCGGACGAGGCTCAACCAGCTTACTTGCCGTTTGGCGCAGCAACTTGACTGGCCAACTTGGCTTCGCTCACAAGCTCCCTGGCTGAAACTACACCGAGCACGCAAAGGATTACTTTCCACATACTGGATCGACATCTTGTTTCATGTGTCGGTATATACATATATACTTTCCACAGCCCATTACATGCAGACAACCATGTGCATACTTCAAGGGCCATTTTTAGGGTTACGAAATGGAGCGGAGCAGCTTTACAAAAAAGCCCCAGCTCTCCCCAGCTCCTTTGCGCAAACGCTGCCGAGGCACAGTTTAGGTCCTTTGGGGGATCTTCGCGGCTCTTCCTATGCCAAGCCTCTGTGCCCAGGCTGCTCCATAAAGGATAATTCCAAGATTAAAGGATCCAGGGCCTTCTCTTTCCGTCTGACCCAGCCATTAGCCATTGGGCTTTGCTCACTTGGTAGGAACAAGAAAGCTCCAACATTCTTAGGGGTTGCCAATTGCATCTAGCAGCAATGCATGGAAAGAGGAGAGACCCTCTGTCTAGAGGTCTTGCCCGCGCAAGATTCGGAAAGCGGTCGTGGTTGGCTGCGCAGGTGCTAATACAAAGGAAACAAGACGATCGCTCAAGCTGCAAAACTGCCTGCCGCGCATTCGCCACCCTCGCTGGGTAGCCTGGGGAAGTCCCCAGAGATTTTGGTACACTTTGCTCTGAGCAGCGACGTTAAACAGTTGTTTGCTACGCAGACTCCACTCATGAGCGCGACCAGCTAGGGCTAGTGTTGGAGGACATCACTGCCGGAAGCGGCCTGAATTTCTTGCCTGTCTATTTCCCTATCTGACCTGAGTCCGTAGAATCTGCTGTGGAGAAATTCTGCGAAAAACTGCAGCTGGCCCGCCGGATTGTCGTTGCTAATTCGTAGATTGCAATGAGGCTGGTTCATCTCAACTGCATGTGCATGGATGCAGCATCTATCATCGAGCTCGACGATCCAGGGCAGGCTAAGGCGAAGCTCTTCAGGTCGGGTCCATCAGCCGTTCTGCCGATGTCAAGGTATGTCAGACCCCCTGGGCAACATCTACAGCTCGGCGTGATTGGCATGCTCATGGCGAAGCTGAGCAAAAGGTAAACTCGTGGCTCGCATGGAACCGGCGATGCAATCCTGACAACAAACACTTTTGGGCCTATTTGTCCAAGGCAGCTGCAACCCCTGGAGCTGGAACTCGTGGACAGAACTGGCCGAAGATCCGCCTGCAGGACATCGCAGGACGTCCAGGGTCGCTGACTTCTAAGTCACAGCTTGTCAGTGGTTGAGGGGAGAGTTAAGTGGACCTTGAAACGAAGATGGTTGAGATACTACTGTAGCTTCTTCGATGACCACATGTATCTGAGCATTGCCAATCTGCCGGCCTCCCGCTGTGGGAACGGGCCGTGCTCCAAACGACCTCATTCCGAGAGGAATCGGTTTTGCAAGCCTTCCCGTCTACTCCACAAGCTTGCTCACAGAAACACGAGACAGCCAGCATTCAAAGCTTCTCCAGGCGGCCGCGCAGCGGGTCAGAGGCTGCTCTCAGCACGGGCGAGGTGGATAAGGCAGGGCTGCTGGAGGCCTCACAGCAGAATGTGGTCAATTGTCGAAGCACCACTCCCATTCCCTTTCTCTGCGCTGAGCTGACAGCAAGAAACTCCGAGCTTTGCTCTAGGAGACGAGCCTGGTCTTTCACCATTTGGCGCTTCTCTAGAGTAGCTTGGATCCGCAGTGTGGGTGCGTCTGGTGCGTCTTACGTGCAAACCTTTTTGGGGGCTCAAGGCAGATGTAAACAGATGGCATCTTCTCTTTGCATTTTCTCATGCGAGACCCCTGTGAGTAGGCATCCGGACCGCATCGTCCGGATGATCCAGCAGAGACACAAGCACCTGCTGATACAACTGCTGATACATCTCAGCTCTCAGAGTCCTGAAAGCAGCGCGCCCAAACGGCCGTAGACACCTGTATGGGCAGCTGCTCGAGGTCGTTTTGAAGCCCTTGTGACCTCAAGACTGCTCCCAAGAAGTCCTCCTAGGCCCTACTTCTGCCATGTAGAAAACGCTCTCTGCAGGATACTGCAGAAGTGGGCACAGAGACACGTGAAGGGTGGCCCTCTGCGGTCCGAGTCCTTAGTCCCCAACACCTCGGCACCTTGTGACAAAGGTGCCAAGCTGGCCTCAGCTCCACACTTCTTGCGTGACATGAGCAAGCTAGAGATTACAAATGCTTTATGAACGAAGCTCGAATTGTTGCAGCAAGCAGCATGTTCTGTAAACTGGACAGTTCACGCAAAACCATATACGCTGGCATGAACTTCGGTATTATCCGAGGCTTCGGACCTTGGCAAGTTGTACCAACCAGCTTTGTGGGTATACCTCCAGTTTGGCTTCAGAGTCTCTGCAAGAGCACGGCTGATGTGCTTGTTTTGTGTTGTGTCTTGGACTCCAACAAAGCGCCAATCTTCTATCTCCTCGAAGAAGGGGTGCTCCTTAAGCGTGGCCACGGTCCTCGGAGTTGAAATGGCCACTCAACACAGGGGAGGCATACAAAGTTCAAGACTTTGTTTGGGATGCTGCTGCAGGCGATTCTTCTTGCTCACTGCACGACACGGTTTAAGGTGATCAAACTGCGTAGTACCAAATCAAGAAACGCAGGGTGCTCTGAGGCTAGGGGGAACTTGTGGCTTTGCTTGCTTCAGGAGCTGGGGGGGGGTGCGTACTACTCCAAGATTTCATGACTTCAGAGAGCTTCAGGTCTGAGCCCCTGGTTTGAAGCCTTTGGCTTTGGGGTGGTTGGGATGTCTTTCATGCCAAATAAGAACCGAAAACACTGAAGAAACCCCGGATTTCTGCCCCAACGAATCAAAGCATGCGATGTGGATGGGAGCACATGCCGGGCAAAAAACATCAGAATACATCGCGCAGGATTGCATCATGCAGTAAGAAACATACAATCGCAAAACGTGCTGCTGACACCGGCACGCAGCGCAGCGCATACGTGGTCTACACATGATAGATAAACGGATGGTTGACAGGTAGATAGTTAAGCCAGGTACATAGACAGGTAGGTAAATAGGTAGGTAGGTAAGTGGCCAATGTCCGGAAGTATGCAGTGATGAGCGGTGTTTGCCCGGAACTTGGTGAGGGCAGGGAGCAGGGGGGGAGGGGAAGGAAGGGAGATGGGAGGCGGGGGGGGGGGGAAGGCAGGATGGGAAGGCGGAGGAGAGGGGGGGAGGGACGAGGGCTGAATGCTGAAGGGGGGATAATAAACAACAAACTGAACGAGGATGTTTGACGCTTCTGCAACAAGGCGCACCATCACTTAGCCTTCATGCCTCTTGTGAACAATCCCAAAACACTGGCACTTGACGGCGTTGTTGCATATTTGTGTGCATTCTACTGCACTCAGGCGCTGGACATTTTTCAGGGTTCTTCCCACATTCTGCAAACAACCCTGCGCAAGGTCTGACAACGTGCTGTTCCAGCGGATCATTGCCGCAGCTTCCCAGACAAGTGCTTTTCGATCTAAAAACCTGAAAACAGCAACTCAAACAGACTTTTCATGAAACGACCCTGCTGGAATCTACCACGGCGTTAAAAAGACATGCGCCAAGTAGGTAGGTCATGGTAGGCAGGTAGGTTATGGTAGGCAGGCAGGCAGCCAGACAGAGACAGAGGGAGAGAGAGAGAGAGAGAGACCGAGATTGATAGATGGATAAGTGGAACGAGTATGGCCAACGTGCTGCATCACCTGAGGACCCTGCCCGCGTCGTTCAGGCACCTGCGTTCACACCGGAGGGGCGATGCGACTAGTCTTCGACCATCAACCGGTCAGGAACCCCATGCAGGCGCTAAACGCAAATTGGCATCAGCTCGGCCAGTGAACTTAGTGAACTTTCGTTCATGCAAGCGCCTCCTCCGTCAAAGCACGCACCAGATCGAGAGCAAGGTCCCAGCGGCGCCGCTCTTCCTGTACTTGGCTCTGCAACGCTCTGCAGATAAACACCCCTGAAGTCAGAAGACTGAGAGACGTCTGAGAGAAGAGGCACTTGATGCCTCGCTTCCTTGACACGCAGTCTCTGGAAACCTGCCACACAAATTGCCGTTAAAAGCTTGCATTGCAGGCGGTGATTTGTGTTGAAATTGCGATCAAGTTGACGAAAACTACACGGAAAGCCCCACTGGTGACAGCAAAGGCCGTCTAACCTGGTGGCGGTCATGATGCTCGACTTGCTCAGGGTGGCAGGGCGGGCTGGCTTTTGGCCCTGGCCCTAGTCCCCCAAACAATCGTTTGTTCTGCCATTCATATTCACCTTCGATGACAATGTTCGAACTCAGGCCGGAAGTACTTTGCAGGATACGCCGGACTGGGCTGCGATCCCTCGCCTCCTGGCGTTGTAGCCGAGCAAAGAAAATGGTCAGGCTCCGTCAATGTTTGAATGTGAGTGAGGAGAGCGGACGGAAGCCGAATCAAGTCGGCTGCCTCGGCGCCAGTCCATCGAGTTGGGTGGACGCGCAGGACGCGGCCCACGGCGCCCGGCGCGGGGTCCTTGCCGTGCGACAGGGACACAAAATTCCCTGGCTGGTGCCTCTGTAACCACACCGAAACTCCACATACTGTAACAACTCTGCAGCTGTCCGTTTTAGGGCTACTTGCTGCAAGAGTGATCCACACACTCGATGTGTGCTCTGAAATTGTGGGGTGAGAGAGCATCCCCGTCTGCCTCTCGAAGTAATCACCACATCACCGTGGAGGTCGATCTCGACACGGTGAGCGGCCCCTTGCAAGGACACTCGCTGCCCGGGCTCTGCATGGCTCTGCTACTCTCAGGGATCTTGCGACCCTAGAACGCTGGTTCTGTGCAGTCAGATTTGAAAGCATCCTCTCTTTCTGCTCTCAAGCGCTTTAAGAGTCTTAGCTTAGTTTTGAAGCCTTTGGGCCCTTCTGGCCTCGCGTGGCAGAATGGTGTTGGAAAAGTCTGAGGACGTGGCTGGCCGGCTGCAAGAAGTGGTGCGAGGCCCAGTAGAAATCGAAGTTCAAACCTTGGGGCCACACGTGCAATTACATGAAAACATCTGCTTCGGGCTATAAGCCCTTGAGTTGTAGCTGTTGAGGGTACCCATAGGCGCACCCAGGCAGCAAGCAGTAATTTCTCGGAATTTGAGCAAGTGCCCTTGGTGCCCTTTTGTCAAGCGCTGTTTTCTCTCGAGACTCTCGGGCGCTGGCGTCCCAGAATATCGCGGAGGTCTTTCAGCGACTCAGGTGGAAGCCTGCCATGAGAAACTCTGCTGTCCTCCCCTTTGGACACTTCTGAAGTTACAAGGGGCCACTTCTAGCGACTCTAACACGTCGCATCGCAACATTCCCGCGAGGTGCAGATGATGATCGCTGAAGCAAAAACGCATACATACACGCATGAATACGTACGCGCAGACACAGACGCAGGCGCAGACGGAGGGGCAGACGCATGCGCATATCGGCATGAATCAACAGGCCTCTTTTCAAAAGGTGCTTCCCTGACATCGTGGTAGACCTGCCAGGGGGTGAGATATGCCTGCAAGTGGAAGTCTGAATTTACGCACGCCTCTCGCAACACCTCACAGTCTTATCAGCTTCCGACCTGCCTCTCCGCCAGTTAGCATCATAACCAGGAGGACACCAAAGGCGTAAAGATCGGCTGCAAAGCCATGCATCTGTCACCCAGTGGTTGATCAGTACTATTCAAGCATGTGACACACAGTCGCAGGTACACTGCGGCACACTTTCACGAGCAGCTGTGGACTCGAAGGCAAAGGCAGTCAAAGGATTGCCTGTCTCTTTGGATTCACTTCTGGCGCGGCATAGCCGTAGGAGCCGCAGAAGGTCTTTGTGAAGTTCGCATAAGCCTCAAAAAACGGGTCACACAAGTGGAGAGATCCGAGTCAAGCCGAGTCTAAGCCCGATCTCAGCAACAAATTTTCTGAGTGACATGCCCCACCATAGGACTGCGCCTGTTCCACGAAGTTGGATTTGGCATCTCGGGCTGCGAAAGACCAACTTGGCCTCCGCAATTGCATCTCGACCTCCACGATACTGCCTTAGGAGTCGCAGCCATGCAAGAGGGTAAGTGGCCGGTCACACTGCGCGGTAAGTCTGGTGATTTTTCCCACTGCCTGAACTGAAGTATGCTCCTGCACAATGCTGTTTGCTCGCAGCATTGCTACGGACGTTTAGGGTTGTCAGCTGGTCGGGTGCATGTGGCACGCGCAAGATGGAGGCCTTCAACGGTCTGAGAAAATCACAAGACACAGCCTGGAGCTTGAGCTCTTGAGCTCTTGAGCTCTTGATGCGCGCAGCTGAGATGAGGCTGTCCCGCCAGCCCCGGCATCGGCCAAGGCGCTTGGCCAAGCCGAAGTCCGTCAGCTTGGCAGTGCCTCTCCAGGCTGAGAGGCATTCCACGTCCTGCTACTACCGCATGCCAAGTACACATGCAAGGCAGACCATCTTTGTCCAAAACGACGTTCTCCAGCCTGGGGATGTCAGCAATCACATGAAGAATTCCCATGGCTGTGTGAGTGAGCGAGCGCTCTGCTGCCTGGCATAGCACCTTCTTTCAAGTACACTGGGATCGTGGCTTCAGATCCCGGAAAACAATGCCGCGAGTGTGGAGATGCTCCAGCGCCAGAGTCACCTGTCACTGGCTGATGGGATCAGCGACTCTGGAAAGCACACAGGTTCTGCCGAGCTAAAAAGCCCAGCGGATGTTTGTTCCTTAACTGGGCCTGCTCGACCAACACCAACACACAAATATACACACACACACACAGACCACCAGCAAGCCTTACTCCCACTCCATGGGCACCTCGGCAGCTATCTTCAAGATACGCTGCAATGGTAAACCAGGACAGCCCTCCGTCCTTGGCACCAGGGTACTGATCAGATGTGTGCAGTTTGCCGCAGCTTGTGTCAGAACTGTTTCAAGGCCTGGGTCGCTTTCCACCGTATCCAAGGAAACTCGGATCCGGACAGCAGCGCTTGCTGCAGATCACCACCCGAGCAGTACTCCATGATCATGGCCCACTGACACATTGAGGTGCATCCGACATGGCGAAGTTACAGGAACGGCGTCCCACAGGAACGAACTGGGATCGTGCCTCTGTGGTGTTCTCCAGGGCATGGATCAGGCGAACCACGAAGGGGTGCTCCTGAAGTTGGCACTCTTTCACTCAGTTCATACGCACTTCTCGCATGCACTGGCCAAGCTGTGCGTTGCCTGGGCCAGATTCAGGGTGGCAATTTCCCTCAAGGCCTGGCACAAGCACTTCAAGCACTTCTCCCCTTATGAGGAACCCCAGACTCACAGTGCTCTTCCCTCCCTGCCAGTGGGATATTGCTGGTATACCCTAATGCAGACTGGACAACATGCAGACACTTGCTAAGTGAGCAAAAAAGACCCGCCTTGTCTGTCATCTGCTTGCGGGCATAGAACTCTTTGGACAGACGCTTCACGGCAAAAGTCTGTCAAGCATGGAGCTGCAAGCGATGTCACGACAGGCGCACGTTTTTGTTGTTGCTTTACCCTTCTCTTACAAATCACTCTGGGGAGTTGGGCTGTTGGGCTGTGTGAGAAGCCTTGGCAAGGTCAGCTGTCACACTCAGACATGACCCCCAAGTCAGCGTTTGCAAACATCAAGACTCACGTCGCCTGCTGTGTGGCCCGGTCCCTGACCTGTCAGACTCATCAATTGTGCCAAAATTGAAAGTTGGGTTGACAGTAGAATGCACAAAGATGTGCCGCAGTCCAAGTTCCAAATTCTCAAGTTACTGCAGGCTGCAGTTCCGTCTAAGCAGAATTTTGGCTGCCGGGGGGAGCGTATATTGTTCGTCTTTAAGGGCGTCTCCCTACTGCGACCGCGACAGCATTCAAGCAATTATGAACAGCGTACCTGGAACACCTTGCCGAACTCACCATATCCAATGAGAGCAATGGTGTCGAAGTCCTGGAGCGCGGAAGAGAGAAGAGGGAGCCATGCCGAGCATGACTCTGCCACGCCAGCACGCGTCTTTGAAGATGCCATTCATCAGACGCGAGCGGCAGCCAGCAAACCGTGGGTTTCGGGGGTATTCGTAGTAGAAAGAGGAAGATCACCATGAGCACGGCTCCTCCAACCGAGGTGGCCGCGTCGATGGGCCTGAAATCGAGGCAGTGGCCTGAGTTTTCAGATGCCAACACAACGACATCTTACATATTCTTACATAGCACATTTAGCACATCTTGGCCGAAAACGCGTGGCCGACTGGGTTCCAGGCCGGCGTCGGCACTGAGCTGCAGAAAGGCAAAGCAAAGGGCGCCTCGGAAATGCGGCCTACACAAGGGAGCGTTCGCCTGCAAAAGCTGCACTCGGCTCCAGACACGCTCCACCGCTGCGCCAAGGAGGAGCTGTGACAAGCCCACTGCTGGTGGCCAGAAGTCCTTCCAGGATCTGGCTGCCATGCTAGATTTGCTGTCCTTGCTGCACTCCGCCCAACATGAGGTCAGACAGCTGCTAGGTAGGTTGCAGCCGAGTAGGGAGTCTCGGTGTGCCGCACGTGCACTTGCAAACAAGTTCTTCACTGCCTTCTCGCTCATGACCTCCACGTCGGGTATCGCAGCACCACCTTTCCGAGAGAAGCTCGCCACTGGTGGAGCACGTCTGTCACAAAACTCCCGTGTGGGGGGGGGGGGGGGGGGGGGGCACACCCGGCTCTCCTTCACATTCGTTGACAACCCTTCGAAACCCACAAGTTCGTCAACTTCGTCCGCATCCGGAGAATCGAGACGCACACTGAACAGCTCTGAGGCTCATGCGCCGAATCGACACACCCTGAGACGGCACTCAAGGAAAAGACAGTACGGGAGTCTCGATAGACGGCAACCATAGGCAACAATAGGCAACAATAGACGACAGATGGTGACAGGACCCTAAAGGAGAAGTCTTCTCGCAATATTCTCGCAGCTTCACCAGTCTTTGCCAAGTTGCCGAGGAAGGCAATTCGACTGGACGTTGCTGAAGCAATGGGACCTCGAAGCAGTCTGATAACTTGACTGATACTTCTTGGAAAAACAGAACGAGGCAAGCTGATCCCTGACTAAGCTGCTAAAGCGATGTCGACTAAGGCATCGGCCACAAGTTGGGGATCGGACGGAAGCCAGCAGCTGCACCACCTGCAGCAACCATGCCCACTACAGAGCACACTGTCACTGCGCTAGTTTCATGTGTGCATTTTTGTTGCAACGCGCAGGCGCAAGGGCTGAGCGCGACCCAGGCTAATACGCTTGAAGCTGTACAGAGCACAGAGGAGAATTTCTTCTAAGCGATCTTGCAACGCCAGTGAATGACTGATTTGCTGGGGAGGAGCTTACCGTGGTTGAGGATCATTTTGTCTTTCGTGCTGTTTCTGGAGCAACCCTTTTTTTGATCTGTAAGATCATTCTTTCGGTGTCGAAGATCTTTCGGTGATCTTTCGGCGATGAGGCTTTCAGTGTCGGAGTATACATAAGTGGGGTATGATTCTGTATCTGAGATCCTAAGCTTTACCTAGAGATTGTTCCTCTGTTTGTTGTGTGCATATATATATATGCATATATTCTATATGTTTTTCCTTATTCATTTACTTATTTGCTTATTTACATGCTTCCCCCCAATTGATCCATCGTGTTCGGCGTCAAACCTCTGAAAATGCTCTTTATGGCGCCTAGCTTCAATAATCTGAAAGTCTTCTGTTGTTATGCACAAACTCACTTTCTGGATATCGCTATTCTAGGTTGTAGTGCACGCAACTACCAATACATTACACATTACTGGGGGTCAGCTATCTGAAAAATATAGCTGTTGGCTCAAAGGAGATTCATAATTTGCTTCAACTTCATTGTCATGATGAAGCGCACTTATGGTATGCTGAGGGTTATTTATCGCAATTGATAAGGTCAATAACAAGCGACCCGTGACCAAAACAGTGTTTGCATAATCTACGCGAATAGAACTTTTTAGAATATGCTCTTGACTATTCTCTTGATTCCCTTCCCCCAATTAAAAAACTGTGAACCAATTCACGAATTCGATTGGGGGTTATATACATCTTCTGAAGTACTCACACGAGCAGTCGGCCGTCTTGCCTGAAACCACATACATGAACACAAGATATTTAAAGACTGAACCCACTGGCCGTTTAAACTTTAAACGCAACTGGATTCAAAGCACCGAGGCTCCCCAATAGGTGTCCTTCATTCTCCTTCATTTCCTTCGGCCGTTAGTTCAATAATCAAGAAGACAGTCATGTAAGAAGTAGAGCTAACAGCAGTTCTGTTAGTCAAATCAATGAGATTCTCTACACTTTCAACGTGAGGGGGTGGGGGGGGGGGGGGGGGAATGAAGATTAAATTGCAGAGTACGTTTCCGTAAATTCTGTTCACGTTGTGAAGGAGAATGTGCTTTGGCTTCAAAACCAGTCGTTCTGTTTATGCAATCAGTAGAAACGGCTCTATTGAAACAAAATACAAATCCCTGCTTACATTTGTTAAGTCCAATCAAACGTTGGGAATCCTTTGATAACTTCACGATTGAAGCCATGTGCTTGAAAGCAAGCACATTTAGCACAAGCTTCACAAAAGAAGTCATGAGCGGCCTCGAACTTGACCATGACCTGTTCCTTGATCTAACAACCAGAGCCAGAATAATACTTTTGAGTTTTACACAAAGCTCAAAAGGTGAATCACACACTTGGTGATCAGGATTGGAGGTCAGCTATATGGGGAAAATAGGAGGATCTCGGCCCCAATATTCTCAAATTTTACGCGAAATTTTAGAATCATCTACGGACGGGACCACGTCCCTGGTCCCAAAAATCCAAGAGTTTTCAGATGTGAAAACTCGCAACGGAACACCCTAAACCCCAAACCCCAAACCGTAAACCCACTCAAGGGACTCACTGTGCTCTGACGGGCGCGCGGCGGCCGGTGGTCCTGAGCGACCCCTTGCTGTGGCGGGGGTAATACTCTCCTCCTCCGGCGGCCCGCTCCGGCAAGCCTGCTGCGGGTCGCAGCAACGCCGGCAACCGCAGCACGGCCTCAGCACCGCAATGATCACCCCGACCGCGGTCCTCGCCCGTCCGCAGCGCCTCCACGCCGTGGCCCGCGTAGAGCACGAGGACGAAGCTGTTGGGGAATTGCCGGGAGAGGGCCCCGAAGGCGTGTGCCTTCTGCGCCGCGGCCGGGCCGTGGCGAGCGCGGCTCTCACTCCCATCGGCCAGCTCGACGTGAGGACTCCCCCACACCACCAGCGTCACCTGGTGAGGAAACAGTTGGAGCCGGGCCTGCAAGCACTGGGCGGCCGCGTATGCATCCACGTCCTCCCACAGCAGCGCGCCATGCCGCTGGAGTTGCTCCGAGTTGGCCGCCAGCGCTTCGTAGGCGGGGCACCAACGCTTTTGAAGAATTCCGTGCAAAAAACTGGCAACAATTCCTGTTTCATGTGATGTCCGTCGTCTTCGGATACTGTCCTGACGGGCTGCGCAAGCCGGCTACGGATTCGTCATCCAGGGGGGCGCAGGGTTCAGGGGTTAAGCTTGAAAATACAAAACTATAGAAACAAGAAACCTTTTCGACATCAAAGATAGAAGATTAAAGCTCACACAGAAAATGATGTTCTAGAGTCTTCACTTTGCGGACCGAACACTTCGAACCCAGTCCGAGGCCCTCAACGGCTATTCGGTAAACTACTACGGTCTGTACTTATCTTGGTCAGGGCTAGGATACCCTGAATTGAAGCGATTTTTGTTTAGGGTTGAGGGTTTGGTGTCTTTTTGCGCCGGGTCAAGGGTGGAGTCTCTGAGTTTCGTTTTGTCGGGCTTCGGGCTTGAACTTGAGGATTTTGAAAAGTCGATTGTCTGCCATAAGGAAACAAAAGCAAAGCCTCAGATTCTACCTGCTGGCCCATGCCACCTAGTTTGACTGAGACTGTGAGTACCCTCCGGGAATTAATTACTGACAGTACAAGAGCATTCGAACTCATAGTGGCAAATATGATTAATCGAAATAGGTAAGAGCACACATGATACGTAGAGGTTCCTGCCACATTTATGTTTATGTGTACGCATGCAGCATGCATGTATGCCGCATGTGGACATCTATATCTGTATGCGTGTGTATATACATACAAATAAAATCAAATAAACATATATATATATACAAGTATATAGGTATATATGTCTACAGTGCCACGGACATGAGATCCTGGCCATGATATGACGAGGCTAGTGTCGCGAAATGTCGCGACTAGTGCAATACCGACGGAGCATGGATCCAATAAGAATGCGAAGCACATGCAACCGTCCACATGCCACCGCCGGCCTAATGACCATGCAAAGGTAGTGCACAAGTATGCACGTAGCCCATGGCGCAGACCAAGTCCTGGGCAATGGGTGGCATCGGCATGGAAGGTAAGCTTCATACCAATGAAAACGGAAAGATCGGAAGCCAAGGGCCTCGCCTCTGGTGTAGTGCTTGTAGCGTGGTGACAAAGTGCACTGTCCGAGGATCCTGAGATCAATCCAGTGTTTCAAATCAAGGTAGAAACTCAAAACTGAAACTGTGCAAAAACTTCTTTAGCATTTCCTGATCTCGTCTTTCACACATCAGTTGTTAGTATTGTTCATTCCTTGGGCTCCTCAGAATCTTGGAAGTCATTCAGTCACTAGCTACAGAATGCGGGCAGCCGTAATCTTGATGATGTCAGCAGGTTGCTTTGAGTTGGCTTCTTGAAAGCTGACTACCGACAGCCTGCTGGGGCCATGCAGAAGAGACATCGGTGCAACAGCGTTCACGCCGGGGCCCGAGGTGCAGACCACTATCCAGCTGTCCTCATCGTGGCGATGCTTGTGATGCCGGGTGTCCAAGGCTTCTGCCTGCCATACTTAAGCTGCAAAGCTGCACACACCAGGATGCGTCTTCAGATGTCGGCAAGGGCTAGGCTCCCCGCTTGTATGAGATAGGCTGCGGTGGCCAACCCCACAGCGGCGGACAACTGGACAGGGCAAGCAAAAACTACCACCATCCAAACTTCTGATTCTTGTGTCAGATTGGATAGTGGACATGCCTCCAACGCACGAAGGCCGCAGAGCAGGCTCGAGGCGTTCTGCGCCGCCGTGAAATGCCTGACCCCACAAAGTCTAAAGACCATCGCCAAGACAAGCATGCTGAACAGGATTGAACAGTACCCGGTTCTTTCCCAAGGCCGAGGACGAAGTTCAACAGGAATGGTAAGTTCTCGAAACTCTGGTCTCATCTTGCTTTGAACTCTGTTATCATAACCTAAAGCACTGGCCCGACAATAGAAATGCTGGGCGCAGCCGGCTTGGGCGAGTCCACAAACTGAGGCAGGTTGGAGAAGAGAACCGGCCTCACTGAGCCAGTTTTTGTCAGATTCTTGGGGCTTTCAGGCCTCAGGGGTTGAATTCAAGGTTCCAGGGTTCAGTGTAGCTTTAGGGTTTCCCGTGCCCACAAATGTTGAAGAGTTGTTTTGAGGCCCAGGCCATGCCACCACCAACGCTGCGAAGACAATGTGCACCTGCACCAGAAGGTCCGGCAGAAAGACGACGACGACGACTACTACTACTGGGGTGCTGTCTGCCTAAATGACACGCCGATGGTGCACGCGTGGAATCAACTCTAGACGGAACTGCGCCGACCTGAGGACAAGAGCCAGACGGCCAGGAGCTGCCGATCAGGACGACAGTGTTCAGCGCGTAAACCACCGCCAGATACCTACAACAGCATTCGTTGCAGCGCACGTCGACAGACAACCGCTCGCCAAAAGAATCCAATCCGCCGTGGAGCTGTTACTCGATGCCCATGCTGTATCCAGGAACATGCACTGCACAAGTCCTTTGCCAAGTGCCTGCATATTCCAGGGAAACGCTGCAAAGAAACTTGACTCAATCCTGAAAGTCATGGCGGCGCACGCGGCAAAGCACACCGAAGGAAGTGTGAAAGACATTGCCATCACCATCGCGCACTTTGCTACAACCTGCAGTTTGAAGGACACGCTGGTTTGCTGTGCTACCGATCAGGGAGGACGCAAACACACGCAAGCGGCAAGCACGTGATGGAAGATGACTACCAAACTTGTCCGCCTACAGCCCCATCAAACCTACGAGTATGTGCTCTCCGGTGCAGCTTTGCAAGGGAGGGCCTCACAGCTGCGATAGGCGACGTGCGCCACGAAGACACTGAGGCAAAGCCCTGGCTCAGAAAGCTTCAGCCGATTCAGCCCCTGAGAGCATACCTGAATATACATGTTTATACGTATTTGCTTCTCATGTTGTGCATAATTAATATGCTTCCTTACTTCTACGTATACTTGTACTTATACTACTTCTTCTGCTTGCATACTTTTATCGACAGGTATGACGCCTGCCAACGTCGGATCTGACCCCATGCAGTCAACTGCTCAAGCTGACGGAAGTTCCAAGCGGGAACAGGCCAGCTGAGCGTCTGGTCTTGGGAGCACTCGTTCCATACCTGTCAGGCCACGTTTCTTAGTCGTACATGGCAGAAGCATACCCTCACTTCTCAGCTGGGCTCGAGGCAGAGCTCGCGAAAGCTTCAGAGACACAGTACTGTCAACCAAGACCTGCATATGAATCCGAGCACACCCATGGCATCTCATGGACCTCCACGGGATTTGCTGAACTGGCCACACAACTCTCAGGACTGAGCGAGCCCAATGGCAACCATGCACAGCGATGAGAAGAGCACAGCAACCAGAAGCACCTTGCAGGCAAGGCTGCCAACGGCCTGAATAAGGCTGTAGGGCAAAACTTTGCTTGGCTCGACCTCGAAAGCTGGTGAGCTCGGAATGCGAATCTGACCTGGCGAAGCTGGTGTCCAAAACCTAGGCCCTAGCCCCAACCCACCTAAACGCCCCAAAAACCCTGGAAAAACCAAACTCTAAACCTAAAATGCTATCTTGCACGATCTTTCTCGATTCCTTCACTGAGCCGGCTGCCAAGGGCACAAGAGAGCCGAAGGTGAAGCGATGCGAGGAGGAAGGCCAGCCCCTGCGACACCGGAGGTTTGGGGGCTTTCGAGGCTTTAGGGAATGAATCTTAATAATCTTAATGGGTTTCCAGCGGCATGTTGCAGCAGGCTTGGGATTTGGGCTTTGCGGCTTAAGTGGCTCCGAACCGAAGGGCCTCCAGAATGACATCCAATGGCACTGCTCGAAGAGGAAGCCGCTTTCCCTGATCCTGCGAATAGAGAACTCCGGCACAGCATCTTGAGAGTACAAACTGGCTCATCCGCGGCCATCAAGCAGTAGGGGCAATTCCAGCATGGGTCCTGCTTGTACCACCAAGCAAACAGTGAGTCTAAGACGTGCAGCACCTGACCGAAAAACAGGGCAGGAACGAGAGGCATTTCGTGTTTTCTGCTCATGTCCGCTGGCCTGAAAGAGCGGGGTGGCCAGGCCGAAAACCGACAGAACTGCCGCCCCGGCCCGGGGTACCTGGCTTAGACCCAGATCGAACTCAGTGTCTGCATCCCGCACAAGCGCATCTACTTTGTCGCGACTACATGTCGAATCCGGTCCTATGGCCCTTCTGCAGCCACAGACTTTCAAAACCTAGATATGGCTAACCCCAAGATGAGAGGCCAAAGTGTGTGAGTTTGCATGAGTGTGGAAGCCTGTGCAGAACGCTCGTGACAAGCGAAACTGTGGTCCTATTCGCTCGACGCATAAGCCAAGATGCAAGGCTCTTGCAAATTGAAATCATGCTGTTCTTAGTGAACTCATGGCCAGAGTGAGCTTTCAGACGAGTAAATAACCCTCAACAAGCGGATACTGAGCAGCACACCCCCGTCAGGCCCGAGAAGAACTCGTACGCTCTGCGAATCCCAGCTAGCAGATGCACCTAAGCCATGCGTCTTTCAAGCTACTGTGTTTGGGCTTGCATATGCGTGCATGATCGTGCATGCTAATGGGATGGTCTTAGCCATCCGTGAGTGGTCCACTGTAGAAAGCACATTGCTCTCAGCATGTCCAGCCAAGTGCAAAGTTAACAGTCAGAGACACAGCCACTTGGTCTGCTGCAGCCGCAAGGACGCCAAAGTGTGCCCGTAAGCCTTCCTCACGCCACAGGCAGACCTAGCATCCAGCAGTCATCATCGAATCCATGCACGTTGCTCGAGGTGTGGCTAGCCTATCAACCTAGCGACTGGTAGCGAGCAAAGCCGCCATTGACAGGCAAACTTCAGTCCCACAAGCGAATGTCTGTCTTCATGTGTTACGAAGGACCGGTGATGCAGCATTTTTGAATAAACCGGAAACTCCAGCTGCTATCTCCCGGCAGCCGCACCAGCAGGAGGATCTTAGCAGCATAGTCGGCCTGACAATGTCTGGGCGGATGCGTGGTTCACACCGCAAGCTGTCTGTGCTCAGGACTCCTCGCACACCACACACAGCCCACTTCATGCTTAGCGGACGACTTCTCAGCAGGCTGGATATGTGGATACATGAGCATGTTGCCCTTTGCTTGGAGACTCTCAGGCGTCGGCCATTTGACTGGCCAGAAACAGCAAAGCTAAGGCCATGCTGGCCTGGCTCAGGGCCGTGTCACCAGCTCCCTCGAAGAGTTGCTCGCACATGGTGCCCTAATGGTGCCACATGGTGCCACATCCGAGCCTCGACCAACGGCGCTGCCGTATGGACCCGCCTGCCGATGCCAAGACGTAACTGGGCCTAAAGGATGCCTCAGGAGCAGGCGTGCTGCATAGTGCTGCCCAAAGCTTGGGCTAGGAAGCCTCGACCATGGCCGGGCCCGGCCGTGGAGCTCCACGTCGGGCTCCGGGGGCCCTTGGCAGAGCTGTGGGGAACTTCAAGCCAAGTCAGCTGGGATTGTGAGAAACCTTCTGCGTTCTCTTCCATACGGACCCTCCACACGACTTCGCAGAGACCGCAGGGCGCGCAGAACGGACATGTTTATTCTTTCTGCATGATCCTGTACGAGGCTGGTGTAAAGCCACACCGGCGAAGCGAGCCGCTGGAAAATGCTGTGGCTTCACAGTTTTCCAGGCTCCTGACTCCTGAGGCTTCAAACATCTTCAAGCTCAAGTTGAAGCATCCTCCAACGCTTCGGGACTGGAGCCGTAGCTAGGGACGGAAGCCGAAAACACATTACAACAAAGCTGGGAAGGATGCGGCCGGCACCAAGCGAACGCAGCCGCTTCAAAGTCCAAGGAGCGTGAACAAACGCATCGGACACTGTAGAGAACAGATGTAGAACATCATACAACATCTCTAGGCACATCATAAGCTCAAGCTGTTCAGATGGAGATGAAGCCATCGTCGGACCTGCAGGGGTGTTTTAGTGAGTGAAAAAACATCATGTGGCATCAGCCGCGGCATCAGCACAGTTCAAGGCCTAAAAACTTGGGACGTATGGCCTCATTTGGGTTACTCGGTCTCTGCGGCGCGATCACGCCAAAGGCCCACAATCTCTCTTGATAGAAAACAGTAAAACTGCACACAAGTCACACAAGTCACGACTTCTTGATAAACGGCAAACAACAAACTGAGCAAAGCATCTAACTAATGTTATCTTGCGCTTAGCTGCGCACTACAGCACATGCTGCGGACTACTTGCGGCTGCCAATTCGTCCTGGAAGTACAACATTCAAGCCTCATCCTCGGTGGTGGCGATGGAACTGCTGGAATCACGTCGCCCGGAATGCCTCATGCACAAACTTGCCCCAGCCCTGGGGCCTGGCATATTCTGGCATACAATGCAAGCTGTCGGCGTCTGACGACGCTTGTTGCAAGGCCGGTGGCATTTCTTCTCCGGTGACCAGCGCCCGCCGTTCGTTACCAGCTTGAACCAGGCCTGGCTCGAAATACAGACACAGGAAGACGAACATGCAACGACGCTCGACGTGTAGCGGCACGCGCTACACCGCCTCGTCGAAAGCGGCGTCGAGTGCAGCCGGGTTCAAGGCAAACTCCTGGGGCAGGCTGGCGTGCAAGGGCTTCACGCCGAAATCCAGATATCCAGCCCCCGCAGTTCAATCGAAACAGAAAAACTGGTCGTAGTAACGGGAGGTTCCCAGGTGGTTAGCGTTTAAACGTCCTGGACAATGGTGAAGTACTTGTCGTCGTTCATAAGGGCCATGTCACTGGTGAGCCTTGCCATCCCAATTGCATTCGAGCTCTTCAACACTGCTTTCGGTGTTCGGTGATGATCTGATCTCGCTTCTGGCAACGCTGAGGTCCCAAATGCAAGTAGGTTTTCTAGCTCGTTGCCACGCCAGGGAGAGGAGTTATCGGTCGGGCAACCACAGGGTGATCATGGATTTCGGACAGAGCCTGGCGCACATCTGACAGCTGGAATGATAGAGGAGAAAGAGGAGACGTGCAACAGCTTTTTCTTGGACCTGGGGAATTGTTCTCATTGTTCGTCCTTCAAGCCAAGTGGGCTTGTCAAGGAGATGCTGACGGGCATCATTCCCGTCTCCTCCCTTTAGCTTACCTGCTCTGAGGCTCCGATAGAGCACAAGGCTTCTCAGAAAGGATGCCATTTGAGCGTTGGGCTCAGCAACAAACGGGGCAAGCTCAACAAATGGCCTGTAAGGGGAGTTTGCTTCAGGCCTCATCAGTTTGGCTTCGGACTCGACGGCTCCTTTCACACGCCACTGCCAATGTCCACCGGGACCTGGCTACAACATGCTACAAAGACCCCGAGTTACGGGCAAGCAGAGGAGTCTACAGAGTTCACAGAGTCCACAGAGTCTATACAAATCCTACAAGATCCACCTTGAAACTTCTCCCACGTGCGGTTCATCAGCATGACAAAGTACTCGTTGTCCTGTCGGCTGTATGGTCCACTAGGATTGGACTTACGAACTGCCTGGTGCCATCTCATGCCCTCTCCGAGTCTGCGGCCCATTTTGTGGGGTTCATTGTCCAGGGGCCCTCGATGCCTCATACTTGTTCCCGTGGCAGGTCGTCCAATTTGCACAAGCCAATTCAAGCCAAAGTTAAACGCAGGCAAGCCACCGCTTGTGAAGGCGTCCGCCCTGACGGTACATAGATCCGAACCCTCGCAGCCCCGCAAAACAAAACCTTCTGAGGCGGTCGCCCCTTCCCAGTTCCACACTTTCCTGGCCAAGGGTTGGTGACGTCCTGGCAGCTGGGTCAGAACTACAGCAAAACCTCCTGAAAAGTTGCCACACGAATTGTAGGAAGTGTTTGACAACTGGAGCTGCACGCTGTCCGCTCCACTGAGCATGAGCTCATCAGTGGCTTCATATGTCTGCAATGAAAGCGGAACGAGGTGGAATAAATGCAATTAGGGGGTTTCAAATTTGGGGGAGATGTTGTCGTTTCGTGCTTTTGGGAGCCTCAGCTCTGCACCTGTCAAACATGCTGACCGGTCTTTTGCGTAGAATTCATGGGGCATGTCAGGATCAAGATCCTCGGAACCGTCGCCTTCTTAGGAGCCTGCAACGCGTCGTTGCGCCTCAACATTGCTGACCGTCACAGAACCCTGCGATTCAGGGTCGCGATCCTCGTCACCATTTTCGAGTCTACAACACCGATGTAGGAAAACGTTTGGAAAACGATTATCCCTGACTCCACAACATAACCACAGAGCAAAACACCATCAACGCCCAAAGCATAGTGTTTTCTAGAGAAGCCAGTACTAGCACAAGGCCCAAAACCAATCAAAGCAGCCAAAACACAAAAACTGCGATGTGAGATGGGACTGCAACGATACAGCGGACGGTCTGGTATGTAATTGTAAGCAAGGACATGGCACTCTTGGCTCTTTGGACAAATCCGGTGCTCCTCGCGAGGCGAGGGGCCCGGGCCAGCGGTGCAGGCGCCATGGCTCTTGCCAAAGGCATGGCCACCTCCGATCAGAGCCACCTAGGCTTGGGCAGCCGCTTTCTAAAAACTGTCTTCTTCGACAATCCTCTGTCTAACTCCTTCTACTTGCTCCCAGCAGCCGTCTGCGTGTCGTTCATGCCCATCCTCCCGAAGGCATCACGCACATCGAGGGCAGAGGCCTGCGATGGCCGAAGCACTCTGCCAAAGCGCTGCTATGAGCCAGCAAACACCCATCACCCTCCCATACCCCCCATCAACCTCCATTACCCTGCTCATGCCTTGGGGTCCGGGTTGGGAGCCCAGCTTCCGTCCGGCTGCTTCGCGACGGGGCCTCTCAGTCTTGCATTCCAACAGAAGGAGCATGTCTCGCAAATGAAGAGAAACTCGCTTTGGACAAGATGTCTTCTGCGCGCTTCAGAACGCCACTCGGGCCTTCCGGGTTCAAGTAGATCAGACCAATCTTAGCTTCGAGGCCGCAGGACTCATAACGTGATGCAAGACTTTTGCTTTGGGTTCCGCGATCCAACGCTGCACATACCCGTGCGTGGGACAACTACGGATGAGGAAAATACAGTTTAGCAAACCAAGAGCTGGTTCAGGTGCCACTCTTGCTGTCCACACCTAGTTGGTAAAGAGCTGCCAGGGTGCTGTGGTGCTTCCCAGCGGTCGCTGGCAGGTGCCGTTCACAGGGCACGGAGCGTAGAGCTCCTGCCATGGGTTGAAGATTGAATCGGGACAAGCAGCGTGCCAGGTGATCTCGTCATGACTTGTTAAAAACGATCCGACAGGCTTTCAGGTGCCTGTTGTGGGCTTGGACCCAAATCCAGGCTCTCAGTGCCTGCGGGAGAAGCTGTCAGCTCGTGCAAGCTATGATCGGGCACGTGCCATTCAGAGAGCATGAAGCACGGTCAGTGAGGCTTTCAGTGACCCCCCTCCGCGCCGTCTGGTGAGTCGATGCGGCCCGCGCAGTACTGCGAGACCGGCCCTCCCATGGTCTTGATGGCTGTGGTGCCTGCCTGGCTCAGTGACGCTGCTTGTCTCCGACTTCACTGCCCATAGTCTACAGTAGCATGAACTGTCCCAAAATACTCAACATACAATCGCCTTTCTCAAAACAAGTCAGCAGATAAATACATATATATATATACACATAGTTAAAAAATATATACATATATATATATACATGTGTATATATATATGTGCACAGACACATACAGATAAAAGAGTACATGTATCTATATATATATATAGAAAAAACAAATCCAAAGATCCAACTTTTCTGGGAGAACCTTTGGTGAGGCTTGACGTTTCGAATTTGTGGACGTTGGGACTTTTGGACCTTGAGATGTGTGCGCAACATCTTGGAAACATCACACATACAGTCAAAGCACATGTAAAGTTGCGCGTTTTGCTTTTGTTTCGCTGAACGTTATCTTTTGTAGGCTTTCCTAGGGACATAAAATTGCACAAATACCATTTTAGAAATCCAAGAACCGAAAAAAAAAATCCGAAAGCCGAAAACCCAGACTTTCCCGCAGCTTCTCTCAGAAAGCTTGGGTTTTGGATTTTGAGGTTTTGGGCCTTTTGGTGGTTTTGACTTTTTGGACTTCTGAGGTATGCTGCGCATTCGGAAGTGGGCGGGCAGGGGGGAGGGGCATGCGCATGCAATTACTTGCTCGTTTACACTTCATCAAACTGATAAACTGATGTGATATATAAACATGTGGGGATGTTTACATAATGATATATATTCATTTTACATACATACATACATATATATATATATGTGTATGTCTATATATATTCTCGATTTATACTATTGATTGATAGACTTTTCTTCGTCGTATTTCATTGTTTAAGTTGGTGAGCTTATCGAACTGTAAATCCATGTACATATAGACTTGCATACCTCTATACATATATATATATGTATATATATATATATATACGTATGAATCGCTAAATGTGATACTTATTCATACATGTATGGAAAGCTTTTGATCTGTACAGTTTTGTAGACAGTATACCTTGACTTGCACAGCACTACGCGGCTTTGGTAAGTAGTTTTCTTGAGCACCATACTGAAATACCCCTCTGGGCTGGAAGCTTCTCACGTCTGAGTCGCTGGCCAGTGTAAACAAATCGCCCCAGCTAAGTCCGTCACCATACCTGGGTTTCAGGCCCGCTTTGCAAAAACATGTTTGGTTTAAGCAGCAACACTACAGGCAAACTCCCTCCGATGTCAGGCTGAGCGGACAAGCGGCTTCTCTTTCACCGGCCATAGCAGCGCCCTGGCCTTGTCCAAGTTGGTGTTGTCTGCCCAGCTTCGTTCCTGACAAAAAGCACATGGGGCCTTCAGGATCATCTTGCAGTCACATGGGTGCCCTCAGAGCCGCGCAGGTTCGAAGCGCTGGCGGCCACCAGCGCAGCCTCCACGCCTCAGACACGGGCAGTGCATGGCAGCACTGTCTGCCGAGCACTTGGCCAGGCGACCCATCCGACTCCCGCCACGAGCCCGAGCAGTGCCAAGCCAGGCCTTGGAGGACTGTCTTGGGGCACAGTAAGGCATATCTCCACGTGCTGGTAAGAGCCGCAGGATCACAGCAATCTCACATAACATACTGTCAGAGTGGCTGTTCGCACAACCACATATGCGGGCCAAAAAGCGAACAAAGAGAGGACCGTAGTGGCCGAAGTCTGCTGGCCAGCACTCCTCAGGCCACTGGGAAGAAAACACGGGTCTTAAACAAAATCCCCGAGAAGCACTCCTCTCTGGCAGCCTAGCAAAGTCCAAGTCCAGCAAGCGGCCTGGGAATTCACGAAGAGCGCTTGCAGGTCTGCAACGACGGCCTCTGGGTGCAAGCGGGCTGAGATGCCTATAGGTATACGAATTCTCAAAATTCCTGGATGTACTAAAGTTATTGTGTGCCTTGAGGTCCAGTGCCTTTAGCGCCGCATCGTACACCTCGGAGGCTCCAGGCAACCCCTGTGCTTCACGCAAACTCCAGCATTTCTTTTTGGACTTCAGGAATCAACAAGTGAGGCTTTAGCATCTGTGCGCATGACCAATGTTTCTGCCAGAGTCACGGGTAATTCGGGGACCGCGGCGTAGTTCTGTGGAACTGTGGTGAAGGGAAGACCTGCTTGGGGTGGGGACCGCGAACTTGAAAAATGGCACGTGGCCAACAACGAAATGTGAACAGAAACGAAATGGGGAAACGGCCAAACGGCCTGGGCAGGTGCCAAGCACACCCACGCTCGGCGCAAGCAGAGCCAGAAGCTTTCGTGCCATCGCAACGGGGCGCTGTGCTTAAACCAGCGGAGCGCTTTGGAGGGAAACCTAGTGAACCAAAGCTGCAGAGAGCTAAAATGGCTGCCCCAAGCTTGCCCCGCACATGCTCCGCATTTGCAACAGCTTGCAACTCCTTGCAACTCCTTGCAACTCCTTGCAACTCCTGCTCTAGATGCACTGGCAAGCGCCCTGATCCCCTCAGATGCACACGGCCAGGCCGAGTGGAACGACCTGACATCGACATGAAAGCCCAGGACTTCCTTGCAAAGGTTTCGGCTCTCACCCTGAGATCCTATGCACTAGGGCTCTTTACAGGGCACAGGGGCCACCAGGCAGATCATCACTCCGTAAGACAGATCTTCACTCAGTAGAAGCTGGCCATCAATACGCATGTAGACGCGAACAAAAGCAGGGGATTGACTTGGCAGAGCCTGGGAGCTGCCGCACTAGCGGAAGCGAAGCTACCGGCCGAGCCAATGCAGGTGCAGGTGTGCCGGCGTCTGTCTCTGTCTCTCTCTGTCTCTCTCACTCGCTCTCTCTGCACGCTTTGACCCCCCGAAGGGAGAGCTGCCCCGAGGGGCGCGTTGGGGCAAGGGGGGGACCTCGCATCTTGCCTTCGTATGTTCACTGCATTTACTCTTATAGCTAGCTATGTACAGCTCTACGTGCGCATGAATGAATGTTTGTACGCAAATGCCATTTCGTTCCGTGGCCATTTACTTACATGAGTGGAAAGCTCTTCTCTCGCCATATTGACTTCTTTCTCACTTTGCATATTTCTCTATATTTATGTGTTTCGCAATTTGCCGAAGCCAGCCGCTAGTAATGAGCGCCCCAGTTCAAGGCGGTCAGAGGTACACCATGCTGCCCCCTTTTCCAGTGCGCCTTCTCCTTCCATCACCCGACACATTTAAAACCCGAGTACAAACCCCACACGCAGAGTCGTCAGCTAGAAGGCATTCATGACTCCTCACCACCTCCCCCGCCCGCTCTTTCTGGCATTGCTTTCATGGGGCCATGGGGGCGGGGCCACCGGGCTGACGTGCTGCAGCCATACTTCTACCCATGGTCAAAGGTCAGGCATGGCCCAGGCATAAATGTGGCTCGACGGCGCTGGTCCCTTTTCCTGAATTTGGCGAGGGGGCGCCCAATAGCAGAGCGCGAACACCGGCAGGGTTGAACCATTTAGGCGGCCCTGTGCACTGGCTACGCCAAGCCTACACACGACAACCAACGAACCTGCAAGCTTCAATGAAATCTGGGAACACAGGATGCATAAAGCAGATTGCCGTCATGACAGGCATGCATGGCTCGCAAGCTCGTTGTGATGAGTCGCAGACGTTCACGAAACCCCAAAACATCGTATGACATGCTGCTACACAAGATCCAATAGATAAAATGTTCGGACCATGAATCGACTTCAACCCCTGAACTTTCATGAACTTCTGCGTGCAGGTTATCGTACAGAGATCAGCAACCTTGCTGCGGGAGACTACGAGGTGGTGCTCGGTTGGCAGCCAAGTTTTCATGGCCACAAGATGTGTGTTGACGTGAAACTTTGTGTTGGCAGCGTCTTTGGCAGCCTATGGCCCGTGCAAAGTCTTCACTGCTGCTGGGATCTGGCCTCAGCCAGCCTGAATCTTGTCACAGTGATGCAAGGGTGTTGAAGCTGGCTTCATGAATTCGGCCGCAAAATTTCTCCCAATTATTGGGTGCTTTGTTGCGCTTGTTGCTCCTCCATCTTAGGGACTGGGCTGCAGTTCGTACATGTACCAGTCCAAGAACCTGGGCGAACGACATCCGCTCGAACGCATCCCGCGCACTCGACAAAAAACACAACGAAACAAGGCAGCGAGAGGCAGCAAAAGGTAGGCCTGGGCCTTCAACAGCTGAGTGCCAAGCTCCTCCCAGGTGACCTGACAAGTCAATTCTCACCGAGTTGCGTTACACATGCTGGGCAGCGCTGATTGTATCGAACACTCGCAATCAAAGTGCCAGTTTCTCTGGCTTTCAGATTCACATAACCGTTCCCCCGGTGCCCCCTCGTGTTGAATTGAAGGCATTTGCCTGCCACCGATTCCTCCAGACACAGCGCGAGGCCTTGTGGTCGGCACTTGCTTCCAGGCTTCGAAACCTGCACGGATGAGGCCATGAGGGCATGACTCCACCGGATTGCTCGGAGGACTCAGAGGTATTGAAGTTCTGGCATTTGCAGTGGTAGTGCAGAGCTTCTGAAGCTTCCGAAGGCCTCGCTTCAACAAGGTCACGGGGTCCTGCGTCCTGCAAAGCAAAACAAGCAAGTCCCACGAGGGTAGGGATAAGGGAGTTTAAGGGTTGAGAGGGTGTAGGGACTTAGGATCTCGGCCTAAGGACTCAATGATAACAGTGCTACCACTTGTATGAATCCAAGGAATACTACTACTCAATTGTGTTTAGGTCTAAGGCGGCTGTCGCTTCAGAGTTCAGTGCAAGTTGCATTTCAAGGAGAGGGTCTGAATCGAAAAGTGGTGGTGGTAGTAGTAGTAGTAGTAGTAGTAGTAGTAGTAGTAGTAGTAGTAGTAGTAGTAGTAGTAGTAGTAGTAGTTGTAGTAGTAGTAGTGGTAGTAGTAGTCGGAGTAGTAGTAGTAGTAGTAGTAGTAGTAGTAGTAGTAGTAGTAGTAGTAGTAGTAGTAGTAGTAGTAGTAGTTGTTGTTGTTGTTGTTGTAGTAGGAGAGCGACAATCGTAGTTGTAAGCGTGCACTCGAAGTCGTCGCTGTTGTCGTCGCAGTTGTCGTCGTGTCGCAGTTGTCGTCGTAGTAGTACTAGTAGTTGTAGTTCTGGGCAAAAATTGCCCCAAGGAAAAACGAGTAGTGGGGCTAGCGGCATGGCAGTAGTGGGATCCTATGGCGGGTTTGCGAATCGTCGCCGCGGCAATAGAAAACTTCACCCAACAGCAGTAGCAGCAAACTGACTTAAATTCTTCTACCCGCAGCTTGCTTCCTTTCGTTTTGCACCGCGTCGCAGCCACTCCATGATGCTCGGACCTCGTCTCGGACGGAGACTGAGAACGCGCTGGGACACAGCTGCTGCGACGGTGAGGCTGCGGAAATGGCCCTTCCGGTACAGGACCCCCAGCATGGCGGCGAGTTCCCCGTCGCTAAGGGTTGCGAGCCTTGGGGAGAACTTGGAAACGCAACGGGATTTAGACGTCTTGCCCCCTAAATACGTTCAAGGACCTCATGTCTCTTGGGGATCACGGGGTTGCCTGGAGTCGCTGGTGGGATTCAGGAGTTTACTAAAGACAAGCGACCCGTCACCCATGTGGCTTTTGAAAGAACTCAACCAGCCAGGCATCTCGTTCTCCGGCTCACACAAAGCTCTCAGTGAGTCGTCATCGCACAGTCGTCGCAAAGCATGCCCATGCGAGCGCCCCAACACAAAGATCGAACGGGCTTTGCCGAAACCTTAGCAGGGAGAATCACACGTGAGAAGCAATAGCAACTGCAACGCTCATCGGGTCAACTACCGTGTTGATGGACATTTTCTTCGACAGGTCTCATGTGCCAGATTTCGATTTTGCATGTTTCCGTATTGACGAGGGACTGAATGAAGAACAGGCTTGCCAAAGTGTCAGTCGCTCTTCTTGCAGGACTACGGCAGCTGCTTGCGGCGGATACAGGAAGCTAACAATCATCTCCGCGACGCTCTTTCCAAAGCGTGAGCCAGGACCTGTTAGTACCTTCACAAACAACTTTCGTCGCAAATTTGCAAGTTTTGACAGGGGCGACTTCGGAGATACATCGGGGAAGTCTTGAGGAGATAGCTCCTGAAGAGTGCAAAAGTTACCCTCTGAATCGCGGTCGGAAAGATGTGTACACAGAACATCCAAGACATTCTTGTAAGATTCCTCGCGTATGGCTTCCATGAACCGTGACTGTTGTCCTGGAAGAGAGAAATCTCGGAAATCCTCATCTTCCCTGTCGCTGCCGCTGTCGCTGTCACAAAGCATCTCCGGATGCCTCCGCACGAAGGATCGATACTCCTCACCCGCAAAATCCGGGAAGGGTATGCACTCCCCCACCACCTTTGGGTCTTGCGTCAGCGCTGCTGCGACACCCTGGAGGTCCTTTGCGAAAATCAGGTAGCTGCAGCGATCCTGGTAGAGGCCCTCATAGCCTGAGGTTGAGAAATTCAGGTGAAGTCAAAGCCAAGGTAAGGAATCCAGGTGAAGCCAAAGCCTAACGGAAAATTACAAACTGAAGGAAAGCACGCTGAACATGGCTGTTTTGGACGCGATAGATAGTTTTCTGTATATACTGTCGATGTTCCCTACACGTAGTACCATGACTCAGCCCAGTCTCCAACATGCTGCCGGCACCACAGCCGCCAATTCCCATCATTTTGGAAGAAGGAAGTCCACTTCTCCACGTGTTGAGCATCTACAGAGGCCGCCATGGTGGGACCACAGGCATGCTACAGCATGCTGATGTAGTCCAGGATCCAGAACTGTGCAAGCTGGTCTAAAGATGAATGTAGTGGGTCCAGGAGTGCTGCAGGTCTGGCTGGCTCTACCCCTACTACAAAGGAAACCAGCGAAGGCTCCAATGGCTACACGTAAGTACATCGTCGGACGTTGGCCCATTTCGTCTGCAGCACATCACATGCTTCGACCACATCTGCTGATCACAGTGGTCCTGCTGCGACATGCCGAAGAAATCAGCGAGAGCAGGCCCTGTCATGTTCAGTATGTCAGGAGCTTTGAGATTCGCCTACCGAAAGCTTGTGTCCAGCATTCCTCCTGCGAGCATCCTCAAACGGAAACCATCGAAACGAAGCTAAGCAACAAATATCATGAACTGCTGTGTCTGAGGGCCACTCTTTCCTGGCAGAGACGGATGAGCTCCCACCTGGTGCTGATCATCCACAGGCTCACAAGCCACTTAGCTAAACTTCTGGCACGATGAGCTTGGATACTCGGTGGCGTGCTTGTTCATGGTGCCATCACCTGTCACAGGTTTATTGAAGAACCATACCAATATTATGCTGGGTGCCTCAGTTCAAGCATTCAAGACCCTGCCTTCTCTGTCACAGGCATCAAAGATGCGTCTCAGGTCATCCTTTATTTGGGCTGCAGATGGAAGGCAGGCAAAGACCAGTCACAATTAGGCTAGGAATAGAATGCTGCTGACCGAGTCTGTTCAAGAATCCCCATCACCTTTTTTGCCACTGGTCACTGCGCAGACCTTTCATGCAGGTGCCACAACCGTCAACATCGCCTTACTGAAACCTTCCATTAGGGAAGCCTTTCCTCCTCCGCGGGGTCCAGACGCGGTGTTCCAAGGTCCATGGGCATGTCGCCTTCTAGGCAACTTGATGAATGCGTTCGCTGCGTCTTCTGCTGAACAATGACGTCTGCTCATCAAGCATGCACGTGCTAGATAGAGTCCAGGATGCTCTGACCACCCAGGTCTCCGAATCCCAAAGCCTATGAAGACCTCATGCCCCGCCCCTGCAAGCCTGGCCGCAGCTCGCGCGAGACATGATGCCTTTCAACTTTCACAGGCTGCATCTGCGGTGAGGCGCATTGCTTTCCAAACAGGCATGCAGAGGGAGATCCCCAAATCAGGGCTCTGGAAGATGTTAGAAGCCCTCCTCTTCCACATTCGTCTCAGGCTGAGACTCCCTCTGTCCTGGATGCAGCAACTCACAGCTGCCAAACAGCGGAACAACTTGTGCCTAGCATCCGCAACCCGCGGCTTGGGCAGGGCTTTACTTCATAGAAGTAATTAAAACACACTTTGAATGGTCAAACTGTCCATGTTTCAAGATAAGCCGAAAATACTCCAGAATAGTCTCCTGCGTAAACAGGTCCCGAGGCATGGCCATCCTGCAATAGCGGAAGCATTCGTTTTGTGTGCTCGACACTTTCGGACAACACCACCGAAAAAGCCAACAGTCCACTCGTGACGGGGTGTGCCTCCGCCTCTTGCTCCATCACTACCTGACGACATGACGACTTGCACTTACTCTCTACAACAGCCAGATGAGAAAATGCCAAAGTGACTAGGGCCCACTGCTTCGGAGCGCATGAAAGACCACTGCATGCCCGTAAGTTCCCAAAGATGTTGAGCTGTATGATGAGAGGTAGAATCGTTCGGCTGTGGATAGTTTATACTGATCTTCTGGCAAGCATTGTGTCATTCAGTCTATCGCCGCGGGTTCGATAGTACGGAGAACCTAGCATAGATCCATCCACCCTTCTCCCCTGTTGAAGGTCAGGGCCGGTCTGCCCCCAGTGCAGATCTTAGCTTCCGCCCCCCACCGCCCCCCTGTCTGTAGCTGCTTAGAGCATTTAAAAACGGAGCCCCAGGGCTGGAAGAGAGAGGACGCATCCTGGAACCAGCAACCTCTCTGCCACCCCAAGCAGAGAACACTACACAACCCAGCCACCAAAAAATGCTAGTGCATCAGGTGCATCAAGGCCAACTAAGCTGCCTACCATAGATTAATCCGAGACGAGACCCAACGAAGCGAGAATCCCCACCGAAACCTTTGAAGGTCTTTCAGCCGGTGCTGTCAGCCTCTTCCTCCTGCTCCTGTTCATCATCTTCTTCTATGTGCTGCCTCACTATCAGTAAATCTGGGCTACACACAAACCTGCTTCTCTGGCTCTGCAACATAACTAGCAAGGCTTTGCACAAATCCTGCACGCACATGGCAATGCAAGCTGGTACCGGGCTCCGGCTGAACTTTATCCAGGTCGAGCTGAGGAACAGATGCAGGCCTCTGATAGTGACATTCAGCGCAACGGTTTGTCACCAGGTTCTCCAACACAGCAGGGCCTGATGACTTGCCGCTCTTGCCGCTGTGGTAGATACCCTGCGCGGCAATTGAAACGCGTTGGAATCTGGTGTCCTTTCGCTGGTCCAACTGCCAAGAGATCTCACAGAAACAAGGAGCGCCATTCTTTTTTCTCAGAGTTTGCTCAGCGTGCTCTGGCTCGGAGCTCTTCGGCCAACGTGGTGGATTGCCACCTCAGGCATGCAGGCCACACTACAACTCAAGATATACAGCGGCACGACAGCGGCACGCCAATCATTACGCACTTCCATCGATCCACTGCATGTGTAAGACGTTCTTTGCCAACCAGCAGCTCCGCCATCTCGGCGTATCGAGACGTGGGCAGTAGCCGCATTTGGTGTGAAGAACACCTTGCAACAAAATGGGACACCATGAAGCGACTGACTGCATGACGCTGCCGTCACTACCGGTCGAAACAAAATGTGTTGTTTAAGCTCCGGAAACCACCAAATATTTCACTAAGAATCAGATGCCCTCGCGAGCGGTTTGATTTGACAACGCTGCCTGTGAAGAACGCACGCAGGCTGCCCCGGTGTGCAGTATCGCGGAAGATGCTCTACAACATGCTGCGAGCGAGGAGCCACAGGACGCTCAGCCAAAACGTTCGTGTTGGGCTGATCCACAGAGATGTCGTCAACCTCGTCCCGTCCACAAACCCGAAATACATTTGCTGTTGGGTGAAGCTCAACAGAGGCAAGTATGTCAGCTTGAACCCCCAGCCCTCTGCCAAACTCCCCATTTGGCCGCCCAGTTACGATGCCCAGCAAGGCTTTTAGCAGGAGGTCGATGAGGTGGCCATGAATCACCAGAACTACCCAAGAGGTGCTCGTCGTCTGCAGGCGCTCGTCGTCTGCAGCCTCCACACTTATGCTGGCCAGGGTGCGCCATGCCTCACTTCTAAGCATCTTCTAAGCCAACCCTGCTAGAAGTGCACAGCACTGAACATAAGCCCTGGAGCCTATGGGAAGGGCGAGGAAACCAAAGCAGAGCAAGCTCTGGACTGCAGTCATATTAACTAGTCATCGCAAGTTTGAAACCGATGAGCAAAGAAGTGTAAAGGTCGCAAGCTCCCGCTCTACTTCTTGCAGTCATAACGGGCTGCACTCTTACGATGGTTGACGAACACTGCGAGAGAAAACACCTCTCTCCCCAACAGAGACTCCTTGTTTCGATCTTGTTGTGCTCTTGTTGCTCTCTTGCTTCTTCTGCCTCTTCTCCTTGCTTTCTTCTGGCTTTTCCAACACTTGTTCTGAAACAGTCAGCATGTCTCATTGCATCAGTTTGCCCTATTGTAACAGGAGGTAAGATTGCATTGATTTCATCCTCATTGCAAACGGCCCATCGGGTAAAGATCACCTCCAACATCCCGACCCCGCCCCTGTCAACCCACGTGTAATAAGAGCCACTCCGCCTTTCGCAACTCTGCGGACCGAAGCCATCTTGCCTAGGCTGCATGTGATTGTGGGAGCCGAGCCGCCGTTATCTCTTGTTATCTCTGTTGAAGCCTCCGGATGTTTTCGGCAGCTCTCCGACTTTTTGCCTGCTAAAATTCCAAGCCCCGCGGCGATCTGCGCGGCACGCTGCCGCGCTGCCGCGTCGCTCTCCCAGGATGCCCGGTACCAGCCTCCTGCGCAGAAGAGAGAGCTCCGCAGAACAGAGAGAGAGAGAGAGAGCTCCCCCCGCAAGAAGAAAAAAGGAGAGAGCTCCGCAGAGCGCTTCCGTGTAACACTTCCGCAGCAGCTCTTCTTGCGGTATATTTGGTGTGAGCCGAGGGAGGCCTGGGCTCTGCGGAAGCCGCTTGGTGACGAAGCCTGGGAAAAGGCGCTCCTGGGCCAATGTGCTCACACTCTGCTCACACTCTGTTCCACGTCGGAAGGTTATCAGATGACCGGTGCGACGGTGGAAATGCTGAAAAGGCTCAATATCCTTGGCACCCAAGCACTCTCCAGGACCATCTCGCTGGCCATGCCGCTCGATGTAGACGCCGCCAACCTTCACTTGCTTGCGTAAAGGTGAAGGCAACGAAAAAATGTAGAACAAAAATGGACATGGAGAAAGCCGTGTGAAAGGGTGCTGTGCACTTGTTCCACCTCAAAAAGGTCTGGATGCACCTCCACCGAACAGGAAGAGCCCAGGGCCTGCAACGGCTAAAGATCTATGTATCCTCCAACTGCTCCATCAATCTAACTTAGTTGTCCACCTCATGTGCCTTGCGGAAAGCTGAGGATTTCTCAGGCTAGCCCGTTTAGACCAAGTACACCCCGCAACCATCTTCAACCAAGGGCAATGCTTCTACTGGGGCTCGCCGCTCCTATTGAGTTCTGGACGTGTCATCGCCTGAGCCAGGGGCATGGCTGTCTGAAGCCTAGGCCAAGGCATCTGGATGTTCCTGTCTTGTTGCCACTCCAATTAGAAACCATCAGTGACTTTGCGGCAAGTTCCCCTTCGTGAAGCTGAGAGACGTTCTCATGAATGGCGACACAAAAACCCTGATCAATCGGCTTCCAGCTGACCTTCCCAAAGCTGGTCATGGAGCAGTGCCGTGTAAGGACGTGCGACTACAGCACACATCTTTTGCCTCAGCAGCATTGGCGCCGATGCTTTCGCAAGATCTTCAGCTTCTTCCACACCTTCAAGGGGCCCACCTCTGAGGGGCCTTTCAGGGGGATGCCTAGGACTCTCTTCCGCTGTGCCCAATCAGGCCTACGCATGGAACCATTTGAGTATAGTTTGGGCAGATGTCTGCACACTGCCAGTACTGCAAACCCCACCTCTGGTGGTGAGTGCAGGATCCGAATGACGCTCAGCCAGCCAACGTGCCTGTGGCCACATTTGGGCATTTGAGATGTAAACGAAGTGTCTCTGCTTACGGATACGCACAGCATGGTGGAAACCCGAGTAGCCAGAATCACCCTTACCATCTACCGAGCAATTGGACAATTCAGGGTCGCTGCCTTTACAACTTTGGCAGCATAGTCTCACTTGGTAAGCCAATGAAGATGTCACTGAACTCCAACGCAAAGAACAGAGTCGAAATGGGCTTGGTCGTCGCTGAGTTGCTGCGGGTATGAGAGTATTCAGGCTCGTGGCAGTCAGCGGTTGCAAGCAAGTTGTATGGTGGGGGAAAATCGGGCCTGTTGCGCTAGCGCTCGAGCGGCAATGCGTGCACGGGAGGAGTGGGCATGGAGGATGGAGGGACTTGTTCGCGAGGCATCCACCATGCCACGTGGCCATGGTCGAGGTGGTCGAGATGGTCGAGATGGTCGAGATGGTCGAGATGGTCGAGATGGTCGAGATGGTCGAGTACAAAAAGCAGCAAGTTACCAGAAGATCCAGAAGTGGCGACTCAGAAGCTCAAAGTCATCACATAGTCAACACCTCGTGACGTAGTATCACAACGTGTGTCATTGAGGAATCGAAGGAGACGCCTTGGCTGACATTGGAGGCACGTGCAAAGTATCTGGCAGGTGGAGGCCATGGGTTGAAGAAGCATATTGATCGCAACTCTGGGGCCTTTACAGTCGAGCGATGTCGAGTGGCGCCGAGTGGCAGACCGGTAGTAGGGAGAGCGGAGCTGTACGCGAGCCGGGCAGCGGAGTTTGGGCGGCTCCGGTGTGTCCAGCTTCATGACAAGCACGACAGCACGCCGGCCACACTTCCGCGACAGTCCTGACTCTACTTGCAGGGCGTGAGGGCCACTGCAGAAGATTCGGCACACGGGGCATTCCTGCCGTGCAGCCTTGGAGGTTCTCAGCAAAGGCTTGCAAGACCAGCGAAAAGCTGTCCCAATCCTTTGCTAGTGCCAGCGAGTATGGAGAGCTGCTGCAGCCTGGGAGCAAGACTGGCATGTCCCTTCCTTTGCGAGGGCCTGAGTGGTGCCTGTGATTGCTAATGCCGTGCTTCCATCATACTGGGACTAGATACGCACTCGGTGCTGCCCACCAAGGGCCATTCTGACATTTAACACTTTCGATCCCACACAGCGTCCCTGACGCAGCTGGCTGCTCCAAGCTCATTGGCCGTCGGGCCTCGGCTTCACGGCGCCGCAGCGAAGCCGGCGCCTCTTCAGGACATGTTCAAGATGCCAGGTCAGGAAAGTTTGCTTGCGGAACCCAGTCCTCAGGCATGGTTCCCCTGAAGCAAGTTTTGTAAGCTCAGGGGTACGGGAGCAAAAAGTACGCAGCAGAGAAGACTGGCAAGTTGCTGGGCCCAGTCGAAACCCAGACCTCGTCCACCACCGGCGCAAATATTTTTGCCATCAGCGGATTGTTGAGGCTCTCTCCATGCCGCACCTCGGCTAATGACATCGAGGAACAGTCAGTCATCCTTTCCCCCCTTGAAACAAACAGAACCTGCTCAAAGAAGCGTCTTGGTTCAAGCAGTCAGCAAGTAGCCATCCATCCCTTCTTTGCATCGAGCTCTTTCAGACTGCCCCTGAGCCCTACCATCCCAGCCAAGTCCCCACACCTCCTTAGCCTGTGTCCAGAGCGGTGCCAAGGTAGATGGGCCAAAATGAAACCCAAGCTTGCTTGTGCTGAACAAAACCTCAAGTGATCTACACTCACCAAAGAAACTTCCTAAATTTGCGTAACGAGTCAAGGCTGAAAAAAGCCTCACGCTCCTAGTCATCTAAATTTGCCTGACCAGGCTGCCAGGAGGACGTTGAGGTCACCAAGAGAAAGCGCAGAGCCAGCCATGAGCAAGCCAGCTTTGCCTCCCGTACTCGGTCAGACTCCCCAAAGATAGGACTTCTTCCCGGTGTCTCTTTATGGTGCCTCTCCCCTAAATGTAGCTCTTTCGGTCTCCTATAAAGCGCCTCTACAGGACGGGGACTGTTTGCTGCAAGATGCTGCAAGAGAGCTCTCTGATATCGGAAAGTCATGTTCAGCTTGATCCCACTGCAACTGCGGATGCATACATGCTACATCCCACCACCGCAGATACTTCAGCGGGGAACCGAAACTACCCTTCAAGGTTTAGAGAATGCGCCGTGTGGAAGCAACATGAGCAACAGCAGCATCCTACAATTTTGCAGCCTGACCCTTGACCAGACGGTCTGGGTGCTACCAGGCTACTTCGAGAGCTTGAGGCATCTCACTTTGAATGCTCCTTGAAACACATCGCGAATCATGCAGCTCAAGCGCTTCGTAAGGGTTTCTCTGGCCGTGCAACAGAGTCTCGGTTCGCGCAAATGCATACTCAAAGTACTTTTCTCCCCCTACGTGCTTGTGAGCACCTGCCTCAATTCTCTGCTGCGCGGCCAACAACGGAAGCAGTGACACGAGCCAGCAGCTTCAGACCACCAGCTCATGAGTTGCGCAACTAGTTCTAACTAAACATGCACGAAGCTTCCGCCAGTTGCTTTGTGGTGTGTGTCAAGCAGATTTGCCTGATGAATCTTGATGATGAATGCACGTCAAGAGACGTCACCCTCGCAAGGTTTCATCATATAACTCACAATGCAACTTCGACGGCAACTTCCCATCTCACAGGGCTGTTGGTATCGGAGGAGGCTTCAAACACCTGCACTCACAATGATGAAAGAAGACAAGTACCCGCCTGCCAGTCATGCGACTGAGATGCCTCCTCACGCCGTGGGATGTGCAGCCTTAGCACCACACCAGCACTGTCACAATAATCCGGAGTCTAAATTATGCGCATTGCACACCTTGTATGCTTCGTGCGCGCATCTTCTCATGGAGTCAAGCTGCGACTCTGGCCGCAACCAGGCGGAAGCGCTCCGCGAGGCTTTGCCTTTGAAGCCTCTGACGCAAGACGTACGCATGATCATGTCCACGTCTGACGCATAAGCAGTGTGCGTACAAGATTGACATAAGGCTGACATGTTACCTAACTGTGCATATCGGGTCTCAATGGACTTTGCCGGTCTCTTTCCAAACAGGTTGCCTTTTCCGTGTCCCTTCACCTGCTCCAACTGGAAGTAGGACAAGGCCTGTCAAGCATCGTAGGAGCAGGTATTTATGTGAGTCGAGGTGACTCGACCTCAGTTAAAAGAAACACTGCCGCCATGCCATCGGAAACTGCGCATGCTTAAGTAGTCGGCAGATCGGTGCAATGGCCAGTGACGGATCGAGTTCCGAACTAGTGAACTATAGAACGCAAATCTTTCAGCCCGAGGTTTCTACTCCGTCCCAACGGCCTGCCGCAGAGCGGGGAGCTTTGCCTTCCGGCAGGGCTGCCCGAGAGGCAAGGAGCTCGGCCTCAACTCAAAAGCGATGGTTCTTTTGAAAGTCTGACGTCTGTTGGTCTTTCGGTGCGCTCAGACATTCTTGGAACATTAGGCTAGCTGCCCGAAGATGCGATGATATCGCAGAATCTGCAGCACAGACGAGAAGGTCTCGGAGTCCTGCTGCGGGTCAGCTTGCCGGGGCAAAACGCATGCAGGTTCCGAGACGGCCTGGTCAATGCGCACGGCATTGCCAACGAGGTCGCTCTCCTGGAGAGTCCAGTCACCACCTTCCCAGTGTTCGTTGTGATTCGGTTGCAGTGTGGCAGCAGTGACAGTGGCGGAAGAAGACCAAAGCTGAGCTCGGCACCAAACCAGCGCTCGAGCATTGAGCCTGTGCCTTGCAAGTGCAGGGCATGGCGGACGCAAAAGCGTATTTAGGGGCCAGGAATGACGTTCCTCATGTCATGCCTCATGTCGTTGTGACCGAGCGACAGTGCAGGAGCGTGGCCCGGCTCGTCGCCAGGATGCGCCCAGCAGCATTGAAGTACACCTGAGCCCAGCAGTCATGCTAACCACGGCATGTAGTTGTGAGCTATGTTCCGGGTTCATATGCGATTCCTGCTGCCGCACCCACCTACAACTGGAAGAGGGGCATATGCTACAAAGCCACTTTACACTTCATGAATGCTGGCACACGTGTTGCAAAGAATGCTCGTCAAACGCGGCCAAGGCACTATGTCCTTATTGCACGGGTTAACAGTCATGTCACGTCCATCTACTCGTAGCAGCCTAGAAGTAATAAGTCCTCCATGTACAGTACACTTGCAGTAGGGAAGAACGCAGGAAACACAGGCCACGAACAGCAGAAGGGTACACCTTGCCAGGTTACTGGCTGCTGTGTTTGGCCTTCGCTGCCACTTGGGAGCGTAGCAGCCCTGCCACCCAGCAGCCGGATGCCTTCGAGTCACGAGCTGTTTGCATGTCTTTGTTGTGGGCCGGACCGCGCACCCCACGAGCACGACAGGTTCCGAAAAAATGCTTTTTGATCGTCTTTTAATAACTGTAATAAACACAGCCGGGGCCAGCTTGCCCGCGGCTTGGAAAGGCACAATCGGTGCCTGTGCGCTCTGCTTCAAGCTTCTCCAGTTGGTCCTAACAGCTCAAAAAAGCAAACCACAACATATGCCCTGCAAAGAACAACTGCAAGAGGATGTGTGCTCCTGGCCTGCGCAGCACTCCTCCTTTGGTGCAGCTCCTGGCCCTCCTCGGCAAATACAAGGCTGAACAAAGAAGGAGCTTGGCAGTTGCCGGGGCTCCAAGTCCTCCCAAAATTTCTGACTTGAACAGAGGTACGATGGGCAGCTCACTTCGGCTTCCGGCCGATAAGCGTTTGGAACAAATGGACCAGGATCTGGTCTGCTTCCGCCAACCACCCGCACGAATCCCCCTGCCCTCGACACCCTCAACCCCTAAAGGCGCTTGCTGTACTGCGGGAGCAAGAAAGGCTCGGCAGGTCATTGCGCATCGCTCGCTTCCAGGGCTGTTCGGCATAGGAACAACCACACCTTTGGGCCTGGGTGGGACTCTTGTACTCATATCTGCCAGCATGTCTCAGGCTCTTTCTGCTGGAGTCTTTGGTGGGGTGGCCCTTCACAGGCAGGGGCAGTGCGGAGGGGGTGGGTGAGAGGGGGACACGCCTCACACCTCTGGGGAGGTGCTCAACGGGCATGAGTTTCCAGGATGATAGGTGCAGAGTAGCGGGGGCCAAGGAGAGCGAGAACCAAGCTGAACTGCAACCATGCCGGACCGCAGAACTGCAAGCGAAGATCAATTGCGGTTTCCCGCTCCCTCCCCTCCCCCCAACCTCATCAGTTTAGGCTTAAGGGTCAGGTCTGGGTTGGGGATCCCGCTATGCTGCACTACCTGGAGGGCAGAGGACCAGGGGCAGAGGACCAAGAGGCCAAAGGACCAGGAGACCAGAGAACCAGGGAAGCGGATAACAAATTCATTGAAAAACATGCACATTTTCTAAGACCGCGTGGCGCCCTCTGCCCTTGGAATCTCCTACCATCAGCGAACGAAGTGAACGCTCCTCCTGGACAGCACGGATGTGGTCAGCCAGAAGGCAGGCGAGCCTGCACCAACTGCCGGCCACGCTCACAATGGACTGCCTAACATCCTCGACATCATGCGTCGTCAACACCCCCCACACGACAATCACACTTTTACAATGCAAAAGTTCAGAAGAACACAACAGCTCAAGCGTAGCTCGTGCCAAGGTGGGCTTGGCAGCAAATCAGCAACTTGCGGATTAGCAGCTCATCAATTTGCGATGACTGCTGCGAGGTGAGCCTGGTTGCGGCACTCACCATGCAACCAAGAGAGAGCAGCAGCGAATGCGAGAAAGCAAGTCTCTTCTAGAAGAAAAAGACACACCGTACTCCAGGCTACCTGATCTTGTGAGCCCTTTGTCAAGCTGCTGGTCCCGAACCGGCATGCCATTGCACATCATCACCTGCAAGAAAGCTTCACACCATCACGTGATGTCGCGTGTCTGCATGGGCAGCGAATGGAAGTTGAAAAGAGGTCTTGCTGCTGTAAAGGGGCTGGCCGATAGCATGGCATTGAGGTTCGCACGCCCTCCATGCAATTCATCCAGTAGTCGCCTGTCAGATGCCCAGACCGTCGTTGCATTCATTGCATTGCTTTGGCTCTAGCCACTCCATGCATAGACTTCGTACGTCGCGAATTGCTGAGATTCGCAAGGCATTGCAACTCTTGATATACATCGTCGGAGCCGCGTCACGTATTTCTTCAGATGTGAACTCCTTCGCGTACTTGCACAGGATCCTGAGAGCAGCCAGCTGTCTTCACGAAGGCTCACTAAAGCATAAACGCAGCAAAGCTCACCTGCTGAATCCGTCCGAATTCTGCTGATGCCATCAAAGATCTCAGTATACGTACAAACAGCACCATCTTCTGGGTCCAACTTGACCTGCAGGGACGTTGCTTGGTCAAGATTGACTTGTGACTTAGCCTGCAAAATGCGCTCTGATCCTGCCTTTGGCTCTCCGACGACGGTGGCCGGGTCTTCTGCTAGACCCAGAAAGCGCAGCAACAGGTCCTGGCGACCACAGACTGCATTCTAACACCGGCCCTCTGACCCTCCCCACGCAGATGTTCGCGCATCCCGCCAATGCCCCCAAGCTCGAGGAAGACCCCTACTTCCGTCCAGGCCCCAGGTCTGCGGCTCCGAGGTCTCCGGCGCCCGGCGGCGTTCCGACTCCGAGCCCTCCTTAGCGAGAAGAGAGCGAGAAGACGTCTCTAGGAGCTCTGATGTACATGGTTTGGGACCCGAGGTGGCATGCTCTTGAGCTGCATCTTCGCAATCTCGGGATCGGGCAAAGACCCAATCCAGTACGCAGCGAAACTGTGCCGGATCCTTAGTCAGTCGTAGACAACTCTCATAAAGCAAACCATAAGCGATCCGAACCCGCGGCGACTCGTCCTTCCGATGCTTTGGAGAAACGCCGATGCCCTTCCCCCTAAGGCTCGGGCTAAGTCTAAAAAGAGGCGGCCTTCATCATCCTTGCGACAAGCCGAGGCTGTCACTCGTATCGACATGGTCGCAGAGACAAATCCGTGACCCAGCGCCGCACGGCCACAACAGCGAGGGTGACAATTGCGAGCAGGCTAAAGTTGTAGCCAGGCTTCCAAGCTTGTGTACCCACCCCACCGGCCAGTCACGAGGGAGTGCAGAAGGGACTTGGGGAAGCAATCAAACTGCTCTCCTTGGGTGCGCGGGGGCAGTCCGCTGAGCTGAACTGACAGCTTAGAACCGACAGCTTATTCTACAAGCCTGGATCCGGCACAAGGCAAGGCACGAAACAACTCGAAGCCAGTGTCTCCACCAACATTGAGCTTTACAGCGCCCTTCCTTGGTGATAGCAGGCATTATTCTCGTCGGCACTTGCTATGTCCAGCCATCCCAATTTCCCGATTCCGGCGAGCTCATGCGACATGCACCTGAATGTTTCTGTCAGTGGTGGGTACCAAGCGATATCGTGCATTTCTGCCGTGGCACTCCACGGAAGCAGGCAAAGCCTCCTGTTGGAGCTTCGCCACTTGCGCCTGCAAGCCACTACTCGGTCACTACCCTTCGCCCATACCTGCTTACAGAGACTCGAGGACCTCAAGCTCTTCGACTTCCAGCCGCAGCTCATCAAGGTACTTGCGGATGGCCTGGATGAGCGACTTGACTCTCACTCAAATGCACTCAACACCCATGCTCCTCAAACCTATCAAACTCGATGACTCGCTACGACTCGCTACGACTTGCTATGACCGTCTGGAAGCCTGAGCCGATTCATCGCAAGTCGCCCGGGGTTTCGGGTCGCTCGCCATCGAGAAACGGTAAGGTCCAGAATAGGGTTTCTAGGCGTCTCTAAGCCTGCACTATGGCCCCCACCAGGACAGCACATCTGCACATCTGATTCTACTTTAACGTGTGTCAAGCATGCGCCCTTCATGAGCTCAATTCTTAAGATTTCCTCAGGCTCACGTGCTGGTGGGGCCACTGGAGGCATGGAGCCGTGGAGTGCCGTGGGGTACTTTGGGGTACTGTGGAGTACTGGGAGTACGCGAGAGCATGAGAACTTCAGCAACCCTCCCCCCATCATGTTCTTTGCTAATGCACAAAACCCTTCATGTGCCACTTCCTCTGGAGCCGATGGTAGCAGCACGCATTCACCACAGATGCGTGTCTGCTTGTTCTTCGCCGCTCTTCAACTCGAATCTGGGCCTCGACAATTTGGCGGCTGAGGCTCTTAAGATTCTCAAGTGGCAAGTCACAAAAATCACAATGAATTTCAATGACGGACAGTTTTGGTGATTGTTGCTCTTTTGAGAGCATTGGCTTTGCTGGGCAAATGGGCAATGGGCGCACCACTGTCATCAGACCGCGCAGTCTCCGTACCAGAGGCTGCGGCCCCTGTGGATTGAGCGTCAAGCACTCCACTCCGCAAGATTGCACACAGAGCTTGAACAGGACCGGAAAGTCGCACTCATAGCATCAAGGGTAGCGAGAAGGATCGCAGAGAGAACACGTTGCCCATTGCTCCGAGCCCATACAGCCTGGCACGCCCATGGGCTCTTGCGAAATCGAACCTGTGGCGTACATCATGATTCTCGTCTGCCAGAAGCAATGAAAATTAGTACTGCGTCGAGTTGTACTCTGAAAGGTCCGTGCAGGATCTTGGGCCCCAGGCTCAAGCTAAAGAGGCCACCCTGGTTCAGCATCTCCGGGGGGCAAGCCTCGACAGTTGCACGATCTGCCAGCGGGCTCACCCACTAGTCTTTTCTCCAGCGCAGCCTGTAATTCCTGTGAACCTGCAAAAGACTTAGCTAGCGCATACTCAGCACACAGCATAGGCAGCATCGAGACTGACATCTGTACTGCGGAGAGAAAAGTGGACCGTTGCAGAAGCAGCAGCAGCAGCAGCAGCAGCAGCAGCAGCAGCAGCAGCAGCAGCAGCAGCAGCAGCACCCGCAGCCATACTGCCATGTTCGGCCACTACTTGGTGACACTGATGGATACTGCTTCAGCAACAGCTTCGTATTGAACAAGGGCATCGTCTCTTGCAGATTTCACCGTGCTCTCCAGGCCTGCACTGTCTGCGAGGAATCTATCGAAGGCTCCCGCCGGTTGGGATGGAAGGACCTGCCCAGGTGGGTTCTCGACTCCACAAGCTGATAAGCCACAGCTTTCAGCATAGAGTTTTGATCATACTTCTCATTCGTCTGAATGCACAACCGGCTTGGAGCACGCCATTGTTTTCCCCAAGTCTCGGGCTTAATGCCTAGGTTTGGGACTGCAGGGCCAGTGACTTGTGACCGCCACAGATCCGGCAATGGAAAACTTCAAGCATTGGACTTGCTCAAATTGCCTGTCTGACATGAGAACCTAGGTGCACTCTGCCTCACTCTGAGTTGCAACACTGCATATTTATACACCTGTCTGAGAAGTCCCGACTGCAAACGCTGAATTCGAGCTCTCAGCTGCCACCTCAGGCAAGGAAGCACAGCAGCAGCTTGCAAGTTCTTGGGTGTAAAGACTGCTCAACATGGTATGCTCCATTAGTGCTCCATTCCTGCTTGGGGCAGCACCACCCTCGATACATGCGCCTCGGAGCCTCCACTACATGCACGCCACACTTGCGCCTCAAGATCCTTCAAAACCCTTACCACCAGGTTGCGCGCTACACGTGCGATCATGTTCAAGTAGCTCATCAGCCCACGAATCGTGGCACCTCAGTCAGAATGGCGGTGGTAGAATGTCCCGGTGCGGTCGCGACCTGCAGATGGCAGATCGAACGTTAGTCTTGAGACAATGTTGCTCTAACGACCACGACGTACCCTACGGCTCTTGACGCAGCTTGTGAAGAGTAGGCTCCACATATTCAGGCATGACGTGCTGAAGGACACATCTCCGCACTGAGTCTTGGATGTCAGAGAGGATGGCAAGGCATCACGGCAGGGTTGGAAAAGACTGGACAAGGTCATGGCTGTCTCCTGAATTTGCCAGTGAGTGCAAGGCTAGATGTACTGATGGTGCCTTCATCGATCAGGTCGTCCGGATCCTCAACGTCGACATCTGCAATCTCCGGGATGCGCTGCATCAGGTACTTCCTCGGAGTCAACTGCAACAACACAACACGCTGGAACTTTCGTCTGCATGTTCGTACGAAAGAGTTCAGAGGAGAGTCTTCACGCGCCGGAGGACGTCCTGCACAAGCCATAGAGCTAGCAAAGGTGTGAATGGTGAGGCATTAAACGGCTGGTCGGCCTGGAAGAAGACTTGACGAGTGAAGCGACCCCCAACAGGTGGGGCCAGAGGGGGGGGGGCGGGGGCCCCACCACCTTCTCGGGACATTGTGTGGAGGGTGTCTGAACGCTTTCGTTCGACGTATGATTGACCACAGGGCGGGTTCGGGTCGAGAAAAAAGGAAGGGCACCCCTGAGTTTCATCAGCCCGCGAAGTCCCAGACTGGTCAGGTCTCTGTTCGCCCGGCATCCCGCCTCTCTTTTGTGCCAGAACGCGCCGTGCAGGTGGATGGCTACGACAGGGCCCTCCACCTCCACGAGATCGACCTTCGGAGTCGCAGGATGTTGCATGCGCATATCATGCCATACCTTTGGATACAGGCACACCTAAAGCATTCACCATGATGGTCACAGCAATGCAATGTGTTAATGAAATGCCCTCCTTGCTGCCCCAAGAGGCTTTGCCCGTGATGCCGGCGCCCCTCAGCTGATGACCGAGCACCGGGCGGGCACTGCAGATGCCGGGAATCTTGGAGGCGGCCGTGAACAAACAGTGATGAGAGAACTACTCGGCTCAAGGCGTGCTCTCCTCCACGTAGCCGAAGCAGTTCTGCAAGTGATGGTACCGGGCCTCTTGAAGGACAACCTGCAAGGAGCCCATGCCACTTGCCACTTCCGAATGGGCACCCCAGGACTTGCAACTTGCAACTGCATATGCAATTGCACTTGCAACATGCACGTGCACGTGCACTGCTCGCATCATCTGCCTCCACGTTCTCCGGAGTAAGAGTGAGAGGTATTCCAATGGGTTCCGCGCCAGGTACCTCTGCGAGCAGAGGACAAGTACATGGAAATGCATCGAGATGTGCCAACACACGCCTGCACTGCTCCAGGGGCCCTCCCGAGGGCACCACTCAAAACAGCTCAATTCAAAAAATGAGTTCGAAATACAGCTACTCCGCTACTCAGCTACTCTCTGCATTGTCTGTTCAGAGGCAAGAGTCTGCCCGCACTGGAACGTTGGAAACGCTGCTGGACCGCTGCCGCAGGCTCGAAGGCAAGGATGGCACCTTTGAGCACGGGGCTGAGGCCGACTAAACACCAAACGTCACTATACCCATGGGGATCCTTCTGGTAGGCTCAACATTGATTAAATAACGATACCAGCTTCTTGAATCGGATTAACGCACACCAGCAGAGGAAACCAAAAAGAACAAGATGACCAATGCAGCTTCGATGCAAAAGCGACGAGCTTGACGAGCAGTGCCTAAGCTTGCAACCAGCAGTACTTGTGACGCGGAAGACTCGTCCATGATTCGGCTTTAGTTGCTGCCACTGCGACTGCTGCCACGGAGATTCCAACAATCTTCGACCGCATGGCAGAAAAGGCACTGTAGCAGAGCCGACGATTACACGAGAAATCACAGTCTGAGAATGCATGCCGCCTCCATGTCACAACTGCAAGGTACTACGCACAGCGCTTCCAATTCATATTCATGTCGGCATCTATCTCAGCGGCTGTTGCCTGGGAACTGCTTCGGGCACGTCTTGAGCCGAACACGCCAAGTGATTGGTCAAAAGCTTCCGTGAAGCGACGCCAGGCTTCAACGCGCGATGAAAGAAGAGTTGAAGCATGCGGTTAGAGCCCTCTCTTCAACCTAACATTACAAGGCTCGGCATGGCACAGCTCCGCTGAGCACTTGACACCGGCCTGGGCTCGTGGACAGGCCTCGCTGCCGCCCGGGCCTCAGGGATTTTGACAAGCATTCTTGGCAAACCAGGAAAGAAAAGCAACAGCAACAGAGCCGCGACATTACGGTTTGGCAGCAAGCCTCCATAGCCTATGGCAAGGCCCCGGAGACCAAAATTAGGGGCCATGCTTGGAAGCCCTGGAAAGCTTTTGGGTGCTTGTGCGGTGCTTGTGGGTAAGAAGATCCAAAGGTCCTGCACATCGGGGAACTGCAGCAAAAGACTTGACGTTCGGGCTGGGCGGGCTTCGACACTTCCTAGTCTGAGAGGTCTCTCCCAGCCCCCCAAAACGTTGGGCAGTCTGTAGACCTTGGAAGGGCTTGGAGACTGCTTTGGAACGGGAAAGCAATGACAGGACAGTCACATCGGAGGACAGCAGCAGACTTCCTTCTTGAAATCTTGGTGGAGCTGCTACGTAGTAGTATGCTTTCAAACACCAGCTGCACCGGGTGACGGCAACATGACATGAAGCAGCTTCTCTTTGCTAGGGCTGCGTGCGTCGCCGACCCAGTGACCATCCATCTGCTGCGGAAAACCATGCATGCCTGTGCGGAATTACATGGTCAACCCTACTACTTACTCAGGGTTGCTGGCAAAATGCAGGATGTCAATTGCGCAGGAGGAGGGCGAAAGACGAGCATGCACCCAGAGCAGCCAGCCTGCATTCGCCCAGTAGGGGGCTGTTTCCTGGCGCAGCACATCTTGCATGTCAGATGCGCCTTGCCTTACACTGCTCACACCTGCAGCCCGTTGAGTGCGCCTGTGCCGGCGGCAGCAACTGCGTGCTGTTGGACAGGCGGGAGGCATTTGCACGTGCCTGCAACCGAGGTCAGGACATAGAAAGCCATTATGCTCGCACCATAGTCAGCAAACGAACAGTTTCAGCCTCATGCCTGACATATCCTGACATCATACAACCTGTAAGACTCAACATGTATCTTCAAATCCTCAAAAAGCTGAAGAAGCCGAGCAGAGCCAAGCCAAAGCGAAGTACATTTCTTGTCCTCCAAGTGCACGCTTTCCGGCTGTCGTCTGTCACTGTACTCGAAACGAAGGGTACGAATATGGCCGTCTGGAAAGGCTTCTTGACCGATATGCCGCTGCTCCGCTCAGAAGTGGCCATGCTGGTCGCAGCGCTTGCTGTGCTGGAGCCTTGGAAGAGACGAAGAGACAAGCTGACAGCTGCACCGGCGGGCGATTGAGCCAGGTACGCCCATCTCGGAGCTGTATCTCCAGAGCAACCTCCAGGCAGACTCTACGAGCTTTTTTGCGACGCTCACAGATTTCGCCCATCTCAGGCAAAAACGGAAAGAATGCAAACTATAAGGAAAGCATATGTGCGTGGACCAGCTGGACAACCCACAATACTAGTGCAATCCAGCCTCGTTGCGCTGAGTATGAGTAAGCTCTGACCAATGCGCCTGCGAGCCAAGATCACCACGATGCATCATCAATGCCAAAATCCGAACCACTCTTCTCCACTTTGCGTGGCACGACAGCTCAATCGAGCCTTGAGGGGGTGAGAGCAAACAAGTCACCCACCCCCCCCCCCCCCCGGCCTCGCACTTAAACCACAGAAGTGGCCTCAAAAACTGCATGAAGCACATGCAACACCATGCTAGCAAAAAAAGCAGTTACCGCGAGCAGTTCTCGAACCTACGCATAGCAATGAGGCCAGCCACATGTGTTGCAAGTTGTCATTCTGCCAGCTACATCGCTGCCTGATGGGCGGCTTCTCTTCGTGCAGCGCCGTGCAGACCTTGCCGTGCCCGCAAGTTCCACGGTGACGGGCCCGTCATTGCAGAGGTCAACCTTCCTGGCCAAACCGAAGATACAGGTGGAATAGATGCATCTAGGTCATCAACGGCATGGATGCATCGAGGCTGCATATCCGCGCCAAACTCGCCCGTCTTCACCCGGTCGTCTCCCAGCTCCTGGGAGCTCTGAAGCGCAGAAGATAGTCAGATGCCCATTTCCTCTGGGCATCCTGTACCCTTCCACGCCTTTGAACGAGATCAAAACATCGCCCTACTTCACATAGAATTTGAGAGCGCCTTCGCACAGGTGGCCACGAAGGCTTCGTAAATGGGCTGGGCCTGTCGGTAGTTCGTTCGAATGCACAAAACAATGCCCGAAGCTCACACCGGAGCCAACAAACGGGCAGTTCTTTCTGGGGCCCTGAAATGCCCTGAATGCAGAAGAGATCTTGATGAACATCTGCCCCCGACAGACAGTGCGGGCACTCTGTACTGCATGAATTGCCTCACTGGCACCCATGGCACGGTTGAAGTTGGGTTTCGTACCCTTGAACGTCGCAAACAGGGTGAACTGGCTCACAACCTCAATAGAGCAATCATGCACAGCAGCTCACAACAGTTGGTAAGATGCTAGGCAACAGGTGCTCTTTCAATCAACAAAGACACCGGAGACGGCAGGGATGTGCCAGCTTCTCAGATGGATGCCAGTACGGCATAGCCGTTGTCCAGAACCTCAGTTGCTGACGATGTATGGAGTGCATTGCTGCATGTGGTTTTCTGGGCCAAGAACACCCAAGAATTGTAGCGAAGGCACTCGGGCCATTGACCCAGTTCAGATGCAACTCAGATGCTGAGCTCAAGACAGAGGTGGCCCAGCTCCTCGAAGAGCTCGAAGCATCCCTGCGTGGTCTTGCAACTTGCAGACATGGGCGTGCCATAGCACTCGCAGCAAAGAAGCTTTCCACGGCATTGCAGCACTGCGGTCACTGTAGTCACACGGCAATGGCAGAAACTGCAGAAACTGCATGCAGCTTTGATCTGCGAAAGACGCCGGCCTGACATCAGGCCAGAGGCGCAGCTTCCTTGGCTCAGCATGACCAACACATTTCAAAACATTTTGCTGACCTCTATATACTGAAGAACGGCATGTCACATGCTGGCTTGGTCGCCAAAGGTTCTTGAAACAAAGCACGTTTTGGCCAGTAAAAGCAGACAGCCGCCGTTCAAGACAGGACGAGCGTCGAACCCTGTTGCGCACCTGGTAGCGACACGGACGTTGGAATTTTCTTGGGAACTCTAGTGCTCTGGCTGGCTTACTTCCCTTCCGTGGGCTTCGGAAGCTTGGCTTCGGCATTGGCGGGGTGGAGGAAACAAGCGGGACCGGAACGGGGGCAATGTAGTCATTTCAGACGTCAGCATCGGCGCCTTCAAAACTCGGCAAGGAGCTGAAGCAGGTACTAGCATTCACTAGCACGTGTGAAAGCTTGTTGACGTGCGTGGTCATTGGCGGAAAACCACCAAGATCTCAACCCCGAAGTGCTCATCCCCACTCGGGCCCTCTTGATCCCTGGCATGCACGGATAAGAAGCAGGGTTTCGACATGCGTCGACTGAACAGAGAGGTTCTTGCAGTCGGGCGTCAGAGCCTTGGTCGCCAGCCGCTGAGCCAGCTCCACAGTGTCTCCCGAAACAATGCCCAGCAAAATCACCAAACCTGCGTTGCCACAGCGCTCACAAAGCCTTGTTGAAGCAGCCTCTTGCAGCTGCCTCTATCACCTTACTCTCACAGTCTAGATTCTATGATGACTTGCGCAGTGGATGGAGATGGGCGCTACGGCAAAGCGCCACAGCAGGCCTGGGCCTATAGTGCCTGCATCACTGTTCTCCACGGTCACGGTGGCACGAGCAACGCGTTGGATCACCAACTTCATGCTTTCTGCCCGGATTCTACCTTGTCTTGCTCCAGAGGCTTACGTGCTTCACTTTACGGCCTGGCTGCCCTGATTGGAGCGATGCACGCAGGATGCACAGGTCTGCGGCGAACAAGGCTTCCTACCCATGATGACCCCAGCTAGCACATGAAGTTACAAAGTAGGCGTGGACCATGGAAGTGCGCCAGTGCACCCTAAGCCTCTTTTGAGCCTCGACTGCGGAGGGTTTTAAAGGCTTCCAAGTTGTTCCAAGAAGCATCTCCTGCTGCCCCCACCAGATGACTTCTACACAAACACTTCAAACTGCGCATCAAAGCATCAGGCATCAGAAACTGGCATCTGCCAGGGCATCAGGGTATCGGTAAGCAAAGATTAGCTGCAGATAGACAAACACGTCTCGGACTCGGCGGAAGCGGCCTTGAGCTTTGCAGCTTTGTTCTTCCAGCGCTGTTCGCCTTTGTCAAACTCTCAACAGATTTCCCAAGATTCTTCGCACCTTCTGAGTACTTCTTTTGTATTCGGTTTTTTGGATGGGGGATGTCCTCTGTGTCCTCTCAGGGCATGGAGATTCACGAGCGAACAAATGCCGGAGATCTGAGAGCGTGGCGCTTGACAGCCTCTTCCAATTCCATGTGTAACCTTCTGACAAGGACTGATCAAGGACAGCAAAGCTTTGCTGCTGGACCTTGCCACCTGTGCTCGTCAAACATCGTCAAACCATCTCGACACGGACATGCTCTTCGGGACCATGCAGGAACCACAAATCCTGAGCTGCACAGCCTCTCGATGAGGTCTTTGAGTGCCTGCTTCGAAGCACTGAAACTTGCACTCGCGTGCGCTCGGCGGCGAACATGAGACTCACAAATCGGCACAGCTGCAAACTTCTCCAAGTCAAGTTGCAGGCCTTACTCCCCTTACTCCCCCTAGGCCGGGCATTAGTAAACCACCGCCTCCCAAAGCCCGTGAGGCCGTTGCCTGGTTCTCGCGGTGCAGCTCCCACGGCTGTGAAGGATCTTGCGCTTGCGAACATGCCTGGATGTGGATTCCCGAGCAAGGAGAAGCATGAGCTACGCGACGTCAAGTTCTTACATCTAGTCCTGTGCACTCTTGCAGTCGAGGTCAGCAAATTCCCCTCACACATCCTCGCCTCCGGCGCAAGAGATGGCTCACTTGCAAAGCCTCCTCACAGGTGTTCAATCTGCTTGGCAAGCTGTGGCTGAGCTATGAGCTCCATGCCGATACCCCCCTGAATACCTGCCTCGGGGCAATGCCTTTGGAAGGCTCTCCGTCACGGGCATTGGAGGAACAGGTCCCACCTGCCCAAAAGCCTCGAACAGTTGTCGTTCAAGAACCCAGGAGTTTCGAAGGGCACAAGCGGGAGCAAGAGCCGGGGAGCCTCGCGGCCCTGCAAATGCGTGTCATAAGCTGCTTTCACCTGGCGGCGTTCTGCAGGTTTCGATGTTCTCCATCACCTACAAACAACGAGGTGTCCAGCTCCTAGTTTTGCGAACTTCCCGCTCTGATCAGGAACAGGATGTCTCTACTTCTGCAATGCAATATGGCAATTCAACAACTAACAGCGAATGTGTAGAGCTGAATTGCTTCATGAAGCCATTGGCGTATTAAGCAGTTCCATGAAGTACTTGATCAGTGCTTGACTTACTTGACGAGACCCATTCCTGGCTCATGGATATGAACTTCGAGTAGGTGTCAAACTAAGCACGCATACCGGACCTTCCGCAGCAAGGAACCAAACACTCGATCGCGCTCGATGACCTGGCACAGCACATCTGATTATCCTTGCGAGTCTATGCTGAGCGCCTGTCGAGTCCGGCAAATTTAGCTGCGAAGGGCCAGGGACATCACTACTGAACCCTCAACGACACATCCAAAGGACAGCGTGTTGAGCAAAAATGCAGCAAGCATCGGCAACCTGTCTGCTCAGCTCAGAGTCTGATGCCTACTTGCCCCTGTTACCCAAGCTCACTTCACTGCCTCCTCGAACAGATCACTGTAAATCTTCAGCGACTCTGATGAGGGCTCCTGGTGCACAAAGAGCAAGGTGCGAGTGTCTTCGCTTGCTGTTGGCAGGCTGGCAGGCCTCAGCATAGAGCTCCGTCGGAACTCCTGAAGATGCGAAAGGCCGAAAGGGCGCACAAAAGGCTGGCACACGCCAGGGTCGGGCCTGTGAGTTGGCTGTGACTGTAGGCACTGCCATGGTAGGGCCTCGAAGGAGACAACTAACAAAGGTAACGATTCTCATTGTTTGATATTGTTTGGATACACTGTGCAGAACTTCATGCACCAGGTCGGACTCTTGCCAAAAAGCCAGCTGAACAGAGACACGCTAACTTAAGCGATCCAGAGGGTTCCAATCATGGGCTCTGGCGAGGATGCCGCAGAGCGTGTGACTGGCGTGGCCTCGACTTGGAGCAACTTGGGGAGCAGCAGACCACCCAGATGCACCCGGCATGTATGGTACCAAGGAGAGCAAAAGAGAGCATGCTACCAAGTGCGGCAGAGTTGTCTCAAACCATTGTCAATCTATCGCAAAAAATGTATCTTGCAATATTCTGTCTCTTGTGCACAGGATCCGCCGCTTTAGCACAGTGTAGTTCCAACCACAGTTTGTCCCTGTGATCCGCGAACTTCGCGCAGTACAACGATCCTCCGCACTTTCAGCCTTTGGACTTTTAGGACTTAGGAGCAGATGCGATCCCTCAAGCCACGGCTTTCGGGCACGGCCGTTGCTGGGCCGCAGGGCGTAACCGCTGTACGCATGCCCGAGGCCACCATAGCCTCCTCATGCAGCTTCTTCACTGATACACGGTGTCATTGGCTGCTTTCTCATTCTAGGATGACATGCCCGAAACGTGCAAACAGCCACAGGAGAAGCCATGTTGTTCGAGAAAGGACTGCCTCATCAAGCTATGCATAATGATGCTACTTCTGTCACTGTAAAAATAGCTAGTGCCGCAATCGTAACCTCCCAATGACACGACTATGTAGTACGACCAGACCGAAAAGAGCGAGCTAGAAGAGCCGATACATCAACAAACGAGCCTCCATCGCCCTGCCAAGACGTCCGCCCTGCTGCACATGATCACATCTTCATGACAAAGTCAATACATCTAAAGAGACATGACATGTTGCCGAAGAGCATGGCTGCTAGAAGACTTCAGGCCTGCCACAGGAGCCTGAGACTTGAGGCGTTCACTACGCATGGAGCACGGGCACAGCTGCAGCAGCTGCAGCTACCGGCAAGAATGAGATCGCAACAGACCAAACGAAAAACACAAATGAACTGATGCTGAGGTCGTGTCCTTGGCTGCCCTTTGGCGCCTGAAGAGGTGAAGAGGTGATTGTCAGCTGCAGCGAGCGCAAGAGTCGAGTAAGCTTTGGAAGAGGTCTCAAGAGCATGTTCGTGATTACGTGAACCCTCGAGGCTGGGGAAATGTGCGGCGGTGGCAATCGCGAAGGGCGAAAGCCGGCGGATTCACATCAACCTCAGGAGCCTGTGCTGAAACTTGCCGCCTCCTTGTCGGCTCAACAGAAGAGAAGGACTGCTCTCGAAGACGTTCTGTGAGCCTGTCGTCGTTTAGGTTGGCAGGCAACACGAAGAAAAGAACAGCACAAAACAACCTCAAAACACCAAGCAGACAACTGAAAACTTCGAAAACCCGCAGCCTGCTCTCCATGACCACATCTGCTTTTTGCGGGAAACCGCGAAGTGGAGCCTGCGCTAACTTCGAACGCACTCTGACCACTCGGCAGACCTCTTGTCAGCACAACACTCGGTACAGAAACACCATCCAGGTTTGGCGCTTCCGATACCAAGAACTTATGCTGTAGGAGCTGCCTGAGCTCGGAAACGGTCTCCGGGCCTGACCGTCAGATCATCAGATCCGGCTCGGTTTTCTGCACTTCTAAGACCTACGACCTACGACTCATCCAAGACCCTGCAATCAGGCCAGCCCGGCGACACATAGTGTGGTGAGGCCTCATGCCTGGAGCTGCAGCCACACCATCATCCAAGAATCATGCGGCAAGGAGGTGGCATTCCGCCTTTCTGCTGCGCAAAGACAAACAGACAAACAAACACATGCCAGCTTGGCAGTCGCCGGCGTGGCAGCCGCCTCAGCCATTGTGAAAGGAGATCAGAGCACACACACACACACACACACACACACACCAGGGGCTAAGGAGACAAACTACCAAGAATACCCAGGCCGTGCTGGCGAGGCTCGGGGCTTGCAAGAGTTGCGAGGTCTACTGAATGACAGCCTTTCGGGTTCAGCGTTTGTTTCGCTCCTTCTGCTGCGCGGTGCCAGAACAAGAGCCTGCAAGAGCATCTCTCATTCCGGTATTATGGCAACGTGCAGCAGACTGCAAGTGGGGCAGCCACCGTCTGCTTGCTTGCGAAAATGCAGTCTCGTGCCCTCACCCAGCTCCAAAGCACAGTCATTACTTTCAGCTTGACATGGAGGGGTGTGGTGAAGGTCTTTCGCCGATCATCGAAACGTGAAACCGCCGCGGCTCGCCACAGTCTCCACACTCGTTCGAAACAGCCAGGCGTGATGAAACACCACCGTGATGTGCTTTGGTAGTCAAATCTCGAAGATCCCCCTACCTACCGGTGGAGTTGCAACAAGATGGCCACCTACAACGACCATTCGGTCGACACCAACTGCCTCCCAGGATTTAGACTATTTGGTTTGGAGCTGGCCAGAACCCAGCTTTACAAACATCTAAAAAAATCGTGGTTCTGCGCAATGACCGAGAAATTTCTTCATCTTGCCTGGGCGGCACCTTATGGAAACAATATCAACATAGAGTGCTGCATGCTCAACAACTCATCTTCTGAACTCGAGCCATTCGGAACTGCTGATTGCATCAGCGGCTCATTTTCAAAGAATGAGATCTCTCAAAATCGAGAGCTGGCACGGACAGCTTACGCACGACAGAAAGCATCCTTTCATCATGATTGTCAGTTGTCCCTGCCCACATGAGGCCTTCACGCCTCCATGCAGATGCGAAGGCCAGGGCCTTTTCAGCTTCAATCTGGCCCATTCCCAGCAAACTAAGCAGGAAACCTCCAAAAGTACAGACGAATGTCGTCTTTGGGAGCATGAATGCGAGTTCACAACCCTCTTTCACTTTGGAGCCTGCTGGAGCCATGCTATTGTAATCACCCCATCGAGTTGCAATTTTATGCATCTCTCCTTCCACTGACGCCCAGCACCTGGACAAGGGAGATGCTGCAATGCTCTGCAGACAGCCTCGTATCAAGGTCCGGCCTTAAGCTTCTGCCCATAGGAGGCGCAGCCCAGATAGAGCCTGGCTTGAAGAAGCTGAACAAAGACCCGGGGACCTAACATGGCCTACCATGCGCTGAGTATCTGCGAGCATGGCTTTCTAATGCGGATGCTCGGCCCTAGGCTGGAAGCGTGAAACCGAATCGTATTGAATAGGGTAAACGGCAACAGCACCGCACTGAGAACAAACAAAAGCATTGATGGAGGAGCTTACGGCTCGCAACTTGTAGATGTGCCTTGCTTCAGGGTTTAGGGTTTAGGGTTTAGGGTCCACCTTGTTCTACACACATGGTCCACTGCAAGAACGGCCTCATTCATCTCCTGCACGAAGCCAGGATTCACATCCTGGATCTGAAACCAAAACTCATGGCAGCTCAGGTTGCAAGGGGCGGGGTGACAAGACCGCAATGAAGGGGGTGCTGGGAAACGCTTTTGACATGTCGAGTACACCTTTGAGCAGTTCTAGATACCGCAGCGGGTGAGTTGCACTGCTGTGATTCTGCAGGTATTAAGACCTGACATGTCTGCTTCCGGTTTCAGTGTCCTTTTGGCCTCAGGGCGAATGCTTCCAGGCGATTGGTATGGGAGGTGTTGTCGATTTCTCAGAGTATCTTCTATGAATCACTTGCAAACTGCGAAACCCTTTCAAAGGTGCCTAGCAAGAACAGCTTGTAGACCAAAACGACAATCGCCGTACCTTCCTGGTGCTCTTTTTCTGCTTTACGCCAGTGCCTGGCCTTTCGCCGAAGTGCCATGCCAATCAAGGCAGCAAAGGTCATCTTGTTCCTCGGCATGTCGACACGTGGGCTGCTCCAAGCAGTTGCTAACTATCAAAAAACTAGCGCAACGAGCATAAATGATTCGTCAAGATGCAATAGGGCATCGAGCCTGGGGCACACGCTCAAAACAGGAGCTGCATGAACGGTGGGCACTGCACATGTCACACGCAGTTTCCTGCAAAGTCCTCTGCAAAGAACTTGATCTAAACCGGAATGCCCTGACAACTTCCTGCACCCAGCGGCTTGCTTTGTACTTTCACGGGCACCCGTGCTGTGGGAGCCACTGCATGTCGTTCCAGGATCGCTAAAACATCCGCAGCCAGAGGGAGAAAGCCCTGCGGCAGCTTTCTCAAAGAATCAGCAAATACCGCCACAAGCAGGCCACGTTTTTCGTTTGACGGAACATGTACACAGAGTGTACTCTATTCAGTTCTCTATGGAGCTGCTCGTTGCACCGGAAAGCTGGGCCTTCTCCTCAGCTTTCGTGCGCAAGTGCCTCCAGAGCCACAAAGTGCCAACAGTGCGCCGTTTTCAAACTATACGGCTGAGCACAGGCCGGAGTCCCAAGACTCCGATTGCAGCATCCTGAATCTGAACCTTGGCTCCTCACTGAAGAAGGATCGCCATGAGCTCTCCGGTGTTCAGTGTCTGCAACAACTCCCTGGCGGCCCACAAGGTAGTCTAGTGCTCATCGGCAAAATTTTACACACCTGCTATTTCTTGCATCTGCTTCCTGCCTCTGCCTCTTGTCCAGATGCACCGGCCGCTGCATATGCGGCATGTGACAATAACCACATTCGTCCCCGTTCGTGCAACCAGACACCTGACCACAGCGCCGCCGATAACATAACTACATCCGTCGAAGAAAGCAACTGCCTTGAATTGAGGAAAGAAAGAACGGTCTACGCTCTTCAGTTGTGGCGACGTTCCTCCTGCAATGCCGTCAAGGAGCTGAGAAGTATATGCACCTTGGTGTCTGACAGCATGCAAACGCAAAAGCTTGGTGCGCACGAAGACGCCGAAGAATCACAGAACGCTTTTGCAATATGCGGCTCTTCAGAAGCCTCCTCAACCAGGAATCAAATGCAATCAGGCGCACGGTCCCAAATTTAAGTCTTCGTCGAACAATACTGCAACGCATGCTGCTGACAAGACACGGCCTTCGGCAAACCTTCACGAGCAGTACTTGAAGCTCCACATGCAGCAGTGCTGACACATCAACTGTCACATCCAACTGCTCAGGTAGCAGGCGAAGGGAACTCGCAGCCGCTAGCGGAGCCTCCGGGTGTCCCAAGCTGCCAGGGTTTGCGGCCATGGGCAAATCGTCAGGTCCTGACAAGATGCAACAACAGCTCAGTCCTGCCACGTGCCGATGTTTCCCAAAAGCCTTTCCATTGAAACTCAGCTGCAGCTTGAAGGCTTCAGGCTGCTGATGTTGGGGCGAGGCTGAATGACCCCCCTCTCAGGGCGCAAGGTCCAAGTGAGCACCCCTCAATTTCCGCTTGTTGGTTTTGAATTGGGCATCCTAGCCCACTGGCCCCATCTGGCCCCTTGCTCCGAGTCGAAACGTGCGTCAGCCCATCTTGCCTGTGATGTCCCAGCAAGACTCGAGGCCCTTACGGCCAGTTTGAGAAACTCCGAACCTCCAGAAAGCTTTGCAAGAGACTTCCTGTAGGTTCACGGCAAGCTGCACCGCAACCTATGTCCTAGCTCAAAGCCGCCCGCCCCAGTCATACTCGCTCGAGCCGGGCCCCGACCGAGGCGGGACTTGTAGCGAGAAAGCTGCATGCAAACAAAGGCGGTCTGCCTAAACTCGCACGACTCGGAAACTCCGCACAGTAGAACCCCCATGCCAACACAAAAACTCTAAGATGCCAGTGGCATTGTCTGCATAAGGTAGCAGCCGTTCGTGCGGCATCGCGCGGCCCGTGATTTTATGCAGCCGTGCTTGCTGACAGCTGTTGCACGATGTTTGGCACCATGTAGCAGAATACTGTAACTGGGGACTGTGGCAAATACAAGTCACTCAACAGGCCACATATTAAGGCAAAGCGAGAGCGCAATTCCTTGTGCAAGCCGAGTATATTCTCCCAAAGAGTGCAACAATCCCGTCGACAGCCCAAGAAAGAGCCAACTTAGCCCCGTGATGTTACCTAACCTCTCCGGCTCCAAGAGCTTCGCCTCCAAAGGCTGCCAGCGACCACGGGCAGGCAGCAACTGGTTCAATGTACATGGGCTCCTGGAGTGCTCTGAAAAGGAGGGCTCCATATATTCAGAACTGGAGCGGCTCATGTGCTCATGAATCCAAATAACAGATACAGCTGCGGAGCGAGACCACATTACAGCAACGTGAAACTATCCGATTAACGATCAGGACAGTCAACGCTTCGTCCGTCAGAAGCGCTGCTGAAGCATGTCGAGCAGCAGCAGTGATAGGTTGCCTGCAGCACCCGGAATCTGACCCACTGACAGTGTCTTGAATTGTTTGACCGAAGGGCACCACTCTTCGACAACAGTCTGCCCTTCGAGGTTCCAATCAAGCAGCCCAGCCATCAAAGCCATCGTCTAAAGCCGCGACTACACTGTTGCGGCCGTATGTCACAAGGGTAAATACTTCCTGAGCCCAAAAACGACGTGCCCGATGAGCGCAAGCGATTCTACAGCTCTGTGACAACAAGATATCTCACAAACATTCCTCAGCTTGTCGGATTGATGTGCTCTCCCATGTTCTAAGCTACAAGGACAAGGACGCTCACAACTCAAGCCACCCAGGCTATCCTGTCAACAAGCTGCGTGTCATTGCACAAAAATGAACACCATAAACGCATCACATTCATCGCTGGGCTTGGAGCTGTGGGGCCGCCGGAATGGGCCGAGTGAAATTCAAGTTCGCTGCGGAAGCCGACCGCCTGCCAACATCTGCCATATATTTATATATGTATCTATATATATGTATATATATGTGTATGTATGTATGTATGTATGTATGTATGTATGTATGTATGTATGTATGTATGTATGTATGTATGTATGTATGTATGCATGTATGTATGTATGTATGTATGCATGTATGTATACATGTATACATGTACATATGTATAGATGTATATATGTATATATGTATATATGTATATATGTATATATGTGTATATGTATATATGTATATATGTATATATGTATATATGTATATATGTGAATTTATGTGTATATATATATATGTATATATGTATATATGTATATATGTATATATGACTTTGTTTAGTATATACATAAGCACGCAACTTTGACTCCGGAAGAAGATGACACAAGATGAAACCGTTGAAATTGATTCAAACCTTGTTCAAATGAATAAGGCGTATTCAATTTGAATAAGGCTTTGGATTCAAGATTCCAGATTCAAGGTGCCCAGGAGAACTTGCCCGGGCATCTTGAATCTTGAACCCAAAGCCGTATTCAAGTTGAAGAAGGTTTGAATCACTTTGAAGAAGTTTCATCTTTTGCTTCCAAACCGTGCTTGTTCAACATTTCTTACAAATCAAGCCGCTGCATTATGGGAATTAAGCTTTCTGGAACGGGATCCCGCCCTTATGGGCTCAGCGCTTTAGGATTTGAAGGGCCTGAAGCAAAGAAAAAAGTAGGGAATAGGAGTTAGCGATCCCGCTCTTCAGGATTTAGCGGCAAGATTTAGGGAAAAGACACTCTCCAGGCCCCTAAGCCACGCGCAGTCCCCGACGTAGGGTTTAGGGGTTAGGATTGAGGCTTAAGTTTGGGGTTTAGAAGGTTTAGGGTTTAGGCTTTGGGCTTGCAGACGTGCATCTTTAGGATTTGGGGCTCACCTAGGGGCGTTCCTTGTCAATATTTACGGACCCCTCTTTAGGGCTTAGGGAACAGGACTTTGGGGAAAATGTTCAGAGAATAAGGTGGGGAAGAAGATTTCGGGATCCCACCCTAGTTAGGGAATAGGACCTGGTTTTAAGATGTAAGGACTCCCTCTTCAGGTTTCGGGAATAGGATTTGAGAGGAAATATAAGGGAACAGATCAAAGGATCCCGCTCTTTGAGATTTAAAGAAAAGAATGAAGCAATAAAAGTTATTTTTGCTTTCGGATTTAGGGTTTAGGCTTGCAAACGTGCATCTTTAGGATTTGGGACTCTCCTAGGGGCTCTCCTCTTTAAGACTTACGGACCCTCTTTGAGGCTTTGGGAAGAGGACTTAGGGAAAAATATTCAGAACAAAATGGGGAAGAAGATTTTGGGATCCCGCTCTTTCGGGCTCAGCGAAAACGAATTAGTGAATGGGATCTGCTTTTAAGATGTAAGGGCTCCCTCTTCAGGGTTCGGGAATAGGATTTGAGAGTAAACATAAGGGAATAAGATTAAGGGATCCCGCTCTTTAAGATTTAGGGAAAAGAATGAGGCAATAAATTTCATTTTTGCTTTCGGAATTAGGATAAGGACTTGGGGAATAGTTTTTTGAAAAGGCTCCTCTTTAAGATTTAAAGACGGCCCTTTGTAGGAAATAGGACTTCGGGAACACCAATTAGGGAGTAAGATTTGGGTCCCACCCTTTGTTCGTACCATTTGTATATACATTTTTTTTGTGCCAACATCTGCCTCATCTGCTTGCCTGATCCTGGGAGAAGATCCTGGAAAAACCCTGGGCGTTCGTCGTATGACACGTCTCCGCATGCCTCATTCCCGGGCTTCGGCTGACATCATAGCTGGCCTTGGTCTGTGGCTTGCACCATGCTGCACCTCTTGAACACATCGCTACAAAAGCATTTGCGTGACAGTCCTTCGCTCAAGAAAAGTCCGCACCATGCAATTCCCACTGCATATCTGACTGTGCCATGCACGCGTGGAAACCTGTGGTAGGACTCGTAAGAGCCTGCCAGCCAGATTGATGGCTGAACATGAAGCTCCTCACCACAACTACAACAAGCAACAACCCAAGAAACCAGACAACAAACAACAATGAATAACAATGGCCCGTTGTACACGGCTCGATGATATCAAAATCCCTTGTTGAACCAACCCTCACCGCTGCCTCCATATCCGCCAGGTACCTGGCAACAGGCACACAAATCAAAACGCCGAAGCCCTCAAGTTCAGAACTCTGTTTGGCATCCACGAACTGCACGGCCACAAACACTTGGAGCACGAGATTTGGTGCACTGCTTTGCCGCAGCATTCCCATCGGCTCTGCCGGACGGCCCTGTGCACTTGTCTTGTCTGTGTTTGAGGGCGAGAAGAAGACATGTCACGGACGTGGGCCACGCCTTTGCCCAGGCGACCTCCCCGGCTCCAGCACTAGAAGCCTCTCGAAGTCTTTCTCCGTGAAAAACTCTACTACGACATAGCATGTGCAAAGAAACATATCACACAAGAACCTCTGAAGGTCACTGAGTATGCAGCCGTGGGTACGGGACGCCGCCGGGGAGCAGAGGACGGCCTGGCACAGTATCAGCGTGGCACTGTGAGTGTGGCGCCTCAACCCGACCACCGTTCCAAATGTTTACATGGACAGGCAAGCCTCGCCACGCCGAACCCATGTGCCAGAGGCGCAGAACCCGGCCTCCCGGACAACAGCGAAAAAGTTGCTAAAATTGGTGAGTCAGGCCAAAGACCTTGTCCCATGCAACATGCACAAACGTCTCTATCCGCGGGAAGACGCTGCTTTCGACATGACGAGCATGTTGCTCTTGATTCTGCAGGAGGGTCTGCAAACCACCAATGTATGTTTCATGTGCATCTTTTCGGAATGCCAAACATGAAAATGAATGTTGTCTTTGATTCGACCAGTAGCTGCCCCAAGTTCTCAACAGATGTATAACCATGTTGCAGTTGCTGCACAGCGCAGCGTGCGAGAGAAGAGCACTCAAGAAAACTCTCATGGTCTAAGCTTTAGGGGTTTCAGCGTTTTTCTGTTTTTTTATTCAGCATATGAGAGTCAAGGGATGTGAAGGGTGAAGCAATCGTGCTCCGCAAGTCTCCAAACCTGCTGCCTCATTGTTGCCGTAATTTTTGCCTCAACGCTTGCCTCATTTTTTGCCTCAATGGGCCTTACCATCCACCAAATCCTCCCCCATTCGCCTCTGCCCAGTGATGGCCCGCAGTTTCAGTTTGAGGCTGCTCATGTGTTTGTGCAATGGCCCGATAGCCTCTCTCGAGCCTCAAGTGGGTGTGGCTATTTGGCATAAAGACGCTTCATGACTTCAATCTATGCTGCGCCAGCGCTCCAGCACTTTGAGCGGAAGGCCTGCGCCGCGGATCGAACGCCATCAGTCTTTTCCGCTACGAGTATGTGTATGAGGGCGTTATAAGCTGTCGCTGCTGTCTACAAGCTACGAGAATCAACGTTTCCTCCGGACTTGGGTGCGCACAACCAGATGCGACTGTGAGCCAAGAAACGACATCGATGAATGGACACAACTTGACAAACTGACGTTGAAAATCTCCAGATCACTCTCATCCCTACTGCTGCACCGTAACACTACGGCCCAGGCTCTTCCAGCATCTATATATCAAAAATCGGGAAGCCTAAGACCATGCCAAGCCCGCATTCCTGTGCCGAGCCCATAGGCTCACAACTGACAGCAGGTCCTAGGACCTGCGAACATCTTGCCGAAATGCTTGCCTTCCAAAGATGCTCCAGCCATTTCGCGAGCGCAACAGTTTTGTTCGACAGTTTCAAAAGTGATTCGAATCTCGTCTGGCAGTGTAACATCAACTTCCGCATATTTCAACAAAGTGAAAAACTCCTTGCGTCTTTGCGGAAGTCTCAAGCGTCAGCAACTCAAAGCCTGAGAATGACTCTGGACATGCCCACGTCTCCGCACAAGTTCCCCACGAAGGATCTCAGAGGCTTAAGGGGTTGTAGAAAAGTCTCGGGATACACTGGTTTAAGCGTTTAAGGAGGTTTCGGGGTTCAAGTTTGAAGTGGCTCGGTGCAAGACGTGTTCTGAAGCCGTGCCTTTACACATCCGACCCACCAAAATTCAAAGCCCTGAGCTCTCACGAGCATGGGCCTGAGCGTTTCAAAAAAGGGTGTCGTGTACAACCCTATAATACCCTATGCATTGCAACCCAAACTACGCTGAACATTGTCATCCCATGTTGCACTTCAGAATACTACATGGCATCCCAACTATCAACCCCCAAGCCCTCAAGAGCGTGCTGAAAGGTTCATCGTCTTCGGGTAGGCTTGCGGAAGCACGCGTGCAAATTCTCGCCTTTCGTGTGACTAGAAAGGAAAATATTAAAAAATATATAAATAAATAAACCTATTTTTTTATCTTTGTAGAACCTTTATGCTATATTTGATGTGTCGGTTTTCCCCTCAAAAATATATTTCGGATGTTTAAGGTTTTCAAGACTTGAAGGGATTTGTATTTGTCTAAGGCGTTAAAGCGGCTTTTAAACTTTCAAAAACAAAACCTCTTAAGTCAGTGAATAAGTGAGATAGTACGCGACTAGTTGCACGCAAACACTAACGTGGAACATGAAAACCTGACCCTGACCACGCGGAGCCACCAACAGCCTTATGCGCACTTCGCACAAGCCGAGGCGAGGTACCAAAATATAGCCGAAAGTGGCGAGCTCAAGAAATGCCACCCTTGGACTGCTGCCACTAGTACTACGACTACTACGACTATGACGACTACTACGACTAACTACGTCTAACTACGACGACGACTACTACGACTAACTACGACTAATTACGATAACTACGACTACTACGACGACTACGACAACTTCGACTACTACAACTTCTACGACTACTACGACGACTACGACGACGACTACGACGACTACGACCACTACGACCAGCACCACCACTACTACTACTACTACTACTACTACTACTACTACTACTACTACTACTACTACTACTACTACTACTACTACTACTACTACTACTACTACTACTACTACTACTACTACTACTACTACTACTACTACTACTACTACTACTACTACTACTACTACTACTACTACTACTACTACTACTACTACTACTACTTACTACTACTACTTACTACTACTACTACTACTACTACACTACTTACTACTACTACTACTACTACTACTACTACTACTACTACTACTACTACTACTACTACTACTACTACTACTACTACTACTATACTACTACTACTACTACTACTACTACTACTACTACTACTACTACTACTACTACTACTACTACTACTACTACTACTACTACTACTACTACTACTACTACTACTACTACTACTACCTACTACTACCTATTACTACCTATTACTACTACTACTACTACTACTACTACTACTACTACTACCTACTACTACTAACTACTACTACTACTACTACTACTACTTCTTACTCTTCTCCTACTACTACTACTACTACTACTACTACTACTACTACTACTACTACTACTACTACTACTACTACTACTACTACTACTACTACTACTACTACTACTACTACTACTACTACTACTACTACTACTACTACTACACTACTACTACTACTACTACTACTACTACTACTACTACTACTACTACTACTACTACTACTACTACTACGACGACGACGACGACTACTACTACTACTACTGTTTTTTATTGAACGCTGAGCGAGCGGGCTCTGCTCATTGCGGGCGATTTGCACCGTCTGAGCACCGAAAATTGGGTAGGAGCTAATGGTTAGGAGAGGTGAAACTGAATTCAACACTGAAAAGAAAGGTGAGACTTTACAGGATGAGGGATCGGAAAGACAGAGCTAGCTAGCTTGTGTTAGACAAGGTGTAGCTTAGCGCTCAGATGTGAAAAGGTCTTCTCCCCGTCGTCCTAATTGAAAACTTTTGATACTCACGAGCACAGCTGCATCGGCACATGACATGAGACATGACTGTAAAGCTTCTGGGCAAAACAAACATCCCACCACAAGAAATCTTCACAAGGAAAATACATGGTTAAGGGTCCCATGTAAGACATCGAAATCGTGATCACCCCGCCAAAGGATGATTTGCCGCGTTTCGCAAAGCAGGCTTTCAGAACGATTTTGGTGGGAACTACTGCTATACATGCCCAGAGCAAGACAGCCAACAAGCCTCATATCAGCAAGTGCAGAGCAACACTCGGTTTGTCCTTTGCTGCCGTGGGCGGACATACCGCACTCCAGGGCCGCCACCGTTTTGGTGGGCTTTGTACAGGCCTACGGGCACCTCCTAACCTTTGACCTTTGGGCACCTTGTGAGCTCTGAGGCTCCAAGCAAGTCTGCTTGCCAGCTCCGCAAGCTGCAAGAGTATCGGCATCACATGGCTGTGATGGGTAAAGGAGAGGTTGCCGGCCACATGCAAAAGTTGTCAATCTCTTAAAGATTTGAAGGTGGTCCAATGCAATTCAAGAAAATTGCACACAAGCTCGGGTACAGTGGTACCAGCCAGTGACTGCATCCACAAGAGGCATCATGAGCATTTCAAGAAATTGCTTCTATCAAATTCGGGTTCATTTAAACACACATGCAACGAAAAGTTGTCGGTCATCGTGATTGGGCTCATTTTCACGTATCATCGTGCGGTTCTGGCTCCGGAAGGTTCTGAGGCACTGGATTTGGGATCTGCTGACCACCCACATGAAGGATGTGGAACATGGCAGCCAAGCGGGCAATGTCCTGGCGACGCCCGAGCTCTCTGGCCCAAAACTGGCATAACTGACACATGCTGTACTGACCAGGAAACTCAAGCTGCAACTGGCGATATAGCAGCCTGCGAACATATCGTGCCCTCATCAAACCATCGCATTCCCCAATGAGATGACAGCGGGTCCCACTCACTGGGGCAATCCATACCTCAGCATCCTCCCTCACCTGAAGGATGTCATCATCCTGTAGCAGTGGCTGCTGCACTTCTGCTGGCTGACCTGCAGGGATCAGCTGCATGGCTGGCATCACATCGATGGCTGCTGCTTCACCAACCATCTCATAAAGTGCAATCAGCTCTGCCTGGTTCTGGTAGGCTGGTCCATGGCCTCCAGGATACACGTCGTCATCGTCATCTTCTGGTTCTGAGTCTGGCTGCTCAGATTCGTGCTCAGTGTCACTCGGTGTCGCAGGCGCACGAGTTCGTGGCGAATAATGTTGTAAGCCTAGACTTTCACGGCTACTTTCTGATGTGGTGTCAAGGTTCTCTGCAAGAGCAGGTGCTTCGGCTAGCAATGGTTGCTCAGCCTCTGTTGCTTCAAGCCTAAACCAACTACGTACCCACCTAACTAAGGGCCACTCCAAAAGGGATGCAAAGTTCATGTTGGCGCTGGCACGGCCAAGCATGAGTGCGACGCAAACTGTTAAGGTGACAACGAAGGCAAAGCTGGTCCATGGGTATGCATCCTCGCCTGCTGATGCGGGCGAGTCAGGCACAAACTGTGCTCGGTCCTCATCATCCGCAGCCTCGTTACCCACGACCTGAACCAGCAATGCAAGAAGATGCAACGCCTCGGCATTCCCTCGACCTGTGCTCCTCACAGCACGAAGAAACTTCTTTGCCTGCTCACGGCGTTGTAGTTCCTCAAACTCAGTTGTCCCGACCAATGAAAATCCATCGTGTGAATCACGGATTCCAAGGATGTGGCTCAAGGTACGGACACGGGCTCCTGTCAAGGACTTTGTAAACAAATCAGCAGGATTTGTCAGGGTCGGTACTGCGTGTAGCGACGCTTTCTTCCACTTGAACAAGAAATCCTGCAACCATAACAAGCGTCCGGAGATATGGCGAAGACGTCCGCATCCCTGCCTTCCCATGATCCCCCGAGCTGCGCTGGAATCTGTGAACAGGTGCATGGACACATCAACACGCATGATGTGCTGCAGGGCACTGCGAAGGAGGATGCCGTCGCATGTAGCACTCACGCATGCGATATATTCACTCTCTCCACTGCTTAAACTCACGCAGCTCTGGCTTCTGGAAAAGGTGTGAATCACCATCCCATCGAAGGCTATGCATCCGGCACTGGTGCTCTTTCGTGTTGATTTGTTCCCTGACCAATCAGCATCAGCGAACACCTCCAAGGTGTGGGTCTCATCTCGGACAACCAGGCCGATGCCTTTGCCCTCAGTCCGAAGGCAAGTGACATGATTCTCGTGGAAGAACATGTAGTTCACCAGGTGGCGCAGACACCGCCATGCACCCTCATTGGGACTCCCACACATGCTGCTCAATGTCTTTATTGCATACTGTGCAGCAGGATAATCGCTTGACACATAAAGCAGCACCCCAATGCACTTTCTGTAGATTCCTGACTTCTCCTCATCAAGCGGCGTTAGCTGTGTCCATAAAGGAAGCGTGCCTGTTGGTAAAGGACTGTCCTTTGGGCGCTGTGCGGCGACGCCAAGGATTCTTGCAAGATCTACGACGTGCTTAGGGTTTGGGCTAATGCAGAAAACATCACCCTTGACCCATCTGTGTCTTCGTTTTCAGAAACTGACCTCATCATCGGGTTGTCTCAAAAAGGAAATTGTGCAGCGATACCTGGACTTCACACACTCACTGAGTCTCTGCATGGTCGGATCGGACCCGACTGCAAAAAGATCATCAACGTGGCAAAGACCCCCGCCTCCCCCGCCATGGCCCTCATCTGAACCTCCAGGAATGGAGAACAGTGCTGGGGCTTCCACCAGCGGTTCAATGGCCATTTCCTTTATCAGGTGTGCTTGAAACGCTTGGAACCAATCCTTGGCTCCTGAGCGTTGGCCTGGGAGGTTTCGGAGTAGCTTGTAGTATCTTTGCTCACCTCTCACCCATATGGTAACGATGGTATCGACGGCTTGCGGAACCGTCAGATAAGCATCTGCAACGTCCAAAGATAGGGCTGTCCAGCCCTCAGGCTGACGTGCAACAAGCGCAGCTGGCAGCACACGAAGAAGTGCATTCGACGATGCAGGTGCAAACACCTCGTTGTCCACCATGGCACTGAGCCACCTGAACTCACGGGCGACAAAACGGGCCCGACGAAGGAAAGCTTCTCCACCTCCCTTCGGCGATGGTTTCACTCTCCAAGTTTTGACCATTTTTGTGCTTAGACGCTTAAACCCGCTGAAGTCAGCTGTGGCAGGTAGCCTTTCAAGAACATTCATGGTTTCAAGTCGGGCTAACTCGAATGCTTCAGCTATGTCGTCAATGTGGGCCAATTCTTCACTTGACAGCTGAGGCTCACCGGACCCAAAAGGCCTCCACAACTCTTCAGGGATGTTCTTGGCATCTTCGAAATTGTCGGTTGCATTCCAAGCAGGCGGATCCTCAACTGACTCGTTGAGGTCAGTGTCTGACCCAAGGCCTAGGTCTTCTAAGTGGACGACTTCATCGTTGTGGTGATGGGAATTCACTGCCCGGATCCTCTGGCGCTTTGCTTCCTGAACATCACCATCGAATTCAGCTCTTTCATGAACCTGTTCAAGTTCAGCCATGGCACTGTCTAAACCTTCTAGTCCCCCTATTTCATCAACCGGGGTGGTCGGCTGACCGGGGTTAAGGCCTACACCCAGACTAGGGTTTGGGGTCAGTGCCTGACACGGCTTGGGCTCTCCTGTGGCCAGTGCGCTCTCAGGAGGCGCTGATCGTGGTGGAAGTCTGGAAGGTTGTGATGGTTCCTGGGCAGGAGGTCGATAATCGGGAGTCGCAGGCATGCCATCGGCTGGCAATCTCACAGAAGAAGGGGCGAGGGCAATGTCATGGGGATTGTCGAAGACATCTTCATTCTCTGTTGGCGGGTCGCTAGCTGCAACCTCACTCCCACTGCCGGGGCCTTCCTCTGTGACTGGCTTTGGTGCAAGTTGGTTGCGACTTGCTCCGACACGTCCAGCAAGGAATGACACATGCTTGTCAGGTGTGTCTCGCAATGCAGGCAAGAGGCTGGGATCATACTCACATGTGGTTCGACGGACTGATCTGGCGACGACAAGGCGACCTGATGAAGTGCAAACAAGGTGACAATCAGAAACATCTGACTTCCCCAACCACATGGCCCGAAGCCACCGAGGTTTGCCCTTTGTAGCAGTCTTCACACGTGCTAGGACACATTCTGCAAAACGGACAAGTTTGCCTCCATATGGTGATGCATGCACTCTCTCCCATGGTGTGAGGTTTTGCGTGACACCAAACCGTTGAAGGGTCCAGCTGGCATGACGCCAACACCAGTGATGCAACGGGTCGAAGGTCTTGATCTTGATGTTCAATCTGCCCTCGAGCTCAGAGAGCATTGTCCCGGCGAGTTGTCTGATTCGCTCAATGGCACCTTCTGCATGGTTGCCTTGGTGCTCCCCCACTGGGGTTTGTTCAATGTGGGTCTCCATGCCAATGCGGTGCCTGAGTGCCTGGACTGCATTCGCAAGCGCAGTGCATGACCCCTCTGGGTCGGCACGAAGGGTGATTCGCCTGTGCCCAAGGTACGACAGCAGCTTGGTCAGCTCAACTGCCATGTAGTTACGGCAAGCAGGTCCACCTTTGCTCGGCACCGGCCATGCCTGCAACCACTTAGTCTGCGTGTCGTATGCAACCAGGCAGCACAACTTGTCACCCCCATCAACCCTACTGGTATATGCAAAATCAAAGCACAAGACGGAACTTGCACGATGGTCTTCGGTCTTGGCCTCATGCCTGTCGGACCGTGCACGGAAGGCAACACAGTGGGCACACCACTCTCTGTAGGGTGTGTGGGTAAGGCAGTGTTGACGGTATGCATCTTCACTTGGTGCTGTAACATGTTTCTGCTCCACTGGCACACGCTCTTCAGCAGCAGCAAGCTGCTGCCGGGCCTGATGGGCAGCAATCAAGTCCTGGCGGGCTAAGTGATCTCTAATGCGCTTCAGCACAGTGGACTTACCACCGGAACGACCAAGCCCCAGTGACTGAGCAGCTTGCCTCAAAACAGCAAGGGTCGATTCAAGGCTCAACGACACACCGTCAACGACGAGTGTCCCATCATCATCTGCTGCAACCTCGTCACGCAGGGCTGCATCAACTTGCAGTTCGGCCCCGGGATCGGGTGCAACGGCTGCATGCTGTTGTGGCTCATCCTGGTCCATATTTTCAGGCTCTTCAGGTGGTGGTGGCAACACATGAGGTCTGCTTGACTCGGCTGAGTCACTTGCAACTGTCAACCCAAGCTCATCTGGGGAAACAATCTTGCGAGTGGCGAACACGATCAACTCACGGGTGGCATTCTCAGGCAAAGGTCCACTCAGATCGGAAGCATCAACGATGCTCTCGCACCACTCAAGAATCTCCCACTGATTGGGTTCGGGGCACTTGGCAACAGTGCTCCTGAAGCTGCAACCCTCATGAGGCAACGCCATCGTGATGTCAACGAACCGGTTTCCAAATCCACGCATGCCGAAAACATCTTCACTGATCTGCACAAAGTAATCAGGAAGAGCCAAATCAGCGACAGTGCACTTCACAGCACGGACACGGGATGCATCCTGCTGGATCATACGCACATGCAATCGTGCAGCAAGGCTATTCTGCCTGAAATGCAATGGGATTTGGATCTCTCCGTTAGGGCTGCAAAGACTCATGTTTCCATTTTTGTTCACCATGCTGAATCCGGCGCGGTACAACTTCCCAACTGCAAGAAGAGGTGTGGTGATGTGGGGAGCAACCAAGAACGTTTCGGTGAATCCAGGCTGATCACCGAAGCTCAGCTCAGCTCGCCTAGTCCCGTGAACTAGCAGCTGATTCCCCTGGGCATCTTGAAAACCTTCCCATGGCCTTCCAGAGGAAACTCCAAGCATGCTGAGGTTTTGCGGTAGACAAGAGGCGTCAGCACCTGAGTCAATTATGACTTCGATCTCCATGCCATGCTCGGCATTCTGCTGGACCATGCGCACTGATCCACTGGTCGAGGTCACACCCGAAGTGTGCTCAACCACATCACGCTGACACACGCCCGAAGCGTGCTCAGCCTCGCTCTGTGCATCACTCGGCAATGCATTGTGGAAAACGCACCACCTCGATGGCACACAACGTGAAAAGATGCTCAGTGCCTTGCAAAAGAAACCCGAAGCTTCCTTGCTTTGCCTGTCTACTTTGTCTTGGCTCTCCACACAAGAATCACAACCTGACACCATGCGGATCTCACCTCCGGCTGACTCATCAAAGTCATCGAGGTTGTAGGTGACTCGTCTCACCTGGGGCTTTGCAGCAGGTTTCGCCTTGGCAGGGGCAGCTGACACGGCTGTGTCAGCATGTGCAGCGCTGCTGTCAGCAACAGCGGCGTCTTCAACCTGTCTGACTCGCTTGGATCGGCAGTCTCGGGCAAAGTGACCCTTTCGGCCACAATTATGACAAGTTTTGTTTGCGGCAGGGTTAGGGTTTGTGCTGGGCGGAGGCCTGGACTTACCATCCCCTTTCTTACCATCACCCTTACCCTTCCTACCCTTGTCATATCTGCCCTTCTTACCACCTTTATCTCCCTTATCACCCTTCTTAGTCTTGCCTTTGCTTAGCCTATCAATCTCCTTCTGAAGACGGTCGATTTCCATTGGAACGGCTTCACTGGATGCTGCAGGCGCATTCACAAGCACACCACCTTTGCCCTCTGACAGGCCATAAGTCGCTGCAACAGACGCACTCCACTTTGACGAAGAAGCATCATATCGAGCAACCAAACTTCGCAACTCGGCATATGTCCAGGAGTCTTCCATGGTCAAGTTCACATGCTGACGAAGTTGGCCTGTTAAACATCTCAGAAGCGAAACAACCTTCTGATCATCGGACATGGCCTGTGATGCAATCGAGTCATACTCTGCCATCGCCTGCTCAAGCCTAACAACCTGAGTCAGGAGGCCTTGCTTGTTGTCGAACACAGATTGTCTGCATGAGGGCCAAGGCTCTGGTGCGGGATGAAGGGCGAAGGTCAAGCGAGATCAAGCGGTATGCTTCGTACCCGTTATTGTCAGACACAGTCTTAAGAAGACGCTTCAGACGGTCGTTCAAAAGCGATGCAAGCAGGCCATACATGATGCGTGACCTGTCGAGCTCAGTGGCGCTCAGTTGTGCAGGGAGAACTTCAGTTTTCGGGTTCGATTTCAAGCGAGTGAAGTCCACCTGAAACTCCTTATCTAAGGTCCCCAAATACTGCTCAAACTCCCAAGACCATGCTGGCCACTTGATCAGCTCCTCATCTCGGGTCTGACAAGAAAAGGTTGAAGGATGCCTCAACACCTTGCTCAGGTCTTTGGCCGCTAGACCTGAGTAGGATGTGGTCGCAGCGGCTGCTGCTGCGCGGGATTCGGACTGGCTCCTCAGAAGCTCGGTCAACACCTGCTGGTTCTGCTGCATTCCTGCAAGAATCTCCAAAAGGCGAGTCTCACCATCTGTTGGACCGGCGCTGCCGGTTGGGCTGTGGACAGGGCTGAGTGCTGGGCTTGCTAGCGGATGTGGCCCAGCTCCATTCCCGTCGGTCATCACTCCCAATCTAAGGAAGTCTCGCGTGTCACTATCTAGATCGTACTCCACTCCAGACGGACCAAGGTTTCTGCTGAAACTGGATGACGATGCTGGATCAGTGGATAACTGAAACTCCACTCCAGACGGACCAAGGTTTCTGCTGAAACTGGAGGACGATGCTTGGAAATTTCTCTCACGCAAGATTTTCTTAGGCTCAAAAGTGAGAACGGACTGCTGCAAGGTATGCTTCAAGCAGGGCTCGCTCACCACTCAACAACTTGCAACCGTAAGCAATAATCTCTGGCGCGTTCTGGATCCCTTTCAGTTCGGTTTTCTTCTCCTTCCGCCTCTGCAACTGTCGACGTTCGAAGCTCAGGATGCTCAAGGACGGAGTGCAAGGCTTGCCACACTGAAGCTCGATGTACCACTCAAGAACAGTTCTGCGAAGCTTATCTAACACTCTTTCGTCGTCCCAAAGCTGAAAACACTGAATCTGCTCCTCAAGTTCTGGTGACACCTCCGTGGCTGGTAGGTGACAACACGAGTCTCGAGGAGATTAGGCTGGCAACCGCCTAGCCTTCTTCGGCAAGGCAAACGAAGGCTATGGCTGGAAACTACGGCAGCAACTAATGGGGTTTGGGTCCTGACCCCGGGAGGTAAGGGTCCTGCCTCCCTGAGCACAAGTGAATCCGAGGCCCCAAAGGCTGGATCACAAGCGCTCCGCTACCATGAAAACTTTTGATACTCACGAGCACAGCTGCATCGGCACATGACATGAGACATGACTGTAAAGCTTCTGGGCAAAACAAACATCCCACCACAAGAAATCTTCACAAGGAAAATACATGGTTAAGGGTCCCATGTAAGACATCGAAATCGTGATCACTAATGTGTTTCACTGCCCAGCAAACACGCACCGATCTGCAATTGGGTCGTACCTGTTGGCCCTGTTGGCCGTCGCCCATAGTGTCCATCTAGCGGCGTCCCACATGGATCACTTTGCAGACTGTACTCGTGGGACGCGCTTCTCAGCTTCTCCATTATGTTACACATTACTCACGTCCCAAATTGTGCGGCACCAAAACGTGCATAAAATTGCGCCTCCAAGAAAGTGGGCATAAACTCAACTCACACATAAAAATATCTCAATCGAATGAAAAGAGAAGCGAATCGAATCAATACATTCCAGAGCCTCTTTTTCTTCATGAGAAGGTGGCGGCGAGTCTCAAGCACCAGTACCAAAAGATGGGCGTGAGAGTACGCAGGGCGTCTCCCCCCCACTGGGCTTGGTAATCTACAAAATAAATCGGTCGGGTGGGTGGGTAACTGAAAATCTAACGTTCGCTGCAAGTTCAAGCCACACTACCAAAGGTAACTAAAGCCTACAAGAAATCCTATGCCAAAGCGAGCACTGTACCACGAGCCGAGCCCTCTCTCTTTTTGACTTTGCCGGAAATGCAGCTCAGATTTCAAAGCACAACGCAAAGCAGATGATGCGTACTAAAGCTGAAGCGTAAATGACCGATCACCAAACGAGTAAAAAGCATACCAATACAAGGAAAGGAATATCACTGCGCATCTTGTGAAACTGCGTGAAACGCGTAAGCTCCAGCTGTATGAAGGTCCGACCTGTCCCAACTCAGAAGGAACGTGCCTTCAAAGAGGGAGTAAAAATAAAGCTAGCCAGCGATGCACTGAAAGCTGCACGATTTGGTGTGTGGCTTGAACCAAAAGCAACAAAGTACGGTGATCTTTCACAAACAGCAAACAGCTATGAGTAAACACATGACCCGTTCGCTGCAAGCTCAAGCCACACTACCAAAGCTAACTAAAGCCTACAAGAAATCCTATGCCAAAGCGAGCACTGTACCACGAGCCGAGCCCTCTCTCTTTTTGACTTTGCCGGAAATGCAGCTCAGATTTCAAAGCACAACGCAAAGCAGATGATGCGTACTAAAGCTGAAGCGTAAATGACCAACTTTCAAACTGGCAAAGTCAAAGCTCGCCGGGCCTATCTACCCCATTTCTAAGTGAGCGCAGACTATGCCAGGCTCTCACATCGGAGCTCAGGAGAGTGATTATGGCGGCTGCCATTTGAGCTTTGCATCGGGAGGCCAAAGGCGCACATCGGAACGAAAATGCCAGATGCGTGCCAGGCTGCAGTCCACACGATAGTCCGGAAGGAACTTGGCTGGCAAGGGCTGGGATTCATCACTCCAGCGGGAGAGCAGATCCGCATCGTCATTCTTTTCGCCGGGTATGTGGAAGACGTCGAGCTCAATGCCAGTCATGCACGCCAACATTGACAGGCGTTTCAGAAATACTGACAAAGGAAAGGCCGAGCTGTAGAGCTTATTGACGCCTGCCTCTGCACCTGTGTTGTCGGACAAAGTGCGAAGTCGAACGGTCCAGCGTGCCAAGGGCACCACGGAATGGAGACAAAGAATGAGGCCAAGCTGTGCCAATGTCTCGTAACATGTGATGTCTTGGTGAGCTGGCACCTGCAAAGGCACACCCAGTGACGAAAGGTCTGACACACGCCATGACTGGCTGAACCACGAAATCTGGCGTGAAGGCCATTCGATAAAGCCCCCTATCCCGACGAGATCCCCATCCGCGCGTGCGTCGGCGGCGGCGCAGACGATGGGAACGTCCGCAGGTTTCTGCAAAGGAAAGAAAAGGGGTGGAACCTCGCACCACTTAAGCCAAAACTGAAGACTCTCGCGGCTGGAAACAGAAAGCTTGCGGCGAGTGGTGGAGGGGTCCGTCACTCTCATCCAAATGCGTTTCGAGGTGGGAATTTTTACGAGGTCTTTCTTAGACTGCAGGGCCAAATGCCTGGCTTCAATGAGCTTAGAGCCTGTCGGAATGCTTGTTCCTGCAGCAACCCGGTGACCTTGTCCAGGGTCCGTTTCGAGACATGGCGACCCTGTAAAGCTTCCTGCAACAGGCGCTTCAACTTCTGGACTTTTTCAACCGGAATAGAGAAAGTGCCAGAGCCGAAGGAAAAATGCCAGCCTATCCAGTGGATACAGCTGCCAAGCTGTAACTTGGCGTTGGACAGCGGTATGTTGAACAGAGCATTATCGCTTGTGCCAAAATTGGTTTGAACCCAAAAGCACCGTCCGAAATCAGAGGACAACACGCAAAGCCTAAAGCCTTCGCCAGTCCCAAGCATTCCTTCTTTTCCATCGGTGGGCGAATCAAGGATCATTAGGGATAGCACGATGCACATTGTGTCAGTGCATATGCCTAACAAAAGCATGCGCATCACCAACTACAAAAACCTCAAAGCCCCCTTTCAGGGCGAGGGTATCTACACGCATCATGTCCTAAACTACGGCAAGGAGCCAGACACTACAGGAAGTGGCCAGAACGGCAGCAGGGAGCTGCTGTTGCTGCGACGGGCTCTGCCAAGAGCCTGAACTGGGCAGGGCGGGTGGGATCCCCAGTGACGAAACGCCAAGCCGACCGAGACGGAGGCGCGTCTTATGAGCAACGGCGAACTGGCCGGTGCACGCAGGGAGTTGCAGCCGCGGGGAGCGGGCCCTGCGGGTGCATGCCCAGGGCGGGCTGGGTGGGACAAATTTTTGCACGGCGCGATGGAGCCCGTGCTGCACGTCAAGGAATACACAACAAGCTGCAGACATCAGTTGCACCTTTGCATTCACAAAGCATGGCATGTTGCACACCAAGGCACATCACAACAAGCTGCAGACAGCCACTGCACCATGTAATTTGCTGAACATGAAAACATGCAGAGCATGCAACCGGTAATCGTTGAGCATGGGAAAACAAAGCATCAAAATAACTTTGGCTTCAAACAGCGAGCAAACGGCATACCGTTTCTCACAGGGCATTTTTGGAAGCAAGCGATAAAACACGATTCGCTCGCGAACAGTAAGCTTATCGCTTGTGCCAAAATTGGTTTGAACCCAAAAGCACCGTCCGAAATCAGAGGACAACACGCAAAGCCTAAAGCCTTCGCCAGTCCCAAGCATTCCTTCTTTTCCATCGGTGGGCGAATCAAGGATCATTAGGGATAGCACGATGCACATTGTGTCAGTGCATATGCCTAACAAAAGCATGCGCATCACCAACTACAAAAACCTCAAAGCCCCCTATTAACCGAACCATTGTGGCGGACGCCGTCAAGTGCAAGACAGCTTAGAGCACAGTCCCTAGACTTCCCCTGCCCCCAGTGGTGAGTCACCAGTCCTTGAGGCAGTCCACACTGTTCCACCCGAACGGCTCTTGCCACAAATTGAACGGGTGCACTAGGCTGGAGGTGCAGCCTCGCGAACACCGGGGGGAAAACTCCCAACGGGTCTTGCCGTAAAGATTGCGCAAACGTGATGAACACGGACTTCCCCACGCAAGGCCATAGCGGGTAACTGCTCGTCTACTTGGTGTTGAGCTGCGGGGAGGGGCACTGTGGTGTCCCCCCTCCCCACCCCCCCCCCCCTTCATGGTGACCGGCAGTGCGTCCGGGCATCACTTCATTTACTGGGAAGGCCCCAACGCATTGGCGCAGAGGAGGGGGGGGGCCGGTTGCAAAAGAGTCCAAGTCATGACCATGGCTTTCCCACCACGAAACTAGTAGACACACGTCCAGGGTACCCGCAGCGATCATCTTTGATCCCCGAGATCCACTCTCCAGGGCAGCCCAGTACTGTTGTGACAGCATGTAACCAAGCACGCAGACGCTGCCCTACCCGCCCTTCGTGAGGCGTGCGGACCACAACGCACCTCCTTTTATGCGAGAGCAATATTCAAATTTGAAATTGGGGCCAGGGTCAACCTGTCATAAATGAGGGCATGACCATGAGCCCCAGACACCACCGTGTGCTCCAGAGGCACTTGGGCCGCTAGCCTCTTATTCCGCAACACACAGGTTATTACAGCCTACATGCTCGGGCCACAGGATCCAGAGGGCCCTTGCGCCGGTCCAAGGGCCGAGCCTCAAAGGTGCACTGGCAAGTGGAAAAACAGTCAATCCACCCCGGTAAAACGTGGGTTAACCAACTGATCGACATTGGTCCATGAGCCGCTTGGATCACACATTAGGACTCCAGCACGGAGGTCCTCGCCCTCGACGCAAAGGGGGGGGAACGAGCCAACTGTACCATTCAGCTCAATTTCACACGCCTCAGGGAGACGACCCAACTAAGGGGCAGGGCACTTAGTTGGCTCATTCATGGGCTGAGCGGTCGAACCCCTCCCCCCCCCCCCCTAAGGGCTCGCGGGAGACAGGTCACACCGGATTCATGGCGGAGCCCTTATAAGGAACCCTACGTAACCATTACAAGCGTTGCGAAGGCAACTACTCTGGGACAGAGCACAACCTACTCAAGCTTACTCCGGACAATGGCACCCCCGGACTCATGGCACGGCGATCACGACCCTATCGCATCGCACAGGGCGCGAGCACGACCCACACCAGTTCACTCCACACATTGGCATACCATGACTCATGGCACAGTGATCACGACCCTGATGCACCTCACAGGGCACAGCGCACTTCAACGTCCTCAGGGTCGCACACTTGAAACCCGACTCCCCGAGCATCCATTGGAAAGGGAGCAAGGGGGGGGAGGGGCGACCAAACTGAGTGTAAGCCAGGCATTTGGTCTATTAGTCTCGGCAAACACCAACCTCATATTAAAGATTCATGGGAGCACGTCAGGCGTCAGACCGACTAGTCCCGGCGGACAACCCAAAACAATGCTCAGGACGAGCAAGCCAGGTGTCAGGTCAGGAGACCCGGCGAGCACTAACCAGGCACCGCAGGATTAGATGTGCGGGCGCCCAGAACGGCTAGGAGGCCTGGCGCACAACCCAAAACATGCTCAGGACGATCAAGCCAATGTGCCAGACCGGAAGACCCAGCGAACACTAACCAGGCACCGCAGGGTTAGATGCGCGGGCGCCCAGATCGGCAACCAGGCACCGCAGGTTTAGATGTGCGGGCGCCCAGATCGGCAAGGAGACCCGGCGAACACTAACCCGACAAGCACCGGTTAAAGACCCCAGGCGCCCCAACCAGGCTCGCATAAAGATGAACAGAAACCACCCAAGCAACAGACACCTCCCCACTTAACCGCACTGAGCACTGACTGGCAGCAGCGCAGGGCCGGCCGGCTAACATTGACAGCATAGGAAGGCTAGATATTTAGGGCGGTGGGCCCGCAGAGAGTGCACTTGAAGTGGGCGGGCGCGTGCAGCGCCCCGCCCCGTGTGTGGCAGGATGCCTGCACGAACACAAAGGCTCGCAAGACCACGTCCAACCGGTTGCCAGAGCAACCAAGATTGCGGGCAAGGAGGGGCTGTAACCCCTCCCGATCGCTGACACACACTGCATGAACGCAGAGGCTGCCTTACAGGAGGCAGATGCAGGCGCGAGAACATTGTGGAAGCCGCCGAAAATGCAGAACCACCCGATCCACGGGCCGCCCCGGACCTAAAACCATAAACTACGGCGGGAGGAATTCTCTGGGCACTTGTAGCGTTCACAGCACAAGCCGTTGCAGGCCAGGCATGACCAACATGGAACCCTCGGTTAAAACGAGGAAATACTACATAGCTTGGCCAACGAAGGCGCACCTGGGCGCGGGCCTTGCACAGAGACTTCTCGTTGATTCGGGTCCACAATCACGGCATTCTTGTTCAGGCACCTAGGCCACGCACCATCTTCGGCTGGAAAGACCCTGAACTATGTGTTCATGTCACTCGTCATGGCCACTAGGGGCGAACGGACCCGGTGGCATAGTACAGTCGGAACACGCCGGTGAATGGCCTGCCAGCTTGGGCGACGGTCCAGTAGCAGAAAACGCAGCAAGCAGAAAAAGCGCAACCGCGCGAAGCCCAACCAGGTGCAGCACCCAAGAGGAAACACAGCAGGGCTGGTTGCAACATGGCTGGATCACCAGGGAGGATCCAACATACATTGGTGAGGTTGGCCTCTCGGCCTTAGTATGCACACGCACAGGAACGTGCCCGCCACTGGACGGACAGACCGTCGAACCTAAAGCTGAACGCGCGAGGTGGCGCTCAGTAAGGCGGGCCTAGGACAAGCTTATGGCGACATGGCCTCGTATGAGGACTAAGCCCCAATAGGGGATGAAGACACGATACCCACAGTGCAAAGCGGTAGTTCAGCGGGACAGTTTAGCAAGGGACGGGGGAAGACCGCCACAGGAGGTGCCCCTGACTGAACATTACGTCCAGTGTCATATGCAGGTGAACACCTGTCCAGGGACGTATCCAGGAGACTAAATGATGATGTGCCTCAAGCAAAGGTGCCGGGCAAAGTTGCTCAGAGGCCGTGAAGGCGGCCGCCATGCATGAACACCATGTGGCTGTGGCCCGCAATCATTGGCGGCGGGCACCTTGTCCTGGCCTTGGGGCGGCAGGCGGTGCTCCTGCAACTTGTGCATCACTTGAATGATATCATGGCGGGCAAGGGCCTGGTCACATGCCTGGACTCAACAAGGGAGCAGGCCACTTGCGTCGCACGCGTAGTAGGTAATTTGGAAGGCTTGGTTGGTGTTCCAAATATATTGTCCGCGCAAGTGGGTCGATTTTGTGGAGGTCGAGGGCGTCGGTCAAGATGCCACATGTCACCTCAGGTGCATCATACATGGCATGCACTGCTACTTTTGACCCTCCTGACACTGTCTGTAGACCACATGACGCTACAAAGCACATACTGACAAGGAGGCAAAAGCCTAACAGTCACACACATACAAGAGCTGAGAGAGAGACATGCTTTCATGAACATGGCTTTGAGCCTGCATCCTTGCACGAGCACCGATGGTGCAACGGACATAACTGGCACCATGGCCATGTTGTATGACAGCCCCTTGGCTCATACAAAGGCACCATGTGCCACTTCATGACCCTCATAGCCCCTTGGCTGAGCAGACATTGCTCGTCTCATGACATCAGTAACATGCAAAACATGTGTGAGCGCTCGCTCATTGCTTTTTCCTCATTGTGAACTGCATCCTCATCGCTAGGCCGTCTTTGCCATGTTTTCCAGGCAAGCACCACAGCGCCCATCGAATATGGGGTGCAGAAAGTGCAAAACATAATTGCACTGAAGCCGGCTCAAGAACAAGGCCCCGTAACGTGATCACGCGTCAAAGCGGAAAGACAACTGCGGGCATTGAAATTATGAGCACGGATAAACGCTTGGAGCCGCTCACTAGCGGGGGCACCCACCAACCTGGTTTGGAGGGCCCAAAAGGAGGCCATTTTGCGTGGCCCCAAGAGGCTCGCCTGGGGTACCGGAAGGCAACAATTGGCATCAAGGATGACGAGGTGGAACGCTTCACCTGTCAAGCCTTCGCGCACTTGATGCAGCTTGCGGCCGGCCCTTCACCCCGAAGGTGGTACACTTTTCGGAATCCTCCCTTGAGCTCCGGCGCCCTGCTCGACCCCAAGACTGACAGGCTTTCACCATTTACACCCAGGGTCAGATGAAGGTCATTCGGGAACATGTCATTGCCTGTTAGAACCCCTGAAGCACGCAAAAGCTTTATCGAGGGCCATGTTTGTGTACCGCTGGGCATTGCCTCTCGAGCGGTATCCTGAACCTGAGCTGCAGGGATTGCCTCTGGAACAGCACTCTGAACCGGAGCTGGTGCGATGGAGGAGCCACTGCGACTATCGACCAAGCAGTTTCCGCAAATGTCAAAGTCACAGACCCTACACCCCCAGAGCAAGCGTCGCGTGGAGAACACGCGCTTGCACGCACTGCACCACCAACCTGGCTCAGGAGACCCAAAGGAGAACAAGGGATGACCCGAAGAACACGTGGGACGGGTGTCAAGCCTGGCCAGAAAGGCTTCTGCACAATCCTGTGTGATGCCCTCGTCAGACGAAACGGTGCCGCTGGATCGGCTGACGCCTTCGGGCTCCCGCCTTTTACGCTTAGGGCTGGGAGGACGTGGAGGCAATGGCCGACCACCAGGAGGCAAGGTTGCTGATGCTTCATGCACGCTTTCCAGGCTTGGGGCTTCTGACCTTTCGCTGGAAGGGAAGGTTGTGGCACGCTTAATGAAACATTCAGCCCTTCGGGGAATGGAGCCAGGGCCAGTAAAGACAGGTCGCGAACTCAAAGGGGTAACCACACGCTGCTCCTCAGGCGGAGGCACCTTCCTGGGAACATCACGGACAACTGCAGGCCCCAAGAAAACCCGCCTTCGGACCGGTCTGGCCTCATCACCCATTGCGCCGGCGGGCACACATTGAACAAACTTCCCCGACACAGCTGGAGTCTTGGCTGATGAACTTGGTGCGACGAGCTCACGAGCCCTGGATACATGATGTGGGGAGAACACACTATTGGCACCTGCATGGGCTTCAGGCTGAGAATGCACAGTCAGCCGTGTGCACTTGGCAGAGCCACAAGGGGTATGGCCTATGGACTCCGGGATGGCCCCACTGGCATGCGATGCATTATTTGGGGCTCCGGCCTCAAACTCATCGGGGCAAGGGCCGCGAGGGTCGCGGACTGGTCCACTACGGGCATCCTGGTTCACATCGTAGTCCAACTGCGCATCGGGATACGGCGCACACACAGTTTCAGCATCCGAATTACTTGGGGCAGGGCTTACTTCCCTCCGCGGATGTTCCCTTTGCTTGGTGACATGCACAGGTGGAGCAAGCTTGACATCATGTTCGGGTTCAACCCTTTGGGATGCCCTAGTCCTAGCCTTCGCTGTCACCACGCTTGAAGGAGCTTCGGAAGCACTGGGACGGTCGGGCGGTGTGTCTCTCACACCTTCAGCAAGTAATGCCGCATCTCCCAGATCTTCCGCTGGCCCAAGGCATGAAGTCATTGCATGGCTTTGATGGGGCATGCTGGGTGGAGCCTGTTGATGTGCACTTGACGCATTGTGCCTGGATGGCTGCTCAACAGGTCTGGCGAGAGGACTAAAATCATAATCCTCACCCAGGTGGGCCCCGACTCGCTCAGGTGCACGACGCTTTGCCTCGCAAAGGATTCCGGATTCCTCTGATGAAACGGCCTCAACAGTACCGGTTGCGCGTAAAGCATCCCTATGCTGGCCTGAAGGATCGATCACCACGTGCATATTATCACTGAAATTCGTGCCATCAGGTTTCAAAGGATTAAATTTTTGGGCTTCACTCCCATGTAGCGCCGCTCGAGACTGCGCTATAAGGGAGGGGCCTTCTTTGACAGGGGATCCGGTTGCCCTGTCGACCGATGCACAGAGCCCAGGTTCTGGGGCCATGGGTTGGCCATCAGGTTTCTCAAGCACCAAATCAACGGGATCACTCCCATGTAGCGGATCACAAGACTGTGATGACAGAGCAGTGCCCAACTCCGCAGGGACATTAGCAGCCTGGTAGCTAGGCTCACCAGGCTCAGATCCCACAGCTTCCGGAGTTTGGATGGGGGGCTCACCCTCGACCGGAACATCTCCCTTGGCATTGGAGTGTCCCCCCCCCCCGGAGCTTGGATGGGTGGCTCACCCTCAACCGGAACATCTCCCTTGGCACTGCAATGTCCCCCCCCCTTAACCGAAGCAGACCGCCCGGGGCGATCTTTTCTGAAGCGCTTAACAACGCACACAGGGGCGACATGGTGGGGCATCGAGCCCGGAGCGGCTGGCGATCCCATGACTGCGTCGGAGCCAGGGGATATCATCTATCGGCCGTAGACGGCCAAATACCAGGCAATCACACAGTGAGCGCACCAATGGTGGTTGTGGTTGATGCGGTAGCGGATGCACCCGTTACGGCCACATTGCTGACAGACCTGCTGACAAGCTGGTATGGGTGGGTCTTGCTCGACGAGCGGCTGTTCCGGAGCACGACGACCGCAGGTGGAGCCCATGGGAGGCTAACAGAGGCTGATGACAAACAGAAGGCAAGCCACGCCCAAGCCGAAGCCGGAACAAAAGCAACAGCAGGTGGTCCTGGCAGGACCCACGGGGCTGCAGGGCCCCAAATGCACGGGTGACTCTAGTGCGGCTCGCCCACGGAGGCGAGCTCCCATCCGCTGCCTGCTTCACGCAGGCAACTTGCACTGGGCCTAAGGCCAAGGTTTGAGGAAAGGGCCTGTTGAAGCAGGACCAGTTGGAGCCCCAAACCCGGTTCACACAAATTTTTGCACGGCGCGATGGAGCCCGTGCTGCACGTCAAGGAATACACAACAAGCTGCAGACATCAGTTGCACCTTTGCATTCACAAAGCATGGCATGTTGCACACCAAGGCACATCACAACAAGCTGCAGACAGCCACTGCACCATGTAATTTGCTGAACATGAAAACATGCAGAGCATGCAACCGGTAATCGTTGAGCATGGGAAAACAAAGCATCAAAATAACTTTGGCTTCAAACAGCGAGCAAACGGCATACCGTTTCTCACAGGGCATTTTTGGAAGCAAGCGATAAAACACGATTCGCTCGCGAACAGCAAGCCAAAAAGCCAGTGTCATGCACGCTGTAAGGCCAATGACCTCCTGGTCCTGAAACAACATAAAGTCGTCCACGTAGCCCAGTAGGGCGTGTCGAAGCCAAGTCCAAAGGTGTAAAGTGCGAAGGAAAAAGCTTCCAAGGCGCTGGAACCAGAGGGCCGAGAAGTTCGCTCCAAAGGGACAAACGCGGTAAAAAAGCCAACGACGGCCAGGACCTTGAATCTTCGGGAGGGAGACCCCAAGAAGTCCCTGATCAGAGTCGCGAACTCGAACCGTTTTGTGAGCTGACTTGATGTCAAACGCAAACCCCGCGCACAGGCCAGAGTGACAACGCAAAGGGAAAGAATCCCTGACATCGTCAACACCCGGGAGTGTGTACGTCTCGGGGATCGTGCAAGACGGGTTGGTGCCACACACAGTGGAATCAACCACAAGACGCGGCTTTTTGCCTTCAGCTTTGACGATAGACATCTTTCCAATGGCCAGCTTGTCGCCAAAACGCTCTTGAGCCGCTTCCAAAGAATCCAGCTCCAAGAACCAGCCATTGGCGATCTCCTCTTCCACTAAGGCATGCAGGGTTGGAAGGTCCGCTTCAGCGCTCGACCAATTGCCATGACAAATGCCAAGTGATTGCTCGAAAGGATGGCCCCCTCCTTGTGGCAGGAAAACATTGGACAACGGAATGTCCCCGTCAAAGCCAGTGGGCACTCCCTGTTCCAGACAGGCAAACAGGGACACGTCTCGATCTTGACAAATGCGTGAGACAGCTGCCAGTGCCTGGAGGCAGTATGGTTGCCCTGCAGATATTTCCCAGGAAACGGCAATGCCAGGGAAATGCGCGGAGAGCCAGTCCTGGAAGAGGCGACGCAGGGCGTCTACCTCCGAGCTTGAGAAAAGAGCCTCCGCGGCAAAGTGCGCAAACGCTGAGGAAAACGACCCTGAAGGAGAAAGGTCATCAGCTTAGGCCTAAGGTGTGCAAAGACGTCTGTAGCTCCTGAAGGTGGTGCACTCCAGTCTGGCGTGGAAAGGATGCCGGCCCCATCCTGCGAAGCCACCGGAGCCTCATGAAGGGCCTTGAGTTTGGCAAGCAGCGGTACCGTGGCGAGAGAAAGGGCAGTACCTACCCCTTGTTCAACGTCGAAGAGGGGCAGGGCTTGCTCAGCATACATGTCCGCTAAACGGGGGGGGTACTCTGCAGATGCCCGACTGCAAAAGTTGCCAGCCTCATCACACAAACCCTGCAAAGCCACGTGGGTCCCCTCAGTGTGTGGACATGTAGAGGCGAAGGCCTGAAAGGCCCTGAATGAAGTGGCTAAAAGCCAGGCTTTGTGCATGTTGAGATTGACGGAACAAGCGGCCACGTGGACCAGATCCGCACTGATGGATGCCAAGAAATTGGTTGCAATCGGCTCCATCCAGGCCATGCTGTTGGGGGGCTGTTCGAGCGACACCTGCGCGCCGCAGGAAAAGCCGACATGCAAGAGCTGAACGCAACGCACAAAGATCAGGTGACTCTCCTGGACTCTAAGAGCCTGTGATGCCGACAGGTCGGGGAGGCCATCCAGGAATGCAGGAGTCCGAAGTGCTTTTGGGCCTCTAGGAAAAAGTTTCAGGCGAGAGTACTCCCTGCATGGAGGGGCAGCGTGCGCAAGGGCCACTTGGCGGGACGTGCAAATGCGCAGCAAATGTTCAAAGAAATCGTCCTGGAGAAGATCCATGTTTGTGTCGATGAGAATGTCTATTGACAGACATGGCACCCCCTTCTCCAAGAAGGCTGAACTGAGCGGCGAGCCCGCTCCCGCGCAAATGTCCAGGAAGAAGGGTTGCTTGAAATCCCGAACGGACTGTAGGACAGAGGTGACATGCGAGGAGGCAGGCGGAAACAGCCATGGCATGGACTCTGCGGAGACCGGTGCAGGAGCTAGCGCTGGGCCGAAGCTGTCCGGGGCCGACATGTCATCCTCGGGATTTATGTGCTGGGGTGGCGGGCTCCCTGGGGATAATGTGTCGGAAACAGACACAGCCAAGGCCACCTGGTGAGGAAGATCGGGCATTGGAGGCTCGGGTGCCTGCTTTGCCGGAGCAGCGGTTGCCGGAGTGGAAGAGCTCTGGGAAGGCAAAGGCAAAATGGCAGGCGTGAACAAAGGCAGACCGGACCCAGCTGCCTGCTCGAAAGATGGGTTGCCAGGCCGGACGGTTGCCAAGACAGATCTTGCCACTGGGAAGCTTCACGGGACAAAGGTGTTCAAAGCGGCACGACGGATTTTTACAGCCTGTGCGCTGACTCCAGCGCATGCAGAGGGTCTTGACTTCTCCGTTGATTTTTGCGGAGGATGCCCACTCCTGTCGGTTTGTGGAGGTCCCCGCGGAGTTGCCTTGGTTGCCCAGACCGGATCCCCCACGACCGGTGCCAAAGCCACTCCCACGACCTCTTCCGTCCCCCCTGCCTTTGCCGCGTCCGCGTCCGTTGCCAAAACCAGCACCGGGGCCATTGCCCTTTCCTCCACCTGCTCCCTTGCCCTCCGGGCGGCGCATGGCCTTGGGCAGAAAAACACGCGGTGCCAAAAGAGAAGCCAGCTCGCTGCGGACGGCTGTACACGGCCTCCCAGAATCGGCGGTCTGCCTGCTCACATTCCAGTGCATTGGGTGGGCGAAGGCCACTGCTGTTGTCAAAGCGAGCTGAAGCAAAACGCAGGAAGGTAGACTCGTACTTCTTAAGCGTCACCAAGTGCACATCAGTGACCATGGCCATCGCCACACTGTGCAAACGCAAAATTTTGCTCAATGCAAACATGCCCAGTGTGTCCGGGAGGTTCCGAGAGGGGACATCATCCAAAATGAGATCTGCCAGCTCAGTCCTGGCCAGCTTGCGAGGGCGCTGCAACTGCTGTTCTTCAAGCTCAAGCACGGACATGCGCCAACGCCAAGGGATGAAGCGCCACTCATGGGACGAGGCTTGTTTGAAAACCAAAGCAAGGAGACGAGCCGAAGGCATAGTGGAATCGTCCAAAACCTCGCTAGGAAATTTCCGCAGGAAAGCGGCCCGAAGCTCTGCCGTTTTGTCCGAGGAGAGCTTAGCCGGGAAAGGCTCGTTCCACGACGCAGCACCTGACGCGGGGTGACTAGGGTCTGAAGCCGTGCTGAAGGACTGGTCCTGCGGCAAAGGCAGAGCAGAGGGGTGCGGCGGGAAAGGCACGACTGCCATGTGTCCCTCAGAGCAGGCCAAGGCATGTGCCCTGTGCCAAAGACACCGAAGGTCCGCAACTGTCTCGGAGCCAAAGTCCAGAAGACCGTGTGACTCCAACCACTGATCCAACTGGTCGAAGGAGGTAGCCAAGAACCCAAAATTACGAATGGTGCGGTTCAACTCCGAATGAGACGCAACGGCTTCAGGGAAATCGAGGTTTAGAGATTCCCAAAGCACTGACAGCTTGTCTGAGGGGGTCGGCTGCACGAGAAGGCCTCTCCCATTGTCGCTCCCCGGGTCGGCCATAGAACCTGTGTGAGCCAAAGTGAAGCACCCCAAACCAGCACAGTGCAGATAGAAGCACTTGACGCATACAAGAGGCCCTAAAGCCAGTGTCAAAGCCAATGAAGCTGGGCCAAGGAAAGGACAAAATACTCTGGGAGGTGCGCCTGGAAAAATGTGAGGAGCGTCCACAGCCCGACCTGGGCGCGAGAGCATGTATGAGGGAAAGTACACGAAAGCAAAAAGTGAAAGAAGCTCCGAAACCGCACGCAAGCTCTGATTTCCATCGGCACGCTCCGATGCCAATCGCCCTCAAGCAGCTTAAAGCTCACTGAGGGAAAATGCGGCGAGATAAAGCCAACAGCACTCTATGTACTGCGCCCCGCCAAACCGGGCAAAGCCAAAGTAGAGGGGGGCAAATAAAAGCCAAATGCTGATGTAAGGGCTTTCTCAGGGTTGCCCTTGTGCCCTCCTAAAAGCTTTGTAACAGATGCCACAGCGGCGCCGATGAGGCAGATCTTCGCGTGTAAGAACGACCCCGCAATGGCCAGCACCGCAGTCTTGACACGTGGAGCGGCAGTAAATCTGCTGGACAGTTACCGTCTCGTTGTACTGGCTGAGCGGGAAAGCGTCCGGCCCCATGCCAGTAGACAAAGGCGGCGCAGTGCCCAAAGGAGGTGCCGGCGGCGGCTGGGGTCGGTCGGCTTGCGACACCCAAAGCCAAAGCCATTGGCCAATGTTCCAGCCATGGCCAGCCTCCTTGGCGCGCTGAAGCAAAGTCTCAAAAGCCGAGTCCTGCTCCATCCAATAGCGAAGCCAGTCGTCTTCCTCCCAGCCACCAGCACCATTAAAGGAAGCGGCCTCTTCCAACCACGCATGTGCACGGAGAAGATCTGCAGGGGCCAGTCCAAGGGAACGGTGGCCATTGGGAAAATGTGGCCACTTGCTGTCCAAGGCAGTTTGCGCCGGCGCGGCTTGGGAAGCTGCTGCGCCCGGGTTCAGAGTGGCCTTTTCCATCTCTTCGACCCAATGAAAAGCCCAATCGCCAGAGCTAAAGCCAAAGACCGTATCCATCTTCTCCGCAGCCTCCGTCAAAGGCGCAAAGGCTGGCGTAGACGAAAGCCAGTGCCACAGCCACTGCGTTGGTGAAAAACCACTAGTCGCCGGCATGCGGCGCGCGTCTTCCAGCCACGACACTGCCTTGTTCACATCAGCTTCTGCAAGGCCCAGGAAAATGTCAGTATTTGCCATCGCCAGCAATAAGCGAGAGTGGGCAGAGCCACCGAAGCAAAAGACAATTTCAGTGTCAAAGATTGGGAAGGCTAAAGCAAAGCCCAAAAGCTCCGAGGTAAAGCGGCGAAATGATGATGCACAAGCTCTGAGTGCAGAAGCGAAGCACTGAACCGCTGTGTAGTTATTACACACGACGCTCACCGGCAGTTCAGAATCTCTGAGTGCGAGGCCAAGGGAAAAAGCTCTGCAATCCCAATCTACCCCCCAGGAGGTAAGAGCCAAAAGCTGGGCCGATGCGAGTAAGCACTGAAGCTCCGATTCAAGCACCGACTGAAAATGCAAACTAGACAAAGCTCAAAAGCAAAGTGATGCAAGTCTACCCGAAATCGAGACTCTTTTTGCTGAGACTCACTGCAAAGAGATGGTCCGAGTTCAAAGGCAGAGGCCACTGCCAAAACAGGAGGGCCGTTTGCAAAGCGCACGGCGTGCCCCAGAAGCGTCCTGTGCCTCAAGCTCAAAAAGTATTGTCCATTCAGTGCGAACGACAGCCCCACAAGCCGTCTTATATGCCCTTCCCTGCCAGCAAGCCTGCGACAAAGCAACTTCGCAGTCGACCGCTCTATGTACGGTCTTAGCTGAGGCCAAGAAAATGCCGGGGTTTAGATCTGGCGGCTTCTCCACAGACGCAGATGCGGTCTGAGACGTGGTTTCTCCAGACGCTGAAATTGGCTGGCTAGGTACCAAAGGAAGGGCTGCTGCTGGCAGGGGATCCGCACTGTGCTCAGAGACACACCCCCGAAAGCGCCGGGGGACATCCAAGCCCGAAGTCGCAAGACCTTCCCTAACCAAAAGCTGCGGCTCTGCCATCGGTGACTGGGCTCCCCGATGTTGGGAAATGCTGGGGCGAAAAGTGCAGAGTGACCGAAGTGGTGCGATGATGTCCCTGCTCACGGCGTGCCATGTCGCCAAGGCCAAGCTGCGAACACCAGGACAAGACTGTCGCCTTGCATGAGTGCAATGTGAAGTTACGTGACGCATCGGGCCCCACAGGTTCAAGGCTGAACGCAGACAACGCAGGGCCGATGCATACGACGCGGGGCAAAATGCAAAATCGCAAGCGTCATCCAAAAGCGACGAGCAGAAAAAGAGGGAGTCAGGAACCACATTGGGGGAGAGTTGTTCCAAAGAACCCCACAAGGCATCCAAAAGCTGGAGCCAGCGAATACCCCAAGGGCCGTATATGCCCTCTGCGTAGAAAGCAAAAGCCATGCCACGCCGAGACGTTTTTGTACGATAAGCAAGGCCACGAATGACTAATGCTTGAGGGTCAAACAGAAGAGCTGACCAGGATACATGGGAAGCGTCCCCAAAGCGCAGCGAAGACTATATACATACTAATGCAGAGCCAGCAAAGAGAGCAAGTTCAGGAGCGGAGAAAAGGTCGAGCACAACCGATTCAAGAAAAGCGACAAAGTCCAAAGGAAGTGGCATGGCTTCAGAACGATCTAAAGATGGCTGGGCAGACAAAGCTCTGAACAGGCCTGAGTAAAGGTCTGGGAAGTGAAGGGTCACGGTTTTCACCAACCAACGCAGCGCCTTCAGGGTATTGAGTGGAAAAACCAAAGCAATCTGTTCCCGGTCTAGAGAAACGTCATCGTCCTGGGAACGGCTGCAGTGGAGAGCGTATACTGCCTCGACTGCAGCAAGTTGGGAGAGATTGTCCAAGGAATGTCCGAGGTCAACGAGAAATTCGAGGTAAGCCAAACAAGCTTTGACATAGCGCAAAGCGGTTGTGTCTGCGTTGAGCTGCAAGAGCTTCAATGTCAAAGCAGGACCATTAGGCGATCCCTGAAGCTGCTGCTGAAAACTTTTGATACTCACGAGCACAGCTGCATCGGCACATGACATGAGACATGACTGTAAAGCTTCTGGGCAAACAAAACATCCCACCACAAGAAATCTTCACAAGGAAAATACATGGTTAAGGGTCCCATGTAAGACATCGAAATCGTGATCACCCCGCCAAAGGATGATTTGCAGCGTTTCGCAAAGCAGGCTTTCAGAACGATTTTGGTGGGAACTACTGCTTTTCATGCCCAGAGCAAGACAGCCAACAAGCCTCATATCAACAAGTGCAGAGCAACACTCGGTTTGTCCTTTGCTGCCGTGGGCGGACATACCGCACTCCAGGGCCGCCACCGTTTTGGTGGGCTTTGTACAGGCCTACGGGCACCTCCTAACCTTTGACCTTTGGGCACCTTGTGAGCTCTGAGGCTCCAAGCGAGTCTGCTTGCCAGCTCCGCAAGCTGCAAGAGTATCGGCATCACATGGCTGTGATGGGTAAAGGAGAGGTTACCGGCCACATGCAAAAGTTGTCAATCTCTTAAAGATTTGAAGGTGATCCAATGCAATTCAAGAAAATTGCACACAAGCTCGGGTACAGTGGTACCAGCCAGTGACTGCATCCACAAGAGGCATCATGAGCATTTCAAGAAATTGCTTCTATCAAATTCGGGTTCATTTTAAACACACATGCAACGAAAAGTTGTCGGTCATCGTGATTGGGCTCATTTTCACGTATCATCGTGCGGTTCTGGCTCCGGAAGGTTCTGAGGCACTGGATTTGGGATCTGCTGACCACCCACATGAAGGATGTGGAACATGGCAGCCAAGCGGGCAATGTCCTGGCGACGCCCGAGCTCTCTGGCCCAAAACTGGCATAACTGACACATGCTGTACTGACCAGGAAACTCAAGCTGCAACTGGCGATATAGCAGCCTGCGAACATATCGCGCCCTCATCAAACCATCGCATTCCCCAATGAGATGAAAGCGGGTCCCACTCACTGGGGCAATCCATACCTCAGCATCCTCCCTCACCTGAAGGATGTCATCATCCTGTAGCAGTGGCTGCTGCACTTCTGCTGGCTGACCTGCAGGGATCAGCTGCATGGCTGGCATCACATCGATGGCTGCTGCTTCACCAACCATCTCATAAAGTGCAACCAGCTCGGCCTGGTTTTGGTAGGCTGGTCCATGGCCTCCAGGATACACGTCGTCATCGTCATCCTCTGGTTCTGAGTCTGGCTGCTCAGATTCGTGCTCAGAGTCACTCGGTGTCGCAGGCGGCGATCGACCGAGGATTTCTGCACGAGTTCGTGGCGAATAATGTTGTAAGCCTAGACTTTCACGGCTGCTTTCTGATGTGGTGTCAAGGTTCTCTGCAAGAGCAGGTGCTTCGGCTAGCAATGGTTGCTCAGCCTCTGTTGCTTCAAGCCTAAACCAACTACGCACCCACCTAACTAAGGGCCACTCCAAAAGGGATGCAAAGTTCATGTTGGCGCTGGCACGGCCAAGCATGAATGCGACGCATACTGTCAAGGTGACAACGAAGGCTTATAGCCACAACAACTTTTCGGATATAAGTATAAATCCCAATGTACGTGTATAGCATCAGACGAATATAAAAGTTGAATCCCATGTGGATAAACAAAGCACCCTAGTGGTCTCATTCAACAGAATAGACGAATGCTCAACTTATTCACTTGGGCGCGATTGTTCCTTTTTTCTTCCGATGGCAATGCCACAAGTCGGGAGAATCCAAAAGCCCTCCCAGGGCCTCCAAGGTCACGCATCACCGTACACGAGTGAGCGCGCCTTAGACATCCCCGGGTGGGTGGGCGGGGAAAGAATTTTTTAGGCTCTCTGTCTATCTCAAAAGCTTTCAGCCCACAGCTTGAGAATGCAGACGAGTTCAGAGTGCAGAGCCTTGCCTCAAGGTTGAAAAATTCTCAATCTCTTAAAAATCATGATACTCGCAAGTTCCCCAAATTCTGCAAGCGGCGTCATGACGAGCAAATGTTAAAACCATGATGCACGCAAGTTGCTACACGAGGGAAGTAGCTTCCCAGGTTACAAAGATCCGAAAAGCGAGTTTCAAAAGTGACAGACAACTTTTGAAACATTGTGTGTCTATAAAGCTATAGGAGACGAGTCTCCAATAAAGCTTATAGCCACAACAACTTTTCGGATATAAGTATAAATCCCAATGTACGTGTATAGCATCAGACGAATATAAAAGTTGAATCCCATGTGGATAAACAAAGCACCCTAGTGGTCTCATTCAACAGAATAGACGAATGCTCAACTTATTCACTTGGGCGCGATTGTTCCTTTTTTCTTCCGATGGCAATGCCACAAGTCGGGAGAATCCAAAAGCCCTCCCAGGGCCTCCAAGGTCACGCATCACCGTACACGAGTGAGCGCGCCTTAGACATCCCTCTTCAACTCAAGCGGGCTCAGGAGTTCGCCTGACATGCAGCATGAAGGGTGATCACGAGAGCAGGTGCCCCAGAAAGGAAAGTTTGACGAGCCCCTTGAGGGAGCGTCCGAAGGATTGCTAGCACTTGGCACACGTGCTATCCAACCAATCATGGGCACTGCATCGGCCCGCTCAAACTCAACAAGCAGTGATCGCCACACAGTGTCCCTGGAGGTCCCACTCACACAAGCGGCATGAACACCTGAGTGGTCCACGAAAAACAAGGCCCTTGAGGAATCTAAGTAAGACCCCCATAGCCGCCTGGCGACGACAACTGCAAATAACTCAACGGGCCCAATCAAATGGCGCTTGCCGGCATTGCTCCACTTTTGAACAAGAGTGGCGGGCATCCTGCACGCGAAGAAGCGGGTGTTCCAACTTCCCTCCTGATGGTGGTAAAGGATGCCGCCTATGGTGCAGACAGGATGGCCGTCCTCAAACTCGCACGCCCCATCGGTGAAGACGCAAGCACACCCTCTCGGTATCGCCGTGGGGATTGCCCGAGGAGGGCCCGAAACCAAGCGCTGCTTAAGATTTCGGAAAGCATCGCACTCGAACTTGCCAAGACGCAACTCCCCATTTGAGGAGCACAGGGACCTAAGCTCCATAAGGGCCAAACGCCCCAACCTCCCCAACAGCTGGCCCTCCATGAACTGAATGCGTCCGAACAAAGATGCGACCTCGGAGGCCTTAAGAAAACCCTTGTCAAGCACTTGGTCAATGGAGGCCGACATCTCGGTGCACTTGTCCTCGCGATTTGCAACTCTGACATGCTTAAGGGTGGGGTCAGACAGGTCTAGGGTGACACCCAAGAGGTTTGCAGAAGGAGCGAAGTCTTCCTCCTTGTCAGCGGCCCGAGTAAAGCCGAGAAGGGACAGGATGTTGTGCACGGTCTTCTCACAACTCCCGGCAAGTGCAGACAACTCCAGCAAGGGATAGTCATCGAAGTAGTTGCTTGTCATTACCCAGGCTTCCTGCAGGATTCTCTGGAGCAAACGGGCCACCCTGTTGAAGGCCGTGACGCTGGCGGAAGCGCCGAAAGGTAACACCTTCGAAACATACCCCACCACACGGGAATCAGACGGTCTACGCAAGCTCACGACACACAGACGGTGGTCCGACGGGTGAAGGGGAAGCTGCTTGTAGGCGGATTTAAGATCCACCGTTTTCACAAGCGGACGTGCCCGAGAGGTGTTGGAAGCCCAGAACGGGTGGAGCGGACCAGAGATCACCTCTCCCGTGGAGAGTGGGACATGCACAGAGCCTTTGCAAATCAGGGCGCGCATGATGAAGGCTGCAGTCCAAACAATCTCGTCGATGGCTCGGAGCGTGAGCTTGTCGCAAGGGGCAAAGGCACTGTTGACCCCATTTTCGGCCAAGTCATCGATGGGCCTTAGTTTCCCTCTTTGCTCTACTGCAAATCGACGGGCAGGGACCCATGAGCCCTTGAAGTAGTCTTCGAGTTCGTCCCAGGACCGAGCTGGGTCCAGCCACCCCTTTTCCGAAAACTCAGCATGCGTGATGTCGAAAAGCTCTTGCTCATGAGGATTTGCCGGGCTTTGGGCTATCTTATCCCACAAGAGGGGCTTCAGGACCTCGGCCTGTTCCATCAAGCCGTCCACAGTCAGTTCTGCCGGTTTCGGGTCCAGAGGAAAGACACCGCTAGGCTTTTCCTCCCCCACAAGACGGAAGCCATGCGTGAGGTCGTGGTGCAAGTGCTCATCGGGCCAGTCCAAGGATTTGGCAATCCTATCAAGGAGGAGGAGCTTCTTACCTCTTACCACGCTTGCCACGTAAGGGAAAGCTTGGCAAACTGCAAGGGGTCCCGGTACACACCACAAGTGATTGATGCCACAACAGAGTGGCCAGCCATCAAGACCTGATCTGCCAGCTTCCTGTCGGGTCGAGGGCGCTTCGGGAAAACCACCCCCCCTTCAAAGTTAACCCGGAGAACCTTAGAACCGACAGGCACGGGGCCCAAAGCAGCGCACAAGCAGTTCTTGTCATCAAGCGCAGGCAACTGGCCGGACGGGAGGGGGACAGTGACCTGGTAATGGTACTCATCGATCAAGACAACAGCCTTAGAAGTGCGTGGTTGCTTGTGTGTGGCCGTTCGGGCCGACTCATTTGAGAGGCCGGACGGAGAAGGCATAGCATGAGAGGAACCCAGGGCCAGCGAGGCCGCGGAAGCATACCGAGTGCAAAACACCTCGGGATACTCGGCTTCATCGGCAGTGGAGAAATCCCCGGAAGGGAGGATGCCCCAAGGGCGGTGAGGGTGTGAGTTGTCGCACTGGCGGGCAAGGGCGGACAACTCGGGCAGAGAGGTCCACAGCTCCTGATGCTTAGCGCGCGCGCCCCCGTGCATGCAGGCGTCATAAGGCACAACAGAACAACGAGGACGCAAGTCAAGGAACTCAGGCAGCAACCACATGTAGGAGCGAGCAGGGTTCTCCACGCAGAAGTGAGTATGGGGCGCCTCCTCAAGCAGCCAAGCACAGAAACGCGCAGCGCGACGGTATATCGAGTTAGCAGAGTCGACCTTGGCCTGCCACGAGGGGGAAAGGCCGGGCAGCCCCGCAGGGAAGGCCTCGCTGCGAAGGGCGGGCGGAGATGGCTGCCCTTTGATCGGGATGTCGCGTGCCCGCGAGGCCGTGCCACAGGGAGGCGCAACGTGAATGAGGAAGACCTGCCGGGCCTGCACAAGCCGGCGAAGGTAGCTCCACGAAGACTCCAAGCGTAAGTCAAGATGCACACAATGCACCAAAGGAACATGGCGGTTGCCAGGATGGTCGACAGCCAAGACCTGAAACCCCAGGGCTCGAAACGCCGCGGAGAGGCCAGCGGACCCACAGCACAACTCGAGGAACATCAGTTTTTGCGGCCGGACGGCCGGCAAGGCTGCAGAGTCGCGCATGGCAGTCGAAGGCCCAGGGGGCCCCTCCGAGGCGGCGGCTTCTTGCAGTGCGGGGCCAGGGCTGGCGGGGTGACCCGAGGGACTAGGGGAACTACACCCAGAAAGCCTAAGGTCAGGGAAGCCAGTGACAACTGCGGGCAGTGTGCGTGGAGGCGGCTCCTTAGCTGGAAGTCGGAAGCCCAAAGTGCGCAAGGCACGACAAGAGGCCCTGTCGAGTGATGCAACATTCTTGAGGCAATAAGCAATCAACACAAGGCGACGGCCCTTGAACGGCATCACTGCATGCTGCAACCCTTGAGCGTTGAAGGCAATGGGACCCCGTCCCAAATCACAAAGCCGCGCACGGAATGACTGACCTCCATGAGAGACCACATGTCCCTCGGGGTCCGCGACCGCGAGCTCGCCTCCTTCAAAGCGGGTCAAGGGGATTACAAGGTTGGGCAGACAAGCATTTTGGGCGTCGCGGTGAATTCCCATCTCGGATCCCTCAAGGATAACAAAGCTGCTGAACTGGTGAGTGGGGGACACTTCCGCAATCAGCCGGGTGAACACCTTAACAGCCTCGGGGAATTGGGCGACCGAAGATCGCAAGCCTACAAGGGGGCCTCGGCGGTACATCCCCGAATAGAAGGACTTCTGAACCTTATCTCTTACGGCATGGGGAGTGCGTGAAACGGCAACATCGGGGAGTGAATCGAAGGTCTCAGTGGCATGCAAAAGGGTGGCAGATTTGGGACTAGAAGAAGATTGCTTTGGGGTCGCCCCGCCCTCAGGGGCTGGAGCGATCCGCAGGGCCTGGAGGTTCGGTTGCCGGCTAGCATCCGATCCACCAGAAAGCTTCGGACTGTCACGCGGCAGTGATTGCACTTCGGCATTCGCTGCACCGGGGGTCGGTTGCCAAACTGCATCCGATCTAGAAGAAAGCTTGAGATTGCTGCAAGGTTGCTCAACGGCATCCTGCACAGGCTGTCCCTGACCCGCAAAATGCAAGGGTCCAGGGTCACCAAACTCGACTGATTGGGGCCCTAGTCACTCCGACTGAGCCTTGCTCCGCTTCGGGCAAGCAGAAGCGCCGTGGCCATGCTGCCCACACTTCGGGATGGCGCATGCGTGGAGGCCCCTCTGGCACGCATTGTTCTTGACCTCATTGGCACAAGTGCCGAGCTGGAATCCGTAGCAGTACGGATTTCCTTTCTTCGTGGCAGACACGCACCCCCACGGCCCCCACGCCACCATTTGCGCTGGCATCCCGGGAGCTTTGGTCTTTCCTTTGCCCTTGCCCTGGCCCTTGGGATTGCGAGGCTTGCGGGGGCCGTAGGGACCGGGGCGCTCGGGTCGCTCCAACTCCTTCCCTTCATCAAGGGATCGAGAAGAAGCAGAAGGAAGCGGCTGCATCAAGCACACGACATCGAAAGAATTCATGACAGTTTGGAGGTGCGTGTCCAAGGGCCTGGCTCCACCAGAGGATTGCACTCCGTCACGGGTCAGGTCTCGCAACTCGCTGAAGAGCTTCTTGTCTGCAGCTACGAGTTGAGCCCAGGTTGGCCGAACATACCCAGCCGGGGCTTCCTGCATGCGTGCACGCATCAAACGATCACTCCACTGTTGCATGGTCGCGTACTCGACAAGGTTGGCTTGGTCCATGGCAAGGGAGCGGCGCTGCAACGCCTGCATGACATGAACCTCGGAAGATGTGACCGCTTTCTGTTCCGCATCCTTGTTTTCAACCTTCAGACGCCCAGTGTGCTCGTCGACGGTGAAGCGGGTGTCACGGCGTCGGTCTGAGCCCACTTCTTGCTCTCTTGAAGTACATATCTCCCAAGACAGATAGCGAAGCTCGTTGTTTTCATAGCAAGCCACGGCCCTGTCTACCAAGGCCTCGCTAGGTTCGCTCAAGCCCTTGATGGAGACTCCAACGAGCTTCTTTTTCTGCTTCTCGAACCTCTCGGCTCGCTCGGGTTGTGTCAGGCGCCTGCTTGCTGGCTCTTCGGACTTCTCGATCTTTTGGCGCAGCTCAGAAGTGACAACGGCGTAGGACTCGTGGTACAGGGCTCGGAAGCTGGCCTGGACACCAAGTTCCGCATCCCTCCCAAGCATGAGCTTCAGTGCGGCCATCAACGGGGATTCATCGGCTTGACCTGGGGTGAAGCTGGAGATGAACGCCAACTGTCTCAGTGAAGACACCGCGGCTTTGATTTTTGTGGCATCCTCCTTTGTGAGTCCGCTGGCATCTACCCTCGCATTGAAAACACTCTGACTGTCCGAGTAAGAGGCAGCCATCCTCCTAGCTGCACCTGACGGGATCAAGCCAAAACGTGCTCACTCGGCTGCCGAAATCCACCGCACGCATACAGCATGATAGTCAAAACTCGGACGGGTGCTCACCTTGCCATCTCTGTAAGCTTGCGTTCTTTTTCTCGTTCTCGGCAAAAAGAACACGTTTGGCTCGGCATCGCCTTTGCGCCAGGCCCTCTCCTCCTGCCAGGGGTGGTTCGCAAGCCCTGGCATCACCCAAAAGGCGCCCCAAGTCTGCGATCCATCACACTGGTCCCTCAGAAGATCTTGGATAACACTGCTTGCAAAACGGATACAAAACTTGCGGTATATCATCGCACTTAGAATATGACGAGGTGATCGCTCGGCCGCAGCGGAACATAGTGCCCTCCTCCGACGAAACAACATGGATGAAGCGACTGACTCGATGACGAAACACCTCTGCCTCATCCAGCCGTTCCCTCAAGCCGGGCTCGGGCTGCCACGGACCAACAAGCTCGTCGACGGCCTGCTCCTCTTCCTCCAAGTCTGGATGCTCCTCGTCTTCACTGCCTTCTGTTGACTCCAAAACGTCGTCCGGGAGGGCCTCTGGTGCAGCCGGGCGCTCCGGTGTGAACATCCCTGACCTTGTGCAGTCGGGTCTGAACTTGTCGAAGGCGATGTCCTCCAGAATCTGATCGAACTGCCTTAATGCCGGGGCGACGTTGTCTCTGCCGTACACGACGTCGCTGTCCGCCCGAGAGGCACTGAGGTATCCCAGAATCAATCGAATTTCCTTGCTGGCCCCCCATTTTGCAGCCCAGCTGAGGCCGGTGGCCTTCATGGAATGCGTGCCAAGAAGCTTGACTGTAGCAACGTCCTCCCCGGCCTTGCAGCAAGCTCCTCAACCACTTGGCTCCCATCCCAACGGCAATCGGCGATGAGGCCCAACCCCCCCCGTCCATAGGGGCGGGCAAGAGGGGCGAGTCCTCAGACCAGCCAGGGCCGTAAAGCTCGGCGATGTCCATCCACGCAATCGCCCACGACTCATCGAGAAGGCCCTGAACCGGGGCGCACATGGAAAGGTAGCGCGTCTTCCGCTCAAGGGTGTAAGCCGTCTTCGTTCGACACACAGAAGCTTCAAGGAAGCCCCTGACTCCACCATCGGGCAGATTGGTAACATCCTTGGTGATAGCGCCACTATTTTGCATGTCGGAGAACCGCGCACGAGCATAGGTGGCGTACAGGAAACATCCGGCAGCATATCTGTCTGACCCACTGAAGTCACCCCAGCCGGTGACGATCTTTTCCAAGGCCTTGACGTGCGAGACCTTGAGCGGCGGCTTCTGAACTTGCTTTCTCTTGTTCAAGTACAGAGCGTTGCAAGCACCAGTCATAGGGTCGAAAACACATCTTCAAACTTGCATTCAAGGACATGCCGACAGAAAGCCACCGAACTCAGGAAGCTGCGAGCGAAAGTAGGGGCTTGCCTGGCGCAGTACTCCTTGACGAAGCGGTACAAGAGGTCTTCCCTGAATGGGAAAGGCGGCTGGCCTTCCTTTTTACAGAACTTCAAGTACCTGAGGATTGGCCCCGCTCGGCCATGCAGGGTGGCGCTCGCCTTCAAAGCAAAAATGTCAAGTAGAACCGAAGACAACTGCTGAGGTTCACCACCGGAAGCATCCACCGCAACCTTCTCCACGACCCCGAAGTGCTCGCCGTGTGACAGCATTATGCCACTCCATTTGGCAATGGCAGCGGATCTGCTTTCTGTCTGCTTAGCATGCCAAGGGGTCCCTTTGGACTTTGCAAACGGAATACTGGGCGCAGGGGCCGGCACAGGAGGTGTTGTGGGGAGGGGAGCAGAGGACCCCAAGGCTGCACTCGGGAGCCCGACGCCCCACCGTTGGTAGGGAGGGAGGCCTGGCAGAATGCTTGGTGGATTGAGAATCTGGGACCTATCCCAGGGCTGCACGAACCTGGTTTTGGACCCTTTAAGGAGGTACTCGAGATGCTGTTCGTAGGCCTCTTCAAGGTTGCGCTTCATTGTCCCAAGAAAAGCCCCTAATCAACCAAAAAGGACCCTGAAGCGCTGAGGGCAGAGCAGAACTCAAGAAGCCAGCGGCAAAAGAATCCGCAGACAAGTATGAGGCCAGTGCGCGGCAGCCACGAGGGCAGCCCAGGAACCTGGAGAGAGAAAGAGGAGCAGACGGGCTCCGTCGGAGCGGCTGATCAAAACACCTCGGAGGTTACTCTCAAAGATGTACGTCAGCAGACTGGGGGCTTCCTGGGAGTATTCAAGAAGGCGCTCAAAGTAGAAAGAACGTGGCCGCAAGCGAAGTGCAACAAAAGGTGCAATCACAGGAGGCTCGAGAGGCTCGGAAGCCCCGGACTCGCTGCTCCCACTGGGGGAGAAAAGCATCCGCCACCCCCGCGGGGTGGCTTGCACGGGCCCTAAGGGCACTTGTTCGGAGGGGGCCCGTTTGGAAAGGAAGAACCTGTTGAGGACCCACAAGGTTACTCAAGAACTGGGCCCAGGAAAGAATTTTTTTAGGCTCTCTGTCTATCTCAAAAGCTTTCAGCCCACAGCTTGAGCCAAAATGGCTACGGATAATGCAATTCAAGAAAATTGCACACAAGCTCGGGTACAGTGGTACCAGCCAGTGACTGCATCCACAAGAGGCATCATGAGCATTTCAAGAAATTGCTTCTATCAAATTCGGGTTCATTTTAAACACACATGCAACGAAAAGTTGTCGGTCATCGTGATTGGGCTCATTTTCACGTATCATCGTGCGGTTCTGGCTCCGGAAGGTTCTGAGGCACTGGATTTGGGATCTGCTGACCACCCACATGAAGGATGTGGAACATGGCAGCCAAGCGGGCAATGTCCTGGCGACGCCCGAGCTCTCTGGCCCAAAACTGGCATAACTGACACATGCTGTACTGACCAGGAAACTCAAGCTGCAACTGGCGATATAGCAGCCTGCGAACATATCGCGCCCTCATCAAACCATCGCATTCCCCAATGAGATGAAAGCGGGTCCCACTCACTGGGGCAATCCATACCTCAGCATCCTCCCTCACCTGAAGGATGTCATCATCCTGTAGCAGTGCCTGCTGCACTTCTGCTGGCTGACCTGCAGGGATCAGCTGCATGGCTGGCATCACATCGATGGCTGCTGCTTCACCAACCATCTCATAAAGTGCAACCAGCTCGGCCTGGTTTTGGTAGGCTGGTCCATGGCCTCCAGGATACACGTCGTCATCGTCATCCTCTGGTTCTGAGTCTGGCTGCTCAGATTCGTGCTCAGAGTCACTCGGTGTCGCAGGCGGCGATCGACCGAGGATTTCTGCACGAGTTCGTGGCGAATAATGTTGTAAGCCTAGACTTTCACGGCTGCTTTCTGATGTGGTGTCAAGGTTCTCTGCAAGAGCAGGTGCTTCGGCTAGCAATGGTTGCTCAGCCTCTGTTGCTTCAAGCCTAAACCAACTACGCACCCACCTAACTAAGGGCCACTCCAAAAGGGATGCAAAGTTCATGTTGGCGCTGGCACGGCCAAGCATGAATGCGATGCATACTGTCAAGGTGACAACGAAGGCTTATAGCCACAACAACTTTTCGGATATAAGTATAAATCCCAATGTACGTGTATAGCATCAGACGAATATAAAAGTTGAATCCCATGTGGATAAACAAAGCACCCTAGTGGTCTCATTCAACAGAATAGACGAATGCTCAACTTATTCACTTGGGCGCGATTGTTCCTTTTTTCTTCCGATGGCAATGCCACAAGTCGGGAGAATCCAAAAGCCCTCCCAGGGCCTCCAAGGTCACGCATCACCGTACACGAGTGAGCGCGCCTTAGACATCCCCGGGTGGGTGGGCGGGGAAAGAATTTTTTAGGCTCTCTGTCTATCTCAAAAGCTTTCAGCCCACAGCTTGAGAATGCAGACGAGTTCAGAGTGCAGAGCCTTGCCTCAAGGTTGAAAAATTCTCAATCTCTTAAAAATCATGATACTCGCAAGTTCCCCAAATTCTGCAAGCGGCGTCATGACGAGCAAATGTTAAAACCATGATGCACGCAAGTTGCTACACGAGGGAAGTAGCTTCCCAGGTTACAAAGATCCGAAAAGCGAGTTTCAAAAGTGACAGACAACTTTTGAAACATTGTGTGTCTATAAAGCTATAGGAGACGAGTCTCCAATAAAGCAAAGCTGGTCCATGGGTATGCATCCTCGCCTGCTGATGCGGGCGAGTCAGGCACAAACTGTGCTCGGTCCTCATCATCCGCAGCCTTGTTACCCACGACCTGAACCAGCAATGCAAGAAGATGCAACGCCTCGGCATTCCCTCGACCTGTGCTCCTCACAGCACGAAGAAACTTCTTTGCCTGCTCACGGCGTTGTAATTCCTCAAACTCAGTTGTCCCGACCAATGAAAATCCATCGTGTGAATCACGGATTCCAAGGATGTGGCTCAAGGTACGGACACGGGCTCCTGTCAAGGACTTTGTAAACAAATCAGCAGGATTCGTCAGGGTCGGTACTGCGTGTAGCGACGCTTTCTTCCACTTGAACAAGAAATCCTGCAACCATAACAAGCGTCCGGAGATATGGCGAAGACGTCCGCATCCCTGCCTTCCCATGATCCCCCGAGCTGCGCTGGAATCTGTGAACAGGTGCATGGACACATCAACACGCATGATGTGCTGCAGGGCACTGCGAAGGAGGATGCCGTCGCATGTAGCACTCACGCATGCGATATATTCACTCTCTCCACTGCTTAAACTCACGCAGCTCTGGCTTCTGGAAAAGGTGTGAATCACCATCCCATCGAAGGCTATGCATCCGGCACTGGTGCTCTTTCGTGTTGACTTGTTCCCTGACCAATCAGCATCAGCGAACACCTCCAAGGTGTGGGTGTCATCTCGGACAACCAGGCCGATGCCTTTGCCCTCAGTCCGAAGGCAAGTGACGTGATTCTCGTGGAAGAACATGTAGTTCACCAGGTGGCGCAGGCACCGCCATGATCCCTCATTGGGACTCCCACACATGCTGCTCAATGTCTTTATTGCATACTGTGCAGCAGGATAATCGCTTGACACATAAAGCAGCACCCCAATGCACTTTCTGTAGATTCCTGACTTCTCCTCATCAAGTGGCGTTAGCTGTGTCCATAAAGGAAGCGTGCCTGTTGGTAAAGGACTGTCCTTTGGGCGCTGTGCGGCGATGCCAAGGATTCTTGCAAGATCTACGACGTGCTTAGGGTTTGGGCTAATGCAGAAAACATCACCCTTGACCCATCTGTGTCTCCGTTTTAAGAAACTGACCTCATCATCGGGTTGTCTCAAAAAGGAAATTGTGCAGCGATACCTGGACTTCACACACTCACTGAGTCTCTGCATGGTCGGATCGGACCCGTCTGCAAAAAGATCATCAACGTGGCAAAGACCCCCGCCTCCCCCGCCATGGCCCTCATCTGAACCTCCAGGAATGGTGGGGCTTCCACCAGCGGTTCAATGGCCATTTCCTTTATCAGGTGTGCTTGAAACGCTTGGAACCAATCCTTGGCTCCTGAGCGTTGGCCTGGGAGGTTTCGGAGTAGCTTGTATCTTTGCTCACCTCTCACCCATATGGTAACGATGGTATCGACGGCTTGCGGAACCGTCAGATAAGCATCTGCAACGTCCAAGGATAGGGCCGTCCAGCCCTCAGGCTGACGTGCAACAAGCGCAGCTGGCAGCACCCGAAGAAGTGCATTCGACGACGCAGGTGCAAACACCTCGTTGTCCACCATGGCACTGAGCCACCTGAACTCACGGGCGACAAAACGGGCCCGACGAAGGAAAGCTTCTCCACCTCCTTTCGGCGATGGTTTCACTCTCCAAGTTTTGACCATTTTTGTGCTTAGACGCTTAAACCCGCTGAAGTCAGCTGTGGCAGGTAGCCTTTCAAGAACATTCATGGTTTCAAGTCGGGCTAACTCGAATGCTTCAGCTATGTCGTCAATGTGGGCCAATTCTTCACTTGACAGCTGAGGCTCACCGGCCCCAAAAGGCCTCCACAACTCTTCAGGGATGTTCTTGGCATCTTCGAAATTGTCGGTTGCATTCCATGCAGGCGGATCCTCAACTGACTCGTTGAGGTCAGTGTCTGACCCAAGGCCTAGGTCTTCTAAGTGGACGACTTCATCGTTGTGGTGATGGGAATTCACTGCCCGGATCCTCTGGCGCTTTGCTTCCTGAACATCACCATCAAATTCAGCTCTTTCATGAACCTGTTCAAGTTCAGCCATGGCACTGTCTAAACCTTCTAGTCCCCCTATTTCATCAACCGGGGTGGTCGGCTGACCGGGGTTAAGGCCTACACCCAGACTAGGGTTTGGGGTCAGTGCCTGACACGGCTTGGGCTCTCCTGTGGCCAGTGCGCTCTCAGGAGGCGCTGATCGTGGTGGAAGTCTGGAAGGTTGTGATGGTTCCTGGGCAGGAGGTCGATAATCGGGAGTCGCAGGCATGCCATCGGCTGGCAATCTCACAGAAGAAGGGGCGAGGGCAATGTCATGGGGATTGTCGAAGACATCTTCATTCTCTGTTGGCGGGTCGCTGGCTGCAACCTCGCTCTCACTGCCGGGGCCTTCCTCCGTGACTGGCTTTGGGGCAAGTTGGTTGCGACTTGCTCCGACACGTCCAGCAAGGAATGACACGTGCTTGTCAGGTGTGTCTCGCAATGCAGGCAAGAGGCTGGGATCATACTCACATGTGGTTCGACGGACTGATCTGGCGACGACAAGGCGACCTGATGAAGTGCAAACAAGGTGACAATCAGAAACATCTGACTTCCCCAACCACATGGCCCGAAGCCACCGAGGTTTGCCCTTTGTAGCAGTTTTCACACGTGCCAGGACACACTCTGCAAAACGGACAAGTTTGCCTCCATATGGTGATGCATGCACTCTCTCCCATGGTGTGAGGTTTTGCGTGACACCAAACCGTTGAAGGGTCCAGCTGGCATGACGCCAACACCAGTGATGCAACGGGTCGAAAGTCTTGATCTTGATGTTCAATCTGCCCTCGAGCTCAGAGAGCATTGTCCCTGCGAGTTGTCTGATGCGCTCAATGGCACCTTCTGCATGGTTGCCTTGGTGCTCCCCCACTGGGGTTTGTTCAATGTGGGTCTCCATGCCAATGCGGTGCCTGAGTGCCTGGACTGCATTCGCAAGCGCAGTGCATGACCCCTCTGGGTCGGCACGAAGGGTGATTCGTCTGTGCCCAAGGTACGACAGCAGCTTGGTCAGCTCAACTGCCATGTAGTTACGGCAAGCAGTTCCACCTTTGCTCGGCACCGGCCATGCCTGCAACCACTTAGTCTGCGTGTCGTATGCAACCAGGCAGCACAACTTGTCACCCCCATCAACCCTACTGGTATATGCAAAATCAAAGCACAAGACGGAACTTGCACGATGGTCGTCTTCGGTCTTGGCCTCATGCCTGTCGGACCGTGCACGGAAGGCAACACAGTGGGCACACCACTCTCTGTAGGGTGTGTGGGTAAGGCAGTGTTGACGATATGCATCTTCACTTGGTGCTGTAACATGTTTCTGCTCCACTGGCACACGCTCTTCAGCAGCAGCAAGCTGCTGCCGGGCCTGTCCTGGCGGGCTAAGTGATCTCTAATGCGCTTCAGCACAGTGGACTTACCACCGGAACGACCAAGCCCCAGTGACTGAGCAGCTTGCCTCAAAACAGCAAGGGTCGATTCAAGGCTCAACGACACACCGTCAACGACGAGTGTCCCATCATCATCTGCTGCAACCTCGTCACGCAGGGCTGCATCAACTTGCAGTTCGGCCCCGGGATCGGGTGCAACGGCTGCATGCTGTTGTGGCTCATCCTGGTCCATATTCTCAGGCTCTTCAGGTGGTGGTGGCAACACATGAGGTCTGCTTGACTCGGCTGAGCCACTTGCAACTGTCAACCCAAGCTCATCTGGGGAAACAATCTTGCGAGTGGCGAACACGATCAACTCACGGGTGGCATTCTCAGGCAAAGGTCCACTCAGATCGGAAGCATCAACGATGCTCTCGCACCACTCAAGAATCTCCCACTGATTGGGTTCGGGGCACTTGGCAACAATGCTCCTGAAGCTGCAACCCTCATGAGGCAACGCCATCGTGATGTCAACGAACCGGTTTCCAAATCCACGCATGCCGAAAACATCTTCACTGATCTGCACAAAGTAATCAGGAAGAGCCAAATCAGCGACAGTGCACTTCACAGCACGGACACGGGATGCATCCTGCTGGATCATACGCACATGCAATCGTGCAGCAAGGCTATTCTGCCTGAAATGCAATGGGATTTGGATCTCTCCGTTAGGGCTGCAAAGACTCATGTTTCCATTTTTGTTCACCATGCTGAATCCGGCGCGGTACAACTTCCCAACTGCAAGAAGAGGTGTGGTGATGTGGGGAGCAACCAAGAACGTTTCGGTGAATCCAGGCTGATCACCGAAGCTCAGCTCAGCTCGCCTAGTCCCGTGAACTAGCAGCTGATTCCCCTGGGCATCTTGAAAACCTTCCCATGGCCTTCCAGAGGAAACTCCAAGCATGCTGAGGTTTTGCGGTAGACAAGAGGCGTCAGCACCTGAGTCAATTATGACTTCGATCTCCATGCCATGCTCGGCATTCTGCTGGACCATGCGCACTGATCCACTGGTCGAGGTCACACCCGAAGTGTGCTCAACCACATCACGCTGACACACGCCCGAAGCGTGCTCAGCCTCGCTCTGTGCATCACTCGGCAATGCATTGTGGAAAACGCACCACCTCGATGGCACACAACGTGAAAAGATGCTCAGCGCTTTGCAAAAGAAACCCGAAGCTCCCTTGCTTTGCCTGTCTACTTTGTCTTGGCTCTCCACACAAGAATCACAACCTGACACCATGCGGATCTCACCTCCGGCTGACTCATCAAAGTCATCGAGGTTGTAGGTGACTCGTCTCACCTGGGGCTTTGCAGCAGGTTTCGCCTTGGCAGGGGCAGCTGACACGGCTGTGTCAGCATGTGCAGCGCTGCTATCAGCAACAGCGGCGTCTTCAACCTGTCTGACTCGCTTGGATCGGCAGTCTCGGGCAAAGTGACCCTTTCGGCCACAATTATGACAAGTTTTGTTTGCGGCAGGGTTAGGGTTTGTGCTGGGCGGAGGCCTGGACTTACCATCACCTTTCTTACCATCACCCTTACCCTTCTTACCCTTGTCATATCTGCCCTTCTTACCACCTTTATCTCCCTTATCACCCTTCTTAGTCTTGCCTTTGCTTAGCCTATCAATCTCCTTTTGAAGGCGGTCGATTTCCATTGGAACGGCTTCACTGGATGCTGCAGGCGCATTCACAAGCACACCACCTTTGCCCTCTGACAGGCCATAAGTCGCTGCAACAGACGCACTCCACTTTGACGAAGAAGCATCATATCGAGCAACCAAACTTCGCAGCTCGGCATATGTCCAGGAGTCTTCCATGGTCAAGTTCACATGCTGACGAAGTTGGCCTGTTAAACATCTCAGAAGCGAAACAACCTTCTGATCATCGGACATGGCCTGTGATGCAATCGAGTCATACTCTGCCATCGCCTGCTCAAGCCAACAACCTGAGTCAGGAGGCCTTGCTTGTTGTCGAACACAGGCCAATTGTGGATTGTCTGCATGAGGGCCAAGGCTCTGGTGCGGGATGAAGGGCGAAGGTCAAGCGAGATCAAGCGGTATGCTTCGTACCCGTTATTGTCAGACACAGTCTTAAGAAGACGCTTCAGACGGTCGTTCAAAAGCGATGCAAGCAGGCCATACATGATGCGTGACCTGTCGAGCTCAGTGGCGCTCAGCTGTGCAGGGAGAACTTCAGTTTTCGGATTCGATTTCAAGCGAGTGAAGTCCACCTGAAACTCCTTATCTAAGGTTCCCAAATACTGCTCAAACTCCCAAGACCATGCTGGCCACTTGATCAGCTCCTCATCTCGGGTCTGACAAGAAAAGGTTGAAGGATGCCTCAACACCTTGCTCAGGTCTTTGGCCGCTAGACCTGAGTAGGATGTGGTCGCAGCGGCTGCTGCTGCGCGGGATTCGGACTGGCTCCTCAGAAGCTCGGTCAACACCTGCTGGTTCTGCTGCATTCCTGCAAGAATCTCCAAAAGACGAGTCTCACCATCTGTTGGACCGGCGCTGCCGGTTGGGCTGTGGACAGGGCTGAGTGCTGGGCTTGCTAGCGGATGTGGCCCAGCTCCATTCCCGTCGGTCATCACTCCCAATCTAAGGAAGTCTCGGATGCAATGCTCGTGTCACTATCTAGATCGTACTCCACTCCAGACGGACCAAGGTTTCTGCTGAAACTGGATGACGATGCTGGATCAGTGGATAACTGAAACTCCACTCCAGACGGACCAAGGTTTCTGCTGAAACTGGAGGACGATGCTTGGAAATTTCTCTCACGCAAGATTTTCTTAGGCTCAAAAGTGAGAACGGTGAAGACTGCTGCAAGGTATGCTTCAAGCAGGGCTCGCTCACCACTCAACAACTTGCAACCGTAAGCAATAATCTCTGGCGCGTTCTGGATCCCTTTCAGTTCAATTTTCTTCTCCTTCCGCCTCTGCAACTGTCGACGTTCGAAGCTCAGGATGCTCAAGGACGGAGTGCAAGGTTTGCCACACTGAAGCTCGATGTACCACTCAAGAACAGTTTTGCGAAGCTTATCCAACACTCTTTCGTCGTCCCAAAGCTGAAAACACTGAATCTGCTCCTCAAGTTCTGGTGACACCTCCGTGGCTGGTAGGTGACAACACGAGTCTCGAGGAGATTAGGCTGGCAACCGCCTAGCCTTCTTCGGCAAGGCAAACGAAGGCTATGGCTGGAAACTACGGCAGCAACTAATGGGGTTTGGGTCCTGACCCCGGGAGGTAAGGGTCCTGCCTCCCTGAGCACAAGTGAATCCGAGGCCCCAAAGGCTGGATCACAAGCGCTCCGCTACCATGAAAACTTTTGATACTCACGAGCACAGCTGCATCGGCACATGACATGAGACATGACTGTAAAGCTTCTGGGCAAACAAAACATCCCACCACAAGAAATCTTCACAAGGAAAATACATGGTTAAGGGTCCCATGTAAGACATCGAAATCGTGATCAGCTGCAGCACCGAACTGTAAGGGCCAATGATATCTACCAATGAACGCCAGAGCAATAATATGGCATCCCAGGCCTCAGAGCACAGGGTGCTCTGAAGAACAACACCCCCCAAATTGGAGGCAATCGCAGCGGCCTCAGGGCAGAGTGCGGGGGTGTGATTACTAGGCTTTAATGTTGCAGGTCCCTTTGGGGAAGGGCGGACAAAAGAAGAGAGCCGAGAAGACTCGGCTTCTGAGGCAGACCTTACCCCTTCCTGAAGTGGGGCAAAAACCTGCAGGCCGCGAGCTTCCGAAGGGTAGACTGAGTATGCACGGGCAGGTTGACAGCTCGGTGGAGGCAAAGGCGCCTCTAACGGCAAGCGTGCCCGATGTATATTAAGCCTAGTGGGGGCTGGCAAAGGCGTTGCGCTAGGGACCGAAGCAACCGAGGGCCTAGTCCTAGGGCAGAGAGTCCGATTAGGTGCCGGCAAAGGATGCGACTTTGATGCCGGGCGTTCCAGGGTCGCCCAAGGATGCACAGAAACAACGACCGACCAAGAACCTGAGGCAGCTGAAGATTTGGGCGTTGCAGACATGTCAAAAGACTGCGAGCACACAGGTAAGGGAGGTGAAGGGAAGCGTTCGCCTGGCAGCCTCTCCTCAAAGGCTTGGTCAAAATTTGAAGCAGCATCAATCAAATCGCTAGCCGCGGCACGCCCTGGACCCAAAGGGTTGTTCCTATAACGCTTGACCCTGACTGGCGAGAAAGCTAATGTGTCTTGCTCTGCATGCTGACCAGAGTGTGCTTCAATGGGGTCAACTGCCGCGGCTGCAGCATGCGGTACCGGGTCAGTGGACATCTCAAAACCAAAGAAAATTAAGGATGACTTCGGGGAGTGGTGCGGAGTGCCCAAAGTTGATCTGCACGATCAACTGGAACAGAGTGCAGCCCGTACAGAGCTCGGGAACCCAGGTGAATGTCAAAGCAAGATTGCTGAGCCTGGACCCGTGAAGCTTTGTCTGAAAAATCCCAAACTGAAGTCCAAAGTAATTTACGCAAGGCCAAGTTCTCGAGATCACTGATGTGATACCCAACAGGAAGCCAGCCGAAGCCGGACGACATCCGCGCCCCCACAGGAACGCTTGCACGCCGCCTAATGCGGACGGAATTACCTAGAAGTGCGTTGTAAAGCTAAGTTGCGTCAAATGTCTTGCTCTATGAAAGCAATGTATTGTTCTCAAAAATAGAGCTAGCCAGCGATGCACTGAAAGCTGCACGATTTGGTGTGTGGCTTGAACCAAAAGCAACAAAGTACGGTGATCTTTCACAAACAGCAAACAGCTATGAGTAAACACATGACCCGGGGCTGACCACTGAGACTGAGAAGCGAGCGCGGAGCAAGCATGAACCATCACAAGGAAGAAATTGTGCAAACTCGCAGATACTGAAAACAAAAATCGGAATAATATCAGAAAACCGAAAAACATCACCGAGGCATAAAAGCCAGCATGACAAGAAGTAAATCACAACCAGCCCACCCCCCCCTCAGTCGTCCCCCTCCGTACAGCTCAACAGGGCGGAGCCCGGTATCGCCTGTACTCGTGGGACGCGCTTCTCAGCTTCTCCATTATGTTACACATTACTCACGTCCCAAATTGTGCGGCACCAAAACGTGCATAAAATTGCGCCTCCAAGAAAGTGGGCATAAACTCAACTCACACATAAAAATATCTCAATCGAATGAAAAGAGAAGCGAATCGAATCAATACATTCCAGAGCCTCTTTTTCTTCATGAGAAGGTGGCGGCGAGTCTCAAGCACCAGTACCAAAAGATGGGCGGGAGAGTACGCAGGGCGTCTCCCCCCCCCCAACGGCTTCTGCTTCTTTCGAGGGTGCTTGTCAGTGCGCACCATCTGAGCCGCTTTGCGCGAAGACTCGAACTGCATTTTGGTCTCCCAAAGTTCAGACAAAATCCCTAGGGGAAGATCTGAGAAGCTGAGACTGACACGATGCTGTGCTGAAAAGGAGGTGAAAACTTCATTAGTGAGCTGATCTGCCAAAACGTTCTCATCCCGAGGCTTCCAATTAAGTGACAACGTCAACCCGGCTGCCATCAACAGGTCGGAAAGCTGGATGTTCACCAACATCAGTGGCCATTTGGTCGTTGAGAGCTTACGCCGCAAGGCCTCATTGCCACGGTTGTCTGTAGCTGCCGTCACATTCACTGGGGGGCGACGCTGGCGAAAGGTGGGCTGCAACCAACCGAATGCAAACAACGCAGCTAGCGTCCCCAAAAGCTCTGCTGAAGCTGAGGCCCACTGCGAACCCCCCTTTTCGTCGAAGAGGTACGGCGCCTCATTAGGACAAAACCATCTGCACATTTCGCATCGGTATGGAAAGCAGCTTCCCGATGCACGGTGGGCTGTGCTGCACTGATCTTGTAGGACTCACGGCTGAGGAGCATGTTGACATAGCTCAAGACAAGAATCACCGTCAAAGGCAAAGTGGCAGTCAAGCCCGGGGCTGTTGCGGCGGACCAAGCGTACAAAGGGGCTGAGTGTGGTTTAAGCCAATGAAGTACCCTCGCCACAAAACCCAACCGACCTAAGAATTCGCTAAAGTCACGGGTCTGGACCACATAGTGGGATTGCTTGGCCTTCTCCACCCAATCAGCAATGTATTTCCCACGAGCAGCCGTGATGCCCAGTGCATGACTCTGAAAGTCCAACTCATAGCCTATGACCTGCACCCGCCAACCTCCCTTGAACTTCTTGTATGAGAACGGCGTCCCCATCATCTCGTAGAGCGCAAGCCACATCAGTGAGTTCACATATCTTTGCCGCCCTCCAAAGGTGGATAGTAAATCATCCACGTAAACGATCTGATAAAACCAGGATTGCAAAAGGCAGCGGGCCACTGTCCGGCCAATTATGCCGAATAAGCGAGCCCACCAAAACGATGCAGAGGAGATGCCAAACGTTCCTACGGTGTTTACCCAAATCGTATTTGAGCCCTCAACTGCGCGGCAAGCGAGGAAAGGCCAATCGGCCCGGCGGACCTTACACAGCCGATGCGCAGAAGCCACATCAGCGGAGACCACAAAGGGGACCTCCCCGCACTTGACAGGCTCATCCACCATGTAGGCTATGTCAGCGGGGCCGGGCACCGCTTGCTGACTGAGAAGGCGAATATTAATATTCACTTGCACTCCGTGCGTTCCGTCGTGGAGCGGACGTGCTGAGTTGTCGGGTTTGCGAATGGCACCCAACGAAGCGATTCGAATATTCGCCTCCCCAAATTCCTGATGCAACGCACCCAGAGTAGTGGGGTACATCCTTCCCAAGCTCTCTTCTTCGCGGAACTTTTCAAGCAAGGCCTCCTCCGACTCCAGGGCACTAGAGTAGTTGTCCCGATCCCACTCAAACTCTGACGCGTCTAGACGCCGTGACTTAACCTTGGGCTCGAAAACCTGGGGCACATGGGGGATGGGTGCATCCACCCCAATCGGCACGCCTCTCACGAAGTTGTCCTCTCCTTCCGTGATAATCTCCCAGTCAGGATCCTCAAGCAACTCGGCAGTGCGGGCGATTGCGTGGAGATAGAAAGGCTGCCCGCTGGGAACAGAACTAAAATCAACCCCAAAATCACCTAACAACCCGAACCAACGGCGCCGAAGGTCCTTCATTTCTTTTGCAGGAAACGGTGAAGCCTGAAACCGCCCAAGCACCAACTCCATAGCCATGCGCTCGAGGTCGGGCGCAGCTCTGAGCACGAAGGACTTGACCAACATGTGCAAAGCCTTGACAAGGCGCTGTGCCCCCACTGCCAGCCGCCGACCCCTTGCCCCCGGCTTCCAACGTGTGGGCGAACAAAGTCCGAAGCCGTCAGTGAACGGCCCCGAATCTCCAGGCCACGTGACCTCCACAGGGAGACCTGCGTTCCCACAAGCCTCAGGACGGAACGGTTCCATTGGAGGGGTTTCAGTCACATGTGCCGACGTGTCGACCTCTCCGGCGAGCTCGTCGCTCAGAGGAAGCACAAAGCCTAACTCACGAACTGCCTCAATTTCCTCGGCGCTGATCTTGTTGAGCGAGCACACACTGAAGGCAATCAAAACGAGTCTTATCCCCTCCAGCGGTATCGCTCACGGGCATTGAAGACCAACGGCGAGGTGTCAGACAGCTCATGCAAGTTGCCGTGGAAGGAAGAGTCACCTACCAACCGAGCAACAGAACCTCCGCAATCCTGAACCCAAATCTGACCCCCTTTGAAAGTCGAAATGGCCCACACGGCATTGTAGGGGTATCCATTTCGGCCGTCACGGTGCATCGGGGTCTTGACGTTTTCAAACAGTGAGATAGTCGTGAAGTAATGCTCAGGTGCTTGCTTCTGAACAAACGTGCAAAGGAGCCTCGCTGTCGCGGGGTATTGCATTGTGTGGTGCCTCAAGCCTCCGACTCCCCCTTGCATGTAGCAGCCAACGGTGAATGACGATCCCACAGAAGGTTCCGAGGCTCGAGGGGGCTTTTCCCTGGGCAGCAAAGAAAAGAGATGCATGATATGCGACGCAGTCACCTCCAGCTCCCCCTGGAGGATGGAGCGAGCATAGTCCTCGGGCGGTGACTCAAGCTCAGCCGTCACCGAATCAGTCGCAGTAACCAAACCCTCGCTAGCCCCGAGGCCATCATGTCACTCAGGGGGTGTGGGGACCCCCTCCGGCAAGGTCTTAGCAGGAGCCTTGTGCTGGTGGACGCCATGAGCTTTGCCGCAGCCCTGAACCCTGCAGATGTGGACCCTGCCACACTTTCCTTTGCAGCCTCGAGCGCTGTTAAACGCATAACAGATCTGGCGCCCGTCGGGAGTGGTGCTGATCAAGGTGAAGCCAGCGAACATGCCAGGTGTCTTCAGAACCTCAGAACCCTTCAAGGAAGGCTTACCCCCTTTTGGAGTCTCGTGCTTACCCTTACCATTACCTTTACGGAACTTAGTGGGGCTGCCGTCGGCCAGGGAGAGTGCAAGCGGTGTGGTAAAACAAAGCTCCTTCAGCTCGGTGTCCCGCACCACACGTTCGAGGGCAGTGGCAAGAGTGACCCGTTCCTCATTGACCAGTCGGAAGGCTTCCTTGCGCAAGCGGAACTCATAAGAAAGCACGGAGTGCCAAGGAGGGCGGAACTGTGTGCCCGGACTGTCGGCACCTGGCAAAGAAGGCAGACGCAACCCGGCAACCCGCTCACCCAGAACATAATCCGTGAACTTCAGGAAATGAGTGCTCTCAAGACCTTGCAACCAGTCCTTCGCTTTGAAGCGTGAGGCCATGGCCAGCCAAGCAAACATCTCCACTCGCATGACCCGACGATAAGCTTCACTATTGACAGGCATCTCCAGTTTCTGCTTTGTACGGGTGATGCGGATATGGCCCTGGGGATCCAAAGAGCTTTGCATGTTGGTATCAAGATTATCACGCTTGGAGGTGATGGTGTCAAGAGGTGCGGCAGTGGGCTCATTCACCTCGCACTCTTCCGCCTTCAGTGCCAACTCAGCCGATGGCGTTTCACCGCTACGACTGCCGCCAGCATAGCCTGTCGTTCCTGAACCTGCAACACACGAGGTGCCCGAGAACCTTCGCGTCAGCGCGAGGTTCAGTCTCCTGAGCTGAAACGTCCTTACCCAACTCCCAAGGTGCTGCCACCACTGCCGCCGCCTGGTGGCAGCCGCTGCACGGGCCTCGGCACGAGTATCAGCGATGGCCTGAAACCGCCGAAGAGTTTGATGAGCCTGACAAATGCGGTACTGCGTGTCGAGCTCAGCTCCAGCTTCCTAAAGAACATACTGCAAGTCTGACGCAACTCGAGCCACAGCAGCTCTCTTTTCATCATCTGTGACTGCAGCCATTTCGCAGAAGTGGCGACTGAAAGAAAGGATCTGAGCTTGGGTACCGGGGAGGCCACGCACAAGCGGACGTGACTTTTGCACACAAAAGCGGACCCAGAATCTGGCCTCGGAACAATTTCCTGCGCAAAGACCCGGAGCACATATGGAAAACCTACTCCTGCGGAAAAATACAGCTGGGTTAGCCCAGCGGCTCCTGGCTGCCTGGCCGCGTCACTTCTGAATCTCCCTGCCATCAGCATCCACCTCCACAACCTCACCTGGCAGCGCTGCAAAGCCGCACGACACACTGCGCCGCTTGCATCTTGCCTATCTGGACGAGCGCCGACCGCATCATGTGACAAATTCCAAAGCTTGAAGTAACGCTGAGGAAATCCATGGTGCCATGGAAGCTCATGGAAACCCTCGCTGAAGCTTCTGACATCTTTTTCCAAAGCCGCGCAAAGCATGAGAAAACCAATCGAAACCCCGCGGAGATTTTGCAGGAACCCTCACAAAGCTCCACTGGAAGCTTCAAAGACCTGCGCACGACCTATATAAGAAAACCCACAGAAACCCCGCGGAAACCCTCACACAGCCCTAAGAAACCCACGGAAACCCCTTCAAAGCTGTCAAAAACCATGGAAAACCCACGGTAACCTTCACAAGACATTAGAAAAACCTTCCGAGAGCTTCAAAACCTACGCAAAATCTAACAAAACCCACTGAAACCCCGCAAACCTTAGAAAACCCCAGGGAAACCATCTGAAAGCTTTTAAAAAACCAAGGCAAAACTTGACAAAACCCACGGACATCCGCGGAAACCCTCACAAAACTTTAGAGACAAGGAAAACCTCCGGAAAGTTCAAAAACTGCACGAAATCCCACGGAAACCCTCACGAAACCCTTGAGGAACCTACCAAAACCATCCAATAGGTTTTAACACATGCACGAAATCTAAGGAAACCCACGGAAACCCCCAGAAACCCCGCGGAAACCCTCGCGAAACTGTAGGGAAACCCAGGGAAACCCTCCAGAAGCTTAACAAACATGAACGGAAACCCTGCGGAAACCCCTTTATCAGGACTGGATTCACCCTTTGGCAATTTACAAAGTTATTAAAGGACAGGTGCAGGAAACCCGCCACCCAATCACCGCACGCCAATGTCAGTATTATACTACCGGTCGTCCCCTAAAGGGTGAAGGACGCAAGAGGTGTTCTTCTGCTTCTGGCGAGGACCGAGGACCTCTGTCAACCGGAGCGCCGAAGCTGGGGCATGCCTGCCATACGAATCAATGGTCGCTGACCGTCTAAGAAGCACTTCGCGCCTTCAGGCAGAACGTCAAGGTACACATTGGTCTTTCACCAATCGGGTTCAGAAAAAGGAATACAGTCTACGTCTGCCTGGCTTCACCGTCCACGTCACAACTTGCTATAGAACAAGACTGACTTCCTGCCTCAGGGTTCATGTCAGACTCAACCCAAGGACCTGACTGAAGGCATGACTGGTTTCTTGCACCCAAAGCTTTGACCCCGCGCATGGCTGTTGCTACAACCATACACAGCTAGGCCACCAAGCAGCGCACGGATGAGCTTGGACACCTCCGGCCGCGCACCGGCCGGCCGCGCCTGCGCCCCGCAACGAATGTGAAGCCTCTCGCATCGCCAAAAATCGGCCTTGAAGACCTCGGCAACCTCCTCCACTGAGTACTTCGCTGAGCGAGTTGCGAAGGGCTTGCGACACCTTGGAAGCACAAACATGGACCCTACGGACTATGTCTGGGCACTTTTTTCGGCCAACAAATCAGGCTCCGACGTGGCAGACATGGCGCAAGTACGCTAGCTGTGGCCTAGGAGCTGCTTGAGGCAAGAGCGCTCAGCGAGCAGCGGCTCAGATGCAATCTGTTGAAGACACATGGCCCGTAGGCGCAAAAATTAGCAAAAGTCTCTGAGAGTCTTGCAGATCTCAAGGCATCTTGAAAAAACAATCCGGCACAAAATCCAGCAAAACAGGTCTACGTGCAAACAAAAGCAAAAGTACATTGCAAAAATAGCAAACAAACGCAAAACAACGCAAATCTCCGAAATCTCCTGTAAACAAGGAACAACATTTAGGGCTGCTAAACACAAGCTAAAGACAACCGCATGAAAGTGGCCTCCACAGTTGCAGCTCCCTTTCTGCTGCAGCATTACAAAAGCAAGCAGCTGCTTCGGACAAGCCCCTGATCCCCAAGCTTATGTTCTGCACGCTGCTCCCCAAGGTTCCTGGAACAAGGACAGGCGCAGGCACGCTGACGAGACCCAGCTGCGTGAGCCCAGGGCTCAAACTTGCGACCCCAACAATGGGGCCATCTCGCGGCCCCAAAAATGGGGCCACGAAATGCACCCAGCTTCCCTTATTATAATGTGTAAATACATGAAAAGGCTGGAACTGCGACCCCAAAATTGGGGCCGCCTGGCGGCCCCAATTTTGGTGTCGCTAAATCTGCATTTTTCGAGCCCCTGCGCTCCCCAGATTGCGACGCTACAGCAACTCTGACCCACAGGCAAGCTCCTAGCGTGGAGAATTGTTTTTGTAAAGAACAACGACCCCCCACAGGCAGCTTTCTTGCGGAAGTGATCAACATAATAGAAACGGGCACCGGGGAGGCCACGCACAAGCGGACGTGACTTTTGCACACAAAAGCGGACCCAGAATCTGGCCTCGGAACAATTTCCTGCGCAAAGACCCGGAGCACATATGGAAAACCTACTCCTGCGGAAAAATACAGCTGGGTTAGCCCCAGCGGCTCCTGGCTGCCTGGCCGCGTCACTTCTGATTCTCCCTGCCATCAGCATCCACCTCCACAACCTCACCTGGCAGCGCTGCAAAGCCGCACGACACACTGCGCCGCTTGCATCTTGCCTATCTGGACGAGCGCCGACCGCATCATGTGACAAATTCCAAAGCTTGAAGTAACGCTGAGGAAATCCATGGTGCCATGGAAGCTCATGGAAACCCTCGCTGAAGCTTCTGACATCTTTTTCCAAAGCGCGCAAAGCATGAGAAAACCAATCGAAACCCCGCGGAGATTTTGCAGGAACCCTCACAAAGCTCCACTGGAAGCTTCAAAGACCTGCGCACGACCTATATAAGAAAACCCACAGAAACCCCGCGGAAACCCTCACACAGCCCTAAGAAACCCACGGAAACCCCTTCAAAGCTGTCAAAAACCATGGAAAACCCACGGTAACCTTCACAAGACATTAGAAAAACCTTCCGAGAGCTTCAAAAACCTACGCAAAATCTAACAAAACCCACTGAAACCCCGCAAACCTTAGAAAACCCCAGGGAAACCATCTGAAAGCTTTTAAAAAACCAAGGCAAAACTTGACAAAACCCACGGACATCCGCGGAAACCCTCACAAAACTTTAGAGACAAGGAAAACCTCCGGAAAGTTCAAAAACTGCACGAAATCCCACGGAAACCCTCACGAAACCCTTGAGGAACCTACCAAAACCATCCAATAGGTTTTAACACATGCACGAAATCTAAGGAAACCCACGGAAACCCCCAGAAACCCCGCGGAAACCCTCGCGAAACTGTAGGGAAACCCAGGGAAACCCTGCTTAACAAACATGAACGGAAACCCTGCGGAAACCCCTTTATCAGGACTGGATTCACCCTTTGGCAATTTACAAAGTTATTAAAGGACAGGTGCAGGAAACCCGCCACCCAATCACCGCACGCCAATGTCAGTATTATACTACCGGTCGTCCCCTAAAGGGTGAAGGACGCAAGAGGTGTTCTTCTGCTTCTGGCGAGGACCTCTGTCAACCGGAGCGCCGAAGCTGGGGCATGCCTGCCATACGAATCAATGGTCGCTGACCGTCTAAGAAGCACTTCGCGCCTTCAGGCAGAACGTCAAGGTACACATTGGTCTTTCACCAATCGGGTTCAGAAAAAGGAATACAGTCTACGTCTGCCTGGCTTCACCGTCCACGTCACAACTTGCTATACAACAAGACTGACTTCCTGCCTCAGGGTTCATGTCAGACTCAACCCAAGGACCTGACTGAAGGCACGACTGGTTTCTTGCACCCAAAGCTTTGACCCCGCGCATGGCTGTTGCTACAACCATACACAGCTAGGCCACCAAGCAGCGCACGGATGAGCTTGGACACCTCCGGCCGCGCACCGGCCGGCCGCGCCTGCGCCCCGCAACGAATGTGAAGCCTCTCGCATCGCCAAAAATCGGCCTTGAAGACCTCGGCAACCTCCTCCACTGAGCACTTCGCTGAGCGAGTTGCGAAGGGCTTGCGACACCTTGGAAGCACAAACATGGACCCTACGGACTGTGTCTGGGCACTTTTTTCGGCCAACAAATCAGGCTCCGACGTGGCAGACATGGCGCAAGTACGCTAGCTGTGGCCTAGGAGCTGCTTGAGGCAAGAAAGCGCTCAGCGAGCAGCGGCTCAGATGCAATCTGTTGAAGACACATGGCCCGTAGGCGCAAAAATTCGCAAAAGTCTCTGAGAGTCTTGCAGATCTCAAGGCATCTTGAAAAAACAATCCGGCGCAAAATCCAGCAA